TCGTGACTTCTCCTGACACTGCCCATGTACACCTTTGGCGTATAGAAAAAATTAACTTTTCACCAGACAGAGCAGCTGTGCTAGAAACAATGGAAACGCGAAATTTACACAAACCATGCAGGGTCTCACCTGTGAGCACAGTAGTTTCGCCAGGGTCAACCACCTATGTTTGTTCATGTCAGCGAGCAGGTGGCCGAACCTCTCGTTGATGTGACCCACGATGAGGTTCACAGATCTGAAGAACACCGACAAGTTCCGTCCAAACGCTCATCCAAGTACGAACAGACGGTTGGGATAGGCCAGTCGAGGAAGAACCATGCAAAGCGTCTCGCCAGATTGGAAACACCCTGCGCCGATCTGTCGGGTGCTGGTATTTGGAGGCCCGCACGCAGAACAGCCAGGTCCTTCTTTAAGCAGGATGGCTTCCTAAAGGGTTTCTTTTCTACGTTGGAAATATCCAGCAAACCGCGTTCGGAAAGGAAGCTTCGGCGCTTGATGGCACGAGGGATACGAATCATAGATTCGATGTCTCGCCATCTTAATCTCGTTAGTAGAAGTCTCCTTCCTTGAGAACAGCGGGGATTCATCGTGCAGTTGCCTTGCTAGCCTTGAGCAACACTGTACTCGTACTACGCAAAAGGATGTACTCCCAATGCGCAAACTTCGTCCTTTTCTCTTATTTTTCTACTTCGAATAAGTAAATATGTTTCAGTTTTAATTCGAGTGGAGCAGAAGCTACAAGAGCGAGTGCCGGCCTTTCAGCGTCCTTGATAAGCACGCGCGCTCGTGCAGTCCAAGCACGTTTAGAGCAACATGCTCATGCTTATACCTTCGGCTTCACTCGCACACAAGGTGGAACGATTATATTTATATTTTATAGCTTAATATTTCTTCAGGTGTGTGCCTACTCTTTTGTGCTCAATATTGTCGCCTTCGTTTTTACTACCTCTACAATCACGCTCCCTTTTACTCTTTTGGTGTTAACGCTTAGGTTTTTTTGTCTTACTAGTACTATAAACGTCCACTTGTGGGGCTACGCAAGCAAATTTTTCGAACCCGCTCACAACGCTCTTACGCTGAAGAAAAACGCTCTACTAAAACGCGTTTCTGGACCTCCGCTTTCCATTCCGGCGAAGCGGGCCGCGCATGCGCAGTTTGGCACCCTCAGAGCGGAGCGGAAGATGAAAACGGTATACTAAAACTCTCTATTAATGGTGTCCTTCGCGCACGTCACTGTGCAGGGTTTTCAAATCTGTCTGAAGAGGGAGTAGTTTCGGGATGGGTCTTTTGCAAGTATCACGTGCCCAGGAAAGGCTACAGGAAGTGCTCGGTCAATATTCAAAGTTCGAGTTAGGAGCCGGTTCGAACCGGTTCGCGCTTATTAAAACCGGTAACCGGAGTAATACTATGTGCGCTACCTTAAACCGGAATCTAACCGGAACAAAATACAATGCTACTGAACCCGAACCGAACCGAAATAGTGGCCGGTTCGACACCCTGGACTAAATATTACCTTAATGAGTAAAATGAAAAAAAGAAAAAAAGCGGACTAAATATTATTTTAATGAATAAAACGAAAAAGAAAGAAAGAAAGCCGTTTACAGCTCCCTGTAACACCGAATTAGAGCGCAGCTCTTGAGGTGGAAGAGGGAAGGGTACTGAGGGGAGGGTATACCCAACACCTCCTAGAAATAAGGCCGTAGCACTCTTCTCTTGACGTCGCAAAGGAAGGCCATCGGGGGCGCGCGTCGAAGCGAAGGCAACGCGCGTGGATCGACCGTCGTAACGCGCTTTTAGCCACATACGCGCGTCTTATTAGCTAAAACGAAAGCTGCACGTAGCAACGGGTCTAGAAAACATTTTATTACACGGGCAAAATATTACACCGCTAATAATTGGTACGAAATGGCACGAGGTAGGCGTACAAGAGAAAACATTGAGTTACGCAATCATTGCTGTAGAATGCCTATTTTATAAAGAAATACTCCGACAAAATGGCGAGACACGCAGTGATTAGACACAGCAAAGATCAGAGTTAAAAATCAGGTAGATGTAGTCAACGCGGACACGGCAAGACAAGTGTCACGATCATGTAATGCAATTTCGATCGAATGACATTATGGGGCCGACAAATCAGCTTGCGACGCTCGCATAATAACTCAAGACAGCGAGCTGATTAGGTCCCATATCATTTAATGAAAATATATTAACTTTTCCGAGTGGCAGGGGTACTAAACTTTACAAATTCTAGTATAAACGCGGTAAAGGCAATAAAATACCATTAGTATAAATAAGCACATAAGCACAAACAACGCACTTTGTATAATCACATGAACTTGTTATTCACCTTCCAGTGAGAACTAGAATATTACCACACATATTTACAAATGTCGACGCAACCGCACACGGATAACGACGAACAAAATGTCATTCTATCACGAAAAAAACCGACTGCAGCACTTTACTCGCGCCCACACGATCAAGAAAGCCCGTAAATAAGTTGTTTGTCACCTGTCGATCGTAGCCATACGTCCCACAATATCGGGGACGAAAACGTTTGAACACGAACTTTAAGTCTCTCCCTGCCGAGAGAGAGGTATATCGGTAATCGACCAGTGTCATCGTTGGCTAGTTGCCACACATGTCACTCAAACCGTAGAAGGACTTGTTCCGCGAATCCACGTAAATGCCGTAGTATCAAGCGAACACAGAAAATAACTATCCCAGACAGCGGTGACAAAAAAAAAAAAAAAAAAAAAAAAAAAACTTGAGGGGTAGGATGATCAAAAGAACCACACACACACAACACACACGACAGCAGCGGCAGCAGTGCGGGAAGCTTAACGTTGTCGGCCCATCTCTTGCTCGTGTGCGCTCCCTGCGGCGATGACTCGATTTTTTTCGGTTCCCTTCCCTTCTGAAAGTCTCAACCTTCCCTTTTAGACAGTCAGCAGCTCACGCACAACGTAAATTCACCAGAATCGGAGCCCGTACGAGGGAAGAAAACGTCGCCGCAAACCGGACATTCGAAAAGTATGGGGAGCTGCGGGACTGCACGCAGTGACGCAGTCCCGCGGTTACGGGGATAATCATAAATATAAAATTGGTACTTTCAACCTTGATAGCGCGTTGTATATTATGTTTATATTATATATATAATAAATTGTACAATACTGCGCTTTTAAAACATATATTAATGTCGGATAAACGCTCACGAACACCACCGTATCACGATAGCAAGTAGACCCCAATGCTAGCTGCCGCCTGGATCGCGTCTTCGACTGGTGTGTTTAGCGTCCTATCTCGCCCATACATCAAAAGTGGTCCCGATGTGGCAACAAATGACGCGAGTGTCATGATGTTGCCTGTCGCGATCCTGGCGGTTGACCGTAGAAATGCTGGCGAAAAGCTCGAGCGAACGCGAGTGTCGCTGCCGTCGCGGCGTCCCTTTACGTCCCTTTAGGCATCCCAGGCGTCCCAACTCCGGCTGCTCTAGCTTCCGTGAACTGTCACAGTAAAAAGCAACGAGGTAGTAAAATGCGACCTGCAGCAGAACTATGCAGCAGAACAGGCATCTGCTACATACACCACAGCTGTTGAGACGCCGCCAGGGTCGCGACCGACGACAACATGACACTTCTATGACGTCATCAGGCGGAAATCAAGGGACCACTTTTTTGGCCGCGGTAAACACACCGGTCGGAGACGCGTTCCAGGCACCATACTTGAGGTCTACCCTGGTCTACCCCCTATCCTTCCAATCGGAGCCAATCAGAGCTCGGCGTTCTGACGTCACAACAACCCCGGCAAAAGAAGCAGACGAACTTGTGCTCAGCATAGAGCACTATATAGCTCCTTCGGAGCAGAGTAGCGCAATCTAGAACGCCGCCTCTCGGCGACTAGCGGCGAACGCCCGGAGGTTCCAACTGCGGTCAGAAATGCATGGAGAACGTGAGAAAATCGTTGTTTCTTCAGTATTGTGGGAATGTACGGAATGGCAATTGTTTTTGACATAATAATGGAACATTTTAGAATAATTTGCGCTAAGTTTTGTGTCCCGCAAGGACCTGACTTTTTTTAAAAAATTGCTTGAACGGCATCATGCAGCAGACGACACGGCGACGTCACACCATTCACGTGACCCGCTCCGGCCAACCCGAAAAGCCCATCTCCGCTGCGAGCAAAAATCGTCTGCTTCAAACGCCATTGCCTTGGAAATTGCCTTCTCAAAATTTGCACACGCATCCGATATTATTAAAACTTTGATAAAGTGTTTAGTGATTTACTAACTTTACGACAGACTAGTTTTGGAAAGTGTGAACTCGCCGTTCACTTTTTAATCAGCCGTGTTGTGTCGATCTCCATGTATTCTCCCATAGGGCGGGCCGCCTCCTGGAACCCTGAGTACCACGTGACTCGCGCCGAGCCGCTCTGTCGGCCATGTTGTCGGCAAAACACGGGGTTCAAAGGATTGCGCTACTCTGCTCCGTAGGAGCTATATAGTGCTCTAGCTCAGCATACCCTGCCCCTCCTTCCCCCTCCTTGGTCATGTGACACACCAATTCAGTTTCTCCGCTAAGTTTAGCAGAAAAATATACGTCATGTGACACACCAATTCCCTCTCCCAACTCGTCTCTTTCCTCTCCTCACCCTCCTACAATCTATCCAACGGTGTTGATCCAAGCAGATTAAATGTCCATCCTTGCCCTCTCTTACAGTGCCGCCAGTGCCGCGTCAACACTTGCCCCCCTTCACCTTCTTGGTCACGTTCCACAAAATTGATAAACTTCTGATTTCCGCAAAATTGATAAACAATGTAGGCTCTTCACTACCGGAAGAACTGTTTAATGTCTTCCAAACAAATGAAACAATTGCTCCGAAGAACTGCATTTCATACAAAAGGCCGCCTTCGCTTCTGGAGGCTTTCTAAATGCCCGTCAAACAGCTCATTCCGTAACTTAAGAAAGAAAAAAAGAAACGCATGCCATGCGCATACTTACATTCTCATGTTCTAGGTGCTGGATAGCTTTCATTTCCCTGTAGTGCCCAGAAAGAAATATCAGACACGCACACGTCAGACCCCTTTGGCCATACAGGACTAAACTGCGGGTGTCCGTGTATATTTACCGAAAAGTAGCGCACGGGAATCCGGCCGCGTCGCCTGTCTTGTGCGGAATTTTCTTGATCGCCACGAGATCGTCCGTGCGCCTGCAACGTGCCTTCATGACCACACCGTGCGCGCCTTCCCCCAACCACCCCAAAACCTGGTAATTTTCCATAGAAATCTCTTATTCTCCGAGCCACTTCCAACGTTGCGCTACCATACCACATCTATCTAAATGCAGCGAATCTTCCGTGTTTGGAATGCACAAAGATGTACGACGTTTTTTCCCACACGGCAACCACGCGTTAGACAAGGTGATTTTGATCACCGTGGTTTTGATGACAAACCCGTTTCCATGACACCGTTACTTCCGTAAATTTATTGCCTCCTATTCCATTTGCTTCCGGCAACCTTTAACAACACAAAAAGAGAAAGAACGCGCCCCAAGAACAGTTGGGACGTGCTTTGTATCGAACTCAACGTCGGCATTCGAGACCTTCCGCAAAACAAGCGACGTTTGGTTGGTTTGGTCGCTTCAGTGGCTTCAGTCCTGGCGCGCAGACCCAGCCGGTCCTTCGATGATAAGAACAGCGAGTCGCTCAACAAACATCGCCGACCCAAAGTCCAGCCCCGCCTCCAACCATCTTTAGCCAGATACAACTGTATCCTCTTTTTTAAAATGTATTAATATTATTATTTTTTTCGTTTCCTCTAATTTTTTTTTTATTTTACACGCGCATTTTTCTCGGCGGCGGGTCGGCCGCTTTATAGATGTCGCTACTTACAAAAGATGACGGCGAAATGCTCGCAGCCAATCAATGAGTGTGGAGCCATCTTCGTTTGTTTGATGTTGGCGGTGGTCGTCGCGAAACGCCGCGACATCGGTGCACCTCGCGTACGTTTCCCGACCGTTGTAGGATTACCACGAGGGACAAGCGGCCCCGAGTTTTCGTCGTTCGATGATCGGCGGAAACGCTGAGGCGACACCGGAACACCGCAGCGTCCTACGCGACGCCGCGCGCGCGGCATAACCTCCCGGCGCTTTGCTGGCTGCCCGTTTCCCAAACATGGCCGACATGACGGTCGCTCCGTCGGCGCCGATGCCACCAACCGAGTCGTGAAAAAAAAAAGGAAATATCGTCGACGTCGCCGCTGCCTTTTCGTCGAGAGCGCACGGTGAGCGAAGACCCCCTTGTTCCTTGTGACACGTTCACCCCGAAACACCGCCTGACTAGGCGTACCGAGACGACAAAAAGGCGTGCGGATACTCGAAAAGGTCTATCCGGTCGGACCGGCGATAAGTCGGTTGACATACTTCACAAGGCGCTTTTTTCTTTACCCCTTTTCTGTATTCGCACGTCGTTTTTTCCGTGTCGTTTCTCGCCTGCCGTAGCGCAGCGGTCGTTTCTTTTCGCGGCTTCGTGTGACGTGCGGTTCGAATCCCGAGGTCCACGCGAAACAAAAAATTAAAAAAAAAGTGTAAAACGGCTTTTGAGAAATTTTTTGTTGCCGGCGCGAATGCGCGCGCGCGCCGGACGCTTAGGCCTAGTCGGTGTCTTATTTGTTGGGGTTTTCGAGCGTTCCTGCATTTCGGATTTGAGACCGTTTGTGCTACGGGCCAGCGCGCGCGAGCTCGAGCTCTTGCGGGGGGTAAGCATCGGCAGTCCTTTTCACGCGCTCGTACCGGCGGCTCAAAAAGCGTCCGTGGCGGGAGGTAGCGCTAGATATCGATTTTACCGCGCTCGCGGCGGCTCATTCGTCGAGGATCCGTCGCTCGTTGATTGTGCAAAAGAAATCGACGAATTGCTAGTCTAAGAACCGCGGCATTTTACGCCGACAAAGCGTTATTCGCACAACCGCGAAGCTAGGCCGGTCGGTCTCGCCTTGGGGGAAAGGCGGCATTCGGGTTCGTTCACGCTGTCAAGCTACGCCCAAGCGTGCGCCCAAGGCTAGCTAGCTCGCCGCTTTTTCAGGCGTGCGCAAAACCGACAAAAACTAGAAATCGTCGGGTGTTCAATATCGCCGTAGTGGTACCCACCGTCAGTACTAAACGCTGTGTCAGCTGCGAGTCAAGTTTCCCCTTGGCGTCTGTCTGGCTTTACAGTAAAGAAGAAAAAAAATCGACGCTGCTCTATTGAATTGCAACGTTAGATTAATGACCTGTGAATGGATCGTTTCCTTTAATATTTTTTGTTCAGTACTTCTTGCGCAAGTTGGGGCTAGGCTATCGCTTGGCCCATGGGATGTTTGCCTTTGGCTGTCGTACGCGGGTTTTGGTGGGGTCAATGTTTTGATTTACATAGTCTTAACGTGGCAGTGTTGTGCCATGAGCGTTATTTTTATCTTTAGATTCGTCCGCTCGCATTCGCTTATCTCACCAGCTATCTCGAAAAAAGCGAGGTACTTTTGGCCAGAAATCATACACGCAAAGTTGTTAATACTATATGGAGGTTCGATCTAGGCGTTGTGCGAGGCTAACCAATAATTTTTCGTGTTTTCTTTTCATTTGTTTTAACGAGAATGCAAATTAGTTTGATAATTTCAGTAGATCTTTTCTGTTCCTCTTCTCGAAGGACAAATTTTCTATGTTATCAACAGATTAACAACTAGACAGCTCACGTGGTGGTTATCTAGATTCTTTCTCAAACCAACATTTGTCGGCTTTATTGTCAAAAAGTATGTCGTCGTATACTCCATCCTTCCAGTCGTCAGAACGGTGTTGAAGGGACCGACTTTTAGCCCTGTAAAGTGCTTTGTTGGAACTTGCATGAAGAAAGCAGTTTCTAAAGTTGTGCCCGTGTCTACAGCACTGCATCAAACAACCGAGATGGCGTTTGGTGCATTGCCGTGGTGTGTAAGCATTTTACGAATTTTTTTTTTCATTATATCTAAAATCGAAGCGGCCTTTGGTTAGTTGCCTCACATTTCATATGTAAGAATAAGGCATGGGACAAGCGGTTGTCCCAAAAAACCAGCGAGAGTTCCTAGTCATCACAACATACACAATTGACCTAGCGTTCGACTAGTTAGATTGGTAGCCCATGAGTTCTGTCTGGACTGTGAAACAGCACATTTCTCATATTGTCTTCGCCAAAGGTAATCTTAGCCATTTCTTCCTTGGTACCTTGCAAAGCTGGGGTAGGCCAAAGCTTTGGGGAAGCGTATTTGCAGAACACGATGCCCTGGCAGTGCAGAGTTGTGCTCCTTTTATATACAGGAACGGCAGCCGACATTTCACAAAAAGACCTTGCTTCTAAAGCTAAGGGCCACTTCCTGTAATGGCCTCGTACAGGTCTGTTACAATGTGTAGCTAGTAGCTATATCATTCTTGAGTGTATCTGTTGCTCTCATTAGTTATCACAGTTATCAGAAGCCCATCCCTTGCATAACACTATGCTAGGACCTATAAGGTATTACTAAATATATAAATACAGAAGTAAAAAGTGCAGCCATTAGTTTTACAAGTGTACCAACCCCATGCCATGCGCTGCTTGCAGCACTGCCACAATCCCCCCAAGGGCGGCGCAAAGCAAGCGCTTCGTCCATTAATGCACCTGCCACAATAAATAGAGGAGCTTTAGTTTCACATGCATTTTTCCCCCCGCAAAATTTCATGTGCAATGACATGTGCCCTCCCTTTCCCAACAGCAAGAGGACTGTGTAACATGGTGCTCACATTTTTATGAAAATTGTTGCATCTAAAACAACCTTTGCAAAATGTTTTTCTGTGTTCCTGAGGCTCCACCCAAGATTTCTAGCTTATTTCTGATCTGTGTATATTTCCTTATTTTATGCACATCATTCTTCCACCATGGGCTGGAAATAATTCTAAAAATGTTAGAATGTTATAAGTGACCATTTCTCATGGAAACAAAATTTGATCTCAACTACTGCAAAGCCTTCAGTCTAATTATACGCAGATCAGAGATGTTCCAGGCCTGCCTGGTAGATGGCACAAACATGTCACTGTGTTTTCTCCTAAGCAGTCATGAGCCATTGTAACGCAGTCAGTCACAGATGCAAGTGTCTGAACCAGCTTTGACGCGAGACCGATCATGATTGTGCAGGAAGCACTAGCCGGCACGTGACACGTCGTCGGAATGGAGCCGTCGACCAACGGCTGCAAGGATGGGCCCACACCGCTCCTGGTGCAGAACCACTCTGAATCGGTGCAACAGGTACAAAGAAGTCCCTCGCTGCATCGTAGCAACCGTTCTATTTTGCAAACAGCGGTACCCTCATCGTTTACGGTAACTGCCACACCGAATCGTCTGTCGTTTGTGTGCTGTCTACATGTGACATTTTTGTAACCGCATCTTCCTTTGGCCTGGAGCGCGTCTTCCAACTAAAGTCACTACCGGTGCTTCTGTAACTGTTGCAAAACTTTCACGAAAAGAGTAATTCTTACCCTGCACACTCGTTTGCTCAGTAACAAACCCCCAAACTTTTCGCCCCGAAGACCCCATTTGACAGATCGACACCTCGGTCTGTTATGGGGCCATTCACGTACGTGAGAAAGTTGTCGTTTCCTCAATAATCAAGGTTGTTGAATTGTTAATCCAGCTCGTCGTGTTTTTTTCCTCTATCTCTCGGCGATCGATAATTAATGTGGTCAGGCTCACAGAAGCGGATCAGAAGACGAGCCTCCGTTTCGTGGTCCCCTTAAATTCAAACTGAAAATTAGCTTCAGCAACATTCATGAAACTTTGACTGTCCGTGCTACTTGTCCCATTATCTGTAGACTTCTTATTGCCCATAGTCACTGATAGAGTAAGAGCAACAGTGCATCTCCTTCCTGCCGTTCTCGACTTGTCACCAACTATAGCAACGCTCGTGTGATATGTGGCCGGCTCGATGTTCCCAGGAAAAGAAGACTCCAGAAAAGCACTCTGCCAAGACGGCGGCAGCAGCTCCGCAGGACATCTCTGCGGCCCCGGCCACCCCGACTGTCACTTCTCAACGGACGCGGCACTCCGTCACCAACAGGTGGGCCTGCCAGTGGGAAGTAAATTGTGTAGCGCTTGCGTTTGGATGGCGGGAAATTAGCGAGCCCCAGTAGACCTCTGGTGTCTCGGCCGTAGATGAGAAGTTTGGCCAGTGCAGTGCCCCGGTTAGCCCGGGGTCTTTAAAGTTGCATCACGTGGTAGGGATACACGACTGCACGCCATTGTCTGGTATCACGTAGCTATAGCAGTAATGCCGATCACTTGCCCACTACGGGCGTGCATCACTTGCGTTTTGTTTTCCGTATGATTGTCGGTGACGCGATTGCCGCACCATTTCCACCAAACTGCGCCGGGCCACTTACACTACGTTTTGCCAAAATGTGAGAAATTTGCGCCGACGTTGTGCCAAAACTTGTTATCGCTTCATTAATACTAAAAATGTAATAAATCAGGGCCCCGTAGCGTGGCCGGTTCGTTACGGTAGGCTTGTGTAAATTTCCAAAACTTGCGATTATCGCCTTAAATGACGTCACATTTGATTTAATTTCTAGATGTATGAAACATTGGCAGTACTAGAAGTTTTGTAATATTTCTCATGCTCGTTGTTAGTTCTGACTGGATAGCTAGCATCGTTGAGTGCCTGCCACCACGTCCTGCAGTGAAGCGACAATTGTGTAGTGGGCTTAAAAATTTTGCATATCTTGCTTTGCCACTGTGCATTCGCATGGTAAGGGGAAAGCACTTCCCCAAAGCATCAGGTTCGTTACTCATGCTTTCTGAAAAAAAAAAAAAAAAATCTGCAGGTACTGTTAATAAAAGACTGCTATATTTTGACAATATCTTTTTCACATCCAAGATTCATCAAAGGTACTTAAGCATTGCAAAAAAAAAAAAAAAAAAAAAAAAACTGCTCTTAATGTTTATTTTATATGTTGACTCGTTTAGTTATTACCTTTATATAGATTCCATCGTTCAATGGCACAGTGAATACAGAAAACTAAAACTAAATTATGGCAGCTGGAGCAGTAAGTGCAAGCCTGGGAGTAACACAAACAAGTTTGGAGATTTTTTTTTAAAGAAAGGATATTTGTTGTTTACATGTTAATTTCTTGTTATGAAGTTCTGCTTATAAAATTTCATTGATATTCATAATCAAATTACAAAGGCTTTGTATTCTATCTAAATTAAGAACTGCAGTTTTATTACAACCTTGAGAACTTAAAGAAAACATCAAATAAATATATTGTAGCATTATTTCAGTGGACTATACTATTCGTTTTATGTTGGCTGATTTCATGCCTTAAAGAGCTATGCACAGCAGTTTGTACTGCTCTTCATCAATCAGCCTCTTGTAAGTGTGCCTTGTGCTTCTACGTGCCATTAAACTGCTAGCTAGGGAATCGGACCCGCCATGCTGCTGATGCCGTTAAGAGGATGCACAGAAGCAGGAAGGCAGACATAAACACATAAATCTTCACAGAATATTTGCACTGGTGTGAATAAAAATGAAATGTGTGCTCATGCTCCAAAAGTACTTTTTGCTGCTCCAAAATGAACTCTTGGTTGCTCCAAAATGACTTGAACCAGTCGTATCACTGAATTGTTTTTTGACGGTTTACAGAATGGCAGCTGGTGGCTGCTGGTCGCTGCTGTATTCTGTTCGCTGCTAAGCTGACACAGTGGCTTATCAGGGAACTGATCAGCTGCCCGCTTTTCATCACTTGACCATGCTCTCTGTGCGTAATTATGCACGAAGAGCGGGTTTATAGTGTGGAAGATTGACAATATACTGTCATCTTAGCAGAAAACAGGATATACAGCCTCTCCGTTTACTAGTCTTCCAACTCTCCCTTCGCTGCATAGGAACGGGGCCTGCAAGGTAGCGTACAAACTGCATATTAGCAGGATAGTCTACTAGACACAGTGGCATTTCACGGCGAGATTGTATGCGTTGGTGGCATTTCTGACAAAAAGTTGCAGTCCCTCCAAAAAAGTTCATGAACAAAAAAAAGTCCTTTATACATTTACTAGACTTTCGCCACAGGTCACACTGCACATCGTTCCGGTAGAAAGTGCTGCCCATCGAAAGCTGCACAGAGTACTATCGCATCTTCGTTGCACTTGACCGAATGTTCAAAGGCTGCTTCGCACACTTGCGTTCGACTACGCCCGACTGCACCACCGCTGGTTCTAAGCCTCTCCGGTCGTAAGCAGTACCGAGCGTGTGAACCAGCCTTTGTCCGGGCGATTTTTCCCAAACCGCCCCGTCCTCCACCTCCACCCTAACACGAAGCCGACTTCGGATGGCAGCAAATCACAAGCCAACAAGAGCGCACCGGTAGCGACGACTGCTGGCAACAAGACCTCCTCGGCGAAAGAGGAGGCGGCGCCTGTCAGCCGGCGAACGCCCCGCACTGGCGGTGCCGGCTCCACGCCAGGGCCTGGCCGTCCCCAGTCGAAGCCCCCCCAGAGGGAAGCCTCCAGGCGGCCCCCTCCAGCAGAGGCCCCTCCCGTCGCCCCCACGTCGTCGTCTGCGTGAGTTTCAGAATCCCCGGCACTCCCCCCCGACGCGCTGCATGGTCCCCGGTGTCCGCATCGGTTTCTGTTTGCCACTGCTGCAGTGGACTCTCTGAAATGCTTTGGCACGACTACGAAGCTTGCCGCAAGAACCTTTGGGTCCTTTTGTCTTGCATGTTTTGTACTGGAGCCACTAATTAAGCTACTCTTCAGAGCGACCTCACTTCGGCAATTTCGGTGCTTAAGATCACTGATGCCAGTTATCGTAGACAGGGCTTTATCTGAAATCACGAGGAACGCTTTTTCGTCCTCCCGAAATGTCGAAACAGCCCGCGACAGAGGAATACAATGTCGCCTGAGCTTCCCAGCACTATCTATAGCTCGGGAAGTCGTATTTTGGAATCGTAACAATTCCTCATTGCGCCCAGTCCACACGAAGCACCAAAGACTGCACCGCCCACGACATAATAGGGAGATGCTGTGGGGACACACTGAGCGTAGGTTATTCAGTGGCTCCATTATGAATGACTCTTTTGGTCACTTTGCCGCCGCCTGCTTTTTCTGCTTTGTCTGTGGTGCTTTGGAATCTTGTTTCATCTTAAAGCTTGCTATGAAACGCTTGCTTTGGTGTTTTACATACTCTGTTGGTCTGCTTGGCCTTTGTCCTATTGCTTTTCGGTAGCGATTGGATCCTCAAGACGATGACAGCTCCCACTGCTGCACGCATTTGCTTGTCCGCCTCACTGCCTTGCTCGGTTCCTACAATATTTTGGTGCCTTTTTGAAGCCTTTCCTGCTTCGAAGTTTCTGAGTGGCGATTTTGCCCAGTTCCTCGTGTCTTTAGCTCTTGCACGATTGCATATCTTGGTTTAGACTCGCGAGTTGATTACGTAATCTTTTGGGGCATGGTGCACAAATCCTTGACACCACTTGTAGTTTCTCAGCTTTGTGCTGCATTTGAGAAGCAGTTCATGGATTTCTGCATAGTTCATTGACCCCTTGGGAGGTTTGTTGACCCAGCTTAAAGTTGCTCTGCTTTGTACTACTCCTTGTTTTGCTCGACCCCTTTGGGACTGTGTAGAACATTTTATTAGTGAATTACACATTTGCTTGGTTACTTTGGCGGGGGCTCAGTAATGACTCTGTTTGTTGAGTTCACGTGCAATTCACACTACTTTGCTGTTGCGAGTTATGGTGGGGCATCTCCATTTATCTCAATGCTTTGCATCCCTGCACGAATGCTGCTACCACCTTGCATTTGTGTGTCGAGTTTTTAGTTGGGACGTTGAAAGAAAGTTGCAGACTTCTGCTCTTCTTTTTTTTTTTTTTTGTGAAGAGTCGTTTCAATGTGTTTGTACTGCTTTTTGCTCTACTGGCTTTTTGATAACTATAGATGTGAGCATGCAGCCACAAATGATAATTAGGGGGACATAAACATCACAGGTATTAACGGATGGTGCCACTGTGTGGTTCACATAGGATGCATTCCGTGCTTCAGAGGGAATGATGCCGTCTTCTAATGCTTCTGGAACAGCGTGTGTATGGATAGAGATTTGCTCAGTACCAAAGTGTTTTAGTTACCTAGGCAAAGTGTGCAGCTTCTTTGGCTGGATTATTCACAGTTGCATTCTTGTGCGTTCTTTCCGCATTCCCTAACATTTGTGGACATCTCCAAACTGTCCGAATTTAGCCTACCTGGCCAAACTTAGACACTGTGTGCACAGACGTATGAGCCGTGACCTGCTGCGCCGCCTTGTATAATTTCCTCTAAGATACCTTCTGTGCTACGTTCCATAGTTACCAGCGTCGCGCGTATCTATGAGTGTCAAATGTTGCAACCTACGTCACTGTCGTCCTTCCGCGATTTCGATATGTTGATCGGGTATGCGCGTTGCAGTGCCGCCTCCTCTGCCACCCCCGAGATGAGTCCCCGCCGTGCCCGCAAGCGGGAGTCCCCCCGCTCCCCGGTCGGTTCCGGAAGCGACTCCGGCCGTGCCAGCAAGCGCATGCGCCTGCAGTACCAGCCATTCCAGTCTCCGGGCACCCTCCCCGTGCTGGCCCTGCGCTCGAGGCCCTCGTCTGCCACCAGCACTCCGGAGGACAAGGTGGTGGTCTTCCACAAGGGGGAGTTCCTGGCGGTGCGCAACGAGACCGGTGAGCGGCGTCAGAGTTCACATAATGAATCTAGAGAGAAAAAAGGTCTGCTACTACCTTGGCATGCATTTTGGCCACCTTGGAACCGTGGGGCTCAAGGTAGACGTCCAGCGAGGCCTTCGTAAACACAAAGAAGCGGAACCAGAATATTGCTTAAAAGGTTTGTCTTTGTTGGCTGCACATGGATTGGCTTGTTTTGGCAGCGTTGCTCGATTACTGCCAAGTCCTATCGCAAGGTGACGCTGTACGGCTTTTTTTTTTCTCTATCTGCACGTCATTATCATCATTGTTACTATTTTGCTTTGTTCATTCGCCATTGCAGTCGTAGACTTGCACCTCTTATCTCAATCTCGGCTTGGTGAATTGTGTACACTGGCTGGGACGTCATTGCCCGATCTGTTCTTCCTCTGCCGCAATGTGTCGCTAAGAAGCGCAGAAAGTACTTGACCATAATGCTAGGAAAGAAGGCAGCGATTCTCAAGCTACTAGAAAGTTGTCGAATGCAAACGGAAGCGTAACCTAAAACAAGGCATGCAGGTGTAACCTGAAGGAAGGTACTGTTTACGCTTTTTTTAATTAAGCCCGCTTAGATTTAATAAAGGCAAGTTTTTTAATCTGCTGATTTTTCGAGCTGCTCTATTATTCTGACATTTTTTTTGGTCCCTGCGAAGTCAGAAAAATCGGTCGGCGACTGTGGTACATATGTTTGAGAAGTCTTGGACCTCTCCTTCCTTACTTCGAATTATTCAGAAATTTTAAAAAGAAACCATGAAATATTCTTCAAAACATTCTTGTTAATGGCTTGGATATGCGACTTTGTGTCTAAATAAATGTGCACTTCGTGCGTGTAATAATAAAAATGTTATCCGTGACCTAAAAATAATAATAAAAAGGTGTTTAGAAATTTTTGCTGTAATTTTTGCTCTATAGGACCAGTGCCTCCCATATGCATACCTGCCAAGTCTCCCGTATTACCCGGGAAACTCAAATTACTTAAACAATGGGTCTCTGCCGTTGCAACAAACGGCTGCAATGATAACGAGGCCCAGCTGCATCTTGCTAGCATGAGCAGTGCAATATAAATGAAACGAGGTTGCCTTGATGGAAGGCAACCTCTCAACTCCCCCCCCCCCCCCCTTCCCCCCAGCGTAGAAATTATCCGGATTTGTTTTCTCCGCACTTGGCAGGTATGCATATCTGTGTGTATTACATATGTTCTACATTGGCTTCCATGCTTTTGAACACAGAACGCGTTTCAGGACTGGTTTCCATACCTATATTATCACAAAATGTAACAAAAATTGGCTGCATGTTTGGCCATTCTGCCAAATGCGGTAGCTTTGTCGGGTTGAGCGGTGCTCTTAGTTCGGGTGGTGCCTTGGGCAGGGTCTCGTAAGGAGGCAGATTGCACCACACCATGGTCCCTTTGTGGTACTGCGCACGCTTCAATTCAGCACCACCCAAACACAAAGCCTTTGCTGAATTTTCTTGACCACCAAGAAAGGGGAAGCGCACTTTCCTGCCCTTTCCACTCCTTGTTTCTGTGCGCTCTTTCTACACCACCTGGTTCTGCTCCTTTCATGCCCTTTTCACCCCTCTCTGCTCCGTGCGCTTACTCACACCACCTGCTTCTCCTCCTCCCGTTTCTGCATGCTGGGTCCGTAGCTTCGTCAGCAGCACGCTCGGCTTCTATGCCGGTGACCGGAGTTTAATCCATAACACCGGTTGCAGTTTTTTTTTTTTTTTTCCAAGATTGTTTAGCGGTTACGGACTGACTGAATTGCCTATTTTGTGCTTACGCAGCTTCCGAGGTCGGTCGGCCCTATAAAGCCACCGCTTTAGAATGTAATAACAGGGCCGGCTTTCTTTTCAAATGACTGTCCCTCGGCAGGAATTGAACCACTGACTTCTTGCTCGGTGTAGTCCGATAGCCTGTCCCTTGCATTAACACTAACTGGCGTGATTATAGTTGGTACATATGCACTCACGTTGCCATAAACTTTTTGTCACCAAAACACTACTCATTCCGTATTTCCCAACTTTTTTCGTGGGATTAAGGTGAACTTTTTCTGCAAGTAAACACAGTTAAATTTCGCTCGTCTTCTTTTCCCTTTGTAGGAAGCTTCTATGTGTGCCGCACAGCGCAGAATGTGTACAAGAGCAGCAAGCGCTTCAAGATACAGTGGCTGAACAATGACAGCGAACTAGACATCTACGCACCTGACTTCTACGACAACACTGGTGGGTCCCTCTTCAGCCTCTCGGTGCCTCATCTGTGTGGCACCTTTCTTTGGTGTGGTCTGGGTTCGTCCCGGTACTTTTCGACAGGTTACCAATTGCATGAATTCCCTCACAATATTATAGAACAATCATAGAAAGGAAAGTTTATTATCACTTTGGTTCTAACGCTTTCCTAATGGAATATGAAAGTCGAGGCTGGCAAAATTTAGAGATCCGGTGTCCTACCAAAGTTTGGGTTCAGTGTAATGCGTGTCTCTTCTGATAATTCTCAACTTGATACAGTCATGTCTTAAAGGGGCCTTGCAATCATATTTAAGCGTCTACCTTTTATGCGGTTTCCACGTGTCTTGGGGTTCGGGCAAGCCAGCGGGCACAGAGAGAGTAACTAAATATCAGTGCGGCATATTTTAACCGGGCGACACGGAAACCTCCTCCACCGACGAGGGCGACCCGCGGTACCGAAAGCGCGCAAAATGTGACGTATTTGGTCCTGGGCTTACTAATGGTCAGAGCCGCTAGAAACTTCTTTTTGGTCGAAATACAAAATATAAACGGCGCCGAACCGTTTCAATTATCTATAAAACAAGTTTTTGTTCACTATTATAGATGAAAAAAAAGAAATAAATGGTTTATAAAATACGGAAACAAGAAATGACCCGTCGACATACCCGCCGCCAAGCGGTGGAAAAGGCGGCGCATACTAGGAAGGAGTAGTGGGATAAGGCGCCGACACGGAAAAATCCCGGATGTATGCAGTGGCGCTGCAGTCGTATGGACAGGAGGATCCGACCGGCTCCGAGCGTTCCGAAGGCCTTCGGCGAGAGGCTTTGTCTTGCGGTTTGGCCGTTTCGTGGTATGGCAGCGCGAAGTGGCTCCCATTCTGAACTGATCTTTACCCCGTGTTTGCTGTCGTTTGTGGGCAATGAAGTGTCATGCCGAATTAGTGTTTAATCGCGCAGCAAATGCAATGAAAGCCGCTTTGGCTGCCCGCTGCATACAGCCTATCCAGAACATGCTTTAGTGGCGCCCTCTCGCGCCGTCGATACGGAGTGCGGCGGCCATGAGCGCTCGATGAGCTCACTATCCCTCCTCTAGTTCACGGCCACTCAAGCCAGGACCTACGACGTCATGAAGGAGGTTATTTTTTGCTTGTTTTTGCAATTCAAAATTGCCTATAACTTTTAAAATAAAGCGAATTTCACGAAAAGAAAAGTTTCACTAAGTTGCTACGTTCAGTGCGCTCAGGTTCGGTGCAAACTAAAAACCAGTAAAAGGTCCTTGCAGGGCCCCTTTAATACACACTGGGCAAATAAATGCATTTTCGTCTCATTATTATGGACGACCCGCATTATCAACAATTTTATGGGTGGAACGGAGGTACCCATATTAATGAGAGATGAACGTAGCTTAAAATTTATCCTCGCTTGCTGTTGCTAAGCATTATAAAGCACGCTTTAAAGGGGAAGGAGGAATTGTTGCGTGCTACGCAGTGTGAAGCCAGGCATCTGAACCCACAAAAATGTGAAGCTATACAACTTATCCGGGTTGACCTGCAGTTATCAAAACCAAATCGTTTGTAGCCATGCTACAAGCAATTTGGTTTGCTGCTACAAACAGTTCCAGTCATGCTAAAGCATGCTGAGGCCGGTGCAACGACTACCGGCAACAACATTGCTCAGCACTCCAATCGCTCGGACAATCGCTCGGACCGCTCTCTGAATCGTGATCAACCGTTCCAGGCTGCGGTAGCCGTCGGAGCCTGCATCTGTCTAGGGCATGGTGTAAGATACATGTATGTGAGGGCACACAGCACAACGTATGCTGCGATATATTGACCAGATAAAGTCCTATTGGCGCACGCCCAAGTAGCCTCGAGGCCCGTTCACACTCTTGCGACCTCTTAGAACTGGGTGCCTTGAAACCTCATACTACGAACGAACACACTGGTGCCATCTATTGGGTAGCAGCGTAAACATGGCAATCCGGCATATTTTCTATTTCTTTTGCGCATAATCCTTTTTTTCTTGGCTCGAAAAACTTTTGTCAATGTTATAGACAAGCTTTTCTTATTATTACGCACATTTGTCCTCGGAAATCCTGCAAAACCTTCGCTCTTTTGAAATGCAGTTCCAGGGTCACCACATAGATGGCGCCAGAATGCCAGTGTGTTCCCTCGTCCTAAGAAATTTTAAGAGGTTTCGACAGGTCTCGTTTCTCTCGGTCATACTCAGTTGCAAGAGTGTGAACGGGCCTTTAACCGACAGTGTCTGTACCTCCAAGACGGCGCAATCGAGAAAAAAAAAAAAGAAACGGAACCATAAAAAGTATGTCGTCCCTATGGCACCCGGGAGTGCTCTCCCTGCTCAGAGCGTCTGCTCCGGCCGTGACAAATGCTGGCTCGAGCGCCTTGCCACAGATCTCTCCGCTGCAACGCGTTCGTAATAGTATTATTGGCGCCAATGACGCACGAAACTAGGATCAGTGATGAAGTAGCGTCTAGGCAACACGCGTAGGCGCACGTGCCACATTCTATGTGACGTGGTGCACCCAGAGAATGACTTTAAGAGCAAGCGCGTCTGCCATAGAGAAGCGTGGGAAACCGGGCCCGCGTCAGGCTGCCATTAGCCGCATGTCGAGGAGCCACCTGGTGGGGTTGCTTGCAACCAGGGCGAGGAGAGGACTTTAGCCGGCAGCTGCGACGTGAGCAGAAGCCACGCCTATCTCGCGTGTCGTTCCAGGGAGCTGCGGCTGCAAGTCGCTCATAGGGCGGACATTTCCGGGGTAACCCCTCGTTTCGTTTTGCGCAGACTTCGAGTGCGTCCTGACAAACCTGCGCATGCGGCGGGTGGACCGCGGGCGCTACCTGCTGCCCGACGAGGAGCGCAAGCGTACGCTCAATATCCTCCAGCGGGCCCTCAACGTGGAGAACGGTATGGATATTCCAGATCCTCGGCAACTAACCATGGACGGAGGTTCGTATGGGTACACTGGTCCACCCCTTCCACCGCCCCCCCCGCCCCGCTGTCGTCCGTGCGTCCGCCTCGGCCCCCCCGCCCGCCCCGGCACGTGCCTCTCTTGCATGGTTACCCCCCCCTCTCTGTTCTGCTTGCTCTGTCTAGCCTCTGCTTCGTGGTAGCCTCTTCCGACTGATCTTAGTCTCCCTTGAGCTGAGCCGGTGGTGTCTGCCTGTCGTATAGGTTGAGAGGTTAGGCGACAAAAATTGCCGGTTTCTCGCTGCGTTGTGCAGACAGACCAGGTCGAGAAGAGAGGTGCTGGACACAGACTTCGCACGTGCCCACTAATTATGACTTCGTGGTGCGACGTGGCATCAAAGTGTCGCGTGGCGTGAAGGCGTATCGCAAGACGTAATGGTGTCGTGTGCCATGACATCGCAGTGTCGCGCCGTGGTGTCTCGTGACGTCGGTGTCGTGTGATGTCGCTGCATCGTGCGGCATCACAGTGTGCGATATCGCCGAGTCGCTCGACTTGACGGTCACAATGTTGTGTGACATCGTAGTGTCATATCGACGTCATAATGTCGTGCGACATCACAGTGTCTTGCATTGACACGTGACATCATGACGTTTGGTAGAAAAAATTTTCGCTAAATTAAGTGGAGAAGTTTCGAAGTCACGACGCTACGGAAAGCGCATTCGGAGATCCGCCGTTCCGATAACAGCTGTCGCCGTGAAAGGGAAAGGAAGAGCAGCTTTGCAGTGTTAGGGGAGCGAGAGTACGTCGAGGTCCGTTCTTCCGCCGAGCTTACATTGGAGTAATCTTGGTCACATCTGGGAGCTCGCCTTTTCTCGCCATCTTACTTCCTTCAAGGTTACTACGGCCTTCGGAGAATGCTTCCTATTGGCACGCTAATACGTGGGAGAGGTGCTGCTGTCGTATTTTCTAGCCCGACTGGAGATGGGTCTTTCCGGCCGTTTCACGAGGGTGTCTTTGCCTTTGTAGGGCTAGTTTAAAGTGGCAGGGTCTTGGACAGCGCTTGTTCAGTTCACTGTGCCTCCCTTTGCCCCCTTTCTTGCCTCTCAGCAGAGCAACTCTAGCTAGCTAGTTTGTCGAAAATTTCCGTTTACGACCCAGTGTTCTCTTGGCCATAAAGGTTAGTGGTTGGCACGGTCTTGCGGACGCCACACTCGTGGCAGTGTCATGGAGGTCTTTTTGCTTTCCTTGACGCAGTTTGGGCACAATTGAAATTGTACATATCTTGCTGTGGCAATACATTCCGAGCTGCCACGTCCAGCCCCTAGTGCAGCGGTTCGATTGGTCCCATGAAAGCGATTTCAGGCAAACTCGACGCCTGTGTTGCGAGCTCCCACCGAAGTTTGGTTTTGTGGTCGCTGAGGGCAAAGGATGGATGGAGTGATGTCCAGTCTCTCTTGTGCCGTCCCTTTCTTCTCTCGTGAGGGTTTCTCCGCGTCTCTTCCTCTAGTGGGTGGACAGTGTTGCCTGTGGGAGGGAGAGGTTTTGGCAGTGGCAGGCTGTAGTCGTTTGCCTTTTATTTATTTATTTATTTTTTTCATTCAGAGTGTATGTTTTTGTGACTGGTGTGATCTTTATTCTGTATAGCGTTTTTACAGACTTCAAGTCGAGGCCTTATGCTCCGGTTCGTAAAATGGACAAAGTGGATGCCCTGTACTTGGGGGGGGGGGGTTCTTTTTAACAGCTGGATGCTTACGCCTGGGACTTTACTCAATTAGTGTTGTGGGATTACTGTGTTACTACTCTGGACATAATTTTGCTTTCTTGCCAGCCTTCAACTTCACCCATCTCAGTCGTGTAATCACCGGCTAAAGAACCGCTAGTAATGCCCCGAATAGCTAACTACCGTGTGTGCACGATTCTAATGCGCCACCGACAGTAAATTGTGGCCGATTCGACTGCACGGGTAAAATAATGAAGGTTGAACACATACCTCATAGAACAGATTTTAGCAAACAAACTCCAACACAAAAATGAATGCCGTGCACTAGACGCCATTGTCAGACCAGACGACGGTTCTTTGCTGTCCACAGAGGTGATCCCTGCTTTCGCCTAAAGCGTTTTAAGAGCCGCACTTGCGCATGTGCAAGTGTGCGGCCGTTGCCTTTGGGAAGGTCGTCTTCCAAACAACACTTTGCAAACTCGTTGGGTCGTTGGGATTGCGAGGCCACTCAGTGCTACTGCGTTGTTATCTTTTCCCGCCTGCGCGACGGCATTTCATTTAAATAAAGCCTCGTAGTGGAATTTTTGTTTCCATGTTAATACGGCGGACACGGGTCCGTAGACGCGAGAGAATGCGTGTGATGTGAATACCAAAATGGTGAATGTTAACAAACGGTCACGATGGCCATGGGTTTAGCCACCTTATACTGAACATTGCATTTTTAGGGGTGAAGCTTCTTGGGGTCTAGCCTTGTCCGGCGTCCGTACTCACATCGATTGCCATCCCATCTGTCTTCTTAAAAAAAGAAAAAATGTTTGCGCAGTCGACAGTATTCAAACCTGTACGGGGAGACCCCAATGGATTTCTAGTCCATCGCCTTAACCACTCGGCCACGACTGCGGGACGAGTAGGGGGCTCTGAGATGTGGTAGTAACTCAAGAGCTGGGGTTACCAAACACAACCCGGAACTCAGCGCTACCTATGAACAATAAAATCAATATCATCACCACCACCAGAGCTCTGTCCCAATCAACATCATTCACCACTTGGAGATGTTGTGATTTTTTCTTTTTAGTTTCGGTTTTTGGTTTCGATTGTAACGCACATGTGGTTATGGGCACCAATTTTGGCGAGAAAAAGTGTGCGTTAGAATCGTGCAAATACGGTATATTATGTGTAGATGAAAGGGGCAATTTTTGTTTTTCTTCACCCTTGTAGTGGAGTAAGTAACTAAAAGCAAACTTACTAGTAAATAACAAAATATTTTCTTGCTGAAGTGCTGAATGCAATTGAACTGGTGAAGTGATACATTGTTTTTGAGTTGAAGGAAGCCAAGGGAGGTTTCCAGCAGGTAATTTGTAATTTAGTATACTACAGGTTAATAAATTGGCACGTAACATTTCGAGTATTCGGTTCTACTAGCTTTTGAAAAGCAAATGGATGGCGATGGGGACAACTCTAGTGGGTTTTCATTAACAGCACCAATTTTATATCTTAAGAAAGGTTCACATACCGCCAGTAGAGCATTCCCATTACGCTCCGATGCCGTGGTTCGCGCAAGGAGCGTGGAGAAACGAAGTCATTTATGGCGCATGGATTTTGAGGCGTTAATTGATTACCCGCTTTACTAAGTCACGATTTCCGTTCTGTACCAAGGTGGTCGTGCCGGATTTTTTTGCTAGCCTCCGATCTGTGCGGCTGTGTCGGTCCGGGAGTCGCTCGGTTCCCCCGTGGTGCATGGCTCTGCTAGCATGGGATCTGGTGGCACCCCCTTCCTCTGCCCCTCTCCCCGCAAGACTGGCAGCCCTGCGAGACTCCCTCCCTGCCCCTTCTCTCAACCTCGGCGTGCTTGTTGGCGGATGCTCAGAGAGGGGCCGTAGTCGTCCTTCCGCACCCCTTTTCGGCGTTGTCGTAGCTGCAGTAGTGACTCGAGGCTGGTTCAGGCATTTGCGTTTCAGTGTGCTGGCACCGTCTGTTTGGTCCGGAGGTTTTGCGGTACCGTCAAGATCGGATAAAAGCACTGTCCACGAGAAATGGCTGCTTCCGACGTCAGAATTTTTTTGAGCACACGGTGAAAGAATGATGTGCGAGAACTTAACAAGAGTGCCGGTGTGCTTGGGGTGTTTTCTCGTCGCGAGCAGTCACCAAAAAATGCAACGCGGTATGGCACGCTGAAACGCAAATGTTTGGGCCAGCCTTCAGTGTGGTGGGCATTGGCCTCCGTTGCAGTCATGTAGGAGTGTTACTTCAGGACAGGCTTTGACTCCGTAACGAGAATGCTAAAGTGAAGGATGAGGAAACACGTCTTGCGCGCAAAGAAGCGTCAGGCACTTGGAAAGCAGCCTTCGATTGGTTATGCGGTACCTAGGAAGGGACAAAAGCGTGGACTTCGGCATCCTTGAAGTCTGCAAGAAACTGAAATTTTTGCAAGTGGGGAGGTCGAACGTATAGTTAGTTTCGGCCTAACTTGGCAAAAGGCAAAAGCCGTACCCCCTCGCATGCCAATCGTAGCGTCGGACCGAGGGCCGTAGTTTTCGTCTTCCGACAAGTTACGCCGAAATGTGTGTAGGAGCGGGCAAATTAAGGCCCGTTCACACTCTTGCGATCGACTTCGACCGAGAGAGACCAGACCGGTTTTTAAGCCTTTTACGACTTCTTAGGACCGGATGCGATGCAGCGGAGCTGGTCTTAAGAAGTCGCAAGAGGCTTAAAAACCGGCCTGATCTCTCTCGGTCTAACTCGGTCGCAAGAGTATGAACGGGCCTTTAGACTATATTTAAGATTCCCGGGTTTCACAGGGTCTAAGCGCTAAGCTATCAACGTGGGCATCTCCCCGTGTACATTATTTTCTCTGCCGAGCACGCCGCGTCCCCGTTTCGATAAATCTAGGGAAGGACGAAATGTTGGGAAAGTCTGGAGAGGTAACAATCGCGGACTTCTCAGTCGAGCCTGGAGGTCCGTCATCATGGACCGTGGTTGGTAGTTTGCCACACGACTTGTCTTCGGTAGTTTCTCATTTATATGTGTTACCTGCTACATTGACAAAAAGGATGAACTGGGTAGATACGTGCATCTTTGCCTTATTATTGACTGCCGACATTATAGACGATTTTTAGGGGAACAAAGGTGTCTGTAATACACGAGAGTCAACCGTATCTACGATTTTGGAGTGGGAGAGCACTTCTAGAGACGAGGAGAGCGCTGTCAGCGTTGGGCGATCTGCACGGCGCTCTTGACGCACGGCCTCCGCTCTCTCCGAACAGTGGACGTGTCCTTTGTGGGCAAGGAGGAAGAAGAGGAGTTGTCGGAGGCGTCACCCACGACCACCGAACGACGGGGGCGACGCCGGAGCAGCCAGAAGATGGAGGAAGATGATGACGAAGAAGAGGACGAGGAGGACGATTCGGACTCGGGTGAGTCAAACACGATGCCGCGTCGCCTCGCTCCTGCTGTGCGTGTGCCGCGAGCATTCGACCGGATTCGTGCTGCCGGATTGTTGAAACAAACAAATGGTCTGCGGTGTTCACGGAAAACGTCGTTCGACGTTTATATGGTGCGGGGAAGCGGCTAAAGCTTTTCTGCCGTAATGAGTCTCGAAAATATTCAAACTCGTTTGGAGTTGTTTCAACACTTCAAACGTAATGAGACCTCGCTGTCTGGTCAAAAGTGGTCGTATGCCTTCTCCTCGTCTTGGTATATTGGTGTGGCACACTTTGGAATTTGCGGGCTTTTGGTCACTAGGGCTTGAATACTATACTCTTGCAAGTTCATAGAGCAGGTGTTGGGGTTTATATTTATACATATAAAACTTGAATTTTTTTTTTTTTTTATAAGAAAAAAACATAGACGTGGCTCATTTTACTTTCCGCTATGACTACTTGTTTTCCGTAAGCCTATGTTTAATTCACATGTGGGCAACGTGTTTAGCTGTAATTTCGTACTTCCGTTTGATCGGAAGGTTGGTTGGAAACTCAGGTTATGCATTTGGGCTTAGGAATAAGAAATTAAATTGGGAAGAGTCGTTTACGAAAAAGCTAAACCATCCCATGACAGTGTGAGGCACAATATTCGCAGCTCAAGTTTGAAGTTGCAACCGTAACGTGGGCAGTTAGTGATAATTGTCATATAGGGGTGACTGGTGCCCTGTGATGGTGGGAGCACAGTGTAAGAGAAAGTGACTTGTAACGAGGCTTCATGCGCGTCCGCTTGCTGATGGGGTGTGTCGATTGCAGATGCTGGGGGTCGTCCTTCGAAGGGCAAGGGGCGCCCCTCCACGTCCAAAGTCAAGCTCAAAGGAAAGAGAGGTGAGGCAAGCGTTTGTAAGACGATTGTAAAGCGGTTATAAAGGGGCACTGACAGGTCAAAATAATTTTCTTATTATCCGAAACGACTGAAAATGGTGCCTGGACATTTCCTTCAAAATGAGAAACTTGGGAACTTGGCGTACGTAGAGTGAAAAAACAATTTTGCAAAGCCGAATTTGACGTTCCTGCACGATCCGCGCCAGTGCAGTGACGTGAAAGATTGAGTTGTCCTGCAACTCGAGTTTCTCTCGCGCCTCCGAACCGGCTTGACCCGAAGTGTCAAGTTCGCCCGCGTCCCGCAATTGACTGCTGTTCTCCGTGCGGGCCGCCTATCACTGTGAGCAGACGACGTTTTACTTTCGAGTTCTTTTAGGCCCCTTTTAGCGATCCCAAGTTCTTTGAAACTGTGCGAGGTCAAAGAGAATGCACAGTGAACTTTTGGGAGCAACATGAGGAAACTTACTTGACTTACAATCGAGAGTCTGCTTAGTCATGTAAATACGGCAATTACAAAAATTGCTCCGATCTAAATCTTACTCCCGAAGGCCACACTCGCGTTCCTTCCTGGCTTCTCTGGCCTCTTGTAATTTTGGAACACTCGCATATTTTAGACAGGAACGTGTTCATTATGGTGGGATCTGCCGCTGCAGCTGGATTCAGCCGGAGGTGAGCGTTGACACCTCCCGTTTGCAGGCCCCAAGCCGAGCCAATCCAAGTGGGGCTCGCCAGCATCCGAAAAACCCGAGCCCCTGCGCCCCAACCCCAAGGTTTCTCTCCTGGAGAAGGACCCCTTTTTTGAGACAAGGTGAGAATTCCGAGCGAACCGGCAGCCCCGTTTTGGAACCTTCCGGCGGGCTCGAGATCGACCGAGGTCGGCCACAATTCGAGAACGCTCAAGCAAGGCAGTACGGATTTACATTTCTTCGCGTGTTGAAAAAGTGCCGAAGCAGCATTTTAAGTCTTAATTTTTGTTCTTACGACAGTACGGGGCAGCCGTTCTCGAAATTTTTGGCCGTCACTGACACGCCCGTGTTACTGAAGGTAAGGGGCGAGTTAACGTGCGGAGTTACCGAAGGTAAGGGGCGAGTGCGTAATGCAAGCAGTCGGCAATCTATTAAAAGGTGCGGGAGCACAATCCTTCGCCCGCTTTCTTTCCTCCTCTCTTCGTAAATGCCACGGAAAGTTGTCCCCGAGTTTAGAGAGTTTGTGTTTAAACCAACCAAAGCAAATCTTCACTTCTTGTGGTATCGACGGGGAGACGACTGATGTCTCTTGCGCACCTGGTTTTTCAGCGGCGAGGTGGCCTCCGTGTCCACTCTCGCGGACAGTAAGCAGCTCATCCGGGCGGTTCTGCTGGGGGACCACGGCTTGCTCAAGACTCTCCTGACCGACAAGGACCGCATATGCTCCGTGAGTTCTCCACCTTCGTCGGTCGACTCCCTCATTGGGCCCAATGAAGGACTATGTGTTATGTGTAGACTGTGGACTTTCTGGCCTTCACCGGGGAACAATGATCGACAGCTTTTGTGTTATCGAGGGCTATCATATGGGTTACATCTGCTTTTTGGCGGTGTGCGAATATTTGAAACTTCAAACGGTAGTTTCAAAGGAAACACATTTTAATATAGTTGCTTCGAGATGAACTGCAATACAATTGAACCTAGATCTAACGAAATTTGCGATTTAACAATATTTTTTCGTCTCCCTATTTTGCTTCCTTTTAAGACAATGTATTTTATCTCTCGATTTAGCAAAGTACTTTTGCGTCACAGTTTCGATTTAAAGAAGTCTTTGGAAATCGCACATACACATACCAACAACCTCCACAAGAAAAAAAAAATAACAGAAACAAACCTCATTGTTGAAAACTAAGCGCAGAGATGTGCGGTCATTATCTTTTTCACAAAGCGTGTCGTCGGCGTCATCCAACGAAATCTCGCACTTCGCAACTGACAGTATCAACCACATCTTCCGCGACTGCTCGGTGATCGCGTTGCAAGTCACGGGTAGGGATTGTGCACTTTTGTGGCATACGTTGCAAGCCTGACCTCCAATTCTGAAAGGCATCCCCACCTATCCGGACTTTGGCCTGTGGAAGCCTCTTTGTTTGCCATCACAGTTAAGACCCCGCACCATCTCAGACTCCATTGGAGCACCACCCGCTCCGATGGGTCAAACTTGCATCCAGCAGCGCACTTGTTTGTTGCTTCTGGATGAAGAATGGTCATAAACGAACACCAAAAGCCTAAACTGGCCGGATTACGCATGTCAATGCAAAAACTTATTTGGCACTTCAGCATGATCTCGACACTCGATCAAATGACTTGCGTCTGTGAAAAGAAGCCACAGGGAGTGAGGCGTTAGGCTGTTCAAGCAGCCTCCAGAGAGGCTCTTACAAAAAGTGCCGCCACCCCAGGGAGTGGGGCGCGTTGTGCGCTGTTCACCTCCTTACATTCAAGCTAATTTGCGAATTGCTATCCATAATACAGTATAGACCACTAACAACGTAACCGCTTATAGTGCAGGACCGGGTATAACGCGGCTTTTTTAAGCCACCGGTTTGCCTCCCATAGAACTCGGTGTAATTACATACCGCTTAGAATGCAGGCGCGCGAAGGGAAATACCGGTTACAGTGCGGTTTCTGGAACAACCCGCCGACCGCGCCGACACTAGATAACGGCGCTAGCCGCGAGCGGCACTCGCGGGGCAAGGAGGTTGCTCGAAGAAGCGGGGAGAAGCGAAGTGGGAGGCTTCAGTTTCCATAGCAACGGAGGGACGCATGCACGTGTCGTTCACGTGCGTGCGTCCCTCCGCTGTGTTGGAAACCACCGCAACAACAGACCAATCGCAGGTCGAGGAAAAGTGTTTGCGCGCGTTGCACGCCGGTCGCGGGCCAGCTGCTTCTATCCGCAAACATGGCGTCGGTTGTGATTGTCGACGTAGACTGCGTGGTGGAAGCTTATCGTTCCGCGTAAAAGCACCATCCCATGGCATTGGACTTCCTGAGGTCATAGTCTATAAACATAGATTAAAATTAGCTTATAAATGGACAAGTGAAAGCTTGGCATAGTTAGATTAAGATTAACTTATAAATAGACAAGTGAAAGCTTGGGAACAACCTTCACGAGTTTAACTGGATTTTCATTGTGGTGCAACTGTAGTGAAAGGCTTGGAGAAACTATTCAATATTGAATTCAAAATTATTTGACTAAAGCCACTATTCTCGTTGAATTTGCCGCAATATCAGCTAGCTGCATGTGACTACCATTTTTAGTAGAGCTTGATGTATGCATAAGTAAGCTAGTCCATTTATAGCAAACTCTTGGTGTAACACACATCCACAGAACTTTAGAGTTTGTTGCAAGGAGGCTGTGCTGCCTTCTTGGGGCTGCACCCTCATCTTTATTGGTTTGATCTTTTTTATACTGTTATGTTTTGATGGTTCTATCATGACTGTAACCAAACAGGTAATGAAGACGTACGAATGTCGGTGTGCGCTTCAGGTGGGGCTTGTGCGTAGCGTGGATGTGAAGCTGAGTGCCCTGGACTATGCGGTGCTTCGTGAGGACCACCGTGCCATGCAGCTGCTCCTCGAGGCACCCATGGGATCCCTGGCTCCACCTCCGACAAACATGCTGCTTCACGAAGACAACTTGAGGTGCGTCCCTTTGTCTGTTCGAAGTAGGAGTCGCTCGACGCTTCCAATGGCTGGTGTTCGACAATGCAGCTGCTAGGCCACCTGAAACATTCGAGGCTTCCCAGAAGGTTGGCTAGGTTAGGTTAAGTTAGGTTAGGCCGACAAGTGTGCGAGGCTTCCCCCTAGGCTGTTTTTTTGGTTAGGTTAGAAAAAAATTGGTTAGGTAAGGATACATAGCTTGCCTGTGACGTCAGACCAACCTTCTTTGTGGTGGCTAGGAGCATCTTGTTAACTCAGTGGGAGCCAGCCTTTCCTAAACTATGTATGTAGGATAGGTTTGGTGAGGTGAGGACGGGACTGGACGGGAATGGAATGGAATGGAATGGTCAGGCCCGGCCCTGCCCGGCCCGGCCAGGTCAACAATACAAGTGTCTGAGACGTCCCAAGAGTTGGGTTTGGTTTGGGTACTTTAATAGCCCGAGAAATAGGCTATGTAAAACTGAAAGCAAATCGAGTAATATGGAATTAACTAACTTTCAATGTGCAATAAAAAAAAAAAATTATGGTTTCAGATTTTGTGATTTGAGAAAGGGAGGGGCGATGAACCGAAGTTGACTCTCCTTCCCAGTCATCTATGTTAGCTTATCTCCAGTCTTGGCCAACTAACGCCATTTCTGCCGAGGTCACCATTGTGTGGACTATCTTTTCGTGTTTTTAAGAAAAACGGCAAATCGTGCCAAAAATGAGGGTGGGTTATCTTTCGGGGGTGGGGCATTTCTTGGGATATTACGGTAGGTCAGGTTAGGTCGACAATACAAGTGAGGCTTCTCCGGGGGTTGGTTTGGTTTGGCTCAGGACAGGTGAGGTTTGGTTGGTTAGGTTTGTTCATTTATTGACGATACCCAGAATCAAAAACTTGCCTTTCTGATAATACATCACAACACAGACAAAAAAAGCACTTTAAACATTCTGCATTTTATACACAAAAATATTCAACAAAGAAAAGATTCACAAATCCTAAGACTGTTTCGACATCACCAAGTCTTTACAATTGTTCAAAGGCATAAACGTGTAAATTCAACGAAAAGTTATTAAAGGAGTCTTCCTTTCATGTGAGAGGCAAGAACTTGGAACATTTACCAACATAGAGCAGTTCCATTGACCTTAAAAATCAAGGCACCAAAGCTTACTATGGATACCAGGCTTTGGCACGACAGTTTGCCGTTAAGAAGTTTGTGTGAAAATGACGAATCGTAAAGATGCCTTCTTTCTCGGAGTGTGTCAGTGTCTGGTTGAGGACTTAGCAGCCTGTTTGACGGCACGCTCGTTCCGTGCTCGCTCTCAGGTGGTACCCTTCTGCGCTGGGTCCGCTCCTGAAGCCGGAAGTTGCCCAGGGTGCCAATGGAGCCCTGCTCTTGGTAAGTTTGCGGCGGTGCCGCTGTTAGCAACGTCCGGTCACACGTTGCCGCACCTCGCAGGACAGTGCCCAGTACATGGAGTCCCCGAGCATAGACAGGAAGCGTGCCGTGCTACTCGCCGTGCAACACGGCGTGTCCCAGGAAATTGTCGAGCATCTGCTCGAAGGACAGGTGAGTCGCAGTTTTCGGTTTGGTGGCTCGTGGTGTGACGGTATGTTGCCCAGAACGCGTCCCCGGTCGGCGCATTTAGCGTCTTATTCCACTTGTGTGTCGAAAGAGGACTGGAGGTGGCGACAAACTGTCACAAAAGCCGAAGTGTCGTTCCATCGGACGTCGCGATCCTGGCAACTGGGCGTAGGAGTTCCGTAAAGAAAGAAAAAAACGCGAGAGAATGCACGCTTCATCATTGTCGCAATGTGCCAACTCCTGGCTGCCGAAGCTTTCAGAGACGTGAGCTGGAGAGCAACCTGTAACACAACTGGTGTCTGCCACACCTACCACCACCGCTCCAACACCATGCTTTGTCTCGTCCATCGATGGACTAAAGCCCAATGCTACAAGTCGCCGAGTCCAATCACGAGCGTGTTAGAAACCACATCGTATATTTACCCGCTCATACGTATCTGTACGCCAAGACACGTCATGTGGAAGTGACTTCTTAGTCTGCTTATCAAGCCCTCCTGGCAGCTTTGTCAGCTAACTGCTACCGAAGGTTACTGAAGGGATTAAATACCGTCTGCAAGCGACATGGTGAAGAGAACCTGTGATCAGAACCTGAGGCCGTTAAGAAATGAAGATGAGGTTGATTGAGCGTTCGACACAGGAGGTTATGTATGGACCATGTACGTAAGGGAGATACGGGTTTGGTATGTTGTGGCTAAGTTGGATTGTTGTGGCTAAGGTGAAACGACTTTGGGTCAGTGTTACCCTCACATCCTCCAACTTCTCCGAACAGTTGACATGTTTACGAAATATGGCACGAATGTTTGTGAAACTAAACACCGTGTACCTTTATTTCACCACTATAAAATGGCGCACTGTCGCAACCGAGAATCATGTGTAAGATTAGTGCTATTTGTACTCTGTGCTTTGGAATTTCTCTCGCACTCTCTTTTGCAATGCAGGCGCAAGCTTGCCAGCCTTCGGGCCCTAGTCTATCGTAGTCCGACAAGTCCTTTTACGGTGCTTGTTCGTACCGTAATGCGGAATTGCATCCTTACTGAAGGGAACTCAGATTGTGACGCGAATGGCTAGTGTAGCATAGGATGCCACGATGGAAGAGAGCTGGCCGCCTGCCGGACACCCTTTGCTGTGAGCTTCACCACCCACATAAGGCAAATAAAATTTAAAAAATCAGTGAAAAAAATAGCGAGGCAGGAGAGAGAACTCAGAGGCAAGAGAAAAAACTGCCAACTGCAAAAGTTAAAAAAAAAAAGAAGAAAACTAAAAAATGGAAGTGGTGACGCTAGTAACGGTGTAGCGTGCCTGAAAAGCCAAGGCTAGGGTCGGCGTCTGCCGCGTTTCTCATAAAACACGATTCTGCATGCGACAGTTTGACTGCCAGAGCAAGATACAACTGCAAATTGTTTAGAATGTGTGTCTGTGTTTGCGCTTTGTATTCTAGCCTTTGATGCACTCTGACATATGGTGAAATGAAGTATAGTCTGCTTCCCAAAGCTGCTGTTTGATGGTCTTTATTATAGTTCTCATTATTTTTTAATTGGCGCATTACCATTTTTTTTATTGCAATGCCGTCGCAGGAGGAGGAGCTGAGCGACCTGGTGGCAGAGGCCCTTCGCCATGGGCACCCCAAGCTGGCTGCGGCACTCGCCAAGAGGGCGGAACGGTGCGGAAGCGCCACGGGTCTGCACCCGCTGCACCGTCAGGTGAGGTGGCCTCTTGCCGCTCGGCAAGTTCTATCATCGCCGGACGTTTACGAAGTCTTGCACATGTGCTAACTCCTTCTCAACGTCACGTCTAGACCGCCGGGGAGACGCCACTGGAGCTGGCGAAGCGCGGCGTGGAAAGAAATGTGCTTTTCAGGATAGTGGTAAAATCTATGAAAATGGCCCAACTTTTACGACGATTTACGAGCAGTAGGAAGTTTCCGCTTGGAGCCTAGCAGCCTGTATGATTTTTCATTCTTTCGAAGTGAGGGTCGGACGCACCAGGGTGCAACTGTCGAGCCACTGCATTGCCAGTTCCTGGGTGTGCCTTAGGCAACGCTTTGCAGTGTCTTTGTCTGCCCTATTGCCAACGGCGTGGCACGTAACTCAACAGGGAATGTCAAGAAGGCATATGGTAGTGTCAAGCGATTTTGATTTGTTTATATTTTAACTGGCCGCGCGTTCTACGTAGCGGCGAGATGCAGATTGTGTGACATTTCGTTGCTTTGATCCCGTTGGACGTCGGGGATGAATTGAGCAGTGTTGCGAACGGGAAGTTTGTTGGCGTTGCTCGAGCTGGTGCACGTCTTGCACCCGCCAGGTTCTGCTGGACAACAGGGAACCCCTGCCTCCGTTCCGACCGGCTGGGGTGGTCCACAAGGCCCTCGGTGTCCACGAGGTAAGTGAAATGAGACCACCGTATAATGAGTCCACCTGTTTCTTTTCAAAAAAAAATTAAATTCACTTTTTTTTTTTTTAGAAAAGTTAAAAATTAAAAGTTGACCTCTAATTGTGACTAAAGAGTTTCAATCTACATTTGTGATCAAATTTCGCGACCCTACCGAGCGCATGCAGCTATAAAGTCACAGCCGGCGTTGCCGTAGCATCGCTTTGCTTCTTGTTTTGGGGAACTTTTGGTGCACGAAAACAACCAAAACGGCAGCAATGGGCATCCCACCATGGCCGCCGATCGCACGCATCCCTTGTACATTGGGTCAGTTGCGTCTGTTGGGTTTTGCTCCGGCACCACTCGCGATGCACCCAACGGCTCAAAACTCGCCACGCTTGGCCATGCACCTTGCCTCCTCCTTTCCCGTCCATCCCCCTTCCTCTTGTGAATGGGCAGCAAAACAAAATACGGAGGCTAGTTTCGCTTCTTACTGCTTGCGTCTTTGTATTTGGGCTTTCGTTGCTTTGCACGTCTCCACCTTCTTTCATTTCTTGTTGTCGCGTTTCTGCAACATTGTCAGTGAGGTGTTGTTGTGAGTCTGTGAAGATGTCGACGAAGTTGATGGAAGCGTCCGACGACGATGACATGTCCGGAAGCCCTGCCGATGCAGACTTTGGCATCGCTCTGCGATTTAGCTGAGAGCGCTGTAAATAAAGGTTTATTTGCTTACTTTGCCGCAACTTTCCTCTGTTATTTAAAAGAAAGAAGAAAAAAAAAGTTCAATCTTTATCTTAATTTTTTTTCTTATGTTCTTGACGAGTTTAAAATGAAGGCATCGACCTATATTTGTGGTCGACTTGTATTTGAGTAAATACGCTAGTATAAGTTAAGATCTATTTGTGGCTACTCTTTGTTGTATGACAGGAGACGTATGCAGGTAGTAATTGCTTTCATTTTGAAATCCGGGATGTTCAAAGAGTCGTTGCTGATGCTGCCTCATGCATCTGGGGGACCAGGTCTCGCCAGTGCACTGTGCAGCGGTGAATGCTGAGCACGGCTACCTGTCGGAGCTGCTCGGTGCACTGCCCTGTGTAGAGGTGCAGGACGCCCAGGGTTGGCGGCCACTCCACTATGCGGCCGTGTCTCCCGGGACGGCAACGCTGGAGCTCCTGCTGGCCAGGTAAAGCACCCCGACATCGTGCACCACATCTTGATAAGTAGGGTTCCGTATCTTCGGGATTTATTTTTCTCCCAATTGGGGGTGTTCTTTGAGGGCTTGTCTTCTCTCGTAGGTTTGTCTTTCGTTGTTGGACAGATAATTTGTGTTTGTTGGAACTTTTGTTGCAAAAAGCAGAGCTTGGTTAGGCTTGGAAAACAGGTTTACATACTCGAGGTTCGCATACTCGAGGTTCGCATACTCGAGGTTTGCATACTCAAGGTTTGCATACTCAAGGTTTGCATACTCAAGGTTTGCATACTCAAGGTTTGCATACTCAAGGTTTGCATACGCTAGGTTTGCATACCCGAGGTTTGCATCCACCAAATTTGCATACCCGGTGCCTGCATACCCGGGGCCTGCATACCCGGGGCCTGCATACCCGGGGCCTGCATACCCGGGGCCTGCATACCCGGGGCCTGCATACCCGGTGCCTGCATACCCGGGGCCTGCATACCCGGGGCCTGCATACCCGGGGCCTGCATACCCGGGGCCTGCATACCCGGGGCCTGCATACCCGGGGCCTGCATACCCGGGGCCTGCATACCCGGGGCCTGCATACCCGGGGCCTGCATAACCGGGGCCTGCATAACCGGGGCCTGCATAACCGGGGCCTGCATAACCGGGGCCTGCATAACCGGGGCCTGCATAACCGGGGCCTGCATAACCGGGGCCTGCATAACCGGGGCCTGCATACCCGGGGCCTGCATACCCGGGGCCTGCATACCCGGGGCCTGCATACCCGGGGCCTGCATACCCGGGGCCTGCATACCCGGGGCCTGCATACCCGGGGCCTGCATACCCGGGGCCTGCATAACCGGGGCCTGCATAACCGGGGCCTGCATAACCGGGGCCTGCATAACCGGGGCCTGCATAACCGGGGCCTGCATACCCGGGGCCTGCATAGCCTGCGCTTGCATACCTGAGGTTTGCCTAGCCTAGGTTTGCTTAGCTGAAGTTTGCCTAGCCTGTCGGGAGTTCGCCTATTGGGAGTTCATCTATCAAGGGCTCGCATAACGAGGGTTCGGCCTAAACAGATTAATACGTCTCTGCATCTTCTTTCTTTCTTTATTAAATGGAGGGTTTTGTGGAGATGTTGGCACTGTCTATTCAGTGCCGGCTACTCCACCTGCATCAATTACCCGCTTCATAAGGTGCCGTGTATTGAAAGCACGGTAACAAAAAGTTTCCTCCGTCTTTCTCTCCTGCCTCAGGGGTGCCTCCCTCCACCCGGTGGACTGCCTGGGGGACACCCCGCTGCACAAGGCTGCCATGGCGGGCCGGGCTCGCAACCTCGAGGTCCTTCTCCGCTCCGCCGCAGGTGGGTCAGACATGGGCACACTCGCGTTCTCGCATGGTCGAGGCTGCCGGCGAAGAGGGTTTGGCCAGTAGATTGGGCAAAGAGAACAAGGGGAACACCTTTTCTAAGTAGGAACACGAGTTCTGGGGCTTGTGTTTAGTTAGTGAGGGCGCGATTCGCAGCCAAACTAAGGTGCCTGGAGCACAGCTCCACCTGGTGTGTTTACCGTGCCCAAAAACGCGGTCCCTCGTACGATGTGTCCGTGCCACACTCCAGCTGGGCACACGGAATGCCCGACATTGTGTCTTTGTTAGGTGGGGGGCATTGGTGGGCTGCGTCCCTGTAATTGGGAGAAGGAAGCGGAGCATTGGGGACAGTGCCGAGGTGCGCGTTCGCTCTCGCACTTGAAGCGAAGTTGTGCTCCAAGCCGTGCGAACGACGACTACGCCGCTTTACGTTTTTATTCTCTCCCGTTAAGTAATGCTACCGGCACAATTTGTCGAGGTACAGTCTTAATTGTATTATTGTGAAAGTGTCCTGTTCTGTTCGCGTTCCTTTTCCGTTTTATGCCGTTGCGGAGACTTTTTTATTCTCGCTTGATTAGGTGTCCCTCGCACCGAAAACCCGTTCTGGCCGTTAGATTTCGTCGGATTCGGATCGTCGACTTAATGGACCACTTCGGAAGAGCCTGCTGGCTGGTGTGGCTAACCGAAATTTAAGGCCCACAAGGAGCGCATGCTTTTGGCCCCGCCCCCCGAACAACTGTGGGCAGCTTCTTGCCTGCACAGCTGGATGGCCCCGCACGGTTTGTTCCGCTGCGCAGTTGGAGCCAGTTAGAGTTTTTCGCTTTTATTTCGAAGCCCGGTGCCCTACGCGTCACAAACCGCTATTACGCCGGGATTGAAGGACAGCAAAATAGCAACCTGGCCGAGCCCTCTACGTCGTCGAGGCCCCTCCTCAACGCCCGGCGAGCGACCTGACCCCGGTGTGTTTCAGTCTTAGGCTGGCACGACGCCGGTGCGGTGTTGGCCCAGCAACGCAACACTCAGTACCGTGCAGGCTCGGAGAAGGGGGCCCCCCGCAGCGTGGATCGCGCCAACAAGGAAGGCTGGACCGCTCTCCATCTGGCTGCCAGGCACAACCATCTGGTGGGTGGGCCACACCGGCCGCTGGGTCGCATGGCCCCGTAGATAGGTCATAGGCTTCAACGTTGTCTTCAAACTGTGTTTTGACCGAAAATCGTCAAAGAACATCCGTTGGTGTCGAGGTGCAAGGTTGTCGGTTAAAGCCGAAAAAGAACCGATGTATGTCTGCCGGTGCGGAAAAGCGAAAAACGTTGATTACTGGGGAGTCTTGCTTTTGCTAGGACTGTTTGAGTTAAAACCCTCCCCTCTTGGACTCAAACTCTGTTTTTCCCGGGATCTTCTTTGCAGGTGAGCCCCGTTTTTAGCATCCGCCCGAAATAAACCACGGAGATGCACCGACATAAAAATGAAGTAAATGCGGAAGAATGTTACTTGATTTCTCTTACAAATGAGCACCGGAGAGTCGACTTTCTTGCAGCCTGTGGTCCACTACGGGTGTCTTTGGGTTCGGTTTAGATTTCGCTCGATCCTTATCTTAAAAGGGTGCTTTGGTATTTTCTTCATAGTCCCCGATTTGCCTGAAAATTTGCTAGATACACAAACATTGCTGAAATAGTATCCCAAATATTAGGCCAACATTCTTTTTTTCTTTGCAAAGTTGTTAAAAAAAAATTACAGTTTTGGTCCTCACCTCATTGTTCATTTACAAGATTCAGTGAAAGAATAAAAACACTTGGGGACAAGGACAGACAGCATAGTTCTTTCAACTAGCAACAAACATTTACTGATGTCCCCTTCAATGCGTACATACTCTCCCTCTTATCTTCTTAAACTGAAGAAGATACATGAAAAGGCACCTGGAAAATGAAGAAAACTCCAAAATTAAGGAATAAGAAAAGATGAAAACAAGAGACGCATGAGGAAAGAAAGAAGAAAAATCATTGACAAATTCAGTTCTGGCTTCAGCTAGTTGAACTCATCCTTGGAAGACCCTAGAGAAAGAGCAGCAACGTTTTCTTTTGTCACCACCTATAAGTTTTCCTAAAGTGAAATTTATGCGAAAAAGTGAACCTCTGTCTTTAGCATGAGTGGATTGAAAATAATTTATAAAAAATAACTATGCAGCGTAAACAAATTACACTTTCTGAGAAAGCTCGCTTGATGTTGGGGGATATAAATGTGGCATTTTTTAAAATCATAATGTTTTGTTAAAATCCTGGTTTCTTTCTGGGTTTTCTGTTTTGGGGTAGTGTCTCTTTTTAAAGGCAGACATACAGCCTCAGTTTTCTTCAAGGGAGATTATCCTCTTAGCACTCCCCCTTTTTTAAGCTGCAAGAGGAGAAGTTTGGGCAAGGTAAAAAGTGGAGAGGACACAGGAAAGGAGAACGCGGGCATAAGGGGAAAGTGCGGCCGCTTTTGCTCCTCTCAGCGCCGAGGAACATGGTGGCGCCTGAGGCATCTTTATCGTCGGCAGTAGTGAAATGTGGCCGTCTATGCCAGTACACCGCAGACCAAATAAGGGAGCGGAAAAACGACATTCATGCTTTCGTTTTCACAACTCATAAGAAGTGCTTAGGTGTCCTCGGAATATTTTTTTTAGTTAGGTTTGAGAAGTAGAGATGTCGTAGTGAACTCAAAAACGGTGGAAGTTTCTAAAACCCTTCAACTTGATGCGTAGCAACTTGGTACTGCCAGAGTGGGATTTCAATAATGAGAGTAATGTTTGAAAACACCCTTTTTGGAGTTGTCGTTAGCAGATGACGGGGAAGACGCTCCGCCCACGCTTCCTCGTCGTCGCGCCATTATTGGTGGGTCGTCAGGTCTCCTCTCTTTCCTCTTTGCTTGGCGTAGCCGATGGGAGCACCCAACCGCTCTCTCCTCGAGCCATGAGGGGTGAGAAAGGTTTTTGCTAGGGGTGTGCGAATACTTGAATATACGAATTTGAATCGAATAAAAAGGTCCCCAATAATTCGATTTGCAAATCGAATTCCTAGTATTCGGTCACTCGAATATTCAATATATTCGGCCAAAGACGCGAGATTGGCGCGGAGCTGACAAACAAGCCATTTTTTTTTCCGATGTAAGTGCCGTAATGTTCGACCATGCGAGAAACACCTCTTAATCCTACCATTCCACAAAAATCTCGCACAGGTTAGAAAAAGGGAAAGTAATGAACGCCACAAACTTTATAGCACGCAGATTTACTCACGATTGTGACACAATCTACCCTTGAGTCAAAACCGAAACATCCCGTTTGCTTTCCAGAGAGGAGTTGTTGGGAAGCCGTAATTCCGCTCCATGCCCAATTCTTTTCACGAGTAAAGCCCCTCGTTTCAAATTGAATCGCAAATGTAGAACACACTTGCCGCACTCACAAAAATCGGTGACTGCACAATCACAGAAAGAAAACCACGTTAACCACACCGATGAAAATAGCCGAGCTATCGTCGTCATTCTTTTGGAACCGCAAGCCGCAAATTCCGATTCGGAACGAAGCGGAACAGAAAAATAGTGTGCCTGGATTTGAGATGGTTTCCAACAGTTCGATAGCCTCGTTTGAATTACGCACTAGGAGAAGGTGACGAAAAGACGAAAGCGTAAATCAGCATCGGGCAGGCAGGGCAGGCGTCGTCGCTCTTCTGTTTGCTCGCCTCCTTTCCACGCGACAACTCAACACGTGCACACTTACGATCAATCTGCGCTGGAGCCGTCTCCGTATTTTCAGTTTCGCTTGCTATCTTTTTTTAAATCAAGGCTCTTTAAAACAGGATAGATAGACTGAAAAATGGTAGATAAACGGAAAAATGGATGCATAGCGGCAGTTGGACGGTGACTTGTGCCACCTAACCACGTTTTTTTTTTGTTTTTTTTTCAGATTTTATTGTTTAAGCCTGTTTACTCAGGTTTAACACCTATCTGTTTATTTATGTGAAATAAAATCCTGGGTGCCCTTTTTCTTCCTTAAAATAGAGACCAAATATTGCAAAAATGCCCGTTTTCTGAGATATACATATATTTTTAAAAACGTAGTGATGTTAGGTTGTGCTTTTAACGAGAAAAAAGGCTGTAACTTTGGTTTTCTTGTGACGTTTAAGGTAGATAGTTTATGTTTGCGCCATAAAATTGGATCTTTAGTGCCCAGCGTCCGACAGCAACTGCTTTTTTTTTTTCACCAGAACTTTCTTACATTCTGGCTTTTGTTCCTTGCAAAATGCATATTCTGCATCAGGCGCATACTCTGCACATATAATAATCTCATTCACAGCTCACTTTGAAAAATTTCTACAAATAAAATCACTATTCGATATTCAATTCAATATTCGGCTTTTTTTTCTTGACTCGATTGAGTATTCGCACACCCCTAGTTTTTGCATTTCTGCCGAAACTACACACAGCAACAAACGCCAACTCCGAAATCCCTGCAGAATTGTCACCCATGAACCTATAGCTTTAAAATAATGAGACAGCGCAGGTATCTTCCACTGACCTTCAAAGCAGTTCGGTGCTGCTCAAGATCGCAAAGCTACAGAAGATTTGCCTAAGTTAATGCATTCAGTTATGCTGAAGCTTTTCTGTGAATACGGAGTGCTATAGAGCTGTCCAGTCCAAAAAGGCAACCATTTTCCGAACCTGGCATTTGAGTTCTTGTGGACAGATGCTTTTCTGTGTTCTCTCTTTTTTTATAAGCTGCCTGGATGAAGCGTCTCGTATGGGACGTTCTAAAAGTAGCCACGTATTTGACGTTGCAGGAAGCTGCCCAGGTACTGGTGCGCTACAAGGCCGACGTGAACCGGGCTCCGAATGCTCCGTGCCCCCGAACCACTCCGCTGATGCTGGCCGCCCAGCAGGGCAGCTGCGACATGGTCCAGCTCCTGGTCACCGCTGGAGCCTCTGTCGAATTTCAGGGTGAGTTCCAAAGCCAGCATGTGGCCTGCGACATACAATAGACTCTCCTAAGGGGGATACAGCCCCCAAAATTCCATTTTTTTTTTTTTTCCGAAAAAAAAGGCATTTTTAGAAAATATTATATTTGGGTTTACTCTATTCTGAAGCATAGTTTCAGAAAGTTTTGTTTATAAATGCGGCGCATTTATTTCGTAAAAAATTGTTTTCGGCAAGCTCGCGGCCGCGCGCGGCGACCCGCCGAGCGAGCAGACGGCGAAGTTTGGCATTTTCAAATTAGGCCTACTCCGCGCTCGTTTGACGCAGCCGAGAAATCTTACCCTCGTTGGAAGCGCCGTTTCTTCTGGTTTCTGCCCATAGAAGCTTGCTACGTTTGAGGCTATCCGTGGCCCGGGAGAACCCATACATACAAGCAAAAGAAATGTGGGTGCTATGATACCAGCAATCCCATTGGTTGTGACCCAAAACGGGGTTCACGATTGGCCGCCTTTGGCGACGTCGCTCCTTGTTTGCCTCATGCGCGCGCTATCGGCAGCTTTCACTTCCAGTGATGTGATTGCTGCGCCAAACTGTGCCAAACTGTGCCAAGGGGCTAACCCTGCTACATTTTGCCAAAAAATTGGTAGTCTGTGCCAAAAAAAAACAATTTCGGTCGCCTTTCAAAACCAAAACTAAACTGAGCACCGTAATTGAGCAAGCGTGTGTTATGGTGGCGCAAGCGGCCCGATAGACGTGGGTGTATGAGGACGCTCAAACGCTAGCGAGCCGGGTACCAGTCATGCTGTCATGCCGTGAAACGAAACCATGTCTTGACGCGGTGGGAGTTACTTTGCGAGCTGAAGCACTCGCTCCTGAAAGCAACGGCAGTGGGAAAACTATATTTGGTCCGTGCCTACCAGTCACCGTGGTCGCGCAACTTCGGGTGTTGCCGCCCCCATGTCGATGCAGATATGGCGCTTTCTAAAATGAAACTAAGTACCGCCGCATGTTCATCAACATTCCTGTTCTTGTTTAAATCATACGTTATGACAAAAATTCCTCTTTAACGTGCCTGCGATGTTTCTTTGGGAGTGATCGCTCTGATACAAAAGGGTTTTAATGCTGCTAATGACTTAACAATAATTTTTTTTTTTTTTTTTTCAAATTATTTTATTTAAAGGGGTGAGAGGGTTTCCAAGTATTTTCTTGTTTATTAAGATAACTCTCAAGTGTGGTAGCTGGTCTGTCACTTAATGCTGTTGTATTAGATTGTTTTCAGCTAAAGCAGGGTCTCTGAATCACGAGGTATAAGTTTTTTCTTTCAATATTGTGTGTAGTTTTATAAATATCACGGCTCAAAAGTTTTGTTTCGGGCGTCTGCGGCAAAACTAAAACTAACTGCTAGAGGGATGGCAACACTGGTCATCAGCCGTACGTCCGCAACGTGATGTCACAAGAGTGCTGCGGTGTGCGGTGCAACCAATCAAACGCAGCTCCACCGCGAGGTGACGTCACATAAGGGTGCTGTGCAGTGTTCCTTGTTACTAAAAGCTAACTTGCTTGCCGCCTACTAAAGAGCAGCTGGTCGCATCTTTAAAATCGGTTTTAGTGGTGTACCCTGCTTCAATTTGACGTAATATTTCGGTTGTGATCATATTTCGTGCCACTAAAGCGATGCCAGTCATTCGTTTTGGTTTCGTTTTTGACCAGAGTTGCCCTTAAAAGATGCACATGTAACTTGAAAATCGTACGACAATCTTACAAACAACCATAGGACGGTTGCAATTGTAGTATCACCTTATAGATGGCGCCAGCATGTCGTCATGTTCTCTCGTCATTAAGAAATCAGGAGAATCCGGTTGTAAGTGAGCGCAAATGTGTGAACGGGCCTTTACGCATTCTGCGTTAGAAGGGTGGTTCTATGACCAACGGAATGCTTTCCTTTCAGACGAGCAGGGGCGGTCGGCACTGACCCACGCGGTGCTGAACGGGCAGACGCCGGCGTGCGCCCAGCTCCTCCGGCTGGGTTCAAACCCAAACCGAGCGGACATGTGGGGCAACACCCCCGTGCATTATGCGGCCGCCTACGGCTGGCTGTCCTGCCTCAAGGTACTCCTGGAGGCCGGGGCCGCACCCCACAAGGCTAACGACGCCAAGGTACAGATTCTCTTTAAAAGCGCCCGTGCCTACAGCTTTGCTGAACTGCCCAATTTGATGCAGACGGACCCCAACTTTTACAGTAGAAATACCTCAGACACCCTTAAGGGTTCCCCTTAGCATCTTCAAGGGTTCCCCAAGCTCCCCAATTTCCTCGACCATCCCCTAAAGGAAGTTTTTTTTCAAGATTTAGCACCATCTTAGCAGATCTGAGCCGTCTATTGAAGCATAACTCCATAGTGTGTGCATCATTGTTTACAAGCTCTCTGGGCTTTTGCGCCGCTTTATTGCATCAATGCTCAGACCAGGAGAGGTTCCTTGACTTTCAGTTAAGCCGGATAGGGGTTCCTCAAGAGGAAGAAGTTCTGAAGCCCCTGGTTGGGTCGATGTCCACAGATGAACTAGGCATTCCTTTCCGTAATTGCTGCCGCATGGTACACATCAAACACTGCGCGAAGTAGGGTGCCGTGTCTCGGAGCTGTCTTCTTCGTCGTGCGACACATACTTGACTTTGGTGCGTCCTTCCGTGGTGCAGGCGACCCCCGTGCTGGTGGCCTTCCTCAAGGGCCACATGGGAGTGGTCGACTTCCTGCTGGACCAGTCCGGGGTGGACCTGAAGGTGGACGGGCAGGAGGGGGCCACGGGGCGCACCCTGGCCATGCGGGCCATGCGCACCCGCCTCACCAGCTCAGTCTACGCCCGGCTACAGTTCCTGCTCGAGCGCCAGAACTCGGACGCCACCCGGGTGGACGCAGAGGGAAACAATGCGGTGAGTGGACGGGGGGAAGGAATGTCTCACTTTATGGTCTGGTGGCACGTGGTAGGAAAGGCTACTTTTTGGCTGCTTCGTACGAAGTCAACAAAATGGAGCTCGAACCGAGCTTGTCTTGTAACTGTTCAACTTTTAACTTTTTTTTTTTTTTTTTACATTATGCGGGCATGTGTTTGAGGTGGCATGTTTTTTGTTTGCTATGCAAGTTGGGAATTATGGAGCACACACGATGCCACAGGGTCTGCGTCATCCTGTGGCATCGCTGGTCAAACTGAATGTTTGTATTCTTTGCTGCAGTACGACAGCCCAGTAAAGACTTTTTTACACATTCGCGTCGGGTGTGATCGACGGCTTTGCGAGTACTTTTAACCGCTTGCAACGAGAGGAGACGCTGGCAGACGCCGGCGCCACATGTTGGGTAGTTCTGGAACGCTTTCAACCTGTGTATAACTAGACTGGAGGTTTTGTGGTATTTGCGAGGTCAAATTTAGTCGCAGTCTACGAGAAATGGTCGCTTATAACGTCGATTATTTCGAGCCCACGATGAAAGAATGATGCATGAAATAGATGCAGGTAGAAAGGGATCCAGGATTACCCGATCAATGACGCCGATGTGTCCTCTGGTTGTAAGCAGTTACAATGCAGTCCACCACACTCGAGCTCAACTTCGTGAACCAGCCACGGCACGGACGTGTCGCGGGCTGTTGGCTAAACCCTCCAGATTGTTCTATGGTGCAGCACGATTTCACGAGTTCCAGCTTGTGTGTGAAGAACTTTTTTTTTTTTTTTTTTTTTTTTTTTTGGGGTGTTGATGCTTCATGGCTTCTAATCTTCCTTTTAGCTGCATCACCTGGCCCTTGCAGACAGCGAGTTTAGAGAGAGACTGCAACAGCAGGAACAGGTGAGTTCATCCTCCGTAGCATTGTGCCTGGGGTAGTCTTTCAAACAAGCTCTAGCAGTGTTTCTGTTTTTGTTACTTTCCATATTGCTTCATTTTCTTATATTTTCTATACTTTTGTTAAAGGTCATTTTATTGAAATAAACTCCTAAACTAGATGCCTTTTAAAAAAAATATTTGTTTGTCCTTTTTGGGAAAACATTTACCGGTATATCTAGTTAGGGGAAGCCCACATATGCATGCACGTAACATGGGCCGCACCTCTCGAATAGCATGGGCAACCACTGTAACCGTTTCTCGCCGAGCCCAAGAGATGGCGCAGCGGCCACGGGCGGAAGCGGTGACGCGCAACGAGGAAGACGGAGTCGTCGCGCGGAACGGGAGGCTTAGCAACAGGAGCGATACCGCTGATATCGCCGCGTGCGGGTACGCGAAAGAATGATGTGTTTAAGAGATTTCTTTCATGTGAGTACGACCGAGGTAACCAGCAACGAGGTACGTCGCAATCTATTTGCCTTTCAAATGACTCAGGTGCCCGAAAATAGCCCCAAAACGACTATTCCGAGTGCTAGCATCTTTTTTTAGTTATTTGGACAGTTTAGTTGGTTGTAAAATTGGGCTCAATATGAACTACCTTAATGTACTCTTTTTGGTCGCTGCTCAATAATTGGTTTCGAAGCCTCTCTCAACTGTCAAGAGGTCAAAAACCGGTTTTTAAGCCTCTCCGGTCGTAAGTCATTGCAAGGATGTCAGCCAGCCTTTATTATGGGAAGGAGATTTTTTCATAAGCATCTCAAGCCATTTTTTTATTCCTTCCCCCCCCCCACAATACAGGATCTCTGCTCCGGCGGTGCTTCCGACACTGACGGTCTGGGTGTCATCCTAGAAAAGGTGGGTAGTCCTTCAGTGAACCTGCAGTGATTCATTAGGTAAATATCACGTTGTAGCAAGTGGATCGTCTACGGGACAAGACGCTAGTGCTTCGTAGGACACCTCAGGAATCAAATCGATGCACATTTTTTCTCCGTCTTATGCAACATGAGATAAGCAGTAGAGGCGCTCCGCCTTGAGCACGAGCTTTGTTCCTTCTGTGAGACTCGGGTGCACGCACAACCAAAGCTTGACGGTGGGCATCATCACGGACTGGATCGTGCAATCTCAAACTGGGCTTCCAGGAACAAGTGTTCCCCAGATTACTCTCTGATGTTCCCCGAGCTCCCAAATTTCCGTGACTTTTCTCGCTTCTAAGTGAAATGTTTTGCTTGTTAAAGCTTAATTTTAAGACATCGGCCGTCCACCAATGCACAACTGGTGCCAAACTCTCCCTCGTCTGATGCGCTTCACGGGGGTCGCTAAATTCATATAAAAACTTTGTGTCAAGTGCCAGGACCTCCTCGCGGAAGTGTCCAGAAAATTTCGGCTCTCAATTTGAAAAACAAAGCTTCAAGAACGCCTCTAGAAATTTCCATATTGCAACTCGCTTAATAAACGAGCCGTGACGTAACTGGATCAGGATGTAGTCTTCTCAGGGCTCCCCTTTCTCAGCCCTCCTCGCCATCTATACATTACTTCCTCTCCCGCCGTCCCACCCGTTAGTGGGACGGGACTTCCGGAAAGGGCTCGACGTCGGTAAGGCGCGACGAAACGAAGTTATCTATAGAAATCTGGGCTTTTCAAATTAATTTCCTGTCAAAATCTTAGTGATTCTGGTTCAATCATGTGGCAGCATAATTGAAGGTACGTGAAAATGTGCGAGGCACGAAGACCTACGAACACTATTTTTAAGCTGGAAAGGCCCTTTAATCCCCAAACTGGGAGGGGTTTCTTGGCCATCAGTCGAGGGAGGCGGGCTTTCCTTGAGACCGAAAAGTTTGGGAGCCGTCTAGAGGCCGCAATAAATGGCCAAGGTGTTTGGTTTGTTTCGTGGTTTGAGCTGGTCTTTTTTCCACGTGGACGTGCCGGCATTGAGGAAGGCCCCCTTCTGCTCTGTTGCAGGAGCGTGCGGAGCACGAGCGCTGCCTGGAACAGGTGGCGTCCCTCCTGCTGAGCAGCGGCTGCGACCCCGCGGCCCTCAACAAGGAGCAGCAGAGCCCGCTCTCGCTCGCCCTGCACAAGGTAGGCACCCTGGACCACGTCCCGTGCGAGGCTGTACTGTTTCACGTCACTATGGACAACGGCGGAAAGCACGAGGCACGCTGACCGAGCAATGAAGTTCGGTTTGACGGGTTGTGCCGTTTTGTGCGGAATGCTCGCAACTTCGATACGGCCCGCGTCCGCAGTCGTTGGGTCCGATCTCGGAATTCAGACGTCTTGATGCCGTGCCGAACTCCGACACGGTGCTCGTGTCCGGTTGTGCGCCGCGAATGTTATTGCGTGACAGTGTAATATGCGCGTCGCTGCACTGCTTTGGAAGGTCACGTGCCACTCGCCCGGCATTGGATCGGCTCCGACGGCTTGTAGCGTCTTCTGCGGTCAGCCGTAGGGTGAAGCGGAATACGCGAGACGACTCGCCGTTTCATTCTCTCATGTGCTCGTTCGATTTTGGAGAAAAGCCCACGAAAGCGGGAAACAAAGTGAGAAACCGACCTATTTTGTTTCTCTATCTAAGTCTTCAGCCGCTATTTTTACATGTACTTTGAAGTAAGGATTTATAGCAATTTAACTGGAATAAACTCGTCTATATTTTGTTTCATACTTAGTATGCAACGTTGTCAAAGCTACTGATGCAAGCTCGTGGCTTAATCTATGGTTTCGTTTGCGCGAGAATGCCTGCAAATGATTCATGGGATCAAACTTCATGCTCGCACCAGCAGCTTTGACAGCATTGTGCACTAAGTATGAAGCGGACTATAGAAAACGGGAAATCTCCTTATCATGTTTCGAGCAATAAAATATCAGGATCAAAATGTAGGTCTGACCATTTGAAGTTTTCTTATTTACGACAAACGATGTTGGAGTAAGATGAGTTGCAAGCAGATACAGTATCGTTCACTGGCAGTTAAGGGCTAGTTTTCCCAGTATCTTGTCCACGGGCAAACAAATGTTGACACAAATCTCCGGACAGCTACCGCCATTTATGAGCGACGGCGGCGACCAGACAATTGGCTAGCCGGTTGCTTAGTTGCCACCGTCGCTCATAAATGGCAGCAACCTTTCCAGCCTTCCTACTCTCGTTTTCACCAAAGTAGAAAAGCTGAATTTCTCTAGGCGTCGTCCTTGAGCTTGTCCTAGATGTCGTCCTTGAGGTCGTCCGACAGGTTGTCCTTGAGGTCGTCCTAGAAGTCATCCTTGAGGTCGTCCTAGAAGTCATCCTTGAGGTCGTCCTAGAAGTCATCCTTGAGGTCGTCCTAGAAGTCGTCCTCGAGGTCGTCCTAGAAGTCATCCTCGAGGTCGTCCTAGAAGTCATCCTCGAGGTCGTCCTAGAAGTTGTCCTCAAGGTCGTCCTTGAAGTTGTCCCTGAGGTCGTCCTAGAAGTCATCCTTGAGGTCGTCCTAAACATTCTTGAGGTCGTCCTTGAAGTCATCCCTGAGGTCGTCGTAGAAGTCATCCTTGAGGTCGTCCTAAACGTTCTTGAGGTCGTCCTAGACGTCGTTCCTGAGGTTGTCCTAGGCGTCGTCCTAGGAGTCATCCTTGAAGTCGTCCTAGACGTCGTCCTTTAGGGGTAGTTTTTGAGGTCGTTCTAGACGTCCTCTAGGCATCGTCCTAGACGTCGTAAAGATGACGGCCTTGCTGGTCCTCCATTTTCACCTAAAATAAAAGGGCTCTAATTTCTTTTTCTTTTTTTAACATTTTTTGAGTTGCAAATTTTGCGGAAATTAGGTCTTCGGGAAAGTTGTGTAACTTACTGTAAATGTGAAGGATGACCACAGTGTAATTGCTGCTCCTAATTGCAATGACCTAACTGGGCGGCAACTCCTCTTTTGTTTTCGACAGGGCAGTCTGGTGCTCGTCGAGCGTCTGCTGGAGTCCGGCTGCCAGCCCGACCCCAAGGCTCTGGCAGGATCTCCCGGACTACTCCACCAGGTCGCCCTCCTCGCACAAGGCAGAGACGTGCTCCCCCTACTCAAAGCCCTGCTCAAGGTGAGGGGGCCCTGCTCTTGGGACACTTGGACCTCCTCCGGGGTGCTTCGCAGACGGCATTGAGACAGTTTCCTTCGCCACTGCGATAGTTCGTAAAAGTTATTGTATGCCTACTCTGGGTAACGTCTATCTTTTGCCACATGATCGTGTGATCGTGACGCTATTTCTCGTCCAGTAAACTGCACGAGGCGAGGCATGGTGCACAGGCGTAAAGAACCGTAGCGTAAAATACAACAAAGATGAAGCGACCAGAAAAGTGGTGCCATTGGTTGTAGTTCGTAATGAACTGTAGTCACGGACAGGATGAGAACAGTGTGGAGGTCCTTCGGGTAACCCGCCTCCGGTGCGAGGTTCCTTCCTTCCATAACGCTTGAGCGTCTCGTGAGCCTGGAGCGTTTGTGCGCAGCCAGAGCACGGCGAAAGGCACCAAGCGCCCGTTGTAGGGTAGGCGTTCAGAAGAATCGCCCCGTTCTTATGTTGTGGGTGACCACACGGGCAGATACCGAGGGGTGAGAGGGCATGGGGTCGCCAGAGCTTTGTGTTCGGATGCCCCCGTGTGCTCTCGTCTCCTCCTGTTCCTCAGTTTCTATCAATAAAGTTGTGAGTAGAACAGCCAACGTGGCCGGGCCAACGCCTCAGCTCCCCACCCTCCTCCACCCTCCCCAGCAGCCGCCGTGCGCAGAGGGCCAAGAATCGGAGGCCCGCTCGCCGCGGGATGTGCTGCGCCAGGCGGCCAACGGGCACGACCGGGAGGGCCTGACACCCCTTTTGGTCACCCTGCGCGCTCTGGGGCGCCACAAAGAGGACCGTGGCGAGCCCCGGGCCCGCCTCCTCGCCCTCCTCCGCTTCCTGCTGGAGGAACTCGGCGCAGACGCGGCAGCGGCGGTGCGCGGCGGCCGGGGCCCCTCGGCGCTGCATTTGGCGGCGCTGTGCCCCGGGGCAGAGGCCGTGGAGCTGCTGCTGCAGCACAAGCCGCTGCTGGAGCCTTTGGACCCGGACGGGCTGACGCCGCTGGCCAGGGCGCTGGCGCTCGGGAACTGTGCCGCTGCAAGGGCACTGGTGAGTCGCACTTACTCCCGGTGGGGGTGCCGGTGCCGGTGAAGTGTTTCAGTAGGGTCTAAGGTCTGGAGTTGGGAGCGAATGTGTTGGGAGTAGAGGGAATTTGCCAGGGAGTTGTGGGAATGGCTGAGGAGTTGAAGGAGCATGTGTTGGGGTTGAGGGAGCATGTTAGAGAGTTGTGAGGGAATAGGGTTGGAAGTTCTGGTGGAACATGATAGAGAGCTGAAAGGGAATGTGTTGGATGTTAGGAGGTTGCGAGGGAATGTTAGTGAGGCAATGTGATAGCGAGTGGCAAGGGAATGTTGTAGGGAGTGAATTGAATATCTTAAGGAGATCTACTTTTGAATTGCACAAGTGTCGTCAAACAATTACGCGGAAGTCTCACCAGATTATTGTTGTCGTCGCCAATAATTCTAAATGCTTTTGGTTGTGGTAGATGTTTAGATTTTCCTACTTGCACGATTGACTGTCATCTCTGTCTACTTTTCGTAGGTGAGTGCCGGTGCCAGCGTCAATGTGGACCTCCGCGATGGGCCTCACCTTGTGAGCCTCCTGGTATACGCTGCCATGTAAGTGACCCTTCTGTCTTTTTGTCCGTTCCTGTGAGTGTCTTTCTAGATGATGGTGGGGGTTCCAGTCGTTCTCAGTTACGTTAGGATGGGTCGGTCTTCACGGTGATTCTAAGGTCAAAGGTGCTCACCATCGTAAGCTTGTAACTACCTTAAGGGGGGGGGGGGGGGGGGGGGCTGGTCTTTAACTTTGTGTTTTTTATCTTTCATTTATCGTGCTGAAATTTAGTATACTGATGTATTTCTCAGTGGTGGTTTCAAATATGCAATTAGTTTTCAGCGGGAAAATTTTACCCTCTTAATGTTACACGTGACGTCACGTGTGATGTCACGTGAATGAATATGACGTCACGTGAAATTTGGCAGAAAAATGTCCCTTGCTAAATTTAGCGGAGAAATTGACGTCATGTGACCTCAACACCAATTCAGTTTCTCCGCTAAATTTTCCAATAAATTTAGCGGGAGAATGTTGGTAAATAAGGAGTCTTCGTAGACCGCGTTTCCCCCACCACTAAGCCCTCCGCAAGAAAGCAGCAGCTACTGCGCCTGCGCGCCGATGGCCTTGACTATAGAGTTCCGGGTATCGTAGCGGGTTACGGAGGGCTTTCCGGGACGGCGAAAACAATCTACGACAAATCCATATTTTCCCGCTAAATGGGAGGGGAGCAGGAGGGGGGGAGGGGGGGGGCATACCCTCCCCTCCTCGTCCTCAAGAGCTGCGCTCTAATTCAGTTTTACAAAGGTGAGAATCCCAAGGTCATAGCTTTATCTCTGGCAGTTGCTCCTGCTGATTGAGTTTGTGCAGGCGAGATGCATCCTTCAACAAATGGCTCGTGCTTGCAGACTTAGAGCTGTTTTACTTAACAAAAAAGCCAGTAAACAAAAAGAATAGAATGGAACAAAGAGCAAATGAACACAGATAAATATAAACTGTGTGAGTAGGTGAAAAGAGCAGCACTCCTTTTCTAGCGAAAATGGATCGACGAGATGGGATCACCATGGGTGCATGCCATCTCTAGTGCTCGAGACATGGGAACCGGGACTTGTAGCTGGTTGCCTGCAGGCCGGATCTAAGCGAGTCGCGGCCCACATGTTTGAAACCCCTGTCCTAGACGAATGCTATCGCAATTCGTAGACAACCAACAATAGTGGTTTCTGCAGTCAATTTTTTAACCCGCAGTTGTGTGATAATGCGACATAGTCAAACGCTGCCGTGCGAGTGGGCCTTCAGACTCGTACGAAACGTGGTAGATTTTTTCTATGTTCGCCGTCAACTGTTTCGTGGAACATTGTTGAAGCTAGTTGCACCAGCGCATGTGAACGAGATGGAAGGTGCGATCTTGCAGCAGTGCGGGGCTGCATCCCTGGGGAAGCTGGTGTAGTTTTTGAAAGTATGCCGAGAATAGTTGCGTGTTTTTAGTCGGTTTCAACGTGATTAAGCGGTGCCGCCGTGCCGTCTTCCAGGAACAATCTTCCCGGGGAACTGATTCAGCTTCTGCTGAAGCATCGGGCAATGCCCAAGTCAGTCCACCCTGCCACCGGCAACACTGCCCTCCACTACGTGGTGTGCCACAGAAATAATCCAGGTGGGTGTGTACTCAGCTTCTGCATTGACCAGAACTCTCCAAGCACCTAGATATCCCCCGTTGCCCTTCCCGAGCACCACACATGGTAGGCTAGAAACATCACCTCAACAAAAAGTACAGGAAAAGAAGAAACAAATTGCCCGTAACTTTTGATTTGGTTTAAGGAAGGTTTTTCCCTAACAAAATGTTTCGGGAAACCTCCCGATAACAAAATGTTTAGAGGAACCTTTTCCCTTACAAAATGTTTGAGAAAACCTTCCCTTAAACCTTTTGGTCATAGGAAGATTTTTTTTTCCAAACAAAAATGTTTAGGAAAATTTTCTCTGTTCAGGGAAACCTTTCCTTGTTTGGAGAAAGATTTCCCAAAACACTTTCGTCTAGGGGAAGATTTTCATAAATAATTCGTTTAGGAAAAGATTTTCCTAAACAAAGGTTCCTTTTTTTTTTTAGCTGTTCCTATTTTTGTTGGTTTTTCGGGAAACCAAGTGCTCTGAGCTTGTCCTTGGAAGCTCTCCTCCTCCTCTGTGACCTTTCTGAGCCGTGAACTTGGCGGCACCTTTGAACGCCATTGCATGACGACGTTCGATCGGCTTTCTAGATAGTTCAGATTGGTCGGTCCGGGTTACGCAGACCTTCTGGACACGGTGCGCGCCCTGCTAGACGCCGGCCTAGACCCCAACGGTGCCAATGCCAAGGGCCGGACGCCGCTCCACCTGGCAGCCAACGCCAACACCGGTGCCGTCGACTCTTCGACGGCCCTGGAGGAACTCTTGCTCCAGAGGGCGGCCAGGGCGGACGTGCGAGATGTGCGCGGAAGGGTGCCGCTGCACTACGCCTTCGTCAAGATACGCAGGTGCGTCGTCGGTTTTGATGTCGCTCGTGGTGCCTGGAATGCCTCTTGGACGCCTGTTCTGCTGTGGGTCACTTTCCGGCTCGTCATTGCACTTGTTGCCGCTTTGGGACCGCTTTTGATGCCGGGTGGAACAGGACTCTAAATGCACCAGTCGGAGACGCGTTCTGGGTACTTCAGTATTATCGTAAATAGCTTGATTTTGGCGGCAGCCCGATTTCTGCAAGTTTTAAGGCGAAAGCCTTGTCTCATTTTGCGAAAAAGCCACGTCTTTGTGCCTGAAAGATGGCCATAAAAATGTGTCCTCAAGCATGCACTCTTCAATTGTATGCTCAAGGACACCGTTGTCCTTGGCGGTGTCCTTGAGGTCGTCTAAGCATTGTTCTCGACTTCGTCCTAGCGTCGTCCTTGAGGTCGTCTTAGATGATGTTCTCTAGGCGTCGTTCTCGACGTCATCCTTAAGGTCGTCCTAGTAGTTGTCAGGGACATCGTCCTAGATGTCGTCCTCGATGTCGTCCTAGAGGTCGTCCTGACTTGGCGTCAGTCTCTAGAACGTTCTCCTCAACTTAAATATGTGTAGAAACATTACTTAAAAACATTTCACCTGCGGGACTATAATGCTTTTGCCCTCCTACCAGTAAGCAGTCTTAAGTATCCTCTGGTACTTTTTATTTATTTCAACTTCAAAATTATTGGGTAGAATAGATCCCGCATACGTATATCTCTGTGCTAACAGGTAGGTGGCGTGCCGCTCCGAGTCGCGAAATTCTGTCCCCACGGAACGTTACCTAAAGCAACACTCTGCGAATTCACGAAGTATCGAGTCTGCAAAAGTAAAAATCGTTCTGCGTCTGGTTGCAGTTACTTGCGACGACTTAGGACGAGAGGGCACACTGGCACCATCTATTGCGGTATTTGCGAGATTAAATCTGTCCACGATCGATGAAACATGGTCGTTTATGACGTCGGAACTATTTCAAGCACATGATGAAAGTAGGATGCGTAAAATATATGCGCATCTGAAACAGATTGTAGTGCCTTCAGTTACATTCAAACACGATTGTGCAATCCAGCATTTGAGGTTCAATGTCGGCTCGTATGGAAGTTGCCAGACAAAACTAGATAGTTTTGGTTTGGACGGAAAGTGAATGCAAACGTAACTCCATAATCCGTTGTGGGTTAAAAATAGCGGGACGGGCTCCTCTCGCAGAAGCTTCCACTCTTCCGTCATACCTGGCGAGCAGAGAGCGTGTCGGGCTGGGGCCTGTCCACCTTTTCTTGATTCGCAGTAGACTAGTCAGTGGTTCCGGCCGGCATCACTCGACGGGGCTTTCTGTTCTAGGCACTGGGACGACTCCCCCTGCGACCCGGTGGAGCTTGCCACAGTTCTGCTGGCACACCAGCCCGCCCTGGCGGAGATGCAGGACGAGTTTGGGCAGACTCCGCTGCACTGCGCCGCCACCAGGGGTGCCTCTGTCTGTGCTCTCACCCTCTGCCAGGTTTGGGCCCTTTCTTCCTCTCTACCCCCTAAACGCGTTTCGGGGCTCGATTTTCGAGCCCAGGGTGTCACAAAATGTTGTAACAAGAATGCGGTACCAGGGCCGGTCGGCTTTACGATACGTCGCCGTTTCCCTTCCCCTGCTACTGTGGCGGAGGCAGTGGTAACTGGGAATAGGACGCAGCGTCGAGCCGGGTGGAGTCGCGGAGTCGTCGGTTCCTGCACCGTGGCAACTCCGGCATTATAGCCCCGGGAACGAGACATGCCAGAAGGAAGGGAGGGAACGAGAGTGCTGTGGCTTCCTCATCGATGGCCCACTCAGAAAGAGCATTGCAGTGCTAGAAGAAAAACGAGTGTGCATCCGATCGGCAGCAACATCGAATTCTTGGGGCTTTTAGTGCGTGCTAGGGGTAGAGCGCGTCGCTTGTGTGGCTCTGTTTGGTCACGGGATGTGACCCGAGGTTAGGGTGACCAGACATCCCGTTTTAGAGGTGCATTTCTGCCCCTATGTCATTTTTACTGCAGTAGCCCATTTTCGCACCACTGAAAATGGTATCCGTTCTCGATCTCGCAAAATGCTTGAAAAAAAACCTCCCGCCGCATGTTCCCAGGATACGAACGTGGGTCCGCCGAGTGCGAGGCGGGCGCGTAACCACAGAGCTACGCCCCGGCCTTGACAATCTGCTTTTTTGGCATTTGATAAGCTCACTTACCCATGGGTCTCGTGTAACGCCCGCTAGATGGCCACAGTTGCTGCGACGTCGGAATGGGAAATTTTATTATTCTTAATTAATTCCAAATTTAATTCTTAAAATTAGTGGCTTCGGCTAGGTGGCACAAGCTGCCACCCGAATGAAAGGGTTCGACCGTATGCATCCATCCGATACTACTGCTCTCGATTACTGCGTATAAACACGGTTTACTTTCATTCTTGTTACTTTCGTCCTCCGCCTGGTGGTTCCAACATTCATCCCCTGCAAATTTTACACAGCGGAGCTGTTAAGGGCTAGGTTCCCCAGGATCGTGTCCAGTACCAAAATCTTGTCGCCACAAACCTCCACAAACCTCTGTACAGCTACCGCCATCTATTAGCGACGGCAGCAAGCACATAACCAGCCTGGTTGCCGCCGTTGCTCGTAGATGGCGGCAACCTTTCCAGCTATCATGGAAGAATGGATAGTTGGGCGCGTTGGTGGGAATTCATCTTAGGTATCATTGCGAAGAACAGATGAAAACTAAGAAGAAACACGGGGTGAGCGCAGCGCTCGTCACGTGTGTTTCTTCGTCCTCGTCTGTTTTGCGCGCTGTTTCCTACGCTCTTACCAGTTTCGATTTAGACTCAGGATGGGCCGTGCACGTTCCCTTTCGAGGAAAGAAGACTGGGTGCAAAAAGAGCGGCGATGTATGCAGCAGTGCGAATGGGACCACAACCGACTTGAAGCCGCTGTCGCCTTGATTTCCACTGCGTCCATCGCTTCAGACTCCCTTGCGAAAAAAGAGTACATTGCTCGCCTGGAAAGCCGCCGCCAAGAACAGAACCAGCGATGTTAACAGCCCCGGCGCGCTACGGAGGCCAGGCGCAAGCGCGAGGCCGGGCGACGACAGCACTCCACGCCGGCTGAACAGTTCCCGGGTGCGACGGCGAGGTTCCGGAGGGAGCTCGTGGGGAACCCGTTTGGCGTCACGTGCACCGTGTGCGACCGACTCTGGTTGCTCTGGTTCACCGGAGACTTATCCACGATCGGCGGCTTGTCGGACAAAAAGGATCTGGAAACGGACACGTGCGCGTTGCGGCAGCGTATCGAGTTGGCAGACGTCTACAAAGAACCGGCGTGCAGAACGTGCCGAGAACCCCTGCTCAAAGGCGCGGTGCCCCGGTTCTCAACCATGAATGCCTGCAAGTACCCACCTGTACCGGAGCGCCTACCGAGGTTGAACGTGGTGGAGGAACAACTAGTGGCGCCTCAACTCCCGTTCATGAGCCTTCGGCGGTTGACGTGGTATAACAAAGACATTCGGGGACAATACGGTTCTCGCATAACCAATTACCCAATCACACCTTAATCCTTACATTTATAAATATTTAATTTCTACCATAGTACAGCTTCGCTGGTTTTCCTTCACGAGAGTGGAAAGGCTGAAAGTTTTTATTTTCTTCTCGTGGCCGGGTGTGTTTAATCTCTAAAAACTAGCCCCGTAAGCCATCCAACAAAGAGAGTGTTTATCATTGAAAAAGGTGGAGAATTGAAAATTCTAATATGCGTGCTCTTTTCATGCAGAAGATGAAGTCAGTGGAGGTGAAGGACAAGAATGGCAATACTCCGTTGGGCCTGGCAGTCTTGCATGGCCACGCTGGGTAAGTGGCGCCACCCTTGATGCTTTGAGGAAGTTTGACGAATCGGCTTTTCGGAGCGTGTTTGTGCACCACAGTTGGAGCACGTGACGCGAAGGCTCGCGCTGCAAAACCCGGAGGTCGTGTGTTCAAGACCCCGCTCCTGGTTTCGATTATAAAAAGCATCGTACCTGCAAGCAGTCCTGTAACTACCGCGCGATGCAAGAAATAAGAGATACCAGGTTAGCAGTCCTACTGCACTGGCTAAATATATCATCTGCAGTGTAATCTAGTGCTGCCACACTTGAGGCAGACCGAGTTTCCTAAACACACGTATGCTTGGGCAAGCCATTATTTGAGACTTCTAAATCGCTAGCTTCCCAGGGCCACGTGTGGCAGGTGACTTTAGAAGAGAAACTCAGCAACTCGAGAGGGAGTTGCACAGTCTCCTGTGTTCTGCCCCGCAGGTGCTGCGTGATGCTCCTGCAAAAGGGAGCCAACTCAACCGCTGACCTGGTGCTGTTGCCCACGCCGCCCAAAGATCCCGCGGCCTCCGACACCGCCTTCTGGCGTTGGCGCTACCTGCTTCCCAAGCCGGAGGTCACTCGACACGTTCCCATACTACAGGTACTCCTGGCTACCCCGTCTCTCGTTTGGGGCGTTGACTGAGACTCGTAACTTCGCGGCGCGTTCAGCTAATAATTCGTCAATGCGGCCAGCGAGTGTCTCAAAAAGAATCTTTGGCACATTGGAATGCAAAGAGGGCCACATCAATCGAAGGGCAGCGTACGGAAAATGCACAAGGGATGTACAACAACGAAGCAGCTAAGCGCATGCCGTCATTGGTTGAGGTCGGGGAGGGAACGAAAGCATGTGGGAGCATTTGGTGGGTAAACGGACGAAGAGGTGTGCAAGGAGCAGACGAACTTGCATGCCGTATAATCATACGAACGGAAGCTGTCTCCCTTCCGAAGCAGAGCTCCAAGGCAAAGCACCGGCTTACGAATTCCCAGATGTAGAGTTTGAATCCCTGCCGACTTGCCCGCGATTCAATGGAAGCTTATTGCGGAGGAGGCCGAGCTTTCGGTTGCACATCAAAAGATCCCCAGGTGGTCTAAATTCATCCTCGGTTTTTGCCCCGACGTGCCAGATGCCCTTTGTTGGTTTGGCAAGTAAAACCCTCAAATTTAACTTTGTCTCTGCCGAGTCGAGCTCCACTCTGGTGACTACTCATCATAAAGTGACCCCAGTGTGTACTATGTGTTTTTTTTTTGTTTTTTTTTTTTTTCAGGAGGTGGTGAGGCGTTCCTGGCAAGGCATACTGCACTTAATGCTGGACCAACTGGAGAACTTTGGCAAGAACCTGACCTTAGCCGTCGAGGTGGGTGCGCCGCTTTGATTTCGGGCCTCGAGACGGTCTTACATAAAGCCGTTGTAGCGAGATTCGTTTGCCCCCTAAGCTGGCAATATGGCGGAAGCTACATGCTCTTTAAACCAGTCATTTGGCCATATCCATGCCACACAATCACGTTCCTACCCCGTACCACACACAAAGAGCAGACTTAAGTGATGAAGGGGGGGGAGGGTCGAAGAGTCCGGTAAGAGCGTAGCTCCCACCACACTTTCAGCTTAGGGGTGAACGGAGTGTAGTTTGTGCCACACTACGTACAGCGACCGGCAGAATGAAAACGGCAGGGCGTCCTTCTCGGATGACCAGCCTCGATCACACATGATGGCCACGCTTTGGCTGTGCATGCGCTTGGCTTACGGGGCACTGAAGGGTTATCTAGGAAGCTCGCGCGTTGCAAAACGCCACCTTGTAAGCGACCGTAGTGGCCCCGTTCTGACCGAGAGTCTCGCGTGACTACCGTGTCCCCCAGGCTGCCTTGCGCACCCACTCGTATGGCCTGGCCCTGAAGTTGATTGGGAAGGTGAAGCACGGCTGGACCCTGTACAGCGACAAGCAGACGATGCTGCACCTGCTGGCCAGGGAGGCCCCCAGGGACAACTTCCAGGAGCTGCAGATCAGGGTGGGTGCCGTCTCCACTCGGGACTTGCTCCGAGCAATGTCTATACGTCGGAAATGTCGTAGATATTGCGGAGCACATTGGCAGTGCCTCGGGTTAGCCTTATGTCTCGATCAAGGCCTAGCAGTGTTGCAGCGGCGGTGGTGGATGTGACGGACGCCTCTTTTGCTGCAGGTCACTCTGCAGCTTGACAGTCCTCAAAGCTTCGGTAGCTACGAGTTTTGACGCCGCAACAACGGCGGCACTTGGGTTCGCTCATGCTTTTTTCCGGAAGTTCTACGCCTAACCACCGGGATCCCGACACTCCGGCTTTAGTGAAATCACTTGTTGCCGTTTCGGAACCGATTTCGACGCGTGGGCGGCATAGGACGCCAAACAGACCAGTCGGAGACGCGTTCCTGGCTTCGTAGTAGTTACGTAGGTGGCCAACGGGGTGCGGACCGCGTGCCGACCCGCACTCCTCTTCCGTCCCAGGTGGCGCAAGCGCTGATGGATAAGGGCGTCCCGGTGATGTCCCGAGACGAGCACGGCTGCTCGGTGCTCACGTACGCAGCCATCAACTGGAACCACACGCTGTGCGAGTTCTTCTCGGACAAGATCGGCACGGTGGCGGCTGCCTGTGCCGACCCCGACCGCTCCCTGCGCACCCCGTTCTCTGCCGTCTTCTGGAGGCTGCAGGAGGAGCGCCTTCCCGAACCCATCCAGTGAGTTGGAGCTCTGCTCGGTCCTCCCGCGCATTCCCGTTAGGCACATCGCCGCGCGTCGGAAACCCCGCACAGCGTCGGAAGGGCTGTGTGCGTGTTGGGAGCAAGGCACTGGCACGCTCTTTTTGAAAAAAAAAAAAAAAAAAAGGCTGTGTCTCCACGTGGTGAATGATGTTGATTGGGGCGAAGCTCTGGTGGTGCTGATACTGATTTTATTGTTCATAGGTAGTGCTGATGGTGCTGATTTTTTTTTTTTTTTATTGCTCAAAGTAGTGCTGAGTTCCAGGTTGCGTTTCGACTCCATTATTACTGCTTTATGGTCGGTGAAATGCAGAGAGAGTGGTTCTTCTAGCGCAGTAGTTCTCGAATGGAGGTCCGCGGACCTTTTGGGGTCCGCGAAGCCCTGCCTGATCAGTCAAGCCCGGCAATAAAAATGGTCTTTTTTCAGATTGAGAAGAAACGTTCCAATTTTCGGGTGGGTCTTCTTGTGTATATGTAAATAAGAGAAGTCTTTTTCATACTAGCCTTTAGTTATACCTATTTAATAAATCGCTATCATAATTAACCTATATATTTCCTTTCCCTTCACCACGAACGGGGTCCTCCTTTATCTCTACGATCCACAAGGGGTCTGCGAAACATCAAGGGTTGAGAACCACTGTTCTAGCGGATCAGCTTGGATCCGCTAGAAGCCGTGGGAACGCATCTCCACCGCTTAAGTCAACGGTCCATGTCAGAAAGAGAATCTGCGGTATGGAACGTGGTTATGTACGCAGTTGAGCATTTGACCGCAGCGCCCTCTCGTCTGTAAACGTTGAGCCAATGCATGCAAAGTTTAACGCGATTATATACACATTTGACCGCAGCGCCCTCTCCCGTATAGACGTTGAGCGCTACTTGCAACGTTGGAGTGTAGAGTAGTGGTTAAGACGTCTGCCTCGTAAGCAAGCGGTCCCGAGTTCGAACCCTTGTGTGGGCGTACATTTTTTTTTTTTTAAAGTGGGTCGATTTCGGAGGCAGTGTAATTGATTTGAGCACGGACGCTGGACGGATGGACAAGGCTAGACCCTAAGGAGCTTCGCCCCTAAAACAGCTACATTATCCAATCGAGAGGTCAAGTGCAGTTGAAGCTAGAAGGCTGTACAAACGTATATGCACAGACCTGGAGCATAAAGTTGCGTGCACTGACTGTGGTCGATTGGTTTGGAACTTTAGACGTTAATAGCATCTGTGCAGAAGGGCGACACACGCCGCGAGAGTGCGCTTTGGTCACTACCCGACGAACCCTTCGGCCTAAATGACGGTTGAAACTGCCCATGTAACGAGGCTACTATAGCAATTATCGCACTTGGCGGCGTTAGTGAAAGCATCATTAGTGGAATTGGATACTGTGAACTTTGAAAATGGATAATGGTTTACTGATGTAACGGGACAACAACAGCATGCTAAACTTCGAAGTCTTTCGACAGGTGGTGTGCACTGGACAGGACATGGTAGACAAGCAGTTTGAGTAGTTGCGCGTCTTACGCGAGAGCTTCGGTGGCTGGGACGTTGCTCGTCTTCGCCGTGTGTACTCGCAGCCGCGCCTCGTAGAAGTGCATATATAGATGGCTTCCCTGGTGTCTTGTCGCAGAACGATCTTACCTAGAACTCTGTGCGCCTTCTCCCCCCGCAGGGCGTGGTGCCTGTCTCTGGTGCAGGCGGGGGCCACGGCGGACCTGCTGACCTGCTACCCGCTGCGCAACCTGGAGTTTCCAGGCACCCGCTGCCTCTCGGAGGAGGAGCGGCTGCACGTGGAGGGCCCCACGGCCGCCCGCCTGTCCCCGCTCATCCTGGCCGTCTGCAAGCGCAACTACACCATCGTCAAGATGCTGCTCCGGGCCGGCGTCAACTCAAACTTCGCCGACGGCCAGCAGCGCACCGCCCTCATGTACGCCGTCAAGCTGGTGAGCACATTTCGGCGTCGGTGTCAGTATCGGGTTTATTGGTGCGGAATGTTTTATCAGCCGAATTCCACGGGAAAAATAAAATTGCAAACAATCGTCACAAGGGACTGTGATGCAAAGCATCGAGTCATATGTTGTTAGGAGAGGCATGCAGTTGCATGCCTCACCACAAGATGGCGCCACGGCGCATCGTGAGGATGCCTTCCGCGGGACTCTAGAGATGGCGCACGGGATGCGGTGGCTCTGGGGGAGAGCGGGGAGAAAACGGACAGACGGAGGATGGCGAGCGGAGCGCGCGGTGCAGCGCGAGTGCTCCGGAATAAAGCAGTTCCGGTTATGAGCGTGCCTTTGTTCTGAACCCGAAAGCGGAGCTACGGAGCTAGCGTGGAAGCTTGCTGGGCCCTGACAAGTGGGGGCTCGTCCTCTGAACTCGAACTACCCTGCTAGACCAACGGCAAGTCCTGCGAGGCAGTTTTACGTCCTCATCTCGCCAGCACGCCGACATGAGCACGAACAACGTGGTCAGCGAACTGCTGGCCCAGACGGACGGCAGTGCCATGGACCGGGAGCGATTGTCTTCGTGTGTGCGGGACGTGCTCCTGAACACACCGTTACAACAGGACACCGATGCGCGCACGCAGGAGCCGACGCCTTGGAAGTGCGGTAACATCCAGTTGCCGAAATTCATCGGCTATGAGGACAGGCAGAGCCCGACGGACTTCCTCGACAAGTTCGAGAATTTCTGCCTGGTTACGGGCGTTCCGGACAGCAAGCGCGTCCGGCAGGTCCTCCCGGCCGCACTGGAGGGCACAGCGAAGCTTTGGTGGCGCTTTGCGGGAGGCTTCGAAGACTGGGAGACCTTCGTGAAGGAGTTCCACGCCGAGTTTGCGTCTGTCGATTACAAGCATCGGCTGAAGGAGGAACTCGACCGACGCACACAGCACCCGCAGGAAAACTTGCGCCACTTCATCCACGTCATTGCCGAATTTTACGACAGGATCGGCGAGACGGTGTCTGACGAAGAGAAGGTGAGACGTGTCAGGCGTCAGATGCACCCAAAATTTCAAGACTTGTGCGAAGGGCTTACGTTCGCGAATCTGCGCGAGTTTGCGAAGGAAGCCGGCGGCGTCATGGAGCGTGCAGGGCACCGCCTCAAGTACGTTCCGCCGCCGCCAAGAACGGACCAAGTTGCCAAGGACCTCGCTTTTGCGGAGCTGCACCCCACAGTGCCCAACCAGTGCCCTCCATCCACGCTCGCTGCCGTGAGTGCTGGGGTGGCCCCTCAGCCATGGTGGCCCCTGCATCCAGCAGCAGTGCAGTCATCCTACTGCAAGGACCAGATGTGGGTTCCAACCACAATGCCCTGCCAGCCAGCACCGCAACTGCCACCACAGTGGGCAGTGCAGCAGCCCCAAACATTGGCTACCTCATTTCAACCCATGCCCCAGCCAACACCACAGTGGGCAGCACTGCAGCATCCAGCCTGGGCACCACCTCTGCCACAACAGGGTCAACAGTGGCTTCAAACTGCACAGCAGGCTCCAAACCTGCAGCCTGCCTCCAACAGAGGACAACTGTGTCAACGCTGTGGGGGGGTTGGACACTCTGCCCGATACTGCGCAACTGGCAGACAACGCAACCAACAACGCTGCTACAGGTGCAACGAACGTGGACATCTGCAGGCTAACTGCCCGGGAAACGGGCGAGCGTAGAGGCTGACCCGGCCAGCATCTACGAGACTGCCTTGCAAGTTGCAGCAACAGCCGGAGGGAGGGAGCCCTTGCTCGAGCTCACCGTGGGTAACCAGGTATTCCTTGCCCTGTTGGACACTGGGTCCAGTGTTAGTTTAATGGGGGACCCAGCTGTGGTGGCTGCTCAGGCTACTGGTGCAGGACTCAAGCAGGAAACCCATTCCCTCAGGTTGGCAACAGGATGGTCAACCACAACTCAGTCCATCAGATGCCGTATCCGTTGGTCGGGTGGATGCCGCAAACAACGATTCATCCACATGCCAGGACTGTGCCGTGACATTATCTTGGGCAGAGACTTCTTGATCGCAGCGGGTCTATCAATACATGTGGCCCTCGGAGGTTGGACCTTGGGGACGGAGATTCAGGAGCTGGTCCGCTTCGGCAAATCCTCGGAAGTTCCACCTGTCGCCCTGTCCGAGGAAGTGTACTCATTGGAGGAGCTGTTTGCAGCGCCCAGAGAAGTTGAGACCTGCCCAGAGGAAGCCATGGTCAGGGGGACTCCCGGAGAAAAGGCAGAAAGCGACCGGCGGATAGTGACAGTACTCAATGACTACAAAGACACTTTCACAGTACGACCTGGACGCACCTCGCTGATCCAACACAGCATCGACACTGGTGATAGCCGACCCATCCGTTGCAAGATGCGACCAGTAAATGCAGAGAAACGAGCCATAATAGATGAATGCATCAAAGATCTTCTGGATCAGGATTTAATAGAGCCAAGCACAAGCTCCTGGGCCAGTGCCCCTGTCCTGGTGGCAAAGAAAACTGGCGGCTACCGACTTGCAGTGGATTATAGACCACTCAATGCAAAGACTGATGTCCCAGTGCATCCAATGCCCCGAACGGACTGGATCCTGGCGCAACTTGGCAAAGCAAGGTGGTTTACTAGCCTCGACCTTTCCCAAGGCTTCTTCCAAATTCCAGTGGCAACACGGGACATTCCGAAGACTGCGTTTCTGTGTCACCAGGGAACGTTCCAGTTCAAACGCATGCCATTTGGCGTAGCCGGAGGCCCAGCCACATTTCAGGCCTTAATGGACAAAGTGCTTGATGGAGTGAAACACAGGTACTGCATGGCGTTCCTAGACGATGTCTTGGTCTTTTCAGAGTCGTTTGAAGACCATGTGGTGCACTTACGAGATGTACTACACAGGATCACAGAAGCGGGACTCACCGTCAACCCCAGCAAAGTGCAGCTCTGCAAGCAGTCACTTAAATTCCTAGGCCATGTCATCTCTCCGGGTAAATGCCAGCCAGATCCAGAAAAGGTTCGAGCAGTTGAAGAGTACCCCACCCCAACATCAGTCAAACAGCTGCAGGCGTTCTTGGGACTGGTGGGATACTACCGCACATTCATCCCACGATTTTCCGACATCGCAAAACCTCTCACGACACTGCTGAAGAAGAGCACACCTTGGAGGTGGGACCAGCCACAGCAGGGAGCTTTCAAATCCCTAAAGTCTTGGCTTACAGAGGAGGCAGTGGTGGCCTTGCCCGACCTCAACCGCCCCTTCATCATTGAGACAGATGCCAGTGGCATTGGCATCGCCGCAGTCCTCCTGCAGGAGAATGAGGGACACCTCAGGCCAGTTTCCTTTATAAGCCGAACATTGACGGAAGCAGAGAGCAACTACACCGTACAGGAGTGGGAATGTCTGGCAGTTGTATGGGCGCTGGACAAGTTTCGCCCATACATAGAGTTTGCCCACTTCGAAGTACACTGCGACCATGCATCACTCTCATGGATGTTCCACACGGAGCAAACCTCCAGCAGGGTGAAGAGATGGGTGCTCCGTCTTCAAGGCTTTAAGTGCACCGTCAAGCACAGGCGGGGCAAAGCTAACATCCCTGCTGATGCCCTAAGCCGTTGCCCAGTGTCTGCTCCAGAGCCTCCTTCACCGTCTACTGCCGAAGACTGGTTTCCGATCGACGTGAGTGAACCCATTCCTTCAATTCGATTTGAGGAGGTTGCCGCCTCAGAGTCTGTGGACATATCGCTGCTGAGGGATGGCAAAGGGTTGGCTGCTGAACAAAGAAAGGATGAGCTTCTGAGAACAGTAATTGACTTCATGGAAAACAACTCTTTACCCAGTGATATTAGGGAGTCACGTAGAGTGCAAGACCTGGCAGCAGATAGCGAGATTGACGACACGGGTCTCCTGCTGTACGTGGGCCAGGGCAACAAGGTTCCGTGGCTACCCCTCCAACTGAGATCACTGGTGTTACAGGTGGAGCACGACCATCCGCTTAGTGCCCATGCAGGGTACTTTAAGACGCTCCGACGGACGGAGAGGAGATTCCACTGGCTTGGAATGAGGGCAGATGTCTCTCGTTACGTCCGTGCCTGCAAGACATGCCAGGCCTTCAAGCCACGACGACAAAAACCAAAGGGCCTAATGGATAGTTCTTGGGCTACTGGCCCCATGGAGCACTTGAGTGTAGACCTCATCGGACCACTTCCTGCCACAGCAAAACAGAACAAGTACATCTTAGTCATCCTGGACAAATTCACGAAGTTCATCGAGCTCTGTCCTCTCCGAGCACCAACATCTAGAGCCATCGTGGAGCGTATGGTAGATATCTTCTGCCGACATGGGGTGCCCCAGAGTATCTCCAGTGATAACGGCCAGCCGTTTGTAAGTGGATTATGGAAGGGAGTGCTCAAGCACTGGGGCATTGCAGAGCGCCATACGGTACCGTACAGACCAGCAGGCCAGACAGTCGAGCGGCACAATGCCACAGTCAAGCAGAGTATTGCAGCCTACTGTGACACCCACCGCGACTGGGACAGGCGCCTCCCAGAGGTGGCGTTTGCCATGAGGACGTCCGAGAGTGTGGTGACCGGTTACACGCCTGCCTTCCTCTGCTACGGCCGAGAACTTCGAACCCCGTGGGAGTTTCGCCCACAGGAGCACTCCAAGACCCAGCCCTCTACTTCCCATGTCTACAGTGCAGAGCTGAGCCAACACCTCAAAGACGCCCTCGACTTTGCGAGACACCACCAACGCAAGGCGCAGGAGACACAGCGACAACACTACAACCGGAGGCGACAACAGTGTGGGTTTGCTGTGGGCGACTTGGTTCTCCGAGACTCACACACGCTGAGCAACGCCAGTCGAGGAATCACTGCCAAACTTGCCCCTCGACGCTCTGGACCCTTTGCCATTGCGGCCCGGGTAGGAGAAAACGTGTACAGGCTGAAGGACCCTACTACGGGCCGACGGTGTGGACTGGCCAATGTCGACCAGTTGGTGCGCTATTACGACTCGTAGGTATTATGCACAGATTAAGGAGGGGGGATCTGTTAGGAGAGGCATGCAGTTGCATGCCTCACCACAAGATGGCGCCACGGCGCATCGTGAGGACGCCTTCCGCGGGACTCTAGAGATGGCGCACGGGATGCGGTGGCTCTGGGGGAGAGCGGGGAGAAAACGGACAGACGGAGGATGGCGAGCGGAGCGCGCGGTGCAGCGCGAGTGCTCCGGAATAAAGCAGTTCCGGTTATGAGCGTGCCTTTGTTCTGAACCCGAAAGCGGAGCTACGGAGCTAGCGTGGAAGCTTGCTGGGCCCTGACAATGTAAAGCATGCAAGCCCATAGGGCCCATGATTCGTCAAGTGGCGTTATGACATCACGTCACGCCGTGACCTCCTGACGTCGTCTGATGTCGCTCGCACACAGCATGTGCCCAGTTCATTTGCAACGCATTCTCCCCTTGCCGCTCATGATCCAGCTTGTGTAATTTTTATTTTGGCTCGGCAAAGCGGAGGCTTTTTTGGAGAAAAACGGAGGGCGACCTTCACCTTCAATGATTTGGCTCAAAGGAGGTATCTTCGATTAGTGTTGTGGCATGTTGGATCATCTCGGTACAAGTTAGGGTGTGTGGTAGTGCACTAATAAGAACCGTGGGGTGTTGATGAAATAGTTTCTTGGCTTTGTTGACATAGTCTCTTGGCTTTGTTCTCACGAGCATGCACCTCACCGTTTTACGTGCGTTAAATGGCAAGACTGATCAGCGTCGCCGACTGCACGTCTTTCAGCATCTTGCGAGAAGTGCGGCGCTAGTCCGCAGCGACGCCAAGACGCCTGCGTGACTTTATGCCCCAGGACCCCTGTTCTAAGTCTTTTAGAGGCTCTAGTCTGCATGTATCAGTCTGGTTGTTCGATATCTCTCGTGCCTGTTGCAGAACGACATCAAGATGGCGAAACTGCTGCTCAACGGGAGCTATGACCCGGAGAAGGACACGGACCCGTACGGGGACGTGCGGCGCAGCAACTTCAAGAAGACCAGCGCAGTGGACCTGACCCACCAGGACATCTATGGCTGGACGGCGCTGCACCATGTGGTGGCGCCACTGCCAGACTGCACCTACACCTGCCCCGCGATGCTGCACCTGCTGGCGCACGTGGGGGCGCCCCTGGATACCCCCGACCTCAACGGCGTCACCCCGCTGCATCTGGCAGCCGCCAGGGGTGTGGCCAGCCTCACCCTCGCCCTCCAGGTGGGTTGCAGTCGGCGGCCTGTTTCCAGGTGGTCTGTAATATGTGTCCAGGCAGCCTATAGTCCTATCCGTGCAGTTCGTGACCAGGCAGTCTGCAGTTTATATCTAGACAAGGAGTAGCCCTCCCCAGGCTGTGTATAGTCTGTCTTCAGGTGGTTTATAGTTTGTATCCAGGCAGTCTATAGTCCTATCCAGGCAGTTTGTATCTAGGCATTGTTCATATCCAGGCAAGGACTAGCCCATTTTTAAGCAGTGACTCTCCAATCTCTAGGCTGTGCATCTTCCATCCCTAGGTGGTTTATTGGCAATTTTCATTACGTGTTTTTTAACCTCCTTTCACGTCTTCGTCTTTAGACCACCAGGCTTTTTGAATATCTGATTCGCTCGAGAAGGCAAACGTGCCGTCACAACTTTCTGTTCTAGTTGCTAGGTGCCATCGATTTTGCTCTAGTCCGTATCTAGGGGGTCTGCAGTTCATATAGAGGACGTGACTAACCCATCTCCAGGCAGTCTGTACTCCATATCCAGGCAGTCTGTACTCCATATCTAGGCAGTTTATAATCCTATCCAGACGGTCTATAGTTCTATCCAGGCAGTCTGTATCCAGACAGTCCGCAGTCTGTATCCAGACAGTGACTAGCTAATCTCCAGTCAGTGACTAGCCCATTGTTAGGCTGTGCATAGTTCCATCTCCAGGTGGTCAATAGTCCATACCCGGGCGTCCTGTAGTTTGTATTGCGGCAGTCTGTGGTTCTCGCTCGAGCACAGTGTGTGAACCGGCTCTAGTGCTCTGGAGCTTAGTGAATGTTGATGAACACCGATTTTACCTCCGCAAACCGTGGCCGACTTCAATGTGGAGACGCCGTCTGTCCACTGCGAAGAGTTGGTGCCTGCTACAGCCGCGGCTGACGTTGCCGCGTGCACCGCCCCCTCCGCAGGCCCTACTGAAGCTTCCCCACGACCAGCTGCCCAAGGTTGCCCTGCACAGCCTGCCCCTGGCCCAGGACTCCCTGGACCCTGCCCCTGGGGTGCCCAACTTCAGGGAAGACTGCAGTGCCTTCCTGGAGGCACAGGGTGCCCCGCCCCCGAGGGAGCCCCTGCTCGACCCGGACCCCTTCGCACAGATGGAGGACAGGTGAGCGAGAGCCACTCTGTAGACCCTCCTACCGTCTGCCAGAACGAGCAGTCTCTTAGCTCCCTGGAGACTTCTGGTCGCCCCGTTTCGGCAGGCTTTCCGGGACGACGGAGCTCTACAGAGTTGTAGATTTAGGGAGGTCCTTACGTTGTGCTATTCAACGTAGAAGAGGGAATCGGTCGTCTTATGGGAGTAATAAAAAACTGAACAAATCTCTCGCTGGCCAGTCCTTTAGCAAAGCACTTGGAGAACTGGCCATATTTCACGAATGTTACAAGAGGCGGTGCTATGGTGGCGATCGTTTGTCCTCATTTGACTGGAAGTTACGTAAATCGCCCACAGCGCCTCCTTTCGGTGCTTTTAAAAAAAAAAAGGGTCTATTCACTCATGCCTTTTGCCAGGCCTTCTACGACCGACGGCCCGACACGCCAGCTCTCGCGAGGTCATTCGTCGCCGCTAGCGGGAAATCTTTCGACATGTGGTCGGTTTAGGACGCAGGACGCACTAGTCAAGGACTTTTTCCAGGCTCGTCCTCTTTTACCTTAGCCCCCCGGACTCCTCGTCTTAAATAAAGCATATACATACGTATGCGAAAGAGAAGGAAACTTTTGTTTGTTGGCTCATCGGCATTCCAAACGTCTGTCCTGCAGCGAGGTGGTACTAGACAAGGCCCAGAACGTGCCGTACGACGTCCTGCTCACCACGGTGGACCTGGGCTACGGGCAGCACGGACTGTACAGTTTCTACAAAATGCAGGTGAGGCTTTGTCTGGCCGCACGCTTCGGCCTGGATTGCGCGTTACGCATTGAGATGAGCACAGTCATGGGTGACTTGCTGCCTTTGTTATTTTAGTTGAGCAAACATTCGGAATGTCGAATATGGCTAAATGTTTGTAGTTGCCTACGAGTAATTTTCGTCTGTCTCTAAAGGGGAAATACCGTATAAAGCAGAATATAGGGCAAATACGACACGAGAGCGCGCGCTTGACCGTTGCTCGTGTCGGGCGTCGCCGGAAGCGGGTGGGGGGCCGCTTCTGCTCTTCTCGGCGCCGAGGAACATGGCGGCGCCTGAGGCATCTATATCGTCGGCAGTCGCAACCTCGGCAGTTGCGAAACGTGGCCGTCCGTGCCGGTACACCGCAGACGAACTAAGGGAACGGAAGAACGACATTCATGTTTTCGCATTCACAACTCGTACGATGGGTGTCCTCGGAATTTTTTCAAGCAGTTGGCAGTATCGCGGACGGAGGTGTACATCAACCACATCAACAACTACAACTATGTCACATCGACTTCAACTATTACAACGACAACAGGCGTCATTTCCAGTGGTGGGAAAACCAATAACAGCTTTCAGCGTAAAGAAAGGAAGACAAAAGAGGCAAGACAGAGGACCTTAACAGACTCTTCGAGAGTACGTCGTCAGCTGCGAGAGCTTCAAAAACGAGGAAAGAAAAAAAAAATATACAAAAGAAGTGGCTAGGCTAGACACTGCGTTGCATGCCTGAAAGGCTAACACTAAAGTTGGCTTCTGCTGCATTTGTCACAAAACCAAAATTCTGCATATGGCAATTGGTTCGGTGCATCAAAATACAACTGCCTTTATTTTAGAGCGCAGCTCTTAGGCGCCTGTTTTCGGCTTGAGCGGCGTAACCGTAAGGTCACGTGACCCCCCCCCCCCCCCCCCCTCCAGGTCACGTGACCCCTCAGTACCGTTCCCCTCAGTACCCTTCCCTCCTCCTCCTCAACAGCTGCACTCCAATTCGGCGTTACAGGGTGTTGAAAATGGCTTTCATTTTTTAATTGCTTTTCTTTTTGTTTTTTGCAGTTGCTTCAGAGGTCTGAGCTGGTGGTGCTTTTCTCCCGCTGGGGCCGCGTGGGTGACTCCGGCCAGTGGCGCAAGTCTGCCTACGCCTCCCTCACCGAGGCGGCGAGGGAGTTTGCTCGCCTCTTCCGGATGAAGACCGGCAACTCCTGGGAAGACCTGCACAAGTGAGGCTCTCTCGTCTGCTCTTGTGCCCCTCGTCCTCCCTCGGCTCTTGGCCGAAAGACGGGTGGCAGTCGGAAAAGCCTTCCCTTTAATTCAGTCTCCATTCAAACACGAAAGGCTTTTTGAATGCCACACCCTAATCCCAGAAAGTAGTATGTCCGTCCGGGCGTTTACCCGCCAACTTTCGCTGGGAAATTCGTGCCACGTGACCTCGTAGTACCACGTGACCACAACTTAATGCAGTGATGTCACGTGAGCTGGCGTCAAGTTCCCCGCTAAATTGAAAGGGAAATTGCTGTAGGGACACGTAATGTTATGCGACTATTTTAATTGACTAAGAAAAACACGTGATCACGTGATGTAACAATGTTACGGTGTGTCACGTGACAACCGTCGCATTGGCGACAATATCTTGCGAACGTCGCGACATCATCGTGGTGTTCATATAGTAACGTCGTGGCAAATGTTTTGAAATGCTGAGGACGTCGCGCAAACACCGTGACGTAACCACCAAGGCTAAAGGAAAGTGCCTAGAGCTGGCCCCTAAATGCTATGTATTTAAGAAAACGCACCTGCCAGTCCCTTTAGCACTTTAGGCCACGTCTTTATCTCGTCCTTTTCTTCGCTTGACCTCGTTCTACGGGTGTTGTTGCGGCAAAACATGACCCTGGGCCCTCTTTCCTTTACAGCTTCAAGGCCCAGCCACGGAAGTACCGCCCCGTTCAGCTGGAGAAGCGACGGAGTCCCCCACCGAGGGAGCTCCCCATGAACCTGTCCGGCCCCTGCCCATCCAGGCTGCCACCCCCCTTGCAGCGGCTGCTCCGAAACCTGGTGAGACATCGGAGCGACACTTTCTTATTCGGCAGTGTTAAGGCTGTTCTACACATTTACGTACGGGACCGCTTGCAGCTGCTTACAAGCGGCCTCGTGAGCAGTCGTAAACATCGCAAACTCTCGCGAAGGCTTCTGACGAGAGGATAGATGTAGTGACCAACAACACTTCCGGCGTCATTTTTAAATTTTACAACGATAGTTGTTACGGGCTCTTGCCACCCCTGAAAATGACATCCGTTGTTGATGTTGTCATTGTTGTCGAGGTTGTAGTTGGCATAGTAGGGTGCCCAACATTGATGTTGCTAAATTCTTTTTAAAAAAAAATTGCCTTTTGCCCGCTGGAATTTTCACGTGAATGGACTGCTGCACAGAGCTCGTGGGTAGAGAGAGCGCAGCGATTGGGGAAGAGGGTGCATTTCGACGCAAGGTCCAAGAGCACGTTGCCCGGTTCCTTCAGGCGGAGCCCGAGCTACTGGCCCGCGCCCCGCTGTCCCTGGGTTCGGAGGGCCAGGTGGCCCTGGAGCTGCTGAGCCAGGAGTCCCTGAACACTGCCCTGGCCCTCCTGGAGGACATCAGGCAGCTGGTCCAGGAGAAGGCCTCCATCCAGGCCTCGGCCGAGCAGCACCAGCAGGTGGGGACACCGTCTACGTACAGCTCGTGGGAGCCACCATTTTGTTTCGGGGAACTTTGTGGGCACCGTTACTGACGGACGTGGTTCCGAATGATCTTGCCTTCAGTTTTAAAGCGTGGAAGCTTTTTAAGGAAACCCTCTTATCCACAAAATTTGTCTGTCATCCTGTCAGTTCGTTCGTCCGTGCATTTTCTCACAAAATTTAGCGGTGAAATGGATGTCGTGCGACCTGACACCACGTGACCAATACAGGGTGTTCAGAAGTAAAAAAAAACAACCTAACATGATCAAACGTCCGGGTGGAGTATATTGCTTCCGGTTGGCTATTGTTTTTGCTTTATTAGAACACTCCTAAAATGAACTACTATGTCCCCATCCAAAGTGCCACCCCCACCGGCAAGGTAAGAAAAAAGTCTTTACCTGGCCAGACGCGGGGTTCCGGAGAGCCAAGACCGGGGAAGCATCGGAGAAGTCGCCGACACATGTCCTATCTCTTTCGCGGTCACCCGGACGAGTCCCTTTCCCGAAACCGGGAAAACAAGAGGCGAAACCTCCTCGCCTGTCAGCATTGATCCGCAACCGAGCGGGGGAACGGAAATCGGTCCCCCCCGAGAGAAAGTGAGAGGAGGGTCCCCCAAGCCAGGCGGCCCTCCGCCTCACGAACAGGTCTGAGCTCACTGCGAAGGAGGCCGAGTGTTCCGACCCGCGGCCGTTATCACAGCCATCGAGGAAGGGAGACCAGAGGAATCCCCACTTCACAGATTCTGAAGTTCGGCAAAGTCGGTCCATCACTACTTATTACGAAAGCCAAGGTGCAGAAAGCATACGAGGCGAACGGAGACCCGTAGCAGCAGGAGCAGCGTCTACGTTCCGATGCTACTCGCGGCGCCTACGGCCGACGCTGAAAGATGAAAGATTGCTGGCTGCTTTGCGCACGTCGGATTTTCTCTCTCGAGCAAGCCCGTTGAGCCGGTGTACGATTCCCAGAGCTGCAACAGTCTACAGGAATGTGTGAAAATGCGCCACCAAAGATAACTCTTTCGTTAACACTTGTCGATGCGGACATTGCCGCCGTTGCTCCTGCCACGGATGCTGCGATCGTAGAGCTTGCGTGCGGCCAGGGTAAACACGAAGCGACATCATGGGGCACTTCGGGAAACGCAGACGATGCAAAGGCACGAAATATCCTACGGCTGCTTCGAAATGAAGTGGAGTGCAGCAGCGGTGACAATGTTCTTGCGAGGTGAAGCTGCTGCTTGTTGTTCACAACGAAGATTTGTTTGATTAAATGCATGTTCAGTGTTCCTCAGTTTTCCCACCCACCATCAAAAGCTGCTGACGCTGTTTTTTGCTGTCCCGTTGACTTTGTTATAACGAGGGATTACTCTATATGGGATGACACGCCTTCCCCGATACCTTGGGTTAAAAAGAAAGAGCACTTGTTATTCCACGAATTGACAGAAATTCCGAAGGTATCATGGGCACATCTTCATGGCTATTCAAGCCGCCTGGTTCGTATACCTGAGAATGACTTAAAACTTGCACATTTCTAAACGTGTTCAACCTGTTCCCGAATGGAAAGGCATTGGCAATGGGCATCTACCTCCCCAAGCGTCGAAGATACCCGCCGCACTTCCTTGGAGGGGTCGCCGAGCCCGGTTTTGGTTTTAGCAGACAACCTTTCGAAATTTTAGGGGCGAAGCTCCTTAGACGCTAGCCATGTCCGTCCGGCGTGCACCTGCTCGTGAGTTCAGCAGCGAGAACAAGAAAAAAAAAATGAAAAAAACTGCCCGCGTGCCCCTGCTTGTGAGCTCACAAGCAGGAGCTCACGAGCTCCTGCTCACATGTTCAGCAGCGAGAACAAGAAAAAGAAAAAGAAGAAAAAAAATAGGGGGCTCCGAGATGCCATCCCATCTGTCTTCTTAAAAAAGAAAAAGAAAACCACACATTCTTCTACTGACATGGATGAAAACGGCACCATCAGCACTACGTATGACCAAAATCAGTATCATCAGCACCACCAGAGCTTCGCCCCAATCAACATCATTCACCGCGTGGAGATGCGGTCATTTTCATTAGGCTCCCTTCATTGCGATGCGATAATGCACAATTTTCTTATGTTATGGCTCTCTTGCTTTGGTACTCGAGGTTTCTTTCCCAGAGCACCGTGTCACCCTGCATTTATTCGTGTTGTGCGTAATGGCCCGGTCAGCACCTATCGCCGTATGGAGATGGTCGGTTGAGGCGCTGCATAATCGCGTAGGCTCTCTCTATCCTCGCATTCGTCGTGTTATGCCATCTGGGGTTTCAGTTGTGCTGAATATAATGACTGGTTCACTTCTCGAATTGTTGGGGTGAAATCTTGTCTTTGTACTTGTTATGCGTATGCGAAGTGCATGTTTGTCTGCTTTTTTTGCAGGGGTTTCGGTGACGTCAGAACGCCGATCTCTGATTGGCTCTGATGGGCTCTAATTGAAGGATAGTGGGTAGACCTGAAAGGCAAGCAACATTGAGATCTTCCCACTATCCCTCCATCAGAACCCATTGGAGCTCGGCGTTCTGACGTCGCCACAACCCTTGCAAAAGGAGCAAACAAACTTACGGTCCTCATTGGGCAAGATCTGCCAATTTTACTCGACACACTGGCACCATTTATCGGCTTGCCCCGGAACGGTAGACTGAACTTTCGAAATACTCGTTTGATCAAATCGTTACACCACACGTGAGAAATGGTCGCCCATAATATTGTCTCAGATTAATTTAAAGATTGATGCATAAAATAGATCAGAAGTGTTCTTGGACTACTGATAGATGGCACCAGCGTGTCCTCTCATTGTAAACGGTCGCAGGTGGTTTTAACTCTGTCGATTGCACTCTGCCGTAAATCTGTGTACCAGCCTGGTCGACCATGCTGAACCGTGAACCAACCTGTCTTTCATCAGCTGACCTCGTTGTCGTCTGCGTGCAGGAGAGCAAGCTGCCCGAGCTGATGCTGCGCATAGTAGAGAAGAGCGAGGAGTTGTACTGCCTGATCCCCGTGCGGGGCCGGCGCTTTGAGCGGCTGGAGCCCCTGTTCGAGGAGCGAGGGGTCCAGCGCATGGCGGCCCTGGTGCACAGCCTGGTCCACCTCCAGCTGGCCACCCAGCTTCTGCTCGGGGCACAACTCAAGGCCGCCGGTGGGTGCCCCTCTCTCCATTCGTTGATCCCCCCTCTTCGCAGTGTCTCTCGGGGCGGGTTGGGTGGGGTTCTCCAAGGCCGCCACACTTTTTGTCCGGGTATTTTACTGATTGCGTCTCCGGTTCGGGGATGTCGTCCTTTCGCCCGAACTGCGGGTTCGCTAACTGGGTCCTTGTTAACTCCTGGATTCCCGGGAATCCAGTTTGAAACCCCTGGCTTCGGTGTAGAGATGGCCTTCTTGAGCCGGAAACATGATCGCAAAAGAGCCCTGTTGAAATCGTCTGCAGCCCTTAGAAATCTAGGGGTTTCCGGAAGCCTAGAAGTTCCTGGGAACTCCCGGTGAGAATGCTCTTCGAGTTCCCCGAGCTCCGAATTTTTTCTCTTCCACCGCCGCCAAGCGTTTTTCCGATTTAAGCACTAATTTAGAGAATTGGAGCCATTCATTGATGCACGATTGTGTGCCAAACCACACGTTTTCACATTAAATTCCTTGGAACCTAGGGATCCTCCAAGCTTCCAGGGATCCTCCAAGCTTCCAAATTTTCTTCTTTAAATTTAAACACTGGTGTCACTTTCAGCATTTTCTGCATTTGAACTCTGCCACTAATTTTTCTGAAGCGCTTTGGAGATGCTACGATGTTGTAAGCTGTTCTTGAATGGTTCGCACTTGCAGAGTTGCACCCGCTCGACTACGTGTATCGCAGCCTGCGATGCAAGGTGCAGTTGCTGCAGGAACACGTCGCCGAGGCTCAGACGGTGTTGCAGTACGTCCTCAACTCGGGTGAGTCGTCGGTTTGCTGTTCCTTCTTTTGACACATTGAGCATACTTTCTTTTGACACATTGAGCAAAGTTTTTCTGTTGGGCGATGCAGCTTCTTTTATGTCACAAAGCAACAGATAGAGAAACCGGTTTCGCTGAGTGTAAGTGACCAGTGGCTAAACGCCTAAATGCCAGGCCCGTCTTCGTGTTTTTGTCCTTTTCTGCCCTTTGCTCTATTTGTCTAGTACAGTGGTTCTCAAATGGGTGTTTGCGAAGGCATTTTAAGGGTCCACGAAGCCCTGCCTCATCAACTAAACCCGGCAATAAAAGCTTTTTCTAATGCGAAAGCAATAACTGATTTAATGGAGCGAGCTGACGTCATCAGTCTGAAGCGCGAAAACGAGTCCTAGTTTTTGCCACGATCCCAATAGGAGTTATTAGCCTTCGGTTCCATTGGCTAGCACGCGTCGACAGGGCTCCCATTGGCCGCTGCGCCATGGCCTCCGAGATCCCGAAGCACGCGCGTGCTAGTACGCAGCAGACGACAAAAGAAGCGGCCGAGCAGATGACAAAGGGAGCGGACGACCAGATGACCGGACGAGCGGCTTGCACGCTTTCGTATTCACAACACGTAAGAAGTGCTTAGGTGTACCTCAAGTTTTTAGCCATTTGTTTCTTGTTGTGATGCGTACAAACAGCAACATGCTTTTCCGGCAGTAAATCGCAACACAGACCCCTTGCCCCGCCAAAAATATGCATCAAACATCCTGCATAACATAAATAAAAATACTGAATCTCGTAAAAAAAAAAAAAATTTATATATCCTATTGACAGTTTTGATACTAAGTTTTCAAAATGTGTGGGCTCGATGCTACCAGTAACCAAAGTATAGCTGTTCAGAAGGTGAGTGGGGAGGATCGAATTTGACCTTCTCTTCCATCGTTTGTTGTCGCTGCAGCTTCTTCTTTGCCATGTGTGCAGAGCTCGCTACAGCGTTGCTTTTAGGACACTGTGTGCGTGCTGCACCAAAGTGCCACATGTTGACGGCGATGGACGGGGTTGCTGCCATACATGCAGTTGATGCAAGCCTTTGCATCTTAAGCTCTTTTTCTTCCAGCTTCTCCTTCTGTAGGCTGAGATGGGTGTAAAAGCTGGTCACGGTTGATTTCTATTTTGTGAAATTTCACCAAGTTTGGGAGCTTTACCATTATTGTTTGTTATAACTAGGGTTCTGTGTTTCTGTGGATTTGGGGTTTATCTTCTCACAGATTCAGTGTTTTCTAGTGTCAGCCTTCGAGTCAAACAATGATTGGCATTTATGACGGCTTACATTGAAGAAAACAGGACACTGGCATAAAACTCCCCAGCCTCCAGCGAATATGTGATGGATCAGAATGCTTGGCAATTGTTTTAAAATCGATAAGAGAAGGAAACAAGGACCCTTGCAGACGGTTCAATGCGGGCTTTGTTTCTCCTCAACTCAAAATAAAGCTGTAAATAAATATTCCTTTCTGTAAAGCTGGAGTTTTTATTCAGACGCAACTCCAGTTCAGGATTTTCTGATTTTTCCAAATTTTTATAAAAGTGGCCTGGGGATTATTTCTCGGGCTTTATGGGCACACACCGAAAACACAAAGCGGGTCCGCGGAGAGTTCCGGAGAACCCGTCGCGTGACAGACCGCACGGGCGCACGACGTCCCCTGTGCAGCCAAGACGCCGCCGCGGGTGGTGGGCGTGTACCGGGTGACCCGGGAGGGGGAGCCCCAGCGGCTGGCCTCGTGCGAGCTGAGCAACCACTGGCTGCTGTGGCACGCCACCAGGGCCTCCAACCTGCTGGGCATCCTGGCCTCTGGCCTGGAGGTGCAGCCCCTGGCCCAGCACTGGAACGGGGACCCCATGGCCAAGGTGGACACACACTCTGCCCTTCCGTCACGTCCCCCTTATAACGCAGAATCTGTTACAGGGTTGGCTTCTAAGTCTAGAGCGTGACGAAATGCGATGAGAATATAGCGAGGCAACCAGTTGTACTTACAAGAGACTGTGTCTGGAGAATATCAATCGCCATCCTCTCGTTTGGTGACCTGATACTTCATCCCTTGCGCTACTTCTCCCCCCTTCCTTTCTTTTTGGTCTAATGTTCATGTCTAAGTCTCCTCTTTTTTAACTATCAAGGCAGCTTTGCCAAGCATTGTTATCGTGGAGCTCAAGAAACACTGCAGATTTTGTTTGTTCATACTTTATATGTAGGATTAGTGTACATTTAAACTTCTGGCATTCTCTCAATTAGCTTGGATAAGCACAGTTCAGTTTTGTTCTTGTCTTCTTTGGCCTCTGCCCAGTAGTTTTTTCCAAGGACGATTCATGAGTTGTGCGAGGAAACGTAAACAAACAAAAAATGTGTAGAACTTTTGCTTCTACAAACCACAACAATTTTGTCTGATAACTTCTGACCTCGAAGACATTAAGGTATGTCGTATTCATTTTTTGTTTCAAAGCGCGACACTTGCACACGGCTCTACGTCAACCAATGGACTGCGAACGAAGGCTTTTCTCCGACAATGTCCCCCAGTCAAATGGAATCATGTTTGATGACGGTGCGTTCTGTTGTCTGTTTGCAGGGCATTTGCTTGGCAGACCGTTTTGAACAGGGACGTAGCCTTTGCCAGGCCGATTCCCAGGAGCACGGATCCAAGTACATGTTGCTCTGCGAGGTGGGTGGACTTTCATTATTCACAGTAATCGAAGTAAGCGAGTGACTGTCACGTGCGTTCTCGCACGTGCCTGGATGGACCTTCATATTCACAGAACTGAAGTAAGCAAGAGGCTGTCACGTGCGTTCTTGCACGTGCCACAAAGCTATGCAGGGGAGCCCACCTTGTTTGATAGGCTTAGCATTTGTAGGGCCCAATCTTAGCGATTTCAGGTCCTTTTCATGTAGGCTTCATAGTGTTGTCACAGTGTTCACGTGACGTCGTCATCGTGGTATTAGGTTCACCGCGGTGATGTCATCAGCGCAATGGTCACCATGGGACACCACATCATTACCTAGCACTGTGACATCATGGTGTCAGGTGGCATTCCCGACGTCGGGTGACACCGTGGCATGATATCGGGTGATATGATTCTACATAGGGCCTACAAATTCTATGCACTTAAGTGCCTCAGCAATGTTTCCAGCACCCTTGTCACAAGCGTACCCTCTGCGTCAAAATGGAACCAATCGATTGATTGACCGGTGCGCGTTTGTCGACGCCTAGGTTGCCTTGGGCCGCACCCGTGACCTTGACCTGGGCCACACGGGCAACACTGAGCCGGGCTCCCCCGGGGGCTACGAGAGCACGAGGGCCCTGGGACGCTGGCAGCCGCACCCGCTCGGCACGGTCTCCTGGCACAGTGAGTCTCGGGGGGGGGGAGATCACCTGAGGGTATCTGCCGGCCTGGAGGCCCTCCCACTCTGGCGTCCTAAGCTCGAGCGTGCGATAAACATTCGTACCTCGTCAAAAGGACACCTTCATTTTCCCCCCAAATTTTTATATTGCTAGTCGTGCTTAGTAATCTGACAAAAATGTGCGCATTTACCCAGTTCATTTCTAAATATTTTGTCTAATATAGCGGGGTATTCATATTGCCGCATGCGTGGTCGAGAAGGAACGCTACTCCACACTTCTACAAGATTTGTATTTACTTCCACCCCAAATTCGACGCTCGAACATTCTAGGACTGAAGGTTTCGGATAGCGAGTGGAATAGATTAGGAGGCTAATATGGCCTCGCCGAGTCAGTCTCGTCCTAGCTCGGCGCTCGGAACATTCTAGGCCGAATGTCGAAAAAACTCGAGTGTACTAGGTAAGGAGCCCAATGTGGCCTTGTCGACTCACTTGGACACTCGTGCTTGTCAGCTGCCATGCCGACACCTCGAGGCTCGACGCTCATTCGTTCTTTTGTTTCTGGCACGAGTTTGCCGATTAAACCTTCGTTTTTTAGTTTTACGCTCGTCAATCTTTTTCCATCCTCGACAGTATTAATCGGGTCCATAATATGGACCCCGTTAATGTTGGAATACCGTTTTGTAGACAAAATTTTCACTCCATATTTGTGAGACACGACCATATTGCGTTTCGTGCTTAGGTGCGAGTGGAGTCACAACTTCCGGCCCTGCACACTCTAAAGGCCGATTCACATATTTACACTCGAGTATGTAGTGCCCGTTTGCATTGAGAGAACACACTGGGGCCATTCGCTAGTCAAGAGCGATCCAAGGGCAAAGATGCGAGACAGACGCGGACATCAGTGGTCCCGACAGGACCTTATTAGTGGCGACGCTTCGATATACACAAAGCAGGCAAACGTCACTACAAGGCCTAAAACGCTCCTTTTTCGTTAAAGGTTGACATTTAGTCTAAAGTAAAAACAAAGGGGTGTGCTTAGCAATACTGCTACATCGAAAGACCTTGTTCAGAAGCTGGAAAGCCATCATCCTCATTCTTCTTCATTTTCTCGTGCTACCTTTCTTCGAGCACACATGCCTGATCGCTTGAACAGTCGGTATCTAGTGTTTTCTTTGCTTTATTTTGCACATAAACACCGGCGTCACACATTGTATGAAGATAGGTAAAGTTGACAAGCGCTCGAACCACTGCAACTCCTCTTGGCAGAACGTGCACACTTATCGTGTGCTTTCTTTCGGTGTTTTTTTTTTTTTGTCTGTTTTTTTCTCTCGGGACCACGGATGTCTTATGACTTGCCACGTTTTGCTCCTGTCTTTGCCCCCTGCTGTAGGGTGAAAAACGCCCATGCAAAGTGTGACTTGTGTTAGGTTTTTGTTTTAGAAGAGTTATTGCTGCGTATGCCGGCATCTGTGACTATGCTCCTTCATTCGTGAGTAATTTGGCAAAAGGTCTATCGGTTTGTACCGCGGATGCCACGTCGCTGGCGCTGTGTGTGAGGCGCCGTCGTCTGCTCTTCTCCCCCGTCGCAGGCTGCACGGTTCCCCTGGGCCGCAGCAACAAGGCGGAGCCCCTGCAGAGCCCCCTGAGCTACAACGAGTATGTGGTGTACAAGCCGGCTCAGGTGTGCCTGCGCTACCTGGTGCAGTTTGAGGAGGACTGATAGGACGAGGCCCCGCCGCCACACTCCGCTCGTTTTTAGAACTGGGGAACTTTTTCTCACCACGGGAGGGGAGGGGGGGGCCGAGCTAGGGCACGCAACAACAACTTTCGTCATCGTCGTTCATGGCCATCGGTTCAATGCACTGTGTGGAAGACCCTACACTTATCTCTCCTTCATGTACAGCCCAGAGCCCCACTGGCTTCGGCAAAGAATAACGGCGGTCTCAGCCGCCGCCTCTCTGGTATATTCAATAAAACGTGAAGCATCCCCCTAGTGTTGGTCTACCCTTCTTGCGTTGGGACAACACCACGTGCACTCCACAACACCGTTAAAGAAAGACACTACCCAGAAAAGAAAAATCTGCGAAAGTATAGTTTGAAAAATGCCTTATTTCCATCCACCAACATCTAAGGGAGCATTTTCAGGAAGTTTCATTGGTTTACACTGCTTAGTAATTTTTGTACAAATTATTTTCGGTATACCGATGCTAAAGGAAAAGTAGAGGTTCGAGCACTTTAAACACATTTTTTCCCCTTTCCAATTTTTGGCATAAATTTCACTTTAGGAAATCTCTTTTGGTAATGGGACAAAAGGAAAGGTTTTGTCATTGTTTTCCTTAACTGAAATTTAATGGGAAATGCAACTGTCATTTTTTTCTTTTACTTTGTGAATGTTTTTTTGTGAAAGCTGTAAGATTTTATTGACAACATAAAAGGCAAAAATTTGATTTGATTTTTCAATTCAAAATAAACTTCCTGGAAAATGTTTTCACAGTTGCATTCTCCAGGCATTCTGCTGTGTACCTAGTAAAGAAAAATATGGGGCATTACATTTGTTTTCTAACAACCCTCCTCCTCATCCGTACCCTCCTGTCCTCTCCTGCTCGCCTCCTATTAGAAAGAAATTTAGCGGGGAAATTTACTCGTAATATAACGCACATTGACGTCTATATGATGTTACTGGTGACCCTCGTAACGTCACGGGAAACGTCCCATAATGCATTGCGCAATTACGGCGACGCCTTTCACGCCGGAAACGGGCGCCTAAGAGCTGTGCTCTAAAACTACTATAATTTCTTTCACAATTCGTGTGTACAAATAAAACTTTACACTGCATTCTGTCTCGCAACTGTCAGTATATACTATAAACTTCATTCATATTAAGCCAAAGGTTCAATTGTTGACCCCTTTAGGTAGTGTCCTCCCTCAATGCGAACGAGCCATCGTTGGTTTCCTTTATTCTTCTCTCGGTATTGGAGGACTGTCATCGAAACTACTACAGTGGCGGAAAGTGCTCAACTGTGGCACGAACCTAAATGGTAAATTTGATGCCTCTGTACATTTTAGAGTGCAGCTCTTGGGGGCCCGTTTCCAGCTTGAGTGGCTTGAGTAACCGCGAGGCCACGTGACCCCTCCCCTGAGGTCACGTACCCCCAAGGTCACGTGACGCCTCCCTCCCAAGGTCACGTGACCCCTCCCCCCGAGGTCATGAACCCCCCAAGGTCACGTGACCCCTCCCCCGAGGTCACATACCCCCCAAAGTCACGCGATGCCTCCCTCCCAAGGTCACGTGACCCCCCCCCCCGAGGTCGCGTACCCCCCCAAGGTTCCATGACGCCTCCCTCCCAAGGTCACACGACCCCTCCCCCCGAGGTCACGCGACGCCTCCCTTTCAAGGTCACGTGACGCCTCCCTCCCAATGTCATGTGACACCTCCCTCCCAAGGTCACGTGACCCCCCCCAAGGTCATGTGACACCTTCCTCCCAAGGTCATGCGACCCCTCCCCCCGAGGTCACGTACCCCCAAGGTTAAGTACCCCCCCCAAGGTCACGTGACGCCTCCCTCCCAAGGTCACGTTACCCCTCCCCCCGAGGTCACGTACCCCCCAAAGCCACATGACGCCTCCCTCCCAAGGTCACGTGACGCCTCCCTTTCAAGGTCACGTGACCCCCCCCCCCCCCCTTGGAGGAGATTGAAGAATGAGGGGAGGAGGAGTATACCCCCTGCAGCACCCTTACCTCCTCAAGAGCTGCGCTCCAATTCGGCGTTACAGGGAGCTGTAAACGGCTTTGACATTTTTAAAGTAAATTTTAAAAAAATGTGCCAAAGTCGCGTTTGCATTAACAGAGTCGTGCCGTGTACAGTTTCCAACAATACAAATGTCCCCTTTAGTGAGGCAGTATCGGGTGGCTGTGCTGGATTTGCTTCGTTGGTACAATTCCTGGAACGAGCCTCTGACTGGCGTCTTCACCGCGCCACGAAAAATGGTCCCCCGATTTCTGGCCGATTACATCGTAGGAGTGTCGCATTACCGTCGACCGCGGACCTGGCAGTGTCGCAACAGTGGCGGTGGATTTGGCAGACGCCCAATGTGCAAGTCGCTCTCCGGTTTGACACGACAGCCCACGGAAGCTTCGGCATCCAGAAGTCGAGACCCCGTGACGACGTGCAACACTCGTATGCGCTTTTACTTTTTGCCGGGGGCTTCTAGCGCAGACCACAAGGATTGTGACATCCGACAATGGGACGTGCGGACTTCCGTGACGTTATTTGTTGCCAATTCGGGACCACTTTTGATGTATGGATGGGAAAGGGTGCCAAACACGCCGGTCATAGATGCGTTCCCTGCACCATTCTTGGAACCTGGTTGAGGTAGTGTCAGTAGTGTGCCCAGGTTTGGGAGCATTTTCAACCGATCGATTGAGGTCACATGGTTTTGGGGCCAGATGGTTTATGGGCCAAAATGCATGGGGGAGTTCTTGAGAAGCGAGAACAGTTTTTTGGCTGGGGTATATAAACTAAGCATTGCAGAAAGCTCAAACTGCGAGAATGCGACGCTAATGGCTGGGATATGACGCGAACGTTTGAGAAGATGATGTCACCTGGATCAAAAGATAATTGTGAAAAACGAAATATCTGTTTGAGCAGACGTCCAGCTAAGCCTAATATCGTCAATACAAAAAATGACACTGGGTGCCTGTAGTATTTATTTTAGTGAAAAAAACTTGTTGGCAAGAAAGAAAACAATACCCTCATTCTTGCTGAGAAGTTTTTTGTTGTTTTTTTTTCACTGAAAGATGCTGCATACTCCATGTCATTTCTTGTTTTTGACAATGTTAGGCTTAGGTGATTTCAGTTGTAGAGAAATTAAATTTTTTTTTTTATTATTTTTTTTATTGAGGTAACGTCGTGCTCTCAAATTTTCGCATTCTATCCCAACCGCCAGCGTCACATTCTCATGGAGTTTGAGCTTTCTGCGATGCATAGTTTATTTAGACTCCCTGTACTATCCTCCGGGACACGATAAACAACGTAAAAATGACGAGATGCAAATTCTTTTAATCATAAAATCGTTGCACCGCCCCTTTAACGCCACCATATAAACTATGGGTCTTTCATATTGTAGAGATGGTCGGTCCGGGTCACGTATTGGGCAAAAGTGCCAAGTCGGCGTTCGGAGCTGGTAGTCGTGTTCCCCCTTGCACGCCCTCAATACGTAACGTGAAAGTCGCGCTACAATTTTTTTTCTAGGTGGTGTTGGTTGCATGCCGTGGCATTTGGGAGTGCTTTCGTTTTCGGCAGAGAATATGAGGTGCGCGTGGCGGCGGCAACGACTGGAGCCACGCAGCGGCTTGGGATGCCGCTGCGTGGCTCCAGTCTCTGAATAACGCCCAGAGAGGGCGTAAGAATTGACCTTCGGAGTTCCTGGAAGAGACTCGAGAGGGCGCCAGCTCTCAATGGGGATGAGTGGGACGAAAGGGGAGTGCGGGGAGTGCAGATCGCGGAGGCCGTAACTATTTAGTGACTCTAGCCATAACGAGTTGGGAAATAAAGGAGTGTTGTACGACGTCGGTGCTTGTTTGTACAAGGTGCGGACACTTCCCGAAGCCTAGCAGGAGGACAGGTGCCCACTCTGTTCGGTGGAATATTATTGATAGAGCCACTAAATCTACGCTTCATCACCAACGTTGTTCATCACCTGTAGCGAAACTTCAGTCATTTTGGTACTTGAAATCAATGTTGCCAGCTATCTGAAATCGCAAAAAAATGTTTTTTTTTGTCCCACGGAAATGTTCAAAGGGTTTTGTCTGAGCAAAACAATGTCGCCTGAGCTTCTTGACAACTCCGGGAGCTTGGCTCGGTAATGTCGTATTTTCAAATCTCAACGACCGTCAATATTGGTGCTTAGTGTAGAGCACTGAGCTCGAAAATGGCGGTGGCCACAAGAAAATTGGGGGAACCATATGCTGGTGGCAACGATTCATTAGTTGACAAAGTATTAAAGCCGATTTTCAGGTGTCTCATAATTGTATTCAAGGGATTTGTGTATTTTCTGCGTTTTATTGTCATAGAGATCAGTGGAGTATATTTGCTGCAGATGTCTGCCTCCATGGCACCTCTATTCTACTAATCGTGGGGAGTTGTAAAGATTTATTCTTCCTTTGATGCCAATGGTGTACTTACAAAAAATAGCAAATGTGTGTAGCTGGCTAAAATGGTCTTGAAAAACTTGTTGCCACCGTTTATGTTCAGAAACTAAAAAAAAAAAAAAAAAGCACATACGAGAGTAACTGCATATGTGAAGTGGTAGGAGCTTCTGTTATGCTACATTCTGGTCCCTTGCACAAATATGTTGCTTAATCCTCGCAGATGCACTTTTAGAACTATTTGACTGTTTTAATAGGATCTATATGTGAATATTTGGGCCTTAACAAAAATATTTACATATCCTGGGCCCTGTATCTATAGATTTACTATGGAATCGATTTGTAAAGGTGCGGAGAAAACATTAATATCTTAACAATTTGAAAGTAAACATTGCTGGCAAGCTGTGTAAATTTTGTATGGTTTGTTTTATTTTGTCGCACATACAGATGAGCATGGAAGTAAAAAATATAGTATAGCCATAATATTTCCCCTGCCCGCATGCAATGCATGCTTCTCCCATCACACAGAGGCGCTGCGGGAAAGCGGCATTGTGGTAGCCCCAATTTAGGAACTGGGCCAGAGGCGCAGCGCGGTAAGAAAAAGCCTAGCGAAGCTCGAATGCGGTAGTATCAGTCCCAGAACTAGCACGTCTATCGCTGCAACTACCCTAGAAATATTGCCGTGTTACGATAGATTACACCCTACCTCGTGGATTACACCAAGAAGCTCTGCGTGAAACCAGTGAAACTTCAGCGCCGCATCACAATTAACATCAGTTCGTTCATGGGGTTCGGTGAGATGGTTTCTGTTTGTGTTCGTTTGTGTCAACTGTCAGTCTTGGCTCGTCGGGTCTTTTGCCGCTGAGCCACCGCGTGGAACAACATGAAGATGCTTACAGGTAAGAATCTCTTTTAACCCGGCCTTTGCATTTATCCATCGTGCAAGCCGCTACCGTAGCACCCGATGGACACGACGCAGAACGCTCGCAGTGTTAGGCTTAGGTGAGCTCTGCGTAAATAAAACACAAATAAAAGGCGTTATATGCTTGCACTCGGAAGACGAGCCTATGAGTGCATCTTAAATTCAACCGATTATTTGCCCGGATAAAAGCATGGAATAATAAAACCGGGTTCGGTGGGAGCTTGCGACAATACGCGTGCGTTTGCGGCGTCAGCTTGCGACTGACCCGAAAATTCGAAGCAGTTCGTTCCACTACAGGACGCGCGGATAGGGACAAGCTGTTGCATGCTTTGCTCTAAACAGTATTTCCTTACAAGTCGTTCGTAGTGTTGTGGAAGGCACGAGCACGACCGCGTAGCACTGGTTAATGCCTCGGTACTCGAGCGCTTGTGCAACGTACGCAATGCATTTTTTTTTTTTTTTTGAGCCGCGCGAGCTCGCGCTTTTCGCAAGAGTTGTAAGATATGGAGCTCGTACGGGTGCTGTGTTATAAAATAATGTTGATATCGTCGCCTAAAAATCGGAGCTCGCATTTTAAAGGCCGCGCGAAACTGTTGCATCACTCCACTCTGCAGCTTGTTTGCAGTGTGCCTGCAACCGTTCCTGGCTAGACTTCAAGTGCTGCTAGACTTCGCGTGCACGAGTTGCGAGCTCACACACGTAGAACACTGCATCTGGCACAAGTCGTGAAATGCATCTCAAGAATGAATAGTAAAATCTCGCACCTAGCTCTCACTGCCTAAAAATCTTGGCCTCGCTGCATGGAGCTGTAGCACCCTTCAACGTATAACATACCACCCTAAACTTTGTTTGCCATGTTGTAGGTACTTGCAGAACTCTTAAGATACAGCCATGTTTATATTTAGCCAGATGTACACACATGCACACTGGATTGTGCAAACACTCTGTGAGATATATGGAGCCTGTGCTGTCTTATAGTGTGCATACAACAATAAATTGCACACATTCTATGAGATAGAGGGCCTGTGCTGTCTCATAGATATGTGCATTAAAACCTTCAAAATGCTGAGTCACTCTAGCTCTCAGTGAGATGCATGGTCAAGAAGTCAAATTTGGATGTTTTACTTACCAAACCAACAAAGGGCATCTAAAATGCCCCAGCGGCGGGCTGGGAATATTAATTTTGACCACCTAGAAATCCTTTGACATGCAACCGAAATCTCGGTTACACGGCGCCTTTTCCGCAATAAGCCTCCGTCACATTGCAGGCATCTTTCTCGGTCGAGATTCAAACCCGCCACCTGGGTACCCATAGGTACCTCGGAGCCACCGAGGCAACGAGATGCCCAACTGATTTTGTTGCAACTGTCGAAGAGGCTCTTGACATGGCTTCTGTGCGTGCGCACATTTTTTGTGCAGTTCCCACCGAAGCGACGGCATTCCTGGGGGCCGTCGGCATGATCCTGGTGGTATTGGTCGTCTTCTACCTCTACCTGAACAAGAAGCTGTGCTTCACCACCGTCGGTGGCTTTCCCTGCTGCGATGTCGCACCGACACCACGTGAAAAAGAGAAGAAAGTGGCAGCCAGGGATCTAGGTGAAGTCTTTGTTTTGTGCATTGGTTTTACACCGCCGGGTGCATGCGGGAAAGCATCACTAAACTTTTCACGTTCGCATAAGTAAAGTGGCGTAGAAGAAGGCTAATCGAATACCCTGAGAGGTGGCTATTGGTGGCTATGCTTTGAAACACAATTTAGACGAAGCCATAGACGCCTGCGCCTGGGCCATCCTTTTTATGGTTTGTTGAAAGCTCCTGGAAATCTGCTGTTCTCCGTATGAGAAGTAAATAACTCCCATTTTATGAATATGTGCATATGGATGACGTAGACCAGTTTCTGCAACCAGAGTTGCGCATCACTTCTCGTTAGAAACCAAGAAATCAGGTTTGCTCCTACAAAATATGAGATTCGTCCATTGAGAATTTCAGAATGTATTTTGAACATTGCCTAGGTAATAAAGGACAATGCAGCTACAACCTTGTGTTGGTCTACCCTTCCTATACTCCGTCTCACTGTGACTTGGCAAACGGCGAAGGTTACGGCCCGTGCGAGCCAGTCAGCTGTTGGAGGAAGACAGGTGGCTGTACTCTATCTTGCTAGTTGCACGCAGTGCTTTTGAAGTTACGGGCGGTAGAAGGAGAGCTGCTTTTGTATGAATTTCGAATGACGGGCTAATCTTCTAGGAAAGAAGTCTGGGACGCACAAAAGGAGGTCAGGGTAACAGGGGAGTTTCTCGTTCCCCTCTTGTCCAACTGCTTTAGTTGTGCTCTTGTCCCTGTGTTTTTGGTAGAGATTGTAAAGTGCCTTGCTTCCGCTCCAATTGCTCCAATTGGCTCGAAAGGGCCTCAGTGTTTGCTCTTCTCCAAGTTACGGTGAATTGAAGCATAGTCCTTGTCCAGTTCTGATGCCTTGTGGTTCGTTTCCTTCCCGGTCTAATTCCTAATTCCGTACATCTTGTCTCTGCTTTAGTCTGGCATTTGAAAGCTGACTCACGAACCTTTCCGATCGGTTTCAGGCAGCGCATTTGCGTACGAGGACGCCGAGTCATCCACAGACAGCGACGAGGAAGTGATTCAGCAGCTGCATCATTCGGCCAGCACGCAGAGTGGCTTCCTTGGCAGTGCAGCAGTGCGGAGAGTGTCCTGCATGGGTCAGTCATCTGAGCCCATGGGAGGCAAGTTACCCAATCAGTCCAACCAAAAGTGGGCCCCGATAGAAGAAGAAGGAGTTTCCGGCTGTTGTAAAAGAACCTCGTGGATGGCTCGAGTGCCAGCCGACCTCTTGCTAAGTGATGCATTTCTTCAGCGACATGTCAACTGCCACTCTAAGGCTTCTAGGAGGCCCCAATTCCAAATTCTTCCTTCTACCTTCAACCATCTCTATGTTTTGTCTCAGTTCCCAACCCAGCAAACAAGAGAATGGCAAGCTGACCATTCCCTGACATGTGCGCCATACTCGTTGGCATGCGTAGAATAAACTGTTGCTCATATTTTTTTTTTTTTTTCATTTTTTACGGTATGTTGGAGAAGTGAGTGGTGCTTGTAAATGTAACATGGTTTGCACTTCAAATAGTTTTCAGCATTTTATTTATATAAGGCTTTCAAAAGTAGTACCTGAATCCCCAAGAAAGGCCCAACATGCCACCATATTTTTCCAGCTCTGAATGAGCTGGGGTGTTAACTATTTTAGCACAAAAGAACAATCTTATATTTTCACGGATGACGAGTGACAAAACAATGATAAAAGTTTAATGGGGCGAACTTGTGGCACGCAAAATCTGGCTTTGCAAGCATTGATGGCGGCGTAGCAGCAGGTTCGGCGAAAGACAGGCTCAATGCAGCACACTTCGACTGCTTTTACACATGTTCTGAGTTGAGAATGGTCCTAAACTAACCCACACAATCGCTGACGAGCATGTACTGAAACTGTCTGATGGAGTGCCAAACCGTAAAATGAAAAATACCGGTGGGATTCGAACCTGGCTCATCCGTGTGGGAGCCGCGCGCGCCGCCAGCTCAGCTATGCACGCAGCAGTATCGGCTTGCATCCTGGGCATTGGTTGCAGGTCGCCGTTCAAACTACCGTAAAATACGGGACAATCGCCCACTCAAAATTTGGAGATAATCGCGAAAAAATGGGGCATGTGCGCCTGTCCGGTGATCAATTTTACATATAAAGGTACTGTGCATATTCTCTGAAATCTTAACCAAATTTGGGAATGGACGCTTAGTTTGGAATAGGCGGATGCGCAGTATTCTATGGTATACAGGATGTTTCTGAGTGCTGATCGGTTGTAAAAAAATAATAGTTTTTAGGATAAAATTTAAGCTTCCAAAAATTTGTTTTTTTCCTATGCTCAGGTAAGAAAACGGCAAGAACTGTCTAGTTGACACTGCTCGTATCTGCAGGATCTGCTTTCGGGCGTTCATCTTATAGAAGTTTCACGCTTTTGCTTAATGCTGTACCGTCTACGAGTTGCAGTGTCGATCAGATGATTTATGCCGGTTTTTCCCCCATGTGCATAGGAAAAAACAGGTTTTTTAGGCTTACATTTTTTTTTTTTTTTTCTGGAAGTCTACAGTTGTAAAATATTAGTGTGTTTGCATTACGTCACATTTCTCAAAATCGCGGGCTCTCGCGCCAGCAGGCAAAGGGGCGGGCCAACTGCCGCAGCCTGACCTGGTATCCCTGGTGGAAAGCGGGCGCGGGGCGTCGAGTGGCGCCGACACGGCGGATGAGGAGGACGGTGCCAGCCACCGCTCCCGCACCGTGGGCGGGATGCCGTCCCAGGTGTCCACCTCGGCTACGGTCCGGAGCGCCCTCCACTACGAGAACGGCGCCTTCCTCAAGGCCGAGGACTCCCCGCTGTCCCTCATGGCATGCGGAGGCACCGACGTGAGTTGCCTCCCTCGAACTATTGTGCCTGGATTGCGTCCCCTGTTGCCATGCTCACCGCTTCCTCAAAAGCGGTTCCTCGATTTCCGCGACGACTGCGTCAAAGAAGTGTCACACCTTTGCCTGCCGTGATACCGGCGTTGTCGTAGTGGCAACGGTAGACATGGCAGACGTCTGTTGTGCTGTAGGTCGCTCTGCAGCCAGGCAGTCGACAGAAACCGGGGCAGGTTCGAAACGGGACACCGCGAGGACGCTACCGTATTTACTCGAATCTAACGCACACCTTTTTTCCGGGAAAATAGGTCCGAAAATACCATGCGTGCTAGAATCGAGTGCGACCCAAAACTGTGCTACCATATTGCCATCGACATTTCAAAATGGCCACTCCATTACGCGCATAGAGATCAAGTATGCGCTAAGAGGCTTAAAGCGTAGCCTGCGCTTAGCGTAGTCGTGTGTTTCCTGCGTTCGTATCAACATGGAAGTTCCCACTGCAGACACATGCTGCGTTCACCATGATGCTGGATTCAAAAGAAAAGTGATATTGTGCGCGGATAGCGATGGAAATCGGGCCGGCATCACGTGCGTTAAGTGTTCCAGAAACTTGCGTGCGGGACTGGTGCAAGCAGAAAGAAAGGATTTTGGCCAGCAAGTCAACGCGGAAGGGATTCAGTGGACTGAAGAAGGGCCGATTCCCCAAAATAGAAGACCCGCTTGCAGAATATGTCGTCCAACAGCGGTGACGAGTGATGCATATCGCCCCATGGGCGCTGCCCCGGTCAGGCGTCGTGATGACGACCTTGCCGGCGAGAGACAGCGCCGTTAATTTCATCGCAAGATTGAAGCATTTGGAATAAACCTTCGTTGTTCCAAGTGAGAAAAAGTTTCATTTCTGTATCGAACCTACAGAATCTGGTGCGCGTAACAATCAAGATCATCGCGCGTTTTTTTCTTCTTTTTTTTTCGGATTTTGAAAATTGGGTGTGCGTTACAATCGAGGGCGCGTTAGATTCGAGTAAATACAGTAACCCTTGTGTCCGCGACATCCGACGGCTTGACACGGTGGCTCCTGGGACTCAGTTTTTCGCCAGTTGGGATCACTTTTGACGCACGAATGGGACGGGATCGTAAGCACGCCTGCGAAGACACGTGGCAAGCGCTGTACTCGGAACCCAGTCGAGGTGGCGTGCCTAGATTTGAGGGCGTTTCTGACCATTCGATCGAGGTCGGTTTACGGGCTGCGTTTGTAACGTGGGCTGCGAGGGGAAGGCGAAAGTATCGGATAGTCTGTGGTGTCTCCAGGCTTGGCTTGGCCTCTCCGCTCGCCATCTTCCTTGCCGGGCAGCTACGCGTGTGTGCATATGTGTAGAGAGCCTAGATTGAAGAGAGGGTCCATCTTGGACCGTGGTGAGCATTTGCAATTTAAATGCAAATGCCTCCTGCAGATACAGGTCGCAAGTGTGTGTGTGCTGCGTTTTCGTGTGGCGAGAAGGAAAGCGGTCGGAGGGGCAGAGATGTTTGCAGACGATGAACATTTTTGTCACTTGCTCGCTGCTCTTATTACAAACGCGGCCCATAAACCACGTTACCCCGGCCGAGCAGTTGAAAACTTTGAAATACAGGCTCTCTACACAGGAGCAGCCAATCAGCACAGGAGGTTCGCGCCATGATATTGCAGATTCTTTCCGTGGTTTGAGTTGCTCGAAGAGGTCGGTGTTATGAGGATGAAAACGTAGAATAGTGGAGAGAACTGTGTCCTTCTTTTTAATTTTGAATGGTTTTGATTGCATCACAAAGCTCATTGCGATCAATGCTTGCCTAAGGGGGATTGCAGTTTTTGTTGATTTTATTCATACATACCATTTTTCTTTTTATTAAGTGGTGGGAGGGACGGTAAAATAATGTAGCACAAAAAAAAAATAGAAAAATAGCTCAGAAATTGAAATGTTTAGCATACAGGTAACTCGAAATGGTGTTGGGTATGGGTAAATATTCATATAGTTGAAATATAAACTAAAATGTGCTGTGCCAGCTTGAAAGATGTGCCATGTGAAAGCTAAAAGAAAAATTAAAGACAGATTATGGGCTTCAGTTGGTGGTATTGCATAAGAAGAGAATATTTGTTACTTTACCTTATATAAACCAGAAATCTTCCAGTTGTCTCTATCATTCACATTAACCCTAAATGAACTGGAAGTATCGGTAAATGAAATAGCTCTTTTATAATAGCAGCCAGTCTGTAGGCACGGTGGCAAGTCCGTGTGACTAACATTAGTGGCTCTTACTTTCTACTCAAATTTTAAAGAAGGTATGGGGCATATTGCAACGATGATTAAATCAATTATTGGTGGTGATTACACTTAGAAAGAAGAAAAACTTTCTGTTTCTTTAGCAGATCCCAAAGGCGCTCTGAATGCAGAGCATTCGTAGGTCCTCTGTGATGTCACGTCATGTCACAATGTCTAGTGACGTCACAGTTTATGTGACATCATTGTGTCACGTGACGTCGCAGTGTGATGTGACGTCATGGTGTCGCATGGCTTCACAGTGTCATGTGACATCACAGTTTCATGTAAAGAACGATGACCCGAGAATTTCGTCTCCTGGGCCTTGTCACCACTCCAGTCTCACGTCCTGATACCAACTGTCGTGAACACCGTGACGACATCATCATTGAGGCTAACTATGTGAGCACATGCATGAAAACCCTAAGAGCTGGCACTATAAATGCTATATGTTTAAAAAAGGTACTCATCGATTCGTTGCTCTTGAGCTTGGGTGCTCGAGGGCTAACAGCGGCACCTAATGTTTCGAAAGGAGCCTATGCTGCTGGATCTGGCCGAGGAAGAGCTTCGCTGCGTCGGAGCCACGGGACTGCGAGGAGATGTGGGTCCGTCGGAGTCCACCACCCGCTGCGGTGCCCTGGAGCTGACCTTCAACTACAGTCCAGCCTCGCGCAAGCTTACGGTGGGAGTTCTGCGTGCCCACGACCTCCCCAGCCGAGACCGGGGTGGCGCCAACAGCGTGCAGGTGAGTCGCGTAGGCCTGCCTCATACCGCTGTTGGCACTGGGTATGCAAGAATGTCAGCAAATTTAAAATATTTCTGTTGGAAAGTTTCAATTTGAATATTGTGGTGAGAATATTTTGACCTGAATATTATACCTAGAAATTTCTGTTAAAATATTTTGATTATAATATTTTTTTATTTGAAAACTTTTACTAGAATATTAGGATTTGAGTATTTCCTTTAGAATATTTTTATTAAAATACTTCGATTTTAATATTTTAATACTAATATTTTACAAGCTTTTATTGATACTCTTGGCTTCTTGGTAGGGCCTCTAAAGGATTAAAAACAATAAAATACTACAGGAAAAGCTGCCTTTCTCACACCCACGCATGGGATTAACATATTCACAACAAGCGAAAGTGTAATTCTTTGAACATTTAAATTGAGATATATTATGTACTGTAGAATGCTTTAAAACATCTATAGAATTTTCTATTGAGAGATAAATGGACTTGTGATAACTTCCAGGGCCAAGGGAGCGCACTGTGAAATCTGAGCTTGTCATGCAGTGCTGGCTCTCATGTCACTCAACTTCGTTTCGTGATTTGCACATTGATAGTCAGGTCGACTTTTCGTGGAGTTCCTGGCCACATCCAAAGGATTGCTCAGCTCTTATTTTTCACTGCTTATCCCTGGAATGGAACACAACCATGTAGTTTTTCAACCGAGTGTCTGATCAAATCAAGTAGGCAAAAAGTTTGAACATCAGATTGAGTATAAAACAAAGTGTAAGTGACCTCTTTTTCGCGATTCGGATGTAACATATTGGCGCGTCCCTACCTTTGTGTGTGCTAGGTGCGTCTGCTGTTGCTCCCCCACAAGCGGCAGAAGTTCAAAACCAAGATCCGGCAGGCAAGCCAGGACACCCGTTTCGACGAGAGCTTTGCCTTCAGCCGCATCAGTCCCGGTGAGCCGTTCGCCGTCGTTCGGAATGGGACAGGGATTCAGCCAATGAAACATGATTATGCGGTTATGTGCTTTTATGCTTGATTAACTTTTATCCCACAAATACACATGGGACATGTGGGTTGCACTCGCCTCCCCACTCCTACTGCTCTGTTGAATCTTTTCGTGACGTCAAATCACGTGATATGGTCATATGGAGTGGCAAGTAGCGCGCTTCTCACATGCCTCTCATTTTTGGCATAGCAAAATAGCTGCCGCACCGCGATCAGAATCTTGGGGTTGTGGGTCTGATTCTTGTTGGGTGACAATTGGAATTTTATTCTTTCTCCTCAATTGCGTGTTCTTTTGTATGAATTTTCCCCTGAAATTGTTGTCGCACGTTTCTGGACGGTTTTTCGTGCCATTCTGTCACTCTTTTCTAAAGTATCCCAGCCCTTAAACACATGCTGTCTCCTCTCCTGTCACAGTTCACATCCTGCATCAGCGCTAACTGTCAGTCGTATGAAGCGATCTCGGGAACTAACCGCGAAAGTGCGGCTTGTTGCGCATCAGGAGGTAGTGATTACACAAATGCACAGGATTGAAATGCTTGTCCAAGCAAAAGTTGACAGGAGTAAGCTTTCAGTTCATGTGCTGTGGACCTTGCAGCTTTTCTGGCTGGGTGCGTGCATATAAGCCAGAGTGCTGTTTTTCACCGCAGAGGAGGTGAACACGATGGGCCTGCGAGTTCGGCTCTACGGCTGCGAGCGTATGCGTCGGGAGCACCTGGTTGGAGAGACCGTGGTGCCCTTCTCTTTCCTTGGGCTAGACCAGCAGACCACCCTGTGGCTGGTTCTGGAACCTCGCTCCAACCTGGCTGTGAGTTCAGCCCCGGTTCAGCCGGGTACTCTGGGGGAGTTTTGCCTATCATTGATGCAACAGACTGGTCATTTGGCCACTGGCAATTTTGCCCGATGATTGTCCAAATTGAGATACGAGGCAATCAAATCAAGTCTAGTTGTGGGAACCTGCACGAATTTAAAGCTGCATGTTCTTGTTTAGATATCTGTGCAGGCTACCATTGATGCAAAAAAAGTTAGGGAAAAATGTGGCAGCAGATTGTCAGAACAGATGGTTGCATCATCAAATGGATGAGAAAAGTATGATTTTATTACAACATTTAATGGAGCAGTATTTGCATGACTGCTGTACTATTTTTCTGGGGAAAGATAGCAACTCGTGGGATCTTAGCCGACATACACTCCCATTTTTTTAGCTAACTGCTTCGTGCTTGTGCCCTTTAGTGGGCATGCTGACAAGGTCTTTCTGCTTTCTGCTGCCGTGGTCCTCTGCACAGCACTGGGACTCCAAGTGCGAGATCTCGAGCCTGGCCCGGTCAGACTCTACAGGCTCGACGCAGTCCATGCAGCACGGAGGGCTCCCCGAGCTGCTGCTAGGACTGGCCTACAACGGCACCACGGGACGCCTAGCCGCAGAGGTCATCAAGGGCAGCCACTTCCGCAATGTGGCCATGAACAGGGCACCAGGTCAGTGCTGGCTGTCGGCTTTACTGCTTCACTCGCTCATCGGTTCGACTCGGAGAGTGACCGTCTAGAAGCCTCAGTGTAACATTTACTGTTACTCTGAGGTGTGCCGTGTAGCGTAAAGGATTTAATTTTCGTGAGGACCCAACATTCGCGAATTTCGCGTTTAAAAAATATAGTACAACAAAATCGATCTTGTGAATACATCACCTGGTGGTACCAGATACATAGCATACCAATTGCAAAATATTCAACAATATACCGTATTTACTTGCGTAATGAACCCACCTTTTTTTCAGAAAAGTAAACTTCAATTTGTGGGGGGGTGGGGGGGTTGGGTTCATTACGCAGGATGAGGAGAAAAAAAAAAAAGTTGCGACAGATTTATAAGAATTGAAATTTCATATCACGATGTAGATAGGAAACTCGCTATTAAATAAAACCTTACCTTTTAAAAAAGTAAAAGCGCATACACTACATATACGTAACCAGTAAAAGCCCATTTCGGTGCATGAATCTCGTTGTCCAACCGCTGCTGGCTTCAAAAATCGCAAGCAGGAATGCCGTGATTTCTGGCTGTGGCCCGCGCATGGTTTTGAATCAGCACAGTGAAGGCTGTGCAGTGTCCCACTGCACAGCCTTCACTGCAGAGCCTCTTCACATAATCCAGAACTTCGTTCTCCATGAGAGGAAACTTGAAACTAAACACAATCCACACAAAACAGAAGCAGCGATGAAATGGCGGCGATTTTACGTTGTTTGTTACTTTCTTTACATACTGTCGCGCTTGCATGGCGCTATAAGCAAGGAGCTTTCCATTGCAATCGACAAATGGCGCTCCGCCACGAAAAGGCACGTTTTTTAAACTGTGACTTGCGTCGTTCGCGCTTGCGTCGCGGAGACTGTTTAACATGGTTCTTAGACTTTTTGGCATCGTTGCTTGATATATAACGGTGTGATGTTACGTTATTGTGATTGTCTACGGCACCGCCGATCGCACCAAAATAAAGTGAACAGATATAACACACCAACTTTTGAAATGGGGTGCTCCCCCACCCACATACACACACACAAAAAAAAAAAAAAGTATTTCCTCAAGGACAAAAGTGGGGGGTGGGTTCATTACGCGAGTAAATACGGTATGCTTTGCAAAATTAGCGAAATATTGAAATCGCACAAATAAAGTTGTTTACGGTATGGCCCGCGTGCCAGTCAATCGGTGGTCTGGGGTTGTGGTGATAGAGCGGGTAGCCTAGACAATTGTGTGACTTCGTGTGACATCGTGCCGGAATGCAATGCAGCGCGCTCGTGGCGGCGCTCAGTTTACGTGACCGGGGAGGAATTTGACTGCGCAGCCGGCAGCTTGCGAAGGCAAATACCACAAAATCATAGGAGGCGGATGGAACATGTAAAAATGTAGAGCCCTTCCACTTCACGTGAGGATGCAGGACCAGCAAAACTGTTATCTCAGCAATGTCTGGGACGACCTCAAGGACAACGCCTAGAGGACGACGTCTAGAACGATCTCAAGGACGACCTTGGGGACGACGTTTAGGATGACCTCAAGGACAACATCTTGGACGACCTCAAGGACGACGTCTAGGATGACCTCAAGGATGACTTCTAGGACGACCTCGAGGACAACCTCTCGTACAACTTCAAGGACAATGTCTAGGACGACCTCAAGGATGACTTCCAGGACGACTTTGAGGACAACCCAACAGACGACTTCAAGGAAAACTTCTAGGACGACACCCTCAAGAATGACTTCTAGGACGATCTTGAGGACAACTTCTCGTACGACCTCAAGGATGACGTCTAGGATGACCTCAAGAACAATTTCTAGGACGACGCCTAGAGAAATTCATCCTTTCCACTCTGGTGAAAACCAGAGTGGAAAGACTGGAAAGGTTGCCGCCGTCGCTCTTAAGTGGCGGTAGCCGTCCGGAGTTTTATGTCGACTTTTGTTTGTGCACGGACGTGATACTGGGGAAACTAGCCCTTAACAGCTCCGCTGTAAAAGGAGCTCATGTTCACACTCGGAGGAAGAAGATGCCCGCACATAAAAGCAAAGGACTGATACCGCAGATCACGGGCACCGCAAATTTGCGTGTCACGATGCGATAAACACACAGGGATTCTCTACGAACCCCTGTGTCACGGGAAAGGATGCCGCAGGTTGCGGACGCAGCAGGTTCGCATTTCACGGTGCTAAGGACCCACGGAAATCCGCCGAGAACTCGCATCTCACGGGAACGGATACCACAAATTGCGGACGTAGCAGATGCAAGTTTTATGGTGCAATAAACACGTGGGAACCCGCTACAAACTTGTCTGTCACGAGAACCGATATCGCGCGCCCAGATCGCAGACAAAAAGGCAGGAATCCACCACAAACTCTTATGTTACAGGAACAAATACCGCAGATCGCGAACGCAGCAGAATCATACTTTACGATGCAATATACACGCGGGACCAACTCGCGTGGAATCGAGATCACGCACGGAGATCCTGGACAAAAACACGGGAATCCGCTATAAACTCGCTTGTCAAACGTGCCGGTGCAGCAAATTGCGCAGTTGATGCGATTCCCGTCGGACATTGCGTGACGTCTCACGGAAATCGGGGGGTGGGTGATATTTCGGAATTTTTATGTTCCAGATATTTAGCCAGAAAAACGGAATGGGCAGTCTTTCAGGGGAAAGCGTTCTCTCGGAACTTTACGGTAGTGTGATGACAAGTAGTTGTCAAGACCCGATTTGTTGCATGAAAGTCTGAGCAATGAAAAGTTCATCTGCCTCCCGGTGTAGTAAGACTGCTAGTCTAAGGTCTTTTAACATGCATCATACAGTGTATACACAACTGCACGTAATCGCAACTAATAAAGTTGTGCTTCTCGAAAAAATATGCGGACAAGGAGGTATACACGACGTTTCGGGCGGACGCCCTTCTGCATGTTGGTACAATGCTCATCCAGATAGAAGTGAGCAGAGCGTTGTCACTTTACCGAGCAGAATTTTGATTTTGAAAATTAGCTTTGGGCAGATTTGGTGCCCTCTGGTAGTATATCAGTTGATGAAGCAAGGGTAAGGTAGGGTGAAAAAAAATAACACAGTATGTTTTTGTTATTGTTACTGACAGACACCTTTGTGAAGCTGACGCTGATGTCGTCGAGTGGGCAGGAGATTGCACGCAGCAAGACCTCGGTGCGCCGGGGCCAGCCCAACCCTCTCTTCAAGGAGACTTTCGTGTTTCAGGTGAGACGGTTTGGTCGAATCTAGACAAACCTAAGATAACTTTTTAGTTTACTCGAAAATTGCCCGCTATAAAGTTAAATTCTAACCAGTTTTAATAAAAACAAAACCCCCGTCATTTTGAAGCCAGTTTGGTTGCTTTGTGACGGGCGACTTGGTTTTTATTTGGAGCGTTGGTTAGAATTTCAACTTGCAAGATAAAATCCATGCACCATGCATCTATGAGAAATGGTCACTTCTAATATTGTCGGAGCTATTTAAAACATGTACATGGTGAAAAGATGGGTGTGTTAAGTAGAGACTTGGAGTCATGGCTCTAGTCACTCCCTGCACTAAACGTGCCATGTGCACTTCCAGTGATCGTGACTCCAGTCAAACTCTAGAGCTCTCTGCCCTCAGATTTGGGATTGTGGAGTTATAAAGTTCTTCCTGAAGAGTGACACAGTTCCGCCTGGTCCCGCGGAGAGCGGATGCCGATCACGGATGGCTCACGCTTGTTTCGGCAGCCATTTCGGTACTGTTGGTTTGTGCGATAGATTTCATGATGGATGTATCATTGCAGAAGCAACAAAATGTGATTCATGTCATCGTATGGCCTTATGATAAAGTGAGAATGTGTTGGTAGTGTTGTGCAATTTGTTAAATTAATTGTCTGCATCCTTATGTCGATTTTTTCGTTGGAGTTGCTACGCGTAAGCATGTATAGCTTTGTAAACGCTGTTTGTTACTTCCCCTTGCTGGTGTCCACCAGATGTTTCTTGCGTTCTTTTGATCTCATTTCTGTGATGTGTGTTTATGGCAAGCACAAAGCAGAGTCGAACCTTGTGGTTCTCCTTTGGGCCAATACCTTTGGGAGTACCACGTTCGCGGCGAGACGCTCTACCACGAAGCGGGTTTGTACTCGCGTGGCATGCTGCTAGTTGAGCGCGAACAGACACTAGTCACGTTGGTAACGCTGATAAACTCTGTTTATTTACAATGAAACAAATAACAACAAAACAGCGGCTATAAGCTGGTGAACGCCGTCGGTGTGGAGATCGCCCACGGCCGAACGGTCGTTCACAAAGGTACAAAGGACGAGGTAAACGCTCACCGGTGCGCCGGACGGTCCCCCTTTGTCGCCGCCGCCGAATCCCAGGAAGAAGAGAGAAAGATACTCCTGTCCGCTCGTTTTAAGATAACGGCGGGGGCGAAGTGGCCAATCAAGGAGCGACACGTCGATCTCCTTTGTGCGGGGGTTCGTTACGGAAATCGCCCCAAAGGGGCAGAGGAGGAAGCCACTCACAGTGGTAAGCAGCGCCACCTCTCGCTACGTCGGCGCGGCCGTCACGGCGCGCCGAAACGCTGACGCGACAGAATGTTGAGGGATCACAATCCCCACAACCTTGAGAATGCAGCGGTTCTTGTTTGCGGCGTACATTGCTTGCACTCTTTATTGCTGAGGTAGTTTCACTAAATGATTCTGCAGCCGCTTAGCTAAATAAAGCAGCACAGCTTCTGCATTCCGATAAGGTGCACAGTATGTGTACAAAAAACTTCAGGATCCGACTCTGCATACCCGTGTTTTTTCCGAAGTGTCGACTAAGCAAAATAAAGCTCACAACGTTATCTTTATTGGCAATAGACATACATACTCAGCTGAATTCCGGTGTGCTTATGATAAGTTGCATTTGCGTCAGTTCCAAATTCAGGCGATATAAAGAGCCAACAGCGACACAAGCTCATTCTTGAGCAGCTGCAGCATCAGATTAGCTTCTTATGCATTCTGCTCTGTCGACAAGCCAGCCATCTTGCATTGTTTCCCAAGAAAAGCAAAAGGAAAGAATGCAACATAGAGGGCACGAACTGTTCAGAGGTGCTCTGAAGGTCCGTTTAGTGGAGAGACTGACGGAGTGACTCAAGTCGAAACCGTGGAGTCTCCACTTCATGCACCCCATCACGTACAAAAAATAGACAAGGTTTTTCATTAATCTGAAGGTTTTGCACTTGACCGAAGGTATTACATTAGACTGAAGGTTTTTCAGTCTAATACTTGATAAATGGTGCCAGTATGTTCTCCCATCGTAAGCAGTCACAAGCGGGCACGGTGAATTTGAGCACACCCAAACAGAAATGTGTGAACCAGCCTTTACCGTCGCAACTGTCACAGAGTGTTGGTACTGAACTCTAATTAACTTCTCAGACTGATATGAGCAGGCATGCTGTCAATTTGTGTACGCCGAAATATTCTTCCTTGGAATTTTTTTTTAAGAACACTCTCGGTGCAAGGTGGTTTGTAATTTTTGTTTGTGTGTGTCTGGTTCGTTCTGGCCTTGAAGGTTGACATCTTCGTGTGTCTGGTGGTGTTGTCAATTAAACAATTTTTGCTTCTCCGATTCCTTGCGTTAAAAGAGACCTCTGCACCGAGTTGGATGTAGCGTGCCCATGACTGTTGTATCGCTTAGTTAAGCGTGTGCGGCGCTCCCATCGTTGCTGCGCAGGTGGCCCTGTTCCAGCTGCCCGACGTGACGCTCATGGTGTCGGTGTACAACAAGCGGTCGATGAAGCGCAAAGAGATGATTGGCTGGTTCTCTCTGGGGCTCAATAGCTCGGGGGAGGAGGAGCTGTCGCACTGGAGCGACATGCGCGAGAGCAAGGGCGAGCAGGTAGGCTTTTCACCGGTGTGAGACCGTCACGGGGACTGACTGCACATTTTCATCACACTCACCGAACTTGATGGTACTGATTTCATAGGTGTTGCACTACGCTCGAGAGAGAGAAGGAAAGAGATCCCCCGGAGACTTGTTGTGGTGACTTGTTTCTTTTTGCAAGTATAGAACGGAGACCTTCGCTTTTTTGACAAGCAAATAGATGTTTGACTAAACGCTGGTCGCTTAGTGTTATTCGTTAGCAGACGAATTGGATTGCAATATTTATTTTTTTTCCTGTGCTTTGGGCGCTCTAGGAGATTTAGAAGTACCGTTTCCGGATTTGTCGCGAGCAGGTGCAAGTCAAGTATGGGGGTCAATATGTTTAATACCTTCGGCTCAGCGCTTCGATTTCATTTGTAAGCGGAATAGGAGCAGCCCTTCTTCAATAAGTTTGGGGAATAAATTTTTACCTAGGATTGAGCCAATCCTCCCCAGAAAACTATAATTCATGTTTTGAAATAATATAACGAAACAACCCAAATTCGAAATGCTAAGAAAGCAGCTATGCGAAATCGAAACCGTGACTGTAGTACACTTAAATGTTTATTGTAGTACTATGAAATGTTTATTGTAGGTGGCAACTCAAAAGAAACGAACCTCATCTCATCCCCCGAGTCCTCTAAAGCATTGTGTATTTTCTGCCGGGACTATTTCGGTGAAAAGACCGCGATCCCCAGAACGAACCCAAAACAAACCCCTAGGGAACCTCCCCGACGGTCCTCCTTTCCACTTCCATCCTCCCTTCCCTCTTTCTTTCCTCCTCCTTCTCGAGCGTAGTGTGACACCTCCGAGATCAGTACCAACTTGATCTGTAGTAATTTTGGTAGTGGGGAATAAAAATTAATGCTTGAAAAGCAATTGTCCTTTTCTTTAAAGGGACTCTCTTTTAACCCGTTTCAACATCTGCCATCGAGATAATTGCGTTCATTATTTTCATGTTCATGATATGTAACTTCCTGAAGATGTCACGGACATGAAATTCTAGCATGACCATGTTTGCAATGCGAGGGACAACTTTGCGTATTTTCCTGCAAGAAAGAATAACACCACGAATGTAATGTGAGGCTAAGTAATGAATAATGAAGTAGAACTTTCTTCAAATCAATCAGAATGCGTGACAGGCACAAAAGCCGTGAAAGTTTCAAAACAAAACTATGTGCTAGAAGCCGTTGAACGCAATGGCTGAGCTACCCTAAAGTCAGCTAGGGAGCTTAACATCAAGAGAATCGCACAGTACTTGTTTTTATGGATTTTGCACCAGTGGGGATAAAGTGCACAGAGTGTACAAACTACAAGTGAATAGCTGGAGATCTCCTCAGTTCGCGTAGATGCGGTATGTCAAACTGAAAGTTTGCCCGGTCTTTGCGCAGGTGTGTAGATGGCATGTGCTGTTGGAAACCTAATCCCAAGGGCGACGTAAATGTCCCGCGAAGTCGTCCAACCCGGCCACGGCCTGTCCCGTCTCCCTCACACCGACATCCCGAAGGAAGGGTGAGAACGTTGTCCTGTCGGTGCAGGTCGATTGTCGCCTAGTTCGGAGAGGCGGAACTAAGACGGGCCAATCCCCAACCAGTCTAGTTGCCCCACACGGATCCCGACATCTCCCAGTTGTCTGTGTGCAGCAGTTTCGGTTGGCATTACGCGGTCTGCGCCTGGTTGAAGAACACGGGTCGGTCAGGCCCGAGATTTCCAGTGGCAGCGCCGTGTGTTCGTGGGGCACACGCCGAAATGAGTAGCTGTCACCAAATTTCGTAGTGGACAGTTGGACAGCTATGATAGCAGCTTGCGATCTGTGGCTAGCGTTGCAAAGAAGCAGTGTTAGAAGGATTCGTAGCCATAGCACCGAGTTGTTGGAGCGAGTCTAAGGTTTCCGTGTTAGGTTAACTGGAATGTGAGCCAACTTCATATAAGCCGGAGACCAGGATAAAATTAAAAAAAAAAAAAAGAAAACAACCACACACAGCTTTGTGTTCAAATACACCGTGTTTGAGATGCTGTATGTAGTTGTTAATATTTTTTTCCTGGCCTTTTTTTTTTTTTTTTATGGGGTTGGTTCAAACGTCTATCGTTATTCTGCCTCGATTAAGGTGACAAAATGTCGTAAAAGCGTTCTTCCGCACTGTTCGCCCTAACACACGCGAGCCATTTCACCAGCAGTAGTCGCAGACTGCAAACGTGGAACTTCGCTCCCAGCCTTTTCTGCCGTTGTTTCCCGACAACCGAATTGAAGGCAGAAATTCCAGACAGTTCTTGGGCTTTGCTCGCGGCATTGCCTGTGCACGTTTCGGAGAGGCAGCGCCGTTTCTTCTGTAAATTGCAATACCGTCGGGAGCACCGGGCCCGTTTACAAACTCCGGTGGCACGCCTGCCCCGGCGTAGCCGCGGCGCTTTCCGAAAAGGTGTTGCCGACGACGGCTTTCCCAGGCCTCTTGTCCCGCCCCATCTCCCCACACATTTCGAAGTGCCAACCATCGTGGACGATGTACGTCTTTTGTCTCGCCTCCGGCAGAGATGCTCAGCCCTGCTGGTGGTTGTCCCTATGGGAGCAGACGAATAAAAAAAAAACAGAGCTGCGTATCACTCTCGTTGTCCCGCACTCGGGTTTGCAGGTATTTTTTTGGAGTGTGTGCCCAGGAAGGGCAGTGTCTTATCCCCCGGCCCTCAAGGTGTAATGTCTTCTGACGAGGAGTTTTTGTCTCTGGGTTGAGTGGGCGGACAGTGGAAATCAGATTATGCAGTTTGTTGCAAATACTCTAATTTAATTTTTTTTGCATTGGCGGTCGCCATTTCTTTGGCACGAAGCATGTGATTGGTTTGAGTCCTTGCCAAACGCTGACACAGCACTTGTTCTCGTACAAGCTGAGCCGAGTTCACGCCGAACGCTGATGCAATGTGCTCTTGTCCAATACTTGCTCGGGTATGCGATCAAACTATGGTGGATTCGGGCGATATGCAGCAGCTGCAAGATGGCACATACTTTTGAAGCTTACAGGAGAATGGTATATGGCATGCCCCCAAAGGCCACCTCAAGCAGTGGCATTTGTCCACCTTGCGTCGAGATATGGCCACGAGTACTTCGAAATTCGTGCTTTTGCATGCTGCGTGCCTAGCTTCTTCAAACTGGCGACACGCAGTGTACGAAGAATTAATGTCCCTGTAACTCGCGCAGTTGTATATCGATGTAAGTCGCATCAGTATAGTCAAACAATTCTGTGGGAATGATCACCTGAGCAACGTCTTTTTCCTAAACCACTGTTTTGCTGTGTTGAGCTGAAAGATTCATAACATAATAATAATAATATTGGTTTTATTCAGTGTTGTATTTTGGTTGTGTTATTGACTCTCTTAAATTTTTGAAGGATTGTATAACTTTGAAAACGAAAGGCTGAATGTTTTTCTAGAGATGAAAAGAAGATGACAGCCTAGTGTAGTTAATTTCCGATGCAGATTTTGCAGAATTTCCGATGCAGAAATGCAAATTTCCGATGCAGACTCGTGAAATTTGTGATCACCAGAAAGAAACAATGGCTGGGTGGACGGTAGCGACTGCACTCTTCGTAACAGGCAGTAGCTTGCGCCACCTATTGGTTACCAGTTGCTGTCTCTGTTTTACATGAGGCTGTATACCTCTTGGTTACCATGCTAGTCACGATATCTGACAAGCACTCGCTACGTACCCACATTGTGACTGTTTGTTAGATCTGTCAAGTTCTAAATAGGTTGCACATCTAGATCTTCTTAGTTTAGGTATTCCTCCCCAAATTCCAGCATCAGGGAACTGATTTCTTTTGTTCGCTCAATTGAACCAGGGACAAAGTAGCTGACCACGTACGCGTGACTCTGTCGTTACGTTTGACCTTGAGTGACCTCCCGCTGCCTGTTACTATGCATTGGAAGGTTCATGTTGAACAAGACAGTGCTGCAGGAAGCAGTATCTCTGTTAACCCGACACACTTCCTTCTTCCGCAACCGCCTCGTGTTTTTTTTGTTTTTTGTAGTGAAATCGGACTTGGTTTGTTTGTTCAAGTGGGATTCCCATGCAAGCATTGTCAGGGAGGCAGCTTTCGTTTACCTATCATTTTGTCATTTACCTGTATCGAGCCGCGAGTTCCCGCTTATATTCGCTTCTTTTAACGTTGAGTGTTCCTGCGCGATTGTTGTACCCTTGTCATTGTGGCCGCTCCAGTGTAAACTGTGGAGAGATCGTTCCTTTGCGACGCGATTCTCAACGTCTCTTGAAGGACCTTGTCTGACAATCTCTTTCCCCTGGTCGTTTCTCTCGGTGTGAACCTGTCGTTCAATGTGTCCCCGCAGTGCGTCTTTTCTTTTTTTGGCTGTCTGTTTCGTGGTTTGTTGCAGTCATCAATGGCGGAACTCGGACGGTTCTTTTGCCGCACTTAAAAGACTATTTTTCTGTCTAGGAAAGAGCATTGAAAGTGTTGTTGTAAGATGTGATGCGGTGTGCTACGCTTACGGGTGAGCTTTGAATTTTGAATCAGTTGCCTGAAGGGATTATGAAAAAAAATTTTGAAATTGAATTCTGCGCAGTATGATGGGAGCATATTAAAGTGTTACGGTTTCCAGCCTGAAGCATCGGTTCTACAGTGCAATTCAAGAGAAGGGGCAAGAGCTATTTTTCGATTCGGCGCCTGTTGTGGATGCCTTCGATAGCACGAAACGTGCGTCTCGTTGTGGGCGCAGGGGCCGATTATCTGAATCCCCATTACGTCTGCAGCACCAAATTAAGGACATAAACCGTTTTGCTTCCCAAGATACAACACGATGTAGGGACACCTCCAACGAAGTGTGCTCCTTCTATTTGTCTTCCCCTGTGTTACGACCGCTGTTCTCACAGACGCGATTCTTTCTTCGATCAGAATTGGGGGTAAAAATACCACCATACCGCCTGAAACAAAAAATAGACATGCCTTTTGCATCTTCCGCTCGTCGACGATTTATTCCGAGAATTATTTGACCAAACAATAAAACTCCCTTTGTGATCCCTTTAACGAGTAATCAAGAAATTTGTAAGCATGTGCAGGCCCAAAATTTCAGTTCCTGTTCAACATGCTTAAAGTAACAATAGGCCAAGCTGAAGGTGGAGGCAGTTGAGATCCCGGTCCTATCGTGCGCCAACTCTTGCGATGGTCTTGGCACGCCCGCTTTCTGAGGGATGGTAAGGTCGATGGATGGATATTCAAAAGTTGGAATCGGGCTTGTTGCGCGTCGTCTTGCCCGGCGTTGTTTGCTGGCTGTGTACATAGCCTGTTGTTTACTGCTTCGTGAGATGGAGCATTGTTGGAAGAGTCTTGCGTGTGAGCTGCGCCCGTCTCCCGAGGGAGCGGCAGTACGGGTGGCGCTGGTGCTGCGGTCACCGACACTACAAAGCGTCGCATAGTGTGACCAGCTTGAAGGAGAGGAGGAAATGTGTGGCACATGTAATGCAAGAAACTAGGCAAAAAAATTATTTTGCAAAACTTTGCCACTTCGTTCAATTAATGCGTGCTTGGAATTGCCTTACCTTCGTTAAATTGCTTATGCAAACAGATGAATGGAGCAAGAAGTTATTTATATCAAGAGCATGTTTACGTTGCTTCTTTATTATTCCTAAACTTCGAGGTGATATGGTTCCAATCAAATGGTTTTCAATATGTGCTGCTAGGTTTCCGGGTTTTCGGGTTTTATTTTTGGAGTCGTATGAGATTTGCTTTCACAACTTTGGCGGAAGTCCTAACGTCCGCTGAATTCCCCTATTCTCAGAAATTTTAAGGATAAGAAGCGCACTTCCACTTGGAGACATATAGGAAAACACTTTAATCCTACTTTCATAAACGCAGCCTCACAACAACACGTGGCTTGCACGTGATGTCATTGAACCATGCTGGTGGTCAATAAAAAATGTAGATTGTTTTGACAACTCCAGTAATAATACCCGATACTCCGCCAACGCCCTTGTGTGCGCATTGTGTCATTATCGGGTATTGTTACCAGAGGTATTGGAACAATCTACTAAAACTCTTTATCCTCACCTGTTCTTGCCGTAGAAAAACAAATTCAGCGGTCCGAAATGTATGCCACAAAAAGGACTTGCTGAGCGGCAAGACCGCCACAATTGCAGCTGATGCGACGTCGGTGCAAGCAGTGTACAACACAATTCAAAGTGTTTGATGTCAGGTGGCTAGAGACACTGCCAAGGTCACACAGTGTCGCGCTTGAAGTGTCGGTGACTGCAGCACCATCACTGATGTTGGTACTGGCTGTTACTGGCGGCACGAGCTGTTCGGTTTGACATCAGCGGTTTGTGGCTGCCACGGTGCTGAGGCGGCCGATGTTTCTCTCTGCGTGCGTGTCCGTGCGCGAAAGACTTTCTCATTGTTACCATGGTTACCTGCTTTTGCTGCCTTTGTTCTGGCGGTTGGTTGGGACAGAGCTCTCGCCCCCCAAAGCCTCTCCCTCTCGACCCAGCTGTTGCACATTAAAAGATTCTGAGAAATGTTGACACTACTCGAAGTCTTTGTCACTTCTTCTTTCCTCGACTGATTTTATGTTTTCCCCTTTTGTCTCAGGTTTGGTTTGGTTCCTGCGCCGTTTTCGCATGGTTTGGTTTTTGGCAAGTTTTCTGATCCAAAGGTAAGCTTTTATGTTGTTTTTTTTTCTCTACAATTTATTGCAGCATTGGCTTTTCAATGCCCCTCCCAGCGTCATGATGATGTGAGTTATAAATAAATAGCACGACGACACGTAGTGCCGATTCTTGTCTTATGTGTGCCTTTTTTCTGTCATTGTCTCGTTTGCACTATGTAATAATTTTTTGTAAATACAGGGTTGACAGATACTTAGAGACGAAGGGCCGGAACCCACGACACAATGAACCGACTTGTGAAACGATAAGGTATCTTCGTTACTCATTTGTCAGTTCTTTGCTTTGCCTATGTTGATCGCTTTGATTGCTACGCTGCGATTCGTGTAAAATAAAGGTTGCTTAATCTTGTCGGAGGCATGGCCCAGATAGATAGAGATAGAAAAGAAAAAAAAAAGGAAAAACATCACCCAGCCCATTAAAGGGACACTGACAGGGTATTTATGCTCGCCGAGGTTTTTAGTTGTACGTGACATATGAGAGCTCAACTACCCAGAACAGAATTTGCGGCTCGAAATTCGGTTTCTTTCCGCCCGAAAACCGCCGATCAAGAACTGGCCGGTTTGAGTCTCGCTCACTCTCTTTTCCGCGGTCACGGGCCGTTTTCTAAGGTATCGATGCGACCACCAAATTTAATCAAAGTCGTGGGTCACTGAAGGGACACACTCAATATTAAAAATAGAAAAAAAATATGAAACCCATTTTTTGTGGCTTCTAAAAACCTGCAAATACGTTGATTGAAAAAAAAGTTCCACAGACAACCGGAAGCATTCTGTGCGTGCGTCGTTTCGCGTATCGTGGGACTCGCGCGGACGGCGATGGCAGCGGACGACGGGCGTGGGACCTCTATTTCACAACTGTCGTTCGCGGTACCGGCGAATTTTGTCCGCCTTTAAAAGAGAAATTTGGGACTGTTCAAAAGGATTGGTATTCATGCCGTACGACACGCCCGACCACCAAGCCGATTTGCACGAAGACGTCTTCGAGCCGTCACTCCCTTCTTGTGGCTGAAGACATCGCTCGCGCAAACGTCAAGCGCGACGTGTCTACTTCGAGTTGAATATGCACGCGTACGATTTCTTTACTAGGTGAGAATGTCGCCAATGCGTGGTGCATCCCGACTTCGACCCTGGAGTGCTTTTGCTAGAGAAAAATCGGCAGCAAACTTTCCAACTTACAGTTTATCGGCTGAATTGTTACTAAGGAAAGAGATCCCCCAGTATCGACATGCGCCAGTAGCTCAGTGGGTAAGACGTCCGCTTCACACGCGGCAGGACCGGGTTCGATCCCTCGTGAAACTTTTTTTTAATAATATTTTCTGATGTTTACATTTCTTTTTTTTTTTTACAATTATTACTGAAGAAACAAAAAAATAAGAAACAAATGTTGTGGACGACACGTCGCTGAATTAAATGGTATGGGATTTCCTTGTTGACACCTGCGAACTCAATGTAATCACTTTCCACAAAATGCAAGGAGCATATAAATCGGGTAGCGTCCGCTTTCCGAGGTGCCCGTAAATGGTCTACAGGAAATGCAGCCAGCCATTGGTCCCGATCCCGTTGATCTTTCGGAAATTCTGTCGCACAATGCCACTTCTGTTTCGGACGCAGGACATGTGAGCCAGCTCTTCACGCAACATCTTGGGTGTATTCTTTTCGGAGCCGATCAAAATTCACCACGGGCACTCACTACTCATCTCCAACTCCTCAATGTACAAAACAACTCATCTTGGAGTACAGAACAACGAGCGGAACATACATAACTGCAAAAGAATCCCACGGCGAACAGTTCCCGTACGCCGCATGTCGTCTGCTACAAGAAAGAGAGAGAAAAAAAAAAAGAAAAAAAAAAAACACGGTCGGGTGTAGCCACGTGACTTCCGCCACTCCACTCTCTTCTCTCCACTTCTCCGACCTCCGTCGGGTTTCGGTTTCGAGCAGCTGTGTCTTTTGGCTTTATTAAAAAAATATGCTACTCTGTTGCAAAATATTAATTGGGTAGTCCTCCGACACCATAATGAAGCGCCTGGCAAAAAATGAAAAATATTTTTTGGGGGGGTGTCAGTGTCCCTTTAAATTTATGCAACGTCCAGCGGGACGTTGCATGAATTTTATGGGTTGGGTGATGTTTTGGTGTTCTTCATGCTATATCAGTCTGGGAAAAGTTAATCCTAATATGATGGGACCTAAACACTGAACAAGCCAAGTGCATGGTGAGAATATAGCAGAGAAATATATATAGTAAGTATATATATGTGTACAACAGTGTTGCTGAGTTTCCGCTCGAATTGGAATGATTCCGGACGCATTCCGCATTTTCGCGGCCCCAGAATGGAATGGGAATGGAATGGCGGTACCACTGCGATCAAGGAATGGCATGGGAAAGGAATTGGGTGCCTTTTGGCTGGAATGGAGTGGAAATGGAATGGCGGTACCACTGCGATCAAGGAATGGCATGGGAAAGGAATTGGATGCCTTTTGGCTGGAATGGAGTGGAAATGGAATGGACTCTGTTCTTAGGGAACTGTGTCGATTTCCATCTAGGGTATTTGGGCTGATAGTGCAATTCGCTAGTGCATGGTAAGTGGCTCGTGAAACAGCATCATTGCACTGGAGGTGACTGACGGCGTGATCGTCTTACTGGCTTATGCTCCTTCGAGGAAGAAAATGATGCGCCCTCAGTGAAGTCACCAAAACTGAATAGTTGACAGACAAGGTATACCGTTCCTGGCACTGCGAGACACAACAAAGAAAGTGGCTGTTGTAATCATGCGCATTTAGCATTAAGCTTTTAACCAGGATTTTGAATCAAACCCTAACCGAAAACCGGAGCAAAACCACTGTATTTTTAACTGAACCGGAACTAAACTAACCAAATCAAGAATTTGATATTGAACTTGAAACTGGAACGGAACCGTAATTTTATGTGGCAGTTACCGGTTAATTGAAAATGGTTTGGCATAAAAAAATGTGAGCCGTGCCTTCTTGCGGGTTGCAGTGCGAAGCCCATTAAATATTTGCGACGGTGGCATCAGCAGCTCAGTTTTGACTAAACAAACGGCAGCGACGACACTGAGACAGCTCAATGTGCAGCACGAATTGGCATCGGCGAGGAGGCGTACACTTTTGTACTTTGTTTCACCTTACCATGGACCGCAAAGGACACTACAAGCAACCGGAGAAAATTCACAGCTCGGAGGGTGTCGCGTGTCCTTCCGGTTGGGCGGGGCAATGCAGGGGGCGCGAAGTCACGAGACAAGCAATGAACTATGGATTGGCTCGTGTAGATTGTCTCATCCATCGCAGTGAAACGGAATATATCTGACTACGCCGAAAGACTAAAGAGCTATTCTTTGTGTGTATGTTGCTGCTAAGCAATATTCCTCAAGGAAAGAGAAAACAAACAAACATCAAAATAAAAACTAATGTTCACGACTGTCGGCGCGTTTGTTCCAGTGTAATGAAATCTGGAGGCGCCAAGAGGTGAAGCTACGACACTGCGGCGCCGGTTGCCAGTCACCCAGCGCCAAGAATTTTTTTTGTGTGTGTGCATTTTCTAGTAACAGCAAGTCGCACATTTTTTTTTGTCTTTTTTTTTTTTTTTTGCTTTAATCGTCTTTTGATTGGCCTTCGCTGTCTTTCTCCTCTTTAACCTTTTCAACTCAGTTGTTCGATCAAGTCATTTGGGTGTGCGGCATGGGTAGTTAGGCATTTCGATCTGGATGAGCATCGTACCGGCGTGCGGTCGTGTATCAGTACTATGTGAGCCCGTAAAGACCCCAGGCTAGCAGTTGTACTGCACTGGCTAAATCTCTCATCTACAGTGGGTAACAATGTCGCCATACTCTGGGAGACTAAACTCTTGCTGGGTAGTCTGCAAGTATGGTGCATACTATCGTCAAGGTGTCACTGTGCGTGCTGGCTGATTGATCTCACATGTGAGTACTAACCACATATTTTTCATAGAACGTTGTTTGTTAAAAGTTCAAGATCACAAAACGAAATTAAGCGTATATCTGTTTTGCTACCCTTGTTCCCAAAACAGGGCTTCTGATGACCTAATTTTTTTTTTAATGTAGACGACGCTGTGTTGAGCTCTCCTTTTCTTAACGACTGAGAGCTGTGGATTCTTTCTTGAAGAATCGGTTTGAACTGGTTCGCGCTTGATGGAATGGGTAACCAAACCGTTATTTCAAAAGCTTTACTGAACCAGAACGGAACCGGAACAAAATGCAAAGCAACAGAACCCGAACCGAACTGGAGTAATGACCGGTTCAACTCCCTGTTTTTAACCCAGCCGATCTTCTGTATTTCTGTGGAATACAAAGAATTGAAATGACTATGTTAAGGAATCGCAAGAATTGTACAGCAAACGTAAAATTTTCTGTTCTAAGGCAGGTTTCATAATGTGCTAATCGCTCGTGCTGGCTCCGTGTACCATTTGCACTTTGTCAGCGGTTTTCTGTTCTTGCCGCAGTGCATCGAGATTTGAGGCAGGTATACACGATGTCACTCTTAGCAGCGCACTAGCGGTGCTGCTGTGCAAGTACCCGAAGCAGAGAGCAATGGATAGCTTGCACCACTCACAACTAGGCAGCTCTAAGGCCCTATCAAACAAACATTTCCGAAGAAAATCTGTGGTTTTAATTTTTAGCGTCTGTTGCGACTCACTAGCTTTTTTAACTTGATCGCGTGATTGATGTCTGCAATGACACCAAGTGCCACGAAGCGCTTTGTGCAACCACCCTTCGGCCTAGTAAAATAAGATCTTTGAGGAAGTTTTCGCATACCTTTGCAGTCATCTCCGTGTTTGATGTCAGCAGCTTTATGCTGCCTTTTTCGAGTAACACAGTGCAGCATGTCACTGGCCCTTTCTTTCACATATAGAAATTGGAGGAATGGAATGGGGGAGTCAGCCATTCCAGGAGTGGTAAAGAGCCCAGTGCCTTCATTCGATGGAGTTGAAAGTAATGGAATTGTCAGAAACTCTAATTCGTTGGAATGGAATTGGAATGGAATGGGGGGTGCCCATTCCGTAGCACTGGTATGCAACACAAAATAATGCTTTTACAAATTTAAAGGGGCGATGCAACGATTTTTGTATTTTGCGGAAATATCACTTGGAACGGATTTTTGACGTTGATTACCTGTATATGACCTTAATACCCGTTCGTTTTTCACCACACGCAATCGAAGTCGGAAGTCGCAGAATAAAATAAAGAAAAACAAGCAGATTTGACACCTCCTCAACTCGCAGCCAGAACAAGCGGCCACGTGATCTAGAGCCGATTATATGCCGCCAATGTTGATCATAGCCTTGCGCTGGGGTCGGCAAGGCACAAGACACGCGCTGAGAGTTCCAGACATTGTTATGGTTCGGCTGTTGTCGTCATTGCAGCGATTGGACACAGGACACTGCCCGAATCCTTCTCGAGCTATTGATTATCATGAGCCCAAATCGAATGTCCACGCCTTGCTCGGGTCCAATCTATGAGCCGCATTCAAATATCGTCACTTGGCGGTACTGCTACCGCCCAGCTACGTCATCAGGTTTTGCGAAGAAGAGATTGAATGAAAACACTCGGTTTTGTCCTCGAAATTACAGCGCAGTAAATTAGTTTCTTGGTCAGTGGCGTTGCATGCGAGTATCCTTGAGTCCCACTAGTGCCAGTAAGCTCGTGTAAAGTGAAAAACACTCCAACTAAATATCGTTGCACCGCCCCTTTAACTCTACATTTTTCAACGAGCAGTTGCTAAATTTAAAAAACGACTTGAATCAGTAAAGCAGTGCATCTATTATACAAATAAATCATAATTGATAGCTTTCAATAACCAATCTTGTAAATAACATTCATGTACTCAAAATGTTGCACACCCAAGCCACACGAAAGGAACTTGACAACACCAGTGCACAGCATTTGACCAAGCTGTCCGTGCCACGAGTGCAAGCGGACCGCTCGTCGTAGAAACGGTCGAAATGGCCCGGGCTTTTCTCCACCTCAGTCCAATTGCGCTACATGTTGCGGCAGACCTAAAGAACAGACAGATTATTAAGCCCCGCTAAAAGCATGCAACATCCTATTTACAAGATTTTAAGTAATAAATGTGTACTTTGAAATGCCTGTGCACAAAAAGAAGAAGAAAACGAATAAGTACAAACACGGCCTAAAATGCAGAACCAGCTTTTCACAAGACTTGTGCATGTTCTCTATGTTTGGAACCAAGAACAGTGTAAATAGTACTACGGCTTGTGTAGACCTACTGCTATTGTTTCCAGGTCTGAGGCAGCCACCCCAAAGTGAGTGTTACGTATCTGCAGACTCCTTTCGTTGAAAGTTACGATGAAAGAATCTTTTGATCCCAGGAGTCGGGACGTATTATATGGTTGACTGTAACAGCTTTTGGTAATGTACTCTCGCATCTGAATAACGTCACTCGAGCACCGCTTCGGCTTTTGGCTGGAATCATGTATTCTTACGTACAAACACGGATCCGAATGCATGCTACACTTGTGTTTAATCGTCCTCTACCGGAGGGTAAAGATGAAAAAAATCCAGCATTATGGCCTTTTTGAAGCCCATTCATACAGCAGTGTTTGATTACGTTGCAATGTGATGCAACCTCAAGTCACCGCCACACCAATGCTTTATGCTGCCTGTCAAGACAGGTAACCCAAGTGCTCGTTCGTAGTTAGAGTTTTATGTTTTTATAGAGTTTGGCTTTCTTTGAATTTAGAGATGTTTCTGCAAGACATGTTTTTTTTTTTTTCCTGCAGATTCAAGGTTTTTTGGTGTTGGACTGAAAAAAAAAAAAAAGTGTTTTTATGTCCTTATATGTTGAAGTAAACAGAATAAGGGCATGGGATTCTATAACCTGCAGGGTTCATGCACTTGGCTGGAATATTTGGAAAACGTCCCAGTTTTCCAAAGATAACGCGATAAGGGGTGTGGGTCCCAAAGAATCGCGATTTGGTTCATCCAGAGGTAGATCCAAGTTTGTCAGTTTCTGCCAATGGTTCAGCCTGGTGGCTGGCTGCAGTGGATACAGGAAGATCACTCCAAGGCCGCCTGCATTCAAGGAGGTTGCATTGCCTGCATTGATTTGGTCATGGTTTTCCGCATGTTCCGAGTAGAGCCGTAGCGCCACTAGTTCTGAGCCGTCTAGGAAAGCCATCATTTTCTGTGAATGTTGTGATATGTTCTTCCCAACTCCGGAGGACGGGTCTGGGATTCACCTTTGACGTTTTCAACATCAAATATGACCATAAAACAAACAAAAAGAAATATATGAAAATTCGTAGGCTCCAACTACGAAAAAGAAAGCTCTGCCCTGGTCAGTAACAAATGCGAAATGCTGAGAGTTATATGGTTTTATCAAGTGGAGTTATAATACAAGTTTTATTCTAGAATTTTAAAGTAATGCTTCTACGGACAAAGCCAATAAAAACAAATTGATTTTAGTTTGGACTTTATTTTCGCAAGTGGCGGAATATCGGCCACTTCCGGCCACTGTGGCTCTTCATAGATACTTTCGTATCCGACTCTATCCAATCCAACGTTCTCCAAATGGCGTGAGTTGTTTTGAAACGTTGTGTGATATTCCGCCGCCCGTAACAAATATCAACAATATCTCGTTCAGCTCAATTCGAGCATATCAGTATGAATTGCTTGAATCGCTACACTTTAACTTAGGTAGAACCCCGCAAAGACGCAGAAAAATGTCGGTGGTCATCGAGACGACGCTGGGAGACATGACCGTGGACCTCTACATCGCGGAACGCCCGCGAACTTGTCTCAACTTCTTGAAGCTCTGCAAGCTCAAATACTACAACCTCTGCCTCTTCCACCGCGTGGAACAGAACTTCATTGCGCAGACGGGAGATCCCACGGGCTCGGGCCGCGGTGGCGAGTCCCTGTTCGCCAAACTGTACGGCGAACAGGCGCGCTACTTCGAAGCCGAGAGGAAACCGCGCTTGAAACACCTCAAACTGGGCACCCTGTCCATGGTAAGCAGCGAAGACGGCCTCCACGGTTCACAGTTCATCCTCACGCTGGGCGAAAATGTAGACTCCCTAGACGGCCGCCACAGCGTCTTCGGTTGCGTGAGCGAGGGAGCCGAAACGCTGACTCGGATCAACTCCGCGCTATGCGACGGGGACGCGAGGCCTTACCAGGACATCCGCATCACCCACACGGTCGTGCTGCACGACCCGTTCGACGACCCGCCGGGGCTCGAAGTCCCCGGAGCGTCACCAGAACCGACGCTTGAGATGCTGCGTAGCGATCGTATCGGGGCGCACGAAGCCCTAGACGACACCCAAGGCCGGACCATGGAGGAGATCGAGGAAGAGATCAGAAATAAGGAGGCCAAAGCTCGTGCGACCGTCCTTGAGATGATCGGCGACCTCCCGGATGTAGACGCTGCGCCGCCCGAGAACGTGCTGTTCGTCTGCAAGCTGAACCCGGTCACGACAGACGAGGACCTCGAGATCATCTTCAGCCGGTTTGGCCCGATCAAGAGCTGCGAGGTGATCCGGGACCGTAAGACCGGTGACTCACTGCAGTACGCCTTCGTGGAGTTCACCTGCCGCGAGCACTGCGAGAGCGCCTACTTCAAGATGGACAACGTGCTCATAGACGACCGTCGGATCCACGTCGACTTCAGCCAGTCCGTAGCCAAGCTGAGGTGGAAGGGCAAGGGCCGTGGCGTGGAGCATGTCGACAAGGAGCAGCGGCCGGCCAAGGGTGCCCGCTATCAGGTCAAGGAGACAGGTCGGCGTGGTGACGGCGAGTTTGAGATGGTGTGGAGCGACGATGAAAGCGACAGCAAGGCGGATCGTAGGGACAAGAGGTCTGATCATCGGGACAGAGGCTCTAAAAGGGTGTCAAACAGTCCTGGTCGGGGCCACGGCGATGGCAAGCACCGACGGACAGAGTGCGATACGAGGCACGAGGAAGATTCTCGAAATCGCCATAAAGACAATTCTAGGAGTCACCACGAGGACCGTTCAAGAGGTCATCATGATGACCGTTCCAGAAGTCGAAAAGAGGATTATTCAAAAAACCGCCACGAGGACCACTCTAGGAGTCAGCGTGGGAGCGACTCCAAGAGCCGATCTGAGGGTCATTCTGGAAGCCGCCCCGACAAGAGCCATCATAGAAGTCGCCATTAAACCGTTTATCTGTTTCATTTCACCAATATGTGCTCCAAGTGCAGCTTTATTTGAAGGAGTGCAATGCAAGCAAGTGCCGACTTTATTTTCATGCAGTGCTGAGATGCAGTACTTGGTCAATGGGGCAATCTATATCGAAACCATGCCACTCCTCTCCATGACCAGACAGACCCCATAATGCAATGCACAGAGTGTTGCACGCAGAGATTCTTGGAAGTAGTCTATTACTCTATATGATCAGCGTCACAGTTTCCTGCAAGATTTCGCCGAATCGATATCCCAGTTCGATAAAAGAACCGGCTGAACAGTTTTGTCAAAACACTACCTCGCATGGCTGTGCTACAGTGCTTTGGAATGGAACGATCGGGAAGTGCGATAACAACAGCTGCAACACATGCTCTTTCTTTAGACGCATGTCTATGCGGGCAGAAGCTGGGGGAGAAGAGAGCGAGCGGGCTCATTGGAATGCCGAGCTCGGGTTGAAATAATTAGTGGGACAACGCAAAGCTAGCTGCTTTTGTCTCCACTGCACTCGCCGAAAGTGTTAGAACGCGGAATGCTGGCGTTTGGCTTTCGCATTCGAATGCATTACAACGTCAGCCTCCGGCGTTTGGCTTTTGCATTGAAACGCGTTTGACAAGGGCAGTGGAGACAAAGGCCGCTAGCCTTGCATCTACTTACTGATCATTCCAACCAAAGCTCGGTGTTGTGACATGCTCTTGTTTCCTCCTCTACCCCAGTTTCTGCCCGCACAATCGCTGACAGGGTGAGAACGACGGGGAGGTCTTTGTGAGTTGTCCCGCCTCCAGTGCGAACTTGGAGCGTTTGCCCGCAACCGATGCATGTTGGAAGGCAACGAGCGTGTACTCAAAGCCATACATCTGAAAAAGATGCCCTGCTGTTTTCACCGCCAGAGCTATGGGAGTATGCTTGTAGCCTGTTTCTCCTCTTTCAAATTGTTTAAAAGCAACCAACACACTCAAATAGTACAAGTTGTAACCTGGATTATGCTATTACCGAGGACATAAAAGTGTTTTGAAAGTTGAATTTCGTAACAGGAAAAACAAGTGTGCAGGCTAGCTGGCGAGGCATTATGGCACTTAAACCACCAGGATGCGGGATGACAGGAAAAATGGACAGAAAGCGTGCTCCAATTTTTATTTTATGGTGTTAACATCTGTACTCCACATTCTAATTCCAGTGCACTGTTTTGAGGTGCGTAAGCACATGGCTTAGTTAGCACTCTTTTTTGGGGTGAGCACTCGTGCGGAGGATGCGTGTTGTCGAGCTAGCTTCTGATACTGATTGAGTTCTAATATGACATCTTACATCGCAAATTAATAAAGAAGACTATCAGTCAGTTGTACCACTGGCACCGATCGGAAAACAGTAGAAAATGAAATGTCAGGCTTAAAAGGCAACTCTGCTCAATTCCAAAAAGTTTGGGAAAATGCCACCCCACAATGAGGGGTGGGATTGGGGCGGGCATTTGCCAGGTGCAAGTGTAGTCTGCACCGCACTCTTAACCGCGTATTGGTGTTTACGACATTCAACGACGTCTACACACGTAGTGTGAATGAAACTTTGGCGGGCAATAATTGCGAAACTTTGGCGGGCAATAATTACAAACGGTGAGATGACGAAGGCGGGACGGCTTCATTGCGCCTCAATTCACCCGCTAGAGTCGACCGATTTCGGCAACTTGGCGCGTTGCAAAGTTTGCTGGACCGTTACAGATTTAGACGGAACTAGGTCGTAATATTTGATGTGCGGTCTTCTAGAATAAGAGGAAAAGAAAGCCCGGCTCCCTTGCGGGAAATTACCAATTCTCTTATGTGTTGATTAAGATATATGTATCTGCATTTTTGATCAGCCTTAGGCATCATTTCTTTTTCCAACAACCAAATCCTGGAGGAACTACTTTGCATGGCACACAAATGTGAAAAACTTCCTTTTTTTTTCTTGAAGTAACAACAAGTATACATGTGGTCACTGTTCCGGATGTTCTCCTTTGTTCCACATTAACTGAAGTAGTGGCACTGTCTACACTGAAAGTAATCTGGGGGTAAAACGAGAAAAGATGCTTTATTGGCAAGCGTCGCCTTTGGCAACGACATGAAGAGGGCCTCGGGGGCAGGACTCCAGGCCTTTGGCTCGTCCTTGCGGAGAGACCAGGAGGGTAGCCTAGTCCTGGAGTTGTCGGACAATGTTCAAGAACTGTGGCACTTGTGGTGAGACCTCGGGCCATCGTTGGGTTCGGCCTCGGCGATGGATTGCGACAAAGTCCCTTCCGGCAAGCACGGGCCTACTTGCCGACTCTGTCCCTCTTTGATGAATTTGACTGGCCAACAGACATCTGCAGCAGTGCACAAAGGTAAAAGTGAGACCTGCTCTGGCACTGTAAAGAAGGATCTGCAGGGTGTACCACACTTGCCTGTTGTTGATGCTGTGCCATTGAAACAGGTACTGGGATGGTGATGTACTGCTGGGCTGCACCTGAATGCAACGAGAGAGAGATGTGTCAAGCTGTGTAAGGTATTTCATCACAGCAACAGTTCCAACTTCAATGCAAGGGACCTGCTGATGCCTGGTTGGAACTTGTACCTCTGACAGTGTTGAAGCATGTTTCTTTAGTAAAACATCCCATGTCGAGCATCTTCAACATGCCAGTCGTGTGAGAGGTGTTGAAACCTGCTATGGCCACATCCTCGCACTAAAAAGTTGGAGAAGGTAACTAAACGCTGGTTAGTATATTTGCGTTTGGTTGCAACTACCGTAAAATCCCGAGAGACAGCTCACCTAACATTGAGAGCAAATCGGGTGAAAATATGGAGTGAGCTAACTTTCAATGTACAATGAAGTGAAGTTTAAAAAAAATTTGCTGTTCTTAGGTTGTGTCCTTTCCAAGCTTGTCATGCCCGTGTCCCACTAGAGCGACAGACAGAAACAAACGACAGCGACAAGCCTCAAACCAGAGTCTTTCGCGATTTGAGAGGCTTTGTAGAATAAAGGAGGCTATGTTCAGACACGAGCATCAAGCACGCGAGAATATCTTTGGCAGGCTTGCAATCGCTCGTGCTTACTTCACAAGCACCGAACAACTAAACGCCTGCCAAAGGTACCATCGCGAGCATGCTGCATGGGTTTGAGGCTTGTCGCTCTAGTGGGACACGGGCATTATGGTGGCGAGGGGCAACGAAGCAACGATGACTATATTTCCCAGTCAGCAGCGTTCGCTTATATCCTGCCAAAGCTAAGTAGCCGCATTTACGCCGAGGCAATCATTGATCACAACACTACTATTAGTAGGAGTGGGCTATCTTTCGGTGTTTAAAAATATATAGCAAATCAAGCAAAAAATGGAGGTGGGCTATCTTTCGGGGGTGGGGAATCTTGGTATTTTACGGTAAGTGCATTGTGCAGTCTTGTGCTCCCTTACGGCGAGAAAACGTCCTGGTGCCGTCTAAGTGAAAGTTTTGCCCTATTTGTGAGATCAAATGCACATACTATCTATGAGAAACGGTTATTTATAACATTTTCAAAAGATTTTCGAACCCTCTATGAAAGAATGATGCACAAAGAAACTGGAGGAAATGTTGCGCAAATAGCGAGCAATTCAGGGTCGCCCAATAGATGGCGCCAGTCTGGTCTCTCGTAGGCGATCGCGACAGCGCACCAGACCGCACAATGAACTCTGTTACAACCAAGTGCGAATGTGTGGATCGGCCTTAACGCACCGATTACGAACATGCAGTTGCGGGGGTGCAAAATCGCTGTCACCCCCCCACCATGACCACCGTCACCGCCCCCCCCCCCCCATCTCCCGAATAGTTGCGACGCCCCTGCAAACATGTGTAGGCTGCACAACTCGTTGCATCCTCCCGCATGCAACTTGGTCCTGTTCTAAACCTGTAGCATTCTGTGAAAGTTCTTATCGGTCGCCTTGAGGTACCACAGGCGGGAGAAGCACGTACCGGCAGACTCTGCCTTGAGAGCCACCGACTGGCTCAGGTTAAGCAGGAGTGCTTCTGGTATGGTGCCACCCGGCGGTGCAGCGTAGAGTAGCCCCTGGGGTGTCTGGTACATGAGAGTCCCCAGGGAAGGCTGGGAGCTAGGTAGCACCGTCACTGCTGCTGTTCCACTTCCACCTCCTGCACCCCAAAGGGAGTTGCAGAGCAGTTAGCCCCACGCTTGGAAAGGAATCCATTGACTAGTCCCAAAGCTGCTCTATGTTCCCAAGATACTGCATTTGCAGTACTTACTGGGCTAGATAATATGCCATCAATTGGTTACTTTCACAAAAAATTGGTGCCAGTTAAGAGCCAAGCTGTCGTGAACATATTGTGAACATCTAAACCTCTGATGGTTTGCTGTGCCTCAGCATACCATCCCTCCAGTTACAAATTTGCTGCATTTTCTATGCTCTATCTCATAAGTTGTCTTCAGTGGTAGCAAAGGCACAGATGCAAGAGTGTGGCTCTGCAGAATGCACTGTTTTCATGAGCTTGTGCACATATGTTTGCTATACTTTGTTTCAGCACAACTCAGCAAACGGCAAAAATATGGCACCAGCAAGTCAAATGGGGCTAGGGTGGCCTAATACACGGGAGTGGAAGACTGAGGGGGAGGTGTTGGGGACGCAAAAAAGAAAAGCGAAAATTTTCTGCTACTATCAGTACACTGTAAAGACGCAAACTTTTCAGGGGCGTTTCGTTGAATAATTGAGTACATAATAATATTTATAAAAAACGAACAGATTGGCAGATGGAACCACAGAAAGAGCTCTAAATTGTGCTCTATGGGAGGTAACATTTCCATAGTATGTTTATAATTATAAAATGCAATGAGTATGCATTATTTTGTTTTTCTCTTCCACTAATTTTTGCTGATTTTGAAGGCATGTTCCCATGAAAATGGTACATGAGGCTTCATTGTGACCAAAATGACGGGATGGCAGAAATGAATCTCTAAAATGGGACTGTTCCGGACAAAACGGGACACCTGATCAACCCAGAGCCTCTGGATCAACCTAAGCGGGGCACGTGACACTGTAGAAGCGCGCTCTTGCCATGGAAGAGGTGTCGCATGCTTTGTTCTGTCGCTCTGGTCGGCTTACGGAACCTGTAGCATTTGCCGTTGACAAAGTTAGGCTGAAAAGGACTAGAGCACTGAAGATAACTTGTGATATAGATATAGTACCCTGTTCATAAAGATTTTTGTACCACACTGCCTGCGAGATGTACTGTACTGTAGAGGGTGAGGTGTCATTTTCACAGCTTACTGGCTCAGCTTTCTACAACAAAAGCAATATGCCTCTAATTCTTTTTTCTCACAATCACCTAGATTGTTGCTATACCTTTCACCAACATTTACTCATTCTTCAATCAAGTCTCGGCCGTTATCTGGACATTTTGTTTTGTCGTCGGTAAGTAAAGACTGCTATTCTTGTCCCATACAAGAGCTTGCTGCGACTTTGGAGGTTGTCACATGCAGTTTCACTTTGTTGTTGTCCAAAAAAACACCATCTTTTAAAATGCCACTTTTAAATTTTTAATTATTTAAAAAAAAAAAAAATTAAATGTACAAGAAATTTTTTTTAATTTTAGGCAAACACTGCTACAAGAGTAGATTGAAGCATCTTATTCAGTTAGGGCAAAAGAAATATGTAGATAATAATGAAGACTATCGACCAATGACCAAATGTTTATTAAAGAGGTATCATCCATGTCACAAACAAATATGCTAACAAAAATATTAAAAAAATATATAGGACGCATTATTTTAGTAAATTCCATACAAACGTGCCTACAATAAATCTTGCTTTTTGTACTTCAGTTTTGCTGCCTTTACTGACCTCCTCTTGACTTTCTAGAATGCACAAATACTGAGATATACATGAGAGACAAAGGTGTAGATGTGAAGCTTTGCCAAAAATCTACATGCCTTGATTTCATTCCGCTGGCAGCTGGAGTGCTGCCAGCGAAAGACCGTGGAAGGACCGACTTGCCTGCTAGCGACACCACTGGCTGGCCGCCAATGCGGTACAGTGCAGACAGCTCCCCTGAGTGGCCGCTGGCTGAGGAAACGGCTGCAACACCAGCTGCAGTAAAGAGCATGTCTACAGTCAGTAGGAATTCACCAGCATTGGAAGCATGTGTTTGGCACTGTGGTTAGACGCGAGAAGAAATCAGCAATGCATCCTCTGTCTTCAATCAGGGTACTGCAGCAAGTGACTCCCAGAAGGCTGGTATTGCAGCAGTTGTTTGGGGCTAGTGCTATTTGAAGTTCTACTCTCTACTAAAGGTGCCTTTGGAAAGGTGTATACCATTAACCGCATCCGAAAGCAGAAGTGGCAGAACAGGTGTCCTGTCCAATTTTGAAGCTCATTTTTCTTTCTACCCCACCAGTTGAGTACCACCGGCTTAGATTTATTGCATATGGATCCCAGGTCCGTCAAGCAAAACCAGGTGCAAATTAGATGGCATGTAGCTAGTATAAAACTGGTTCAGAAAATCTACACATTGCCCGGGTTAGCTCTTCACCCTGGCAGGAATTTCCTCCATGGCATTAAAGTTTAACTTAGTAGTCCTTTGGAGAAAAAGTGCTAGGGTTTAAACCCTGGCCGGTTTCCTCCCCAAAGACTCTTGCAGCATTGCTTATTGTCAAGGCTAGCTCTGGCTCTGTGATTCTGACTTCCTTTATGTAACAGACTGAGCTCATCTGTGAGTATTCACCACCACTTTTTGAAGGCTGCTGGGGGAATCGGAAGAAATGGCCTCCTGTCATTTATGAAGGGTACAGGCACGCTAACCTGATCCAAGGACTGATGCAAGGCTGGGAGATGGGGAACCGTTGTTGCTGCCAGCCTTGTGCGGCGACAAGGGGGGGCTGTCTGGGCTGGAGCCGTCGCTGTCGCTGTCGTCAGGACCTCCTCCCAGGAGGCTGCCAAACAGCGCCTTGGAGTCCTGCAAAGGAACACAAAAGCATCAAGATATTATTTTGCAGAATGGTTTACTTTTTGGAGTGAGGGTCATACTTTGAAATGTTAGAATATGATTTTCATATCTGCCACATTTTGCAGGTGGTTTTTCAGGGCCTTTGCATCGATATGGGCGACTATCTTAAAAGCTTTCAAAGTCGCTGCAATAACAAATTAATGTAGTGGTATTTGATAGCTTGTTGGTATCAAGGGTATCGGAAGTGTTTGTTGCACTGGCGTAGCCAGGGGTAGAGCTTCGGACCCCCCCCAGAATCCAGCCGACCCTATAATATACACATGCATTTTGACCAACCCGCCCCCCCCCCCCCCCTTTCTCCCACCCTGCACCCTAAGTCATGTAGACCCCAGCCACCTCAGCCCCCCTTAAAGGTAGTGTGTGCGCCATCTTCCCTCTGCAATGCCAGAAAAAGTTATGTCCGGAGGGTGACATAACTTCCGGCGCCAATGATCGGTAGTAATGTGTAGGCGGATGGCATGCAGAAAAGACAAAAATATAAATTATTTCGTATAAATTTTGCTTGCAGTTTGTCTCCACCTTCTGCATGCAAGGTCCAAGTACAGACTAATATGCGGCAAATAGTTCCTTGCCCCCCCCCCCCCCCCCCCCCGTTTTCAGGGTGGGGGGTGGGGGGGGCAAGGCATGTGTTTTGCCCCGCTCCCCCCCACTCAAGGGGGGAGGGGGCAAAACACAAGTTTCGCACCCCTCCCCAAACTCTGGCCGGCGGCGCCTAAGGTTACCAAGGGTCCGCCCCCCGGCCCTGGGGGGCGGGATTTTTGGTTTGAATCCCCCCCACTCGAGAACAAGTTGGTACGCCACTGTCCGAGTTCTGTTTCCCAATAACCTGCAATGTACCAAAAAAAAAAAGTGCAATCGTTTTTGTTTTGAATAGGGAGTTTTTATTACTTTACCCCTGCATCTCGCAAGGCCGCGGGGTTTCAACAGCTAAAAAAGGGGTAATTGGTACATCGTTCCTTTTGACAAAAGCACCACGAGACAAGGACAGAAAAAAAAAAAGAGACAAAACACAAGCGCTACACCGTAGGGCTTCCTCTTCCTCTTTCAAGTAAACAAGATGGCGTACAGCGCGGGAAAGTGCCACGTGGTCGCCTGACCTTTTGGGCGCCAACGCACCTGTTTAAAGTCTCAGTACAGTGTACAGTTGACATTTCCTGCTTCTTACAAATACCGACGTTCACTGTTGTGCAAATGCGGAAGTTGTGCCAGCCATAAACGTCTTCTCAACAAAACAAGCGCTACACTGCAGGGCTTCCTCTTTCAAGTAACCAAGATGGCGTCCAGCGCGGGAACGTGCCACGTGGTCGCTTGACCGTTGGCGCGCCAACGCACCTGCTGAAAGGCGCTCAGGACGATTAACATTTCCTGTTTTTTACAAATACCGACGTTCATTGTTGCGCGAATGCGGAAGATGTGCCTGCCGTACACATATTCTTAACAAAACACAAGCGCTACACCTCAGGGCTCCTCTTCCTCTTTCAAGTTATAAAGATGGCGCGTCCAGCGCGGGAACGTGCCACGTGGTCTTAGCGTGGTCGCGTGACCGTTTAGGCACCTGCTTAAAGTCCCTCAGTACAATTCACATTTACTGTTTCTTACAACTACCGACGTTCATTGTTGTGCGAATGCAAAAAATGCCATAAACGTGTGCCAAAAAAAAAAAAAAAATGGCGTTTTTTTTTTGTTTTTGGAAATTGCACAGGTTTTGTGCACTAGTGCCGTTGTGCGCACTTATCAACGTTAGCACTTATAGACCTTTCCAAAAAAAAAAAAAGGTCTCCTGGCCGGTTCAGTTTTTAGTGTTCGTGCGTATGGCGTGTGATTTGCACGCTTTCCGAAGCGAACATGCGCGTGCTGGGCTGGGGACTTGTGTATTTTGGAATGGTGTCTAAAAATTAGGATGTATACAAATCTGCACCCTACCGTGAGATATCAACACGTGCACGTTTACTTCGAAAAGCAGCAGACGACGATTCCACGGACTAAAGCTGAAAATGCATGGCACCGGTCAGAATTATATCTACCGCGCTTTGCCTGTATGCTCGAGGGGGACGACACATCTGAACCACACAGGACGACGAATTTTGCATCTCTAATGCGCGCATTTCAGTTATCATCAAGAGGAGGATAATAATAATATTAATTCAGTGGAAGCGCATGTGCGTTTGCGCCTCTTGGTTGCGCCCATCAAAGCTGTGCTTGCGCACTTTCTCGCTTCCAAGTTTCCATGCGTTCTTCCGACCGCATCTTTAGCCTAGCATCGTCCAAAAAGCCCGGAGCTGAGAAGGCGAGCTGGCAGGACGGAATTGCGTCGTCGCGGCTGCTGCGAGAGGTCTGAGCAGGCACGGTGTGCCGGCAGCCACGACCGCGCGCGGGCTGCTCTGTATATAGCTTGGCGCGCGCATTTGTGCGGAGTTCCAAATCGGGACGGGGGAGAGCGCCAAGTTTGTCCTGGGGGTGGGCCCCCGCGAAGGCCCATACTTAGCACGGCCGCCTTTTTCCAGCCAAAAAGCTCCCGAGGCACGCAGAGTCGAGGCTCAGACCCCGGGCGACGCTCGCCTGTAGCTGCAGAGCGACAGCGCCACCAGGCCGCAAGGTGCGGATTCGCATCGGATGGCGCCAACCCTTCTCGATGCATTTCGGGAAAATTGAAAGGGTTCTAGACGAACTTGCAATCTCTGTCTAACCCACTAAAAAAAAAAATTAATAAAAAAAGTAAAGAGGAAGAATTTTTCAAGCGTAAATGTAATCATTTTTAATGTAACGGAACAAAGGTAGACAACAGTTGGGAAAAGTTTGAAGGGACAGAGGTTATCTTGCAAATTTTGTGACTTCGAGAAAAAGGAAAACTAAACCAAACGGCAGCATTGTCCTCAAAATATGAATCTAATTAATTTTAATATTCTCAATGCAACAGAAGAGGGGAGGGTCTGAAGTACTCCCTCCCTAAAGTGGGAAAAGGAAGCCTCTGTGTGCAGGCATTTCTTTTTCCTGTGCCTCAGCAAGTTCAAGGTGTCCCTTCTTTTGTTCAAATATTTAATTGAAATTCTCGATTCTATCGGCCATTAGTTGCTTTATTCCAGTCCCTTTTTGGGCATCTCTCACTCGAGAAATGCACAAAATTCCTTTCCTGGCATAGCAAATTTTTTTTTAAAAACAATGCATGTATCTAAACAGGAAGATTGGAGCATTACATGATAAATTAATGACATGGAGCACTATGCATTGGGCGCTCAGCACCGAATACTACCCGAATTGCAAGTTTCATATTGCACATCACAGTTAACTGCTAAGCAGTGATTTTAACAAACAAACAAATGTTTGTCAGTTTAGAGTGTTTGCAGGTTTTTTTAGAACAGGGTACTTTTTAGACTCGGCTGTTTTGTGATGTATCGGGTACTAATAGTAGACAAGAAATTCTCAATTGATATAGAACCTGTCAACACCGTTTTCTATGAAGGTTAAGAAGTCTTACAGTACACATCACAACAAGAGTCCAGTTTTTAAATTTTTAATAGACTTTCAAGCACAGCATATGACACACACACACACTCATGCATCATCAGTTCATTGCAGCACCAACATAAATTTGCATATGCAACATGCAGCGTAAAAAAATATTAGTCTATGTATTTGAGTTATAATTTAATGATGGAGATGCTTAAAAGAAAAAGCATTTCATAGACATATTTTGAAATCAACAATGATACACGTGAAATGAAGGCAGGAGCAAATGATGTATGATGGCTGCCCGCAGCAGAATCGAAAAACGCGAGCGATAATGACCAACAATGATTCCATGAGGCGCCGTCAACGTCGACCTCTGATCACATGCGACGTGGCTGGTTAAAGGACTGCGATCAAGCTGGGACCCTTCCCTTGCAAGCACTGTTTTCGTCATGCAGTCTTGAAATAATAACCGCCATTCTGCACCTACTTTCCACGGAATCACGGCAGACGCCGTGCAGCGTCGGAGTCCGCTGAATTTTGGCAACGCCTCTTGGCACCACATCGTCGCTCGTCGGGGAAAAACACACACCGGGTTAATGCACACGGGGAACTTAATCACAAGAACAAAATGCTAAGGAGGCCAGCTCCGTACCTGCGTGACAGAACAAAACGAAAAAAGAAGCAGTTAAAAACAAGACCAGGTTGTTAGGATCACCTTGCTGTAACAGGATCATGCTTCCAACAGCACAAGGAGGTGGCAGTGTCTTTAACTGGTTGACGAAATAAACAAAAGGGACGGCAACAGAACAGAAAAAAAGTAAACCAGTGGTGGCTGCAAACTAAGGGCATTCCACTGACAGGATGGCAAAACACCTCGGTGTGTCGGGAGTTTCAGGTTAATCACATAGTTGCTCCCCGGCAACCACTCTTCAGCTTTTGGACGTACACGAGCCCTGGACAAGTGCACAACCGCCAAACGGGTCCCCGAGCTTGCACACAACAGCACAGAAAGCGCAGCAAGACACGGGCCACTGCGGGGAAGCAGCCCTCCCGGGAAATAATCACAGCTTGGCACAGTCGGGAGGAGAGCGGCGGCACATGCTTCCCACGCAAATGCGTTGTCGTCTTTCATTTGTTCGCTTCCCGCGGCGACCAGGTAGAAGAAGAGGAGGAGGAGGTGGCGGTCTTGCAGGGAGGAGCGAGGAGGGGTGCGTGGGAGGATGCTGTGGCGACGACGCATTCGGGCTCAGATCATGAAAAACGGCGGCAATTTCTGGCTGCCAAATTCGGAGAGCTGCATAAATGCCGCTGCAGACGCCTGGGACAGCTGCAAGGGGGTTCACAAGGGTGAGTGGAGAAACCCGCCGGGGGTCGTCCACTCCCGTCGCCACAGCATTGCGCTGGCCCACGCAGCCCTACCACCCACCCACCCTTCCGCAGAAAGCACTCCTGTTTTGCAGGTTATGCGCAGCACAGAGGGATACAGAAGCTCCTCAAAAATTCTGCCATTGGTGTCGGACTAGCGCTAAGTGGGCAATAGCTAACAAAATATGCCAAACTTAAATCTACAATCAAGTATGGCTCAAGACAGCTCTGTACCTCAGTCGTAAGCAGGTGCTCTGTGTATCATCCCTCTAGATAACCTATGGAAATCCAACCATTGTCACATCTGTATGAAATCAACTTTTAGATCTCAATAAAAACCCCAAACAGGCCTGGAGATCATCTACACGAAGCATGTGCTACGGCGGCGTAATCTTTTGCAGAAAAAGCTGTCACACTTTTCTTTTCACTTATACAATCTCTGTAGAAGGCCTAGTCATAGGGATGTGACCAGGAAACCTTAGTTGAATCTCTACGAACATGGTGCGGCGGCATGATGCCTCAACCTGTGCTTGCAGGCTTCACCGTGTCATGCACAATCCAGAAACCCCCGACCTCGCATGGAGGCTCGAAAGGTTGTTACCACTGCCTCCGTCCCAGACTAAACGAGTCGCCGCCGGCAAAGGAAGGCAGACGAGCCGGGGCTACAGCCACGGGTCACCGAGCAGTGCGCCCACCTTGTTCTCGCTGTCCTCAGTGACGCTGTATGTGAGGTCCGTCTCCTCGAAGCCTGTGGCACTCATGCGCTGATCCGGGCTGGGTCCCACGGGCCCAGTGGTCCCCTGGGGAGGGTCCGGGGAGTTGAGGCAGGTCTGGATGAGCGCCTTGCCCGCCTCTGACGTGATCATGGGCTGCAGCTTGCGGGTGGCAAACGTGTACACGTGGCCGGTCTCCGAGGCCACCAGGAGCATGACTTGGGTGCCCGTCAGCGTCGAAAGCTCGTAGGCCTGTGGGGAACGTGCATGGGATACTAATTGTCTGGGACGGCAAAATGGCGGAGGTTTAACACAAAGGCAGACACAATGCTGCTGTTTGTGTCAAGCGTTCCGAGATTGGCTTCTGCATTGTTTTTACTTCACCAACAAAGTATAGTTGGTGACAGGTCAATTGCTATCGGAGGCAACAGCTCGTGCTCGAGGGTTCTTAATCGAGAAACGTTCTGCTCCTCACTCACTCATACATTCAACCTGGAACATCTGCCACTGAAATTGACGGGCAAACCACTAGCACTTTTGATAAGGAAGATTCCAATCCTTAGCATTACCAATAATAATAAAATAACAATCTTCAGCCTGTTTAATGTATTATATAGGTGCCATTGCTCCATAGGTAACCTCCTAAGTCATTCCTTGAGAAGTTTTAAGAATTTTGAGGTTTCTGATGCCACCATTGTTGTCATAACCCTGAAATTATGGCAGATTTTAAAGTGTATTCGCTTACACCAACTTCTGGAGCGATGAGTGAAGCCTGTCAAATAAAAGAAGCTGAGCTCATCTGCTCAAATTTTCCCCTCTTTTCGGAACAGTAAACACCTCCCTCCCCAGGTCATCCTAAAAGGCAGACTGCCAATTCGTTAACCCGCTGACGTCGCTTGCTGGGAAAAAAAATTCCTTCGTCTTTCGCCGAGATGTCACCACCAAAGCTCGCTTGTTTTCGCTTTTTTTTGTTGTGCGTTTCTCACTCCAACTTTCTGTGAGCGCGGAGAGCCGAGACACCGTTGCTGGATCGCCCTTTAGCGAAAAAGCAGTCGCTGCCTCTCAGTGCGTTCACGGAGAGCGTGGGACGCTAAACACCCGTCTGAATGCCTCTACCGGCAGTCTCACGACGGAGGACATATTCGACGGCGACAACGTCCCACACCTTGGAAGAATGGACGTGAAAAACATCCGATTCCGTTTCATTTCATTTCATTCAAACACAGATGATAGATATTGGCTTCGTCAGATGATCGGCAAAGCGATCTTGGAATCCCAAGATATAGGCGGGGCACCAACGCTTAATTAAAAACGTATTAAAATATAACAATAAAGAAAGAAACGAGGAAGGAGGAACTGCCTGCTACGCTCGCCGCCAGCGCGGAGAGGTCTGTGATCGTGGGTAGCGCTCGCAGGGCATCGGATCGCACGTGCGTTTACAAAGCTCGACAGTCGGAAAACGCGACGCTTTTAAAGGTAGCGAGACCTATGGATGTCTTACGATTAGCGAGAACCATTAGAAGACGCACTCAAAACGAGTGGTAACGAGCGAAGTCGCCGGAAAACGGAGGCACACATCGCAGATGGTCGACGGCGCTCCTTTTTCGAAGGCGGCGGAAGCACTGTCGCACTGTCATCGACTGCGTAACGGAGGAAACGGCAAGAGGGGAAACGACACTCACCTTCTTCATGATGCCCGTTTTCCGTTTGCTGAAGGTTGTGTACCGCCGTAGTTTGTTATCGATGAATTCCATCTTGATCTTGACACGTCCCTTGGTCTTCTTGCCGTTCGGAGGCGGCATCTTCTTGGGTTGCTGCTGCTGTTGCTGCTGCTGCTGGAGTAGCATGTCGTCCAGGGTGATACCAGCGTCGTCAGAAGTCCGTTTGTTGCCGCCACCGGACACGATGCCGTCAAGCTCCGACGACGGATCGGCGCCTACAAGTTGCGCGGCCTCGTACGGCGCGTAACCCATTGCCTTGAGTTCCTCATGCTGGTTCGATGTCTGCATCATCTTGGTTCGAGCGATGTTTAGTGCAAAACGCGTTTCCGAAACGCGTTCATTTTGGCACAGCCTCCGTCGGAGGGTCCCAGTCAGTCGGCGACGTCGTGGGTTTTGAGAATCGCCCACGCCCCACAAAGTCCGTCGGCGCAACCAGGCGCACGAACGCGCGTTTACCAACTCACCGAGACCAACTCACACAAGCGCGCGCACACACACACACGCACAGCGACAACGGACCTGACTTTTAGCCGACGTTGGTGCTGTTCTTTCGCCGGGGAGCGTTACCAATCAATTGCGGCGCTCGCACGAGCTCGCAGGTGTTGCCGAAGCCGTGAAGCACGTACCCACACGAACACGCCCTTACGACAAACGCTCCCACAGTCAGGAGTTCATGTTGAATGCGGAGGAGCCAAGAGGCGCAAGATTCCACGCGCACCGGCCTCAGGACTGCTACTCCGCGTAAACAAGTAGTTCCCCCGCACATGTGAGAGATTTTGTTTCTGGAAGATTCAAAACGCTGCCTTATCTATGTCATACCAACGCCGAGGAGTAAAGCGCTTCTGAATATTTAAAGCGCGTGGTTTAATTTGGCGTTAACGCAGTCAGCAGGATTTTGTCAATGGATAGACGTTTCTTGCACCTGCTGCCGCCTGTGCGCCATATTTGGGCAGGAAGGCGGCCATATTTGGAATAATCTGCCAAATATGGAATTGGGACTATGTTTTCGTAGTTTTCCCGTTTCCCTCAGATTGGTCGGGTCGGCGCGCATGTGTTTACCAACTTTTGCGCGAAATTTCAAAGCCCGGTTTCTTTGACATTCGTATCGCCCGTAATCGAGGGAGCCTGGAACTGCCTGCGAAGCTCTCTTGCGCAACAAGATGAAAGGTTGTCGCGCGGTATTATTTGCATTGCACTTGTGGTCACTGCCAACATACCGCGTTTGCATTCCAACGCGCTTACGCGCAATGGTCCTGCTGACACTGTGAATCAACCGCCTCACAAATGATGGCTTGGAGGCAAACCTGCTTCACAAATTAACTTTTCTTTTTTCTTTTAGCAATTTTTTTCAAAGGAAAAAGGGGGAAAAAAAGAAGGGGGGAGGGGTTTAATGTAAAAAAAAAAAGGATTTCTCAAGATTATTTAACTCAAGTTTGTTGTTTGTGCACACGTGCATTTGCTCAGACAAGGGTTTATTCAGTTAGCGACGAAGACAAATTATGTAAATTTTTGCCGTGTTGCAGGACACGGGCGAATGAAATCTGTAAAATTATGTAAGTCAAGCAAAATGCACTACTCGATGCAATGTTGGAACCGTCAAAACATTAGTACTCCCTGGTCACGACTATATTACGAGAATTCGTGCAATAAAAATTTTTTCAATAAAACTGCAAGAGTGAAATGAAATATTAAAGCCAGAAATAATAGGAAGGCAGCAGGTCCACTTTTAGACAGGGAGAATGAGAAAACGGCCTACTGTAACACACTGGGCAAATCCTCACTTAAAATCAAATGACAAGTTCAAAGATGGGTACCCTCATGTTCAAACGGAATTTGTACATTGTTCGTTTTAACACCCATAAAGCATATGGACACTTTTTTGCACTGCTATGGATGATGGTGCCAGTTTCCCATATTAGCGCAAAACTGGTATATCATAAGCAAATGAAATCTAAGGAAGAAAGATTAATCCCATGTTACTTTGTACAATGCAATGGTATGGTGCCTTAAATATGCTCCTTTTCGGATAAAAGGAGACAATAGGATATGTTGTGAACCTGCAGAGATAGAGTTTACCCAGGTTGGACATTTTCAAACTTTAAGCTCAAAGTTCTACAAACGTTTGACTACTATGCGCCTGTACGCAAATAAAAAAACAAGCTGGGCACTGCTTGATGGAGAAGGGGTGCAGCATTTTAAGAAACTATCCAAGTTATTAAAAAATGTTTGCCATTATATTGTGTTGGTAATTACTCTTCTAAATTTAAAGCCTACTCTTTTATATTAAACATTTTTTTCCCAAAATTTTAATTTTGTCGTACAAGTCGAGCAACACTATTTAAAGGGATGCTGAATTGAAATTTGGAATTCACAAATTGAGTTAGCACGAGTGTTAAACGGGGCGCCGCAAACCCCAAAACCCCACTTATAGAGAGATATCTCGAATGAATAGCCATATTTTTGAATGTGTTTGAGTGAGAATCGCCTCGGAGAATCGCAACGTCGCGTTTTCTGCAGAATCGTTGGAGGAGGAGAAACGGCCTTGCTTCCGTCCCTCTTCGCATCCTCGCAGAGTCAAAGCGAGAAGAGGAGGAATGAGAATCACGACGTCACGGGCTTTTCTGGCCTTGTTCAAGCGCGCTCTTCTTCCACAAAAATACGACCATCCGTTGGAGATACCGCTTTATGAGCGATACTTTCGGGTTTGTAGCGCCTTGCGTAGCGCTTCCGCATTATTTTCTGAAATCAAAAATTCGGTTGAGCATCTCTTTAAGAAGTCAAACTTCGTAGAATTCTGCTAAATGCTCAAAGTTTGCCGAACCAGCTAGCCAAACCTGCGACATCCCTAGGGAGAACAAGTGGCAGGTTTGGATTCAAGCGTGTAACTTCAGGAAGTGCTTTAATTGAGCAAAAGCTTGTGAAGGCAGGAATCGGTGAAAAAGAAAAAACATGAGCTTATGCCAGCATCCTCTTACAGCAGTCTCACCCTTACAGAACCATCTGACAATAATTAAGAGCGATGGAGCCTTTATGTACAAGACTTAATGTAAAAGAGTAGTCAGATAGACCAGTTGGTACGAAATCATTGTCAAAAAGTGTGCAAACTGTACAAACAGGTGGTGCTTGTCCGCGGTTTGCATACCTCATCCATCCTCGCCTTCGGAACATTTTTTAACAACGAATCTGCACACCTTGTGTAGGCAAACTCGGCGAAGGCTGGGCTACACGTTCGCGTTTTAGTTTGACCAAGTGTGTTGCCATCCCTTGGGACTGCTCATGACAAAAAGACACATCGATGGCATCCGTCAGGCAGCTCCAAAACGTATTCAACCTGCATACAACCACTAGACCGGAGGTTTGAGGTGTTTGAGAGATCGAATCTATACACTATATACGAGAAATGATCGCCTATATAGCACTGTCCAAAATATCTTAATTCTGCGGTGTAACAAAGGTGCGTAGAAAAACTGTTCTAGAGCTACCCCATAGATGTAGTCAGTGTGTTCTCTCATTGTAAGCAGTCACAATTCATTGCAATCAGCAAGCCTCGTTTCCAACGCAATCTGGCGCCCAGCAACGCTGATTTTGGTTTCAGAAGCAGATTAATGCGAGCAAACGAGAAAAAAGACATAGAACGAAAAGAACCCTTTATTGATGACTTGTGTCTAGCTTCTAACTGTCGGCGTCCTTCAGCGTCGCCTAGTGGCCGTGCGCATGCTCTGAAAGAGAGGAGGGAGACGTTTCAGCGTAACGGCGACAGTCACATTTTTGAGCAGCACCCACCTTGCGCCTGCTTTCGCATCAGTTCCTTGTGAGCAGCGACAGCCGCAGGGGAGTTCACTAAAAACAAAAGAAGATTGAAAAGTTATGCGCAATAGTGGTTCGACTATATTAATATAGACACCAAGATCTCCGGTAAAAGGTATCGGGGAATGTTCTGGTTGGAGTCGGAGAGATTTGATCTGAGGAGTTGCCCCGTAGTTAGGGTGTCTGAAATAACAAGCCTCGATCTATAAACAGGCCCTAAAAATCGGCCCACGCACTAGCAATCTAAACTTTTCGTCAAAGGTGTATTTCACAGGTCGATTTTGTCTTGTAAAATTACAAAGCTTACCTCCCATCCTGTAAAAAAAAAATAGGGTAAAAAAACTTGCCAGGGCCAACGGCGGGCGGCGACGCAGATGACTAGGTCGAGTGGCGGGGCGCGTTTGGCACACATATTTTTAAATGGCATCGGGAACAGTGCCGGGAGGTGTAGTTGACCAGCGAAAGAGAGCGGATGACACGCAGACGAAATCCGTCAGCAGCAAGTTGTTATGCAACCGAGTTTATTTTTATATTTTTTTTACTTCAAGTTTTGTTTTCACTGTCTGCATTTATTTTTAAACCAAAGGTACATTACAAAAAGATTATGTTCAATTTACTAGACCACGGTTGTTGTGAGCAGTCTCGATAAACAGGTAGCGCCATCTATCAATACATGCGTCAAATGCTCCCTGCCACTCGATTTGGTCATCTGCGTCGCCACTGACCCTTAGAAAGTTTTTTGCCCCATTTTTTTTTTTACAAAAAAGGAGCTATGCATTGTAATTTTGCAAAATAAAACCAACCTGCGAAATACAGCTTTGAAGGTGCCGAATTTTACGGCCCATTTTAGATCCAGCCTCATTATTTCAGATGCCCTATAGAATGAGTAAAAGTAACTGCATTGCGTGTGTTTAGACAATAGGAAGTCGGTCCAGCCACAATGGGCATCTACTGTCTCTGATGAGGATGAAAAATTGGTGAGAGGAGATTGTCTTGCAATTCTTAATTTTCGACAGCCTATAGAAAATGGCATTGCTGCATTGCATGTGAATATCGGGACCAACGAATGTTTTGCAGAAGTGCTCGTGACATGTCTTGCGTGTTCGTGCAACAAGGACCGACTGCCAGTACTTGGAAGAAATGCAAAGCAGGAGTTGTAGTGTCATCCAGCAATATATAAAAAACTTTCAAGCTCCTCTTTCTTGTTTGTCGACAGAAAAGACAAACTTGCGGCTTCGAAATTCAGCGCGATTACGTGACCAATGAATGAAAGACTTCTTTGAAAGATGTTTCCAAATCGATATCCGAGATAAGACCACAGCACACTGGCTTGTTGCCGAAACTCGGATTTCGGGGAAATTGATAGAAATAAAGGTTCTCCCTCACTCTCCAAAACAACAATTTAGTGTCTCCCAAATAATTTTAAACAATTGCACCTTAAATACTGCACTTTATGCATTATAGGACTTTGAAGATAAAGAAAGGTCACTGGCAATTTTTCTTTTGACGGTATTCTTACCTCCTCTGGTGCTACGAGTATAGCCTCTCTTTCAGATCAGTGTAAAAGACGTGAAGGATAGAGAAGCGGGAAGATGCAACCTATCTAAGTGTGCAGTGAAAACATGGGCCACATAGTGTTCGAAAATTTGTGTGCTTATGCAAGGTGGAAAAGAAGTTCCCAGTTCCTCGTCGTGTCCTGCAAATGAACTGTGGGGACAGCTAAGGTGCCACACACAATCACACTGCACACTAACCACGACGTCATGCAACATCACAGTGTCATGGGACATAACAGCGTCACATGATGAATAATCTTGTGTGCTGTGACATCACATTGTCATGCGATGTCCCAATGTGACATTGTGGTCTCTCGTGACCGCGTCGCATGACATTATGGTGCCACGTGACCATGTCACATTGTGTTATGCTGTCGCATGCCACATCACATGGCCTCACGTGTTACGTGACCATGTCACATGGCGTCACATGATGTGAACCATTTACACAATATAATCCGACACCACAAAAGAAAGTTTTCCCGACGTCATAGTGTCATGTGACGTGGCGTCACGTGATGAAATTTAGCGGAGAGATTTACTGCAATGTCGTGGTGTGACCGACATAAAACACACCCCAGGATTTGTTGCGAAGTCCCGTCAATAACAGCAATCACCGTAACAAATTAATTTAATCTTACTCTTCCCGACCTAAGGATTACTTTGACCCACCTGCTTTATGGATGGGCCTCACAATAAAAACCATGTAGAGGATCCAGGCCGGCACCATGAACTTGATGAGCCACATGTTGTTGTAGTGAAACTTGTAAGGGAACTGCACAAGCTTGGCCGTGAATGTGTAAGGAAACTTCATGCGCCGGCTCGACGCTGCTCCGGCCTTCGGTGCGGCAGCCGTGGTGGCATTCCTGCAAACAAAAGACGTGCTTATAGCAGTGTTGAACGGAACAGAGCTCAAGGAACAACATTCCTGGAACGCATTCCTCCTGGAGGAACGAAGAAACGCCACCGTTCTATTTTGCACCAATGCAACTGGAACGGGAACTCATATGTTCTTGACGGAACGGCAGGAGGAATGGCGTCCCTTTTTGCAATTTTACCCAAATTTAGTGGGCACTTAGGCTTTTTATTAGCCACTATTTCAACCTCCGAATCCAAGGACTAGGGAAGTGCCTGAGAGAGGGTTGAAAACAAGGAGCTGGAACAAACGTGATTCTGGCAACTCATCGGAGAGTTTGATGTGGACATTTTCACTTGCTCGCTTTATTTAGTTTACGAATTTCCCGGCAAAATGTTTCACTAATATAGTATGCAAATGTAACATTAATCTAACCCATTCCAATCTTGGAAAAGTAACGAGTAAAGCATTTCTTTTGAACCAATAGAACCTGTAACGGCAACTCATTTCAAGATTGAGAAGGAACAAGAAACAAGCTTTCATTCCAGTTTTTGAGGAATGTGTACAACACAGGGTTATTGTGACCGACAGGGTGAGAACAACAAGGCGTCCCTTTCGAATGCCCAGCCTTCAGCATGCGCTCGTTGCCTTCTGCGGTGCTTTGGCTGCACATGCATACTCGAGGCTTGTGCTGTAGGTGGTACCCGCCTTTCTCATCCTGCCAGTGACCATTGTCAGTTCAGAGCGATCCGAGTGTTGCAGCAGCCCGTGAAAAAAGTTGCCCAACAGCGGAGAAAGAATGCATGGATCAATGTTTGAAAGGACATGGCGTCTACTGTGGCAAGTGTATCGAGAGAAAGCCAAGATAGTGCAGCGACCACTTTCCTACTACTCCTGTCCTGCCTCTAAATTATGTGCTACTAAGCCCCGAACAGTTTCCAATTGAGAAAGCAGTGTTTGGGGTGCGTCAATTCTGGTGACACTGCGGTCGTGGTTTCTCGTCGACCGGGCATAATCATAGCCCTGTCATGTATCACGCCCGACTGATACTGGGATACATGTAACATGGGATACTGATACTGGGGTCAGTGTCTGCTGCCTCTTCTCCAGCTCTTTTTCGCAGCTATGCTGTGGGGAAGACCATCTGGCATATACGCACGACATGGTCGACTTCTGTTTGCTACATCCACGACATGGTCGGTAAGCAGAGATACCACTACTGCTGTCCAAAGACTGAAACAATTCGTTGGGTGGATAGATGGCTGGATACCTTTTAATTTCACAGCGGCTAGCGACACCTGGCCGATATCTTTAAATATTTACCCGAAACACACACACAACATTAACGTTAAAGACAGTAGCAGTAATCGACCGCACATACAAACGTCCTTGTGGAGCTGAGTTCGCCTTTGGACACTCTGGCAGAGTCGATTTGCGAGCTTTTATTCTCGCTTTACTGCACAAAACTTTGTGTACACGGTTCTATGAAAAGTTGTAATGTCCAAATAAATTTTTTTTAACATCGGCAAGAGAGAGCAAAACGGCTACGAAATGTATTTTATAGTCAACGTTGAATCGCGGAAATGTGGCTGCTGGCGTGCCCCTTTGAAACGAAGTCAAATTGAACAACCGCCGCTCTAACTAAGGAAAACTAACTCACCTGGCGCACATCACACTGCATTTGGCTACTTGTTTTAGCGACTGCATGTTCGTTTCTCGATCACTTAACAGTGCAGTCAAGGTCGATGAAAATTGTGTAGACGGCCAGGCGTTACACGAAGGGCAATGAGGAGACCGCACAGAGATTTTGCATAGCTAGTGAAACCTCCCCGGTCAAGACCGTCGCGAGACGGATTTTTAAGAAGTGCACTTTGTATACTTTGGCGCTAAAGTCAATAGTGATCTCAGGGTGCTCACAGGAGCGTTTGTTTATTAGATCTATCAAGATCAACATGTTTCCCAAATTAACACATTTTTATTACACTAAAATGAAAAACAGTAAAATAAAATAGTAAATAATATAATAAAAATGTATTTTATAACAGTAAACAAATTTTATGCAAGTATGTTTAGGTTTCTTCGTGCTTTTTATTTCCACTACCTAGTAGTAATAAAAGTATCCGCCTGAGATGCTGCAATCGCAAACGAGGCATTTTTATCAGTTGGCACAGACGCGCCGATAACGGCTAAAACTGTAACTAGCTCCAAACATCTGAAACAACCTTGGAAACAACCATCCGAGATCTTTTGAACAAACTCTTCATTTTTAATGCTTCGTGATATTAATTTAAAAATTATGCATTAGTATATTTATTTTGACTTTGTTGAATTATTTATTATGTTAAAAGTTTTATTTCTGATAAATAACACAATTATACCTTAAACATATCGCTTAAAACGCAAGCGTTACGAATAGCCGAGCGGTACACTTGCGCAACAGTCCGAAGCGTTTCTCGAGAATCGTGTTGACTCGTCCCACCAGACAGCCCTTCTAGTACACTGTAGTATTCATAATGGCGACCTATGCCTCAGCTGACGAAAAAATATCCGACTTATTACGCTAGCAAATCTGTCCATAAGTTATTTAATTACTGGTTAATAAATTAAACCATATTACTAGACGTGATGTCAATGCAACAGATGTCAGAATGTGTGACGTGTGCTGTTCACTGCTAGAACTTTTTGAGAAATGTAAGAGCATGTTACCTTTTTACCCGTGGATATTTTGTGCCCGGTTAAGCCTATTAGCTGCTTGAAAAACATCGCCAAAATGTGTGTGTTCCCCGTTCGGTGCATGCTCGGACGAAGCTTTAACGATGCCCGACAGTGCCGGTTCTTTTGACTGCGATCAGCCGAGTTCTGTGACGCGGTCGAGACGCAAAAGAGCGTGCTGGCGGTGTGTGTGTGCGTGTGTGTGTTTCCAAATGTGTATTGGTGCCAGCGGCCTCGGAGCTAACGCTGGTCATTGACTTTCGCAGATGATGCGGATAATCCTTGCGGTCAACGAGCACCTTTGTCGAAGGCGGATATCTTGGTTCTGTGCAGCTACGTGCAAGCTTGGAATCAAAGGTAACGCTTCCCTCGAAAGACCCTTCTCTCTTCGCCGGCACTTGCGGGGGGTTCCCCTTCGTGCCGAATTTCGGTTGACACCTGAAAAAGAAAACATTCCCCAGTCTGGGGCCCGGCTTGAGACCTAGAGATCCAGCAGAGCCTGGATCTTTCTGATCTCGCCGCCTGCAGCGGTCGATTCAGTGTTGAGCGACTGTAGACGCTGACACGGACTCAGAACCGCATATGGATGCCCTGCCAACTCTTTCTGGCCATTTGCTTATCTTGCTGAGCATTCGGTTATCGCTGCGAAGCGTAAGCACCGCAACATTGAGCTGGAGCCACTGCGACGCTTGGCTTTTCTAGGCCACAACACCCAGCATACTGCTTAAATGGGAGCATCCCATGCTGCTGACTTGCACTAGCTGGTTGTACCCTGCTCCAACATCTGAGAAATCAAGTACTGCATCTTGTTGCAAAAACAAACAAACATGCATCGTCTTGTCTTGTGCTACATCATCGACAGATGTGCCACTTTGTTTATGGAAACAGTTATGTTTGCTACTGTGTGGTTACAGTAGGCTCCCATGGCATTGATTTAGGATGATTCGTGTCACATCATCAAGCTGGTCATTTCTTAGCTGTCAGTAAGCGGTGTTATAATGAGTAGGGACGCATTTCTGTTTTTGTAAACTAGAAATAGCCCGCCGAATGTTCTGTAGGCTCGTCGAAGTGTGAGGTCTCTGCAATAATCACATCACATTCCATTACTTTGACTCGGTATGACTTGGCCATAGCTGCACATATCTAAGACACCTTTTGCACTTGTTGCATTACGTCCCATATAACGATTAGTATATCACAATCTTTCTAAGAAAGCTGGTCTTGACACTTGCTACTAAGCCCCAAATGCATTTAATTTGCTTGATGTGATCATAGTCACAAGTTATGCCAGTGACATTAATAGCAACTTGGCACTGCAGTAGCAAACATAAGTCACTGCATCTGTAGGTACTGATGCTGAAACTAACTGCTCTGTTGGTTTTTAGAAAAGTGAGTTATGCAGTTCAAAGGATCAATATAACTTTAAGGATCACTGAACTGAATCATTCGATTCATCAGTTCAGTGATCCTTAGAAATGGGCCATTTGACATACTAAATGAATGTTTCCTGTCTAATTACCGTACTATGTAAACATCCAGTGCCTCTATTTGACAGGGATGGACATCAAAAGTCTGGTATAGGTTAATTGGTGCGATTGAAAAATAGTCATTGCTCCTAGTCACTTATACCTACTGGCAACAGAATTAGTTAGAGCTTATGAAGCTTTTCATTGTTTCTGCCATAGGGCTTGCATCACCTATGTACAGAGCTTCAAATAGTTTGCACATGCAAAATATCTTTCTTGCACATGCAAAATATCTTTCTTTTTATTGAGCTAGAAAGACAGTGACAGTGTAAAGTGTGCTCTCTGACAGTAACCTGTGGAGTAAAATACAGAAGATTAACAATCCTGTTCATGCTAACTGTGTCACTCTGCTTACGGTATTGGTAGAAAGGAAGCACTTTATGAACCTTGAGGGCCTGCCTTGTAGCCATAGATGTTGTGTTATAAAAAATATTCTAGAACTCTCATTTGTTTTGCTCTTCCATGTTGTTAATTTGCTGCATGGCATTCTCCTAGGATGTTTAAAGCTGGGTCTCATTATAGGTTAAGCAGTTTCATTACTGACACTAATTTTAGTTACTTAAAGGATAGTCAATACTTTTAGTCTTGTCAACATCCATTGTCTCTCGAATATCTCTCTGCTCATTTTGTGGGCCTGTGGATGGAATGCACCACATTGATATGAGCTGCCCCTTTCTGATGATATTCTGTCGCACCCTGGCAGCCACTTGTTGGTATCTCTTGGCAGGATGATTATTGTGTTACTGAACTGCATGCTACAGTATGCTGGTACATGTACAGTACACTTTATCTTCAGTATTTTACCCTTTTTGTTTTACGTGCCTAAGAAAAGACCATGCACGTTTCCACTGTGTCAGAATCTATATCTGTAATAGAAACGTAAGCAGTCAAGCTAGGTGCTCAAGATAAATCTGCAGTACTAAAGCATGTCAAATTTTTTGCAAGTTCTAAAAAAGCAAGTGAGATTAAAAAAAAGAAAACTCCTAATGTACTGCAGTGTTAATGCCCTTTGCCACGGGAGATTTTTTTACAACCTCGCATGTTTTCTTTAAAGCTCGAAACAAATAAACACACGAAAACTACCTTGATAGAAATAACACAATGAGATGTCTCTCAACACGCCATACAACTTTTGCAGCAGGGAGTTTGTGCACAAATTAATATTTAACGAGTTGGCTAATTAATTTGTGTTAATTAGATAGTTTGACAGATCGCAACAAATACCTTGACTTGCTCAATAGGCTTGTGAACAATATCGCATTGGTTTTGATTTGTTGCGTGTGGCGTGCACCAGATTTTTTTAAGTGCAGGCATAAATTAGCTGAAACACTCTCTAGTTTAAAGTCCTGTGGGACAAGTCGGTTATCTCTCTAATGTAAGCTGTAAGCTAATCGCAAACTCAAACGAGGATGTTCTCAAACTTGCAGATTTTGCTCAATCTTTCAGACTACCATTTCGATCGAGGTAGGATGTGTCAAGTTTATCAGGTTCCTTCTAAAGGACTTTATTGTTTTTTTGTAATTGGTTGCCAATTTGGGCTGCAGCCTCCACCAGAGTTGCCGCAATGCAGTTCCAGGGTTGCCTTATAGATGGCACCAGCGTGCCAGTGTGTTCTCTCGTCGTAAGAAATCACAAGAACTCGGTCCTAAGCAAATGCGAGTGTGAAAATCGCCCTTAATGTAAAGCACCTTGACAAAACTTCTTAGGCCCCTCCATGCCTCTTGGGGGGGGAGGGGGTTGGAGGTTGGAGGTTGGCCATTTGTCTGTTCTAAAAGGAGCCTGTCAAAACAGTCAACAACGCTTGCAGTAAAGGGCAGTGTGCTTGTGACTAGAAAAAGATAACACTTGACGCATGGTTAAAGAAATGCGCTTTCCCCACATTTCCAGGCTGTTTAAGTAGGCCTTGCTTGACTGTGAAGCACCCGATAAGTGAGTTCTATTTATGGCCGCTGCAGCTGTTGCGGAAGGGGGGTTTGCGGGTCTAGCCGTGAGAATAGTTTCACCTCAAAGTGTGACTCAAACCGTAGTGCGAGTACAACTGGGATCGGCCCCCTGCATACCTTTGGAAGTAAGCCTTTCTTTTAACGGGAAGGTCGTTAGAACTGGCCTATTCGAACTGATGATAGTGTAAATGGAGTTGTCTGTCAAGGGTTAGTTTTTTTCATGATGGTTGGAACCAGAAACTGCGGTCGAAAAACGAAAAAAAACTTGGTAGAAGAGTAGGAAAAAAGTGGACAGGCAACGTCTCAAACTCGGCTACAAATTTTATTTTCTCAGCACCTTACCATAATATCCCGAGAGATAACCCACCTAAGATTGAGAGAAAATTAGGTAAAAATAAGGAGTGGGCTACCTTTCGGTGTGCAATCGAGAGAAGTCTTAAAAAATGCTATTTGAAGATACTGTTTTTTCACCAAGTTCACATCACTGAAATTCCTTCTCTCTTTTGGGTATGCGACACCCACGATTCTTTCCAATCTTCCTAACGTTTGATCAACAAAGGGAATCTTTCATCGTTGTCTACATACTGTGCAATGATCTGAACAGAGGAGAGATGTTTATAATTCTACCTGGGCCATTTGGCCAAAATGGCCTCTGCCTGTTCAGAAATACATTCCATACAGGGGTTCACTACACCTATCTGAGGTTCCAAACAAAGCTGGTCATAGCTACGCGTAGCAGGCACACATTCATTCCGCAAGTTAGCAGCTTGATCGAGTTCAAAACATGCATTCTTTTCACATACCAAATCCGGTGGAACAGTGCCTTCCGAGTCTTTTTGTTTTTCGACCAGTCTCTGGTTTCAACCCTCGTGTTTAACTTACACCAGCTCACCTGCACTTTAACCTTTCGTTGGTCTTTCAGTTTGACTAGGGATCGAGATAAAGTGTGTTGTGTATAGTTTTTTTCATGTATCTTGTATGTGGGGAACAATTGGACTATGTTGATTGGCTAAAAATAGGAACAAAATTCAGTATAAATGCAAATATTCGAGAAATGTATGGAAGCACAACACGTTGCTTGGGGCCGAAAGGCACGACGTGCCGCTGAGTTTTTGGTGCCTCCATTAGGCCGCATTAGCCAGATTTATGCAGAGCTGCAGCGAAGAAACCTTGATCCGAGGCACTAATGATTGTCACTCGTTGCTAATGCAAAGATTTTTGGGTTTGCCTTTCTATGAAAGTTTGTTCGTTTGGGGGTTAATTGATTTTAGGAAAAAAATTGCTTTAAAGTCTTTTCAAAAGCAGCTGCTGTATGTATCTTTTTTCTTTTTTTTTTGGAATGGATTATATGAGTAATGTATATTAAAAAGAAGCAGTAGATAAATCTCTTCCACTCTAGACTTAGTATCTGCACGCTACGAGATTAAGGAAAGATTTCTCAAGGGCGGGTAAAAAATGAGCAGGGAGTTTGCTGTTTCTCTCGGTAGCCACGTGAAGTGTGCTGGACACCCCGCCCCACGTCAGTGTGCCGGACACCCGACTGCATTTCTTTTTTTGCTTGTTTTTTCCGGCTGTGTGAAGCAGATGAAAAACTCGCACTTCGTGTTCGTAATACGAGCCATCTCTTCAGCCAGTTAAGGGGCGACGACTCTGCAACGTCTTCATGTGAATCAGCTTGGTGGTCGGGCATGTCATGCGGAATAAATTCTAATTGTTTTGATCCGTAAATGATTTCTCTTTCGCAGCTAGACAGATTCGCCGGTACCGCAAACAACATTTCTGAAGTAGAGGACCCACGCCCGTCGTCCGCCGCCATCGCCATCCAGATTCGCCGGTACCACAAACAACAGTTCTGAACAGTTACGCACCCGTCGTCCGCCGCTATCGCCGTCCAGCCTGCGACTCCCGCGATACCACGCCATGTTGCGAATTATGCAGAGAATGCAGGGTGCTTCCAGTTTTCTCTGCAACTTTTTTTTTTTTTTTTTTTGGATCAACGTATGTGCAGTTTTTTAGAAGCCCCAAAAAATGGTTATCATATCTTTTTCTATTTTCAATATTGAGCGTGTAGGTTTGATGACCCACAGCTTCGATTATATTTAGTGTGTGTGTCGGAATCATAGAGAACGTCACATGACCACGGAGAAGAGAGTGAGCGCAACTCAAACCGGCCACTTCTCGATCGGCGGTTTTCGGGTGGAAAGACACAAATTTTGAGCCGCAAATTGTGCTCTGGGTAGTTGGGCTCTTGTATGTCATGTACAAATGAAAACATTGGCGAGCATAAATACCCTGTCAGTGTCCCTTTAACATGCACTGCCACCAATCTCCCCTCGTCCGACTCGAACGGCACTCGTTTGACATGTATAACATGTGAAACATGTTTTACATGGTTAAACTGCATCTGTTTAACCATGTATAATGCTTACCAACAAGCCCAGCTCACCACCCTTCTACTATCCGCTTGACAGAATCTCTGCTTTCGCACATTTCTCGCAGGCAATGCACCTGCTGCTACAAGGAGCCCCAGAGCTTCGACAAGTTCAACGCTGTGATTCAAGGGCTGCTGCAGACGGTGCTAGGGTTGCTGCGGCAGTTGAAGGCAAAGCTATGCGCTCCGGGCCCAGAAGAAACCTCGGAGGATGCTGCGGCGTTGCCGGACAGTCGGGACGCCAAAGGGTCTGCAGCACGTGAGTTGGACCGCCACCTTGCATTTGTGTCTGTTGTCCCCGGTGTTTTTTGGACGGTTTTGTACCCACAGTGAACGTGTCGACGGTGAAACAGGGATTCTCACGTGACTGCGAGGGGGTTTAGGGGCCTCCAACTCCACGTTTATACTCCGTTCACCCCATAGCTGACAGTGCGCCAGGAGCTACGAGCTCGCTGGACCGATTGGGGAGCTTGTAGCCTTTCGTTTATTTTCTCGTAACCATTCCTTCGCCTGACCCCACTCTTGGCACGTGGTCACATGGTGAAAGAGGGACATACGACTGGTCTAGTGAAGACCTAGCTTCCGCTGCAGTCTCAGTTTAGAGGTGAACAAAGTATAGTGTTGGATGTTTTCATAGTGAATGGCTAGTAACCGATAGATACGCGTGGAACCAAACCACGAAAATTCCGGTAAAGATATGTAGCCGAGTTTTTAATTCCCCTTTCCCGATTTCATGCAAATAGTGTAAAACTCAAAAGCATCCAACCACGTTTCGCTGTGTACGTGCATATGCCGGAGTTCATTACGGAATAGGTGTAAGTCGGAAAAGCCAGTAAGTTAGATACTGTTTTCGCCAAGAAATTCAGTCCTTACCGGTGTGCGTCTTCAAGTCTCGTGAAATGATTATAATCTTCCAGCAGATGGATGAAGTCTTTCTGCAGAAATGGGGATTTTGAGGCAGGTGCTTCTGTAGTCACTGGCTGGATGAGAACGGCGGCCGAAGCACGACGGAATGTAACGAGAGTGTGCGGGAGGCTGGGCATCCGAAAGGAGTTGCCCTGTTCTTCTCATCCTGTTGACGACTATGGCGTGGTGCCATGCGACATACTTCAGGCTCGAAGTCTCGCCGGATGCCATGTTTATGAAATTTCGCCTTACGTCCTTCTGTGCAGAGAGGCAGCGTTTTTTAACTTGGTAGATCTTTCTTGTTGTGTCGCGATCGACTGCATTTGTCAGAGTACCCTGCGACGCAAAGGAGCATCAGCTGGTACTCGATTTTTATACGTATCAGTCTTTGTTCGGACTTGAAACGAGCCGGCGGTTGAGAAGTCGACCCGTTGGCAGCCACGAGGGCCCCCACAAATGTCGCCGGGACGACTTCAAGAGGAAACAAATCGGAATAAGCTTGTATTTATGCGGCCTAAATAAGTCCCCGACCGTACTTGCAAGAGCTCTGTCGTTGACGAAGCCACTCGCTGTGCTTTGCCATTTCGCCAACGTCAAAAACGACGCCAATATCTGATCGTCCGCGGGTAAACGAATGGCAAAAGTGGTGGATGCTCTTCGTCAATGTGTTCGGAACGTGACTCACTGGAAAAAAAAATGTGTCTCTTAGAACCTCCCTCTAGGGGCGTGTGCTTGTAGCCGCCGAGGTGCCCGCAATATGACGGAGGCTTATCATGGCTGAGCAGAACGTAAAGGCGCAAGTGAGCTGGTGTATATCAAACATTTTAGTGAAAAACCCGAAACTGAGGTATTGACAGACGACGAACCATGGCTTACCATGGCTTGCCCGCCATGTAACGGAGATTTCGGTTGCGCGTAAAGCCCCCAAATTTGCTTTTGCTCGTAGCTTTCCTGGCCTGCACGCCGTATTGAGCGTGTAGTGCATTACTCCGACGAAGTGTATTGACGAAAGTAGTATTTGTGGGTTCTACCTTGTTGGAGACTGACAGAGGGGTGGCAAACCTTTTGTCCGGCCTCTTTTCAGTGGAAGGCTGGTCCCTAGAAGACCAAGAGAAGCTGCTCCACTTTGCCTCCAAGGTGTTCTTGCTCAACTTCCCCCTGTACGTGGCCTTCAAGCACAGCCTCCACTCCAAACTCGAGGTGCGTACGCCTGCCTGCCTCCGGCGAAGCCGCCCTTTACTGATGGTTTTCTTGTTCCCTCCGACAGGAGGTGTCACAAGCAGAAGTGGCGGCCCTAAGCAGCGTGTGCGATGTCAACGTAAGTGAATGCTCTGTTAAGGCTGGGGCAGAGGCAACCGGGACATACCGGTTTTGTCAGGTGAATACACTTGGATTGTACGTCGTGGTCATTATCTTAGTATCCGACTTATGGTAGGGTAGGACAGCTACATTAAGCACGGTAAGCACAAAATTGACTTTACGGTAAGCAAATTGAGGTGAATTCAGAAGCGACTTTACTACACAATGTTTTTTTTAGTCGGTCCAGGATTTCGCCATAACTGAAAAGGGCAACATCACTGGCACTCCTTGCCCGCTTAGTTTCAATTTGCAGTCGGTTGACGTTTCTTGCCTCGTAGCAGCTGCTACAAATATTTAGCTAAACATTTCACAGCACAACTAGACTGCATTGAGATGGTGCGTCAATTCTCAAAATGAATTACTCTGCCCCCCCCAAAATAAAAGTTTTAAGAGTTCAATAAATTTTTTTAGTTATCTACATAATTCCATTTCACCTCTTTACTGGTAGCCACCATTGCCACCACCTTGGCCCCAAAGCTAAAAAAAACAAAACGTAATACAAGATTAAAAAAAAAATTATTCTGGACCATTAAAAAAAGAAACACCCCGTGTGTTCACATTACTGGAAGAAGCTGTTACCTCTTCAAATGCCGAACCGGCTGAAAAAATTAACCACCTATTCGCTGCATCAATTTTTACCAGCGCTGCCAGTGCTTGTCAAACAAGTAAAGCGGGTGTCCATACGGAGTTTGGCGTCATTCTTGCGTGACCCCTCCCACCAGGACATGGACATCCCCGTGCACCTGCTGCGGAACGTGGCCCACTTCTGCGGCCAGGGTGGCCTTTCATTGCTCCACTCCTGCTTCAGGGAAGTGGCACCACAGCGGTTACCCATCGGCCTGGCACACGCACTCGTCTCGCTCGTCTCCAACGTGAGTGCAGATTCGTTTCTAATGCAGAATCGTTTAAAGAAAAGCGAACTTGGGGTTTTGCGTAGCCGTAGCTGGTAGTCGTAGCCGCGGCTGCACTGTGCTGTCGTCGGCTAAATACGGCGGGCTACCGTCCTGCGAATTTAGCAGGACGCCGCTATGGGCAGTGTGGTCACGTGATCGTACAATTGGTGCCACTGGGGGCCACGTGGCCATCTGGCCGGTGCCATTACGGACGACGTGGTTGCGTGACCTCACGAGGTGCTTTGGGTTGTGCGGGTCACATGACGTCACGGTGTCACAATGGGGCATCACATGGCGTTTGGGTCATGCATTGTCACGGTGTCACAATGGGTTGCCACATCGCTTCAAGTCATGTGACTTGTGGTGTCACAGTGGGGTGTCGCATGGCATAGGACGTTACTAGCGCCGACGGGTGTCAAGTCGTGGTGTGACATGATGTCACGTCACGTGACAACACTGCGTAAGCTACGTTATAAGCGGCCATTTGGGGTAGGTAGTGCATAGATTTCTATTTGATAGGTTGTTCCAGTGTTTTCCCTTGTAAGTGGTTACTAGCAGTCACAACGCATCTGGTCACACTCAAATGCAAGTGTTCTAACTAGCTTCTACATTTCACATATAAATTATGCCTCTATCTGTTGGCAACATTCTTTATTTTTATCAGGCGAGTCCAGCTTTGTGTTGGATAATGTAGGATTGTGATGTACGACGTGCCTGTGGACCTGCTTGGGTTGGTCGTTCACAGCGACTTGGGAACTGACTCCTACCTCTGTCGGACCGTCCCTAAATACCATGTTTGTGCATACGCAGCTGAAGCTGTGGATGAACCTGCCGTGCATCGTGCAGCATTTGGTTCCCCTGCGGTCATCTGTCATACGGTGAGCATCCATCTCCACAGTTGCCATTTGATGCAATTTCTCAGCAACCTTCTAAAATTAGAAGCAGTGTCAAAAGTAATTCGTCGGTCGACTCGCACGTAACGGGGCTGCTCGTGAGGCAGCTTTATTTGAGCAGAGGTTGATAAGTTTTGGGCGACGCGAGAGCAGATGAGGTTAGAGCAGTTATTTCCGGGCAACATCCATAATTCTATGCAATGTGGCTGTACAGGTGTAGGTTCAGTGAGGGTTAGTTTGCCTGCTGTAAGTGCACATTTAAAAAAGTACAATTAAAAGTGGAAGCACGCAAATAAAACAGCTTTTTTTTTTTTAGACTTCCATATTTTTTATGTAACCCTTCTGGATTCTCTGAAGTGACGGGGGATCGCATCCACCGGAAGGGAGGGAAGGCATGGGGTGATTACTGTTAAATAGTAAATGAGGGGAACTAAACGCGTGTAAACCAACTTTGAAGTTCTGAAACGGGAAATGCTCGACTTTACTTGGTGCATGTGGTTGGGTCTATATTTAGCTTTGTGGGACAGCCGGCATCAATGAAAAAGAAGTTTTAGTGCTCCGCTTGACCGACAGTCTAAGGCTTTGGGGATCCCCATCGAAGGCTTCAGGGACCCTAAAGGGACTGTGGACCCTTATTTGAGAACCACTGGCCCTAGTAGTTCATCTAGGGAACCACGGCGACGCTCACTGACTTCAGTGCTCGTTGCAGATACCTGTGCAGCCGGTGCGAGGGAGAGCTGCGTGGGGCCACGAGCCGCAGCCTGTTTGAGCTGATGCTGGGGGCGGTGAAGGACCCCCTGGACGTGCACCTGGCCCTGGACAGGGAGGGCCTGGAGCTCGCCTTCCGCTGCTTTGTCTCCCCCACCCTCACCATGCGCCTCTCGGGCATTGCACAGATCAACGTGAGCACAGATGTCTCTTTCTGAACGCCTTTTTTTTTCTAATGTTTCAAGAGAAGCGAGAGATTACGCTCAACCGACACGCGGGTGAAAGTGTCATCTGATCTCGTGAGGTTACGCGACACCTCGCACACAAAAAGCATGGGACCAGTTCGATCTGAACACGTTCTGCGCGTGTTCGAGTTGATCAGATGTGATAGAAACACGCTTCGAAAGTTTTGTTTGAAGTATGGAATTTTTGTTGGTGTTTTGCGTAGGTTTTGTGTTCCTTAAAATGGGGATTCTCGATCTTTTTAATCTCGGGCAACCCCCATCTTTCTTGGCCCTTTGCCGAGGAATCCCATCCTGGTCATGGCGCTGATGCAATAAAGCGGTGTGGACTTCGTTAACAGTTATGCCCACACGAGGGAGTGTTTGGCTCGTAGTTATGCATTAACAGGCGGCTCAGATCTGCTAAAATTGGGAATGAATCTGTAAAAGCGCTTCACTTACGGGACGGTTGAGGGTAGCTCTGGGTAACCCCTGGCTTCCTGGAAGTCAGTTTGAGAACCTACACCCTAAAATATTCACAATGAGTAAAATTTGTGTCTGTTGCCATCAAGGTTTTTTTAACTTCCTTCAAAAACAACTCTGTACTCATTAATATTTTTTTCTTTTTTGTAGCCATAACCCTCTTTCGAAAAAAACATGACACACACACTTCTCTGTTACATTTCATTAACAACTTGCCCAATGGCACGGACAAGGCGGTCTTAGAATAAACTGATGAGAAAATTAATTGTTTTCTTGTCGCTCTTTACCACTAAGGCTTGTGAGGATTGAGAGCACATAGAAGGTTCTGTACTTGAGCGCTTCTTGAGTCCAAGCTCACTGCCTCCCTCGCCTGCAGAGCCACATCAGCATGCTGAACGAGCTGTGCCACAGCGAGACTGTGGTTGGGGCTCAGGCAATGGCCAAGGCCCTAGCCACCTGGCTGGTGGAGTACCGAGTCGTGGAGCACATATTTGGACCCAATCTCCATGTGGAGGTATGTCTCACAAAGCATTGTGTATCAAAACATCACACATCAAAGCATCATGTATCAGAGAGCATCGTGTGCTGTCGAGACCGGATATAACGAAGTCGGTTATAACGAAATAGTGGCTACAGCGAAGCAATCACGAATTCCCACTCCTCTTTTGCACTTCGTTAACCCAAGTCGGTTACAACGAAATAGCGGATTTAGCGAAGTGATTTCCAATTCCCTTTGACTTTGTTATAACCGGTCTCGACATGTAGCGCCTTCTGCACATCTCTTGCATATGACTATTCAAAGGTGGCACTGTGTTCCATTTCTATTTGTATGATCGTCTGCAACATTTTCTTTAGCTTTAAGTTGCTCGTGATAGACACTTTTGAATCCAAGGAAGGAAGAAGCTTGACTTTGAAAATTTGTTTTATTTAGGTTCATCAGCATCTAAGAGTATTTTTTACAAAGTTTTATTAACTTCTGCGGCATAGTTAACTTGTTATTAGGTATTTTTGGTGTCCCAGTGTTAATTAAGTGGTAAAGGTAGATTTTCTATTAGTCAATCAATCATTTGATAATGAGACTAAAGGAAAGGCTCGTTCTCTGTTTCTCCTTGCCGAAATTTAATCTGGAACGCGTCTATGGAATTTAATTTTTACTCTACGGCACAATTGACACTCGTGATTAATAGTCGAGATGTTAAGGCAGCGTAGGACCAACCTGCCTTTGTAATACAGCGCCCGGATGAATCGCGGTTTTTGGCGTCCCGTGCAGGTGATCAAGCAGAGCCACCTGGTGCTGGGGCTGCTGGCGTCAGAGGGCCAGCTGACGACGTCTCACCTGGACGCCGTGTGGGCAGCGGGTCAGCTAAAGCACTGTGGCCGCCAGGTGCTGGAACTGCTGCCCCCGCTCATGCGCAACCTGAGGGACGGACCCGCCATGCACCTCTACGCCCGTCTCTGCGCCACTCCGCCGAGGGAGCACAGCGAGCAGGTGCGCCCGCTTTTTGGTTTCCCCGGCCCGCCTCAATCGGGAATGCCGTTTCCCCCTTTGATGCGATTTTCCTTTTAGAGGCTACTTGGGTTGGGAAACACTTTGCAGTTTCAAGGGAAGTGTTCCCCAATCTTCTCGTTGGAAGCAATGTTTCAGATGCAAGAGTGCCTCAAATGGGAGATGCCACTTCATTTGTGGTGGTTTTCTGTCTGAGAGAACCCAGAATAGAGAGTATTGACTTGTATTTGATGCAAGTCCAACGGCTTGAAGGTAAACATCTTTGAGAGAGGTCTGTCTGGTTCGGTGAAATGACTAGAATAAAAAAGAATTCTCCAACCACTAAACCGTAAAAAGAAGTCTCAACGTTTCGAAGCCTACTTGGCTTCTTCTTCAGGGGTAGCTAGAGGTCATATGGGGCAGTCACAGCTTCAACCTCTTCGTCTTTGTAAATTTCCTTTCTTTAAGGGGGGACACTGGCTAGAGGTCAAACTTTTGAACTACTCATCTGATCAAAATGAAATTTTCAGGGGAGATTTAGCTTCAGATATAGGTGTACTGTGCAAACTTTCAGCTCCATAGGACAAATTTACATACATGCATAAGATGATGTGTCACTTTTCATTAAGAAATCTATGATATGCAAATGAAGCTAATGAGCATCACTTTCACTGCTTGAATATCAAGTGGTGCATATGGGACCTCGGGCTATCTAGTTTTAATAACTTAAATGTAAATATTTCAGGAAGAGTTATTACCTCGAAATATGAGATGCATATCAGTCCTATGCCAATTTTTGAAAACTTAGTTTTTTTATCACTGAGGGCTTCAAGTTAAAACAAAATAAAGTAGATAGCCCGATTCCCCAGTCAATTTCAGTTCAGAAACATCTTGATTGTGATATCCAAATACTTTTACCTCCGAACAAAAGATTCCTTCGTATGAATTTCGCAACAAAAAGTGGAACTGTGAAAAATGCTTTCAAACATTGAACTCCTTTACTTTGTTACTGCTTCACAATGTGTTGAAAATATTTTATGGTTTTCAAATTTGGTGTAAGGGTGTACAATAAGTTTATAAAACGGAAAAACTTAAAATTGAAAAATGAATTTTTTCAAACAAATTAAAAGTTTAGGCCCATGTCCCCCCTTAAGTAGGCGGGGTTTTGGTCACTGTTCTTGTCACCGAAACACCGCCTACTTAAAAATGAGACGAGCGGTCACGTTACCGCTTATCTGATTGAAATCACGCATCGCGTAAGGGCCACATAATGTAGCGCCCGTGCAGCGCGTTCGTTCGCTTGGTCTCGCCTGACTAACATCCGATGCACCATGGCACGACACTGGGCTCATTCGATTTACTTGCACCGGCCTACACTGTTGCAGAAAGCTGTACATCTGGCATGCATTTTAAGATGGGCTTCACTTGTAAATCGAGTGTGGCTAATGCAAGGGGGGGCAGGTAATTCAAATGAACCTATTGTAACGTCACATCACGTGACAAAGTGATATGGCGTGACACCGTGACGTCGGGCGACGTTGTAATGTAACATTGCGAAGTTATGTCGTGCGACACTACAACATCGGGTGACATCCGTGACGTCGCATGACATTGTGACGTCGCATTGTCGGGGCTTTATATATTCCCAAAACTTTCACAGTGTGCCCTTCAACGGCCTTTCTACAGCTCCCCCAAATGAATGACTGTGAAGAGCTGCTATAAGTGCAACATGTTTAGAATATTTTCGAGGAACCCTAAAGAGACGGCCGATGTCATTCCCCGTGTGCAGACGCTCCTGCTGGCCTCGGCCCTGACCAAGCACATGTGGGCGAGCGGTGGGCGGGCCGCCCGCCCGTCCTCCCCGTTTGGCCAGATCCTGGGGACAAGACCACTGCCAGGGGGACCAAGCAGAGGTAAACCGTCATCCGCCCCGTTGGTGCCGGCGCTTATTTCGTCGGACCAGGGACAGTTTTAGCGCGGAACATACCACTGGGCCGGTTCCGTCAGTGTCCCGTAGCGTAGATTTTCATTATGCGGATTTTAGCGTTACGGGGATGTGTGTCGCATAGACTTCTTTATAAACGCAGCCCACAGCTGCGCTTAAATAGGAGTCTACGGCGTCCTGTTAACCCGACGCAAACAATGCGATCGCGTAATGAGGTCGTGCAGCTGGCCCGGTACTTTGATTACTCGTACGCGGTAGCTGTAAGTGCTCTCTTTCGTGTTGTCGACCTGCCGCAGAAGCAAAGCATTGCTGCAAAACGAGAGGACTTGGGTTTGGCTCCCTTGGTAGGATGCATCTACTGCTCTCTTACAGTGAATTAAATAATAATCATTATTGATTAATAATAATTTCTTTATTTAAATATGCCATCGTGATAACCGTGAGATAGTGTTTTGTGACACTCTTTCGAAATTATAAGCTCGAGCTATAGGAGCAAACTCTACTACCAAAGCTCCGTGTTTACCATAAATACCGGTAAACCCGGAAAGGTGACCTTGAGGCGGTTTTATTGAAATCTGAGAAAATTAAGAAAAACCCAGAGTTGGAGCATCCTCGAATGAAAAAAACGTGAGCTTCACGGGAAATAGTCGTTATCTGTCGCATTTAGTCGGTTACAAATATAGTGGATTTGGAATTTGAAGCAAATTCAATGCGAACAGTGGTTTTGGCTAAATATTTCTTAATGTAATATCGAAAAGTTTCTCCGAGCCTTTAACTACTCTTTAACCATGCTTTGATGAAAACCCAGCTAAACTCGTGAAAGTTGTTTGCAAGCTTCCACTTGTTTATTTATAAGAAAGTCCGATGCCCTGGGATGGCAAGTGAACGACGGAGTTGACATAAAATTGAAGCTATACTTAATCGAGGGGATTTATGGACGTTGCTATATGCAAATATCCTTTCTTTAATCTCAGATTTAAAAAAAAGAAAGAAAAAGAAAAAGAAAAGAATTATGAACGAATAACAAAGGTCGTCAGGGCATTTCTGCCTGACATGTACCCTTGCATAACAACCAAAGCGTAATTTTTAAACTTTCCCTTCATTTTCTTGCAATGAAACCTTGTGAATGCAACCAACATTCACAAGGTTTCCATTTTTTTAAAGTCCACCATGTGTACGTGTGCACCATCTCGCTTTGAAAGCGTGCTTTTCTCCCAAGCGAGCAATTGCAGTATTTCATACTTTTCCACGCATTGATTGCTGCGGGTTACCTTTTGAGTGTGCTTCTTACAGAGCACCGGTGTACTGCTGAGAAGCAACACCCGCCAAGCTTGCTCCTGGGGGTGTTGCTTTTCCGCAGCGCGCCCATGCTCGATAAGAAACTTGCTCACGGGGTTAACTTGCTGCAATCGGCGCTTAGAAAAATAGAAATATTCAAGTTCACCTCGAAGTGAATATTAAATAGTGTATCATTTGAAACTACTATTTGAAATTTCGGTTATTTGCACAACATTGATAGCTTTATTTTATTTTGTTTTATCTTTTCTACTTTTTTAAAAATTAAATTATATTTAATTTGATTTTTTTCGTGCAACACTGATAGCGTTATTTTCACAACACTGATAGCTTTATATTTATAATATGGCTTCGATTTTGAAGAGGAACAAACTCCGAAAACACAGAATCTTACCTATAACACTTTCAATGTTAAAACAATGAACCGTCTTTTTAACAGAGACATACTGCAGCGCTCTGCTCCGTGAAACGAGCGTTTTCTGGGCTTGTCCAGAGAAGAGCACAAGAGAACAGCAAAAAAAAAAAGAAAAAAAAAAAGAAAACAGGCACTCAGTTTGCTGCGAGTGTTTGGTTCTCTTTTGCTGCAAGCTCGGGCACAAGGACTCTGCTTGGTGCTGTTGCGTTGCAATTGTTCTGTTTTCTGCATGCTTCGTCTACTCCATCTCACACTCAAATAGGCTCTGAGAAACTAGCTTGCTCCAGGCTTCTCCAGAGAAAGGATGTAAACGAAAGTGACAGAAAAGAAAAGGGAAAAAAAGAGAAGACCTTTTTTGCCGCAACGGGTTGAGGTAGTTTTGAGTGTTTGGTTCTCTTTTGCCGCGACCTGGTGCCGGGGCTTTGCTCGGTGCTGCCACGTTCCAATTGATCTGTTTTCCGTACGCTCTGTCCACTGTGTCTTACACTGTGACCGTGGAAGATGACACCCCCAAGTAAGACGTTCATGGAGCGCTTGTGTGTTAACCTTGCACGACACAGGGCCACCTTACGCCGTCCACTCTCCACATAGTATGCAGTTTCTCCCCACTAACAAATCACAATCTGTGTTACCACCGCCTTTGCCACGCCAGTGCGGCAAAGGGGCACCCTTTTTGAATGGTCATCTCGAGCTTTGTGCCTCGACGTTTCTGCTCTTGCAGTGTCTAAAAAGAATTTCCACGAGGGTCCAGACGGGAGCGAGGAGGAAGACGACGAGGAGGAAGAGGAGGTGGTGGGTGCCTACCCGACTCAGGTGCCGCCGGTGAGCCCTGTTGCACCTCTCGTCCTTTCGGTCATTCAATTTGCACAAAATGCGGCCCCTTGGTTGTTCCACAATAGACCGATTTCGCCAAGCGTTCTATGCACGCGTGACGCCGCCCTAACCGACATTGCTAGATCAAAGTCTATCGACAAGCTTTGCAGAGTGCCTGGCGCCTTTTTGAGGTGTGTCTACTCGATGGAGCTCGCCACGGCCTCGGCCCAGTTGATGTGGACGGAAGACACGGAACGGGCGTAACATTGGATGCACATTGCCTGCAGTAAAGAACGATTTCATTGTGATTCTTGTGGTAAATGTAAATATTTGTGCAAAAATTGGCGCAAAAAAGAAAGTTTGAAAGCGGTCCTCCTCCGTTGTCCGTGGGAGTGCTGCCGATGGCGGCGGCGCTAGGAACGCCATTTGCCCGAACCTGCTCGCATGAGGGCGACAGGGAAGGATCGTTTTTGAATGGCACTTTTCCGTTCTTATATCTGCTCGTAGATTTAACACCGCCGGCCGTAGTTCACAGGACGCAGGCGACAGTTTGTGGGACGGCTCGTGCCGTCTCGCTCTCTGCTTGTACAGACCTGCGGCAAAGTTGTATCGCGTGCGAAAAGTCTACGGTTTTCACGACGTCTGGTGGCAGCGGTGGCACAATAAAATTGGCCGGTAAGATCAGTGCAGGGATGGGCAGTATTTCAAATACAAGTATTTGAAATACGTATTTCAAATACTTTGTGTATTTTGCATTTGTATTTAATTACAAATTGGGTAATGTATTTGACGTGTGTATTTAAATACTAAAACGTGGGTATTTCAAATACAATTGTAATTAAATACAATTTTGTGGGCGAAAATACATCCCTCAAATTTATTGTCACGACTCATTTTGCTCATCCTCAGACATGTCCAAAGCTGCTCTTTCTTCATCTCAACGCCAACGGCAACAACAAACCAAGAAACTCTTCATCTCTTCATACACCAGTCCTGCGGCAGTTCGCGTCTCGCTCACCGCGGGCGCCCGGGCACACGGGGCGCCCGCGGAAACTATGTTCTGTACCGAATGCAGTGTCTCTCAATCAAGCACGAGCGTTTAGTGACTTTGTGATTACGGTGCTAGTCCAGGGCAAGAATAGTGACAAAGTCGATGTTCACAGGCAGACTGGCTAAATAAGTGCCTGTGACAACTTGTCATGCTTTCCAGCCTGATTTCCATCCATATTTTTGCCCGGAACAATCTAAATACGCGGGTCGTCAGATTTTCGTAACTGGTGCGAGTTGCAACAATAAAAAATCTCTAGCTAGTGCTGCGCGTCTTGGTCGTCTCGGTTCTTTGTTGGTCTATACTAAAATGTAATCGACAAAAAAAACCTGCTTGGAGCTCTGTACTTTTTTCACCTATTACGTCCATGCTGATTCCATTTTTTTTTTTGTGATTATATTTCTATTACGTTACTAGAGCCTCGCACACTAACTCCCGAGTGTGCGATGCAAAATTAAAATGAGATACTCAGAAACCCGTTGCAGGTGCCCTGAAGTCGCTGAGGCAAATTTTGAGGAATGTATTTGGAAAAGCATTTGGAGGAGACCAAATACATTTGGTTGTATTTGTATCTTGTACTTAAATGCTTTTTTGGAAATGTAATTAGATTTGTAATGAAATACACTTTTGACGAAGTATTTTGTATTTGTATTTTGATACATATTTGCATGTATTTTGCCCATCCCTGGATCAGTGTATTGAACAAGGGCATACAGAAAAGCAAAATAAAAAGATGCAGATAAGTGTGATGGACCAATAGATAGTAGCCACTTCCTACGCTGGTTGACGTACAGGGTTGCATAAATTCCTGAGCTCGCTCTAAAATTGTCCAAAAAAATTGACGACTGTATGTGGTGATCTTGAATTTTTATCAAGGTATATTTTAGCGATGGATTTTACCTCGTAAACTATCAAGGTATTTTCCCCTTCTTGGGAAAAATGAGACCAACAAGCTTGCCATGGTCAATTGAGGACGACAGCGCAGACGACAAAGTTGGCGATAGTTGCGCTCACTGCGCCTCTATTTCAATACGTTTTCACCACACAGGTCTGTGCAAGCAGACCTGCGTCGAGCAGACGACGCACTCATTTGAAAGCAGACGATGCGCTCAATTGAAAGCAGACGATGCGCTCAATTGAAAGCAGACGACTCTGCCATCTCCTCATATTATTAGGGGTTCATATTGAAGAGACATGACCGGGCTCATTCGATTTACCCGCACCTGCCTGCACCGGCACAGAAAAGTGTAGTGCAGTGCCGAAAAGTGGAGGGCAACGCACTTCTGATTGTGTTTTGAGATAGGCTGCACTCGTAAATTGAATATGGCGGCGTGCAGCAAGTGCAGCGGTTGCAGGAGATGCACGTAAATCGAACACACCTACTGTATCGGGGCTTTCGAACATTCAGCTTCGCCGCAGTTACAAACGTCCTTGAAAATCACAAGTGCGGCCTACTTAGCACACCATCCTCCATGGTACGTATAATCTAGAATTGTTGCAATACTGATAATGAGTACCCTTGACTAAGGCTCCCACACCCGAGCGGATGCGACGTCCGCTCGCTTGTCCTTCGGTCGTCGGTCGCGTCGCAGTTCTCGTTGTCGAACCGGCGGTGTGATTGGCGACGTTTGCGTGCTTCTCCCAGGTGCCCGGCACGGTGGGCTCTCCACCGTCGGGAACCCTGGGGGTGCCGGGAGCGGTTCGGGCGGTGGGGGAGTCCTCGTCCGACAGTCAGAGCAGTTCCCCGGCGCGCCACCCCGCGGTCCCGGTGGTAGTCATGGCTGCACTACAGCCCTGGGCTGGGGGACGCCACCCCGCAGAACATCGGGTGAGTCGGAAGAGCCTGGTGTACGAAATTGGGCGTACGGTCGGCGGATTGGCCCAGGACAGCGGCGTCGTCTACGACAGCTTTTTTTTTTTTACGACAACAACCGTTTGTGGCGAGGTTTTTTTGCTGCAGATCCGGGGCTGTGTTTGGCGTACGGCATAAAGTGTAGGGTCATTGCGCACCAAATTTAGCGGGACATGCTTTCTGCTACTAAATTTACTGGAGAGTTAGTGTTGTGTGACATCGTTTTAAGCCACGTTAGTTTGGCGGGGAAATTGTGACGCTGCATGACGACGTAACCTTTGCACGTTTGACAAATTGAACGGTGGTGGGGATCGATTGCATGTAGTCTGTCTGCAGCCGAGCATGCAATTGTAGGCTTTTGCATAGTTTTTTCTAATTCTTTCAACCGCGAAGCTTGTTACGGTGAGTGAGGGCATTGGATAGGATGTATACGTGGGTCTTTGAGACAATTCGTGGGCCTATTTTTAATCTTTTACAACGGAGTTGTTAAGGGCTAGGTTCCCCAGGATCGTGTCCTTGTATGTCGACACAAACCTACCTGGACAGCTACCGCCATCTATAAACGATGGCGGCAAGCACACAACCAGTATGGTTTCCGCCGTCGCTCTTAGATGGCGGCAACCTTTCCAGCTATAATAGAAGAATGGATAGTTGGGCGCATCAGTGGGAATTCTTTGAGGAAACAGTGCAAAAACCGGACGACGACGAAGAAGAGGCACTCAGTGTATTGAGTACAGCTCCGCTGGTCTTCCTTCTTCACGAGAGTGGAAAGGCTGAACGTTTTTGTATTTATTTCTCACTTAGGAGGACGAGGAAGAAGAGGAGGAAAGTGGCATGAGTGCGGGAGAGGAGGACGAAGAGGAGGAGGAAAGTGAGGAGGAACTGAGCAGCGACGAGGAGCGATGTCCCGTGGGGACACCCAGAACTCCCCAGATCTTGGAACGGGCGCTTGTCGGGAAAGCCAGACCCCCAGGGTGAGAGGGTCCTTCTCCTAGGCAGGGACGGTGCCAAGGGGAGGCGAGGGGTGGCGGGTGCCTCCCCTAAAATGTCTTCTGCCACCCCAAGATGAAGCCGCTTTGTATGCAAATGATTGCCTACGACCTCGGTCTGAAGACCCACTGTAACGAGTGTCCAGCCTTTACAGCTGGTCATGTGTTTCATTTTGTTTTCTACAAACTTCCAGCCACGGGATGTCGTACCGCGGGCGAGGAAGCTATCAAGCGCTTTAGAAAGAGCAGCTCCCCTTTGTGACGCCTGCTGGCTTTTCTCTCAGTGTTCCGCACTGTAGTGCTTATCTTCAGCGGATACCGGAAACGTGAACGAAGGCAAGCTCAGTTAACATAGCGAATTCCAGACCGTCTCAGAAAAGGAAGCAAAACCTGGTTGTGAGTTCGAGCACTGGTGGATGTGGTCCCTGGTGTGATACTCCGCCCTCCAGCCCCCCCCCCCCCCTTCCTCATCGCATCGCCGCATTTCCCTTTTCAATGAGCACACCGCATAAGCTATCTTCGATAAGCCCGTGGGTGACAGCACCTCAGAGGAACTCCAACCCCCCCCCCCCCCCCCCCCCCCCCCAAGGTTCGCCTCCCCACTGCCCCCCCATTATGAAAATCCTGGCACCATTCCTGCTCCTAGGTGTGCCTACCTGAACCCTCAAGGAGCAGGTGGGTTCTAAGGCCGCTGGATATCTGCGAGGTACCGGTGCTCCTGAGCTCAAAATAAGCGGGGACACAACCTCAAATTGCGATTAGGTTTTTAAAAGTTACGTTGACTTACAAGTGTTTTGAAATCTGGGAGCTAAGTTCTAGTACAGTTGAACTTGAATATCTCGAATTCAAAAAGATTCGTAAATTAGTTTTGATGTATGGATGATTTGATATACAAAAGTATGTTAACTTAAGCTCCAGTTGAAATTTTCACACGTCTCTGCTAGTACCAAAGGTAGTGACAAAGGGTAACTTTCAAAATAGAGCATTGCAGATTTGCTCAATACAGTAGAACCTTGTTAAAGTGAAGTTAGCAGGAACCGCTCGTGTGCGGGCGTGGCCGTGACCTCACAGGATGGGTGACAAAACACAAAAACAATAATAAAGAAAGAAAATGAAAAAAGTGGGACGCAGGAAAAAAAAAGAATGCAAAATTGGACAGCGGGGAAGCGGGGGGGGGGGGGGGGGGGGGGTTGGGAAATGGGATGGGGATGAAACATTGGAAGCAAATGTGGCGGATATAAAAGTGGAAATCAAAATAACGAAGGTATTCAAAGCACGATTGCCCGACCATTGTCGGCACACTCTGTAGGAGACAGCTGGGATCATCATCATGGACACCATCGGCCCGTCCGCAGATTCTCATGTCTCGGGGTTCGAGCGTTGGCTCACCGAATGTCCCGACAGTCGGACATGGTTCCAAGTAGTTCTAGCTGAAAACAAATAGAATGTCCCTCTGACAAAGTTACAACACACCCGACTATGCACCAAAGACGTTTAACAGAATCTGTTAAATAGCTGGCACCTAACTGTACCCGGTCAGGTGCCTGCAACGGAAGTCAACGGGCCGACTGCCAGCCGTATGCTAATGCAGCGCTCGTCTCCTCACAGATTGGGCACTGGTGGCAACCGAACCTCTTCCTCGAGTGCCTCCGTGTTACTCCCGGCGGGGGTAAAACGTCACGCCTTCAGACATACAGCAGCGCTCTGCTCCCCGAAACGGGCGTTCTCTGGGCTTGCCTAGAGAAGAGCACGCGAGAGCGGCAAAAAAACGGAAGAGAAAAGAGAACGGATGCTTAGTTTGCCAAGAACGTTTGGTTCTCTTTTGCTGCCAGCTGGCGCCAGGGCTCTGCTTGGCGCTGCCGCGTTCCAAGTGTTCCGTTTTCTGCAACATACATCTTTTGCGTTTCACACTCTGACAGGCTCGGAGAATGTAGCATTTATGCGGCATTCGCAGAAGATGGCACCCGCAAGTGAGACATCCACGAAGCGCTCGCGCGCTTACCTTGCGCGACAAGTTGAGGCGGTCTGTCGTTTTTCTCCTCTGCCCCTTTGTGCCTCTCGCTGCCCCTGAACAGAGTCGCTTATCCTCAGCGCATGCAAACCACGCAGTGACAGGGGAAACACCTCACTACCAAGGGTGCGGCGCACAGTTCGATGTATCGAACATACTGGGCGGTGAAGTTCGATACAGACGCACGAGGCACCTATACATTTACATGGGGCGTTCGAGGGGATGTTTTCATTCTTTGAAATAGACAATATTTAGAGATACCCGGGTTCGATGGAGTTTGGCTCGAGTGGAGATCTGAGGAGCTTGCACAAACCGGCGCCACACAAAGTCGTGTAACTTGCAAATTAATAGCCAGAAAGGCTTAAAATGTTTTACAGTTTACTTTTTTTTAACAATGCGTAAATTTCATTAGCCTAGCTGTGGTGCTTATAAAGCAGCTGAGCTAGGCTAACAACCGCTCGTGACTGCTTGCACATGATCACCGCCGTTGGAGAAGTCACTCACAAAAACCTTTGTTTACTGTCGAACAGACTCAACGCTCGGCCACCTCCGCCCCCGAGAGACGACCCAGTTACACCCGTGGAGCTTCCGAGGACGTGGCACAACCGAGATGGCACGACTCCTCCACCACCCCGGTGAGTGCTTTCCTACAGTCGGTGACACCTTAATAATCCGGTGAAAGCTCTGCCTCCGGCACTAGTTTTCTATCTTCGATGAAAATGTTGTGCACTACATTTTCTACATTCTGCTTTCTTAACTTTACACTACATTCGTAACTTTCAACTAACTATAGTTGGCACCAGCGTTTCTGCGCAATGCACTGTGATATGTTACAGTGCAATCAGCATTACAATGCAATCAACATTACAACATGAGCGACATTACAATGCAGTCAGCATTACAGTGCGATCAACATTACAGTGAGATTAGCGTTACAGTGCATTGTCAGATATCAAATGTGCTGTCCTACAGTTACGGTCAATTGTGATAAATGGCCTATATTTATATTTTTTAGCCATTATGTGGGGTGGCAGGGGCAAAAGGGTTATGAAAATACCTGACAAAGGTTCTGTACCTCTTGTAGGTTTCAGCACTGCACAACAGATACAAAGCGCTTTAAAGAGAGAAAAAAGAAAGCTATACACCTCTACGAAGCATCCACATTCATATTAAAAATGTGATCTTTTATCTTTTCTCGAAAAGGTTTATGGAACTTGCTTTTCTAACAGTATGAAATATTTGTGGGTGTTGGTTTAGTTATCGGAAGATTCAATGCGATAGACTTGGTTCGCCACAGTTTGTACCCATTTGATAGCGACGGCTGTCGGTGAGACCCTTGCCGGGGAATCGCACGGTCATCCTTTGCGAAAACTCACCAAAGACATCACCACCTACGTCATTAGACCTTCCAGCTGCCGCCTAGTTTATAAAACAAAACTTTTCGTCAGTTGAGCTGCATTGGAACTACCAATTTATGAACGATGGCAGTCGTTTGATTCGTTTCCTCTATGGTCAGGTGCCCTACCAATCAGATTAACGACGGGACAGGTTACGGCGAACTAAGGACGGCACATATCCCGGTTCGTTCTATCTTCGACGGTGCTTCAATGCGTCAAGAGCGTCGAGCGTGCACGCGCAGCCGGCTTGCGTTGACACCACTGCCGGCGCATCTCGCAGCGTCTCGCATCGGGCGTGACGCTAGCAAGCAGCGATGCTAAGACGGATGTTGTCTCGTCGCGCTGCGGCGTGTTTGCCACTTGGGCAGGTTGGAAGTCCATTAATTACGACGTCATGCACCGGCCTCGTCTCCAAGGTAGTGTCAAATCGGCTCTCCGTCGTGCTGGCGTGTGCGCATGACCGTTCGAGCGGACGCACATGCGCACCGTGTGGTTAAACCTCAGAGAGTTCACAGCGGGTTCGAAAGACTCAAATTTCGGTTATGGGTTGTCGAGGAGACTCGTCGTCGATGGAGTACAGATTGGGCACGGGATTGGAATCGAGACAAGAAGCAAAAATTGTGCGAAAGCCTCACAGTCGTGCTTGGGAGACGGTGCAGAAACGACAACGCCGCCGCGATGTTTGCGAATTAAGTGATTGCCATCCCTGTCTGACGTTGTTCTCACATTTTTGTTTTGATGCTGCTGCTGTTTTGACATTTGGACATTTTTGTTTTGATGTTGTTTTGTTGTTTCTGTGTTTTGCCTTATTTACAAGATATATTTTTTTTTACTAGGTGTTCGGCATTTTGTGAAGCACAGATTAACGGTGAAGCCTGGATAAAAGCGTGCCCGCGAAACTTGACACTGATTGGTTGAAGAGTGGGAGAGGAGGAGTGAGGTGCTCGACGCCGATTGGTTAACGGGGTGGTCATGAGACCAGAGAAGTAGGCGAGGAGGAGCTCAAGCACTTGTGCACACTGAGGAAGAGGAGCTCGAGAGTGTGGAAGGCTCTGGAAGATCGCCAGGTTTATCAGCCCGATTAGTGATAGTATCATTTCACTCTTGGAACAACTATCAAATGTTGGTATGAGTTAAACAATCTGATGAAGAGTGCCGTTAACGTAGGCGTCTGGACACTCATAATATCAATAACGTTTCCGATGATAAAATGTTTTATGTATGCAACAGAACTGTTTAGAAATTTGCCATAAATTTTTGTTTTTGACAGTGTTGCTTTGGCGTCGCTTTCGTTTTCGCGACAGTGTTTTTATGTTTCAATTTGGTTGTTCTGATCTTCTTTGAACGACGTTTTGTGAATGTTGTAGACCTCCCGCGCTGAATGTGCCGAGCCCCGACGGGGCGAGCAGCTGCCACTCGCTGGCTGCCAGCAACCAGTCGGACAAGAACCTGGCGGACTTTGATGGAGAGGAGGAGGCCCCGTGCTGGCCCCGGACGGGTCCCAGGGAACCCCCGCCCACGGCCCTGGACGTGGGACAGGTCTGCCAGCCGGGCAAGACCCTGCTCTGGGACCTGCTGCAGGACGGCAAGATTGTGAGCGTCTCCTCTTTTCGGAGCCCCGCACGCAAACCTGCCGAGTCAGTTGTGTCTGGTTAACTTGGACCTTGTTAGAATGGATGCCTTTTGCATGCATTTTTGTGTTGTTAGTACGAACGGCTTACATTAGGGTCGATTTTTAGGGTCAACGAAGGTGTCAGCGTTAAAGAGACGTGACTGTACTTGAATACTATCCTCTGTTTCACCTTATGGTGTACTGTGATAAATGCTACGAGAAACTGGAACCATTGATTGGGCTTTCAGGTTGAGCGAGGTGCGAAGCTGGAAGTTACGGGATCTGCTTCAAGTTATGGATCGGCTAACATGGCCTGTAGCGTCTGTTGCAGTACATTGCAAGGGGAAACGCCAGTAGTTTTCTGACCTTTTTCTCCTAAGGAGCATGTTCATCTCTTTCAGATGATGGGTAAGGAACCAATCGCATGCTTGGCATCATTGCATTAAAGTAGTTCGGAAGCTCGCATGCCTGTAAACGGTGACACTCATTCTAGAGAGAGTCTAGAATGTATCTATGCATCAGCAGAATTACTTCGAGAGGAATCAATTCATAAGCCACTTGGGAACAGGATTTACAGATGAAGCTTGAGAGTTGGAAGAACCCTTTAAGGTACTCTGGGGAACCCCTGGTCCCCTAGACTGAAACGTGACATTGGATTCTGCGAGCATTACAATACGCTAGTTATAAGTTGGTCTCAATGTACTTGCTACATCTTGAGACAGACCAGCCACGGTTCGGTCCGAAAATTTGAGACTGTTAGGTAGAAGGGACGTCTTTCGGTGCACCGCTTGCAGGAGGAGCTTGGGGAGGAACTTGCCCTGGAGGCGGAGAAGGTGCTCTGCAGCCTGGTCTGCTGGTCCGTAGACCGCACGGTCCGCACCCAGTTCATCGAGGGCTGCCTGCGCAACCTGGCGCAGAGCAGGTGAGGAAGCGGGACGCCCGACGGTGGGTGTACGGGTGACGCTGACGGGGCGTGTCGCGCCCTCTCGCAGGTCGGTCGTGGTGTCGTTACGGCTGCTGCCCAAGTTACTGGCGTCCTTCCAGCAGCCCAGGGAGGGGGCAGACACCTACTGCGTGACCATGTGAGCTTCTGGGAGGGGTTCAAGCACTGCTACTGGCTCTTTTACAGCGACAACTGTTAAGGACTCTTCCTACCACTGGAAATGATGGCCGTTGTTGATATAGTTGATGTTGTAGTTGTCGATGTAGGACGTCTGTCGTCGATGTTGAAAAATTCTTTAAAAAAAGATTGACTGCATGCAGCTGCCTGTTTGGAATCGGACCCGGGTCCGCTGCGTGCGAAGCGGAGATGTTGCCACTGAGCAATGCCACACCATTAACCCACTCTATGCTTTGGGTTTTTGTAGTACCCGATGCCCACTGCACGGGCTTTTTGGAAAAACAACAATAGCCGAGAACAAACTGCCGTCGTAGCACCGTCAATGCCAAGAGCTAGGGAGATGCGCTTTCACGCGCTCTGGAACGAAAAAGAAACAAAAGCGTTTGGGAATTTGTAGTGCTTGAAGCCCACTGCACATACTCTTGAGAAAAATACAGAGCAGTAGTCGATAAAAAAATGCCATTGTAGCACTGTCGTTGCCAAGAGCTCGTGCCGGGAGACGCGCTCCGTAACAAAGAAAGTCTTATTTTTCGCCTACAATGTGTGAAGAAACGAAAGCGATAGCTCTAGCATGGTCGCATAGGCGATTGTAGTCGCCGACAGGACTAGAATGGTCAGGGACGTCGTTCGGTTGTCGTACCTCTGGCGCGAGCTTTCCAGCTTTAACGCTTCTTGGGAGCCTCGATCGTGCGTGGCAGTAGCATGGCAGAAGGCTGCAGCGCACGCTAGAGGCCGTGTGTTTAAAGATGTAGCCCGTTGCCCCACGAGCGATTGTAGCAAGCCGGAAGATTTGAGACGCAGAATTGACGAGCGTTCGTTGGGGCGCGATGTCGTGCAGGTGGGCCGAGCGCGAGCACGGCATGATGCGGCTCTTTCTGGAGGACCTGGTGCGCTACACGAGCGGCCGCAGGGAAGGCAATGCCTCCGTCCACAAACTGTGAGTGAGAGGGGCACCGCTCGTAGCCTTTTTCTAATTCTCCGGGTTCGTTTAAGAGGGGGCACTACTTTAAAATTGCAATTTGTTTTTGAAATTCACATTTTTAGCAAGTATAGCATTACCAGCTGTCAAATATTGTGATGGATGCTGTCGAAAACTTTCGCTCCCGTAGTGAAAGTATTTTTTTCTGGAATAGATTATTTACGACATGCTGGCACCATCTGAAGTGCAAGGTTTGATACTTTCAACTGTGTTTATTTCGTTTTCACTTTTTGACATTAAATTTTGGTTTATCAAAAATATCATTTGAGAATGAATTGATGTGTGGAGCCAGATTTTGAAGTTACTATACTGAAATTTTGTAAGAAATTTGACTGTGAGCCTACTTTCTGCGTTTTCATGGCCTTTTGTTATTAATCTTCAACCTAGTGCATCCAAAAAAACAACACCTTTCTTTTTCACATTTTTATTTTCTAATAAAATGGTATAGTTTCTGTAATTTCTTTCCACAGCCACTAAACGGGTGTTATAGTGCTGTTTGTTTCAGCGGAAGAACTGGCCATTATCATTACCTTCTCTAAACTATAGTCTTCTCAGGGGGTGCTGTGTTTATTTAATGTACTCCCAGTAACTCTTTGAAGGATAAATATACGAGCTTAGAACTTTGCATGTCGACCTTTTCTCCTGCTATGAATGTGTGCTGCAAATTTAATACAAATAAGACTGAGTCGTGTCCTTCCTTAATCATCATCATCACCCATCTCTTCCCACTTCTCTGGTCCCCCTACTTACCCTAAGGCCCCCCCAGCCAGAGGGCAAGTGTCAGATAAACATGTTAGGACAATTGTGATGACGCAAGCGGGAGGGCGGAGGGACCCCAGAGGACGTCATCTCGTACGCGATGCCAACGACCCGTTTGCCATTCTCGACATGCAGGTACAGCCACAGGGAGCAGATCCAAGTGCGGCTACACTTCCTGTCCTGCATCTTCTCGGCGGCGGGTTCTCCGGAAGACTTTGGTGCGTGCCAGGTGCTCTGTCTGTCGGTAGCTACGCTTCTCGATGCTGAAGCGAAATTCGGATTTCACAAAGTAAGGTAGCGGGAGTGTTCAACGGGGTGCCATAAACCCCAAAACACCACTCATAAAGCGATATCTCGAACGGATGGCCGTATTTTTGTAAAATAAGGGTGCGATTGAGTAAGAATCCCGACGTCGCGTGTCCTGCAGAATTATTGAGGAGGAGGGGGTAGGGCAGTCTTGGGTAAGTTACTTTTAAAAAGTAATTCGTTACAGTTACAGTTACTTTCAGAAAAAAGTAGCGAAGTTACCGTTACAGTTACTGCAAAAAAATAGTAACTCGTTAAAGTTACTTTTGAAAAGTAACGACGTTACTTTTCAGTGACTTTTTATAACACAAAAAAATATTAGAAAAAACTAGAAAACGCCTTCTACAACATTTTATTTCATAAAATTAAAAAGTATGCTTTTTACTTCATATTGTAACTTAGCAGCAGTTGCTTCTCGAAGTTAGTGTTTGAAAGTTTTCATGCCACAGCAGTGGCGCAAATCAAAATACGAAACATGCGCAGTGCGGAATAGTGGCGCTAATCGGAATACGAGACATGCGCAGTGCCCTCCACGTGTATTGTTTCATGGTTGATTCACCCGATTAAAAAGCGTTTGCACAGAAAAAAGAAAAAAACACAACATAGATAGTGCTTCAAGACACTAAGATGTGAGTGTTCAGTCACAAAGTACAAGCGCGTGCTTAAAGATAACTAGATATTTTTTTCGTAAAATCTACATGTGGCTATATTCGGGCCGTGACTTGCGAGAAAGAACGTATTTACAACTTTGTGCAAGGCCAACTTGACACTCGAAATGTCGGAATAGACGATTTGAAAAGTGCAAGGAATGGCTAAATTACACTCGTTCATTGATATATTTTTCATAAAACACTGGAAAGTAACTACAAAAGTAATGTCGTTACTTTCATCGTTACCTCAGAAAAAAGTAATAGAACTACCGTTACAAGTTACATTTTTAAAAAGTAGTTACATTTTTAAAAAGTAACTCGTTACAGTTACAGGTTACCAAAAAAGTAACAAAATTACGGTAATGCGTTACTAGTAACGCGTTACTATTCAAGACTGGGGAACGGCCTTGCTTCTTTCTTTCTTTGCATCCTCGCGGAGTCAAAGCGAGAAGAGGAGGAAGTGAGAATCGCGACGTCACGGGCTTTTTCGACCTTGTTCAAGTGCGCTCTTCTTTCACAGAAATACGACCGTCCGTTTAAGATATCGCTTTATGACTGACGCTTTTGGGCTTATAGTGCCCCGCCTAGCGCTTCCGCGTTGTTTTCCGAAATCAAAATTTCGGTTCAGCATTTCCTTAAGGCGTTGTCAGCTACACATTGCGGGGATTAGGGTACGCACGGGGCAGTACCCAAAATCCCGATGTCTAAAAGGAACGGTCCCACCGCACGATTACGCTACCGGGAGAGCATTTGCCATGCAAGGTTCCCACGTCAACTGCAACGAATACCGCAGGGTGTCTAGCGACCGGAAAAACCGGGAATCGTCAGGGAAATTTTAATTACCGGGAAAAATCGGGGAATTGTCAGGGATATTGTCAAAAAGCGAGCCCAGTCAGGGAAAATGAGTCGGAAATGCCGTTGAGTGCCCTGAGCGAAGACTTGTGTACTTGGGGCCAGAAAAATAGGCAATAAATTCTGCTTAGAGCGGAGCCCGGGCTTTACTCACCCGATGTAGAGTGTGCTACCCGATGCAGAGGGTACAGCAGACAAATCAAGTTCAAGCCTTGGATTAGATTGGATTGAGGGCACAACACTAGACTAGATCCGGTTAGAGCTACTAGATTTAGTAACAAATGGAAAAGCCGCAGACCCCAATCCAATCGAAGTCTTAAGCTGAAAGTATCTGAAAGTGTGCATTTGGCGGCCATGCTAGCATTTGGTTATTGACGTCTGTGGTTGAGCGTCGCGTTCTCATTGTGTTTTCGGAAATGGCCTCTTCACTGATGATGTCAACGGCAATGCTAGACACCCTGACACTGGTAGTAATGCTGTACTCAACGACAATCCGGACCCAACAGTGTTTATTGGAACCGGGGTTCCCAAATGCACGGTTTCAAGTTGGCGGTCGTATCTGGAACGTTCTTATAACGAATTTGACGTTTTCACCGCTTCCAGGACTGAGCCGTGACCAGGTGGACGTTTTGTGGTCGTGCCTGGCGCTAGATCCTGAGTGTGGGGACGAGCTGTTCAGCTGGCTCCTGAGCCAAGTGCGCAGCAAGGAGCAGCATGCCCTGAACGCCGACCTCTTTAGACACCTGCTGCTGCACAAGGTAGGCTTTCCAACAACATTGCATTTTGTCAGGGTGGAAGCAGAAGCGGTAGAGGAGGCCACCAGCTGGATCCAGAGTCCAGAGTTTTGCGATCATCCGCTACAAAAGGGAAGCCAGAGAAATCCAATCCAATCCAATCCCCACAAGACGATATGCTTGAGAGGAAAGGAGTGGAACTCGAATCGTGTTTGTGCGTTATTGCAAGCTGCTTTTAGCTCTTGTTTGTGATTCTCGCGATCTGTCTGGATTATTTTTCACGTCTTCTCGTACCCTCACCTAAGAGGATTTTTGAAGTGCCTTTTGAGCAAGTGGTAATTTACCCAATCCGCGCGCATAATTCCGGTTCAAATGTATCCTAAAGGCCGAATCACACGCTTGTGTTCACATAAGATTGAGATCTTGCGATCTCTTACAAGAAGAGAGAAGTCTAGAGAGCCTGGATTGAAGAGAGGGTCCATCTCGGACCACAGGGAGCATTCGAAAGTTGACGGCGGGCGCATCCTGCGCCAATCAATAGCAAGCCTGCATGTACTGCGTTTTCGTTTGGCGAGGAGGAAAACAGGCAGAAAGTCTGAGACGTCCGCAGACGACCGATGGTTCCGCCACCTTGCAGCTCTCACTGCAAGTGCAGCTCATAAACCACGCAACCCTGATCCAGTAGCTGGAACCTCTGTAATAGAGACTCTAGAGAACAGACTTGCACGCTGGCACCATCTGTGAGGTGACCGTAGAACTGCGTTTCACTAGAGTTAAGGCTTCGATGTATTTGCGAGATTGCAAAAGAGAAATGGTCGTTTATAACATTGTCAAAAGATTCTTGAGCCAAGAAAGGAAGAATGATGCAAAAAAACGAAGGAAATGTACGGAAACTGCAAGTGCTCCACGGCTGCCCGATAAATGGTTCCAGCGTATTTGTTCTCTCGTTGTAGGAGATTTTAAAGGTCATAAGCCGTTGCGAAGGTTTTGCTGGGGCGCGCTGGATGCCCTTCGTTGGTTTGGCCCGTCAAGGTGCTGAATTCTACTCAAACGTTCCCGAAATCCCCGGCGTTCCGACGACGGACTCTCTCCCGCCTCGCAGCTGCCCCAGCTGCCGGCGCCCACGACGAGCATGACGGCACTGCACCTGCTGCAGCAGCTGAGCGGAGTGGGCCGCCTGGCTCCTCCCGAGCCGCCCCCGCTGCCGGGCTCTCCCGCAGGCCGGGGACTGGCCTCCCCCAACGGCAAGGAGCCCCAAGGCGGCGTCCGGTGGCCCCTTCAGGCGAGCGGCATCGACCAGCTCTGGGAGATCGCCCTGAGGGCGCTCAGCACGGACGTCAGCATGGCCGCCATCCAGTACCTTAACAGCTTCTACCTCCACGGTGAGCGAGGGCGGCCTCTCAAATGGGTGGACGAGCCTTTGGGTTGTTCCGCCCGTGCATCGAAAGTGATTTCGAAAAGGCAGCAAACGACATCATAGGAGCCGACGGAAGTGTTGTGTCGTACTGTCGGATGTCACGATTGCGGCGGTTGGATTTTGAAGTCTCGGCAAAAAGTATGAGTGGACACTGGTTTTCTGACCCGTACGCGAGGGGGTCAGCAGGACTTTTTCAGGAGGTCCAAAGTTTGCATCGTCGAAAACGACTATATGTAATCGGAGTGCTGAACAATTCTACATTTGTTCATGCATGCATGAACGTCAACTGACCGACTTTTCTACAATATTGAACTTGTAGCTGGAGGTATCAGTGTCTGGCAGAAGTGGTTTAATATCAGTATCAAGGTGTCAGTGTTAAGTTTCAGTGTCCAGTTGAAGTGGTTCAGTAAGTGCAGAGTGACTAGATGTAAGGGGTTAATTGTCTCTGAAGTGGAGCATCATGCATTCACGAAGTCCTTAGTGCAACATTTCAGTGACGGCTCCGTTGGATGCCCTAGACACTATGTTATGCAATGGAGGAAAGTCACTTTATTTGCACATACTGACTAGGTAGAAGTGCATAAAAAGATGGTAAGGTCAGGGGTAGCATATATCTTAAAGAGTTAACGACTGTAACAACACCAAGTTTAAAGTCATTACACTATCAGTTGCAAAAAATGGAGCGAGAGAAGTAATTTCTATTTTGTCCTCTCGTGCTGGCTTCACAGCCAGGCAATTATGTACCGATAAAAAGCTAATGCACTGGTTCCTGGAGTTACTACTGTCAGACAGAACAGCTGCAGAACATTTTCCGGGAAGTCCATAAATTGCATCATCGAAGACATCTACTAACTGCCATTGTCTTCATTGCAGCTCACCAGGGTACGCTGGAGAGGGAAGAGGAGTTTGCTCAGCGCTGCATGCAGAGTTTACGCACATCCGCGGAGAGCCTGGCTGAGGTGAGTTATCCCTCGTTGCATCGGGCACTTTGTACGGATCGTGTTTGGAAGAAGACCCGGTGTTGTGTAGTTGCTGTTATTTTTTAGACTGAACCTTTGCTCGTCGGTTGTGCAGAAGCCTCAGCAGGCGGAGGAGACGACCTTGACAGTGGTCCAGCGAGCCCTGCAGCTGCTGAAACTGCACTTGGAAGCGTTTCAGCGACGGTACGCCTTCCACCTGCGGCGCTGGCAGCTGCGTGACGGCACGGGGCTCAGCCCCCACGGCGCCGCCCTACAAGACTCTCGTGGCCCCGGCAGCAAGCTCCGCGTCGTCTGCCAGCCGGCGGGGTTGCCCCACAAGGTGACCCCTCGCAACTTTCCTCTCTAACCATGGTCGTTGGCCCCTTTTAAATGTATAGCATGACACTTATGTCATGTGACGTGACCTGATGTTGCGACACATGGTCATGATTTCAGGTGTCTCCGTGATGTGACATTGCAACGTCACATCACATGACACAACATTGTGGCGTCACAGTGCAAGGGCTTTGTGAGCATATAAAACCGTCAGTGTCACCTGACGTCATGATACCACGTGACATTGTGATGTTCTGTGACACTCCTATTGTGACGCCACGTCTGCGACACCGCAATTTCGTGTCATGTGACACGACGTTGCAGTGTTAGATCACGGTGACACCTGTCATCTCATGACCATGTGACGCAATGTTGTCACGTCACATGACATCACAGTGTCATGTCGCAATGTCGGGTCACGTCACATGACGTTACAGTGTCACGTGACAGTGACATTATAGGATGTGACGTGGCATTATGACGCATGGTAATGCAATGTCCGGTGTTACCGTGATGTGACACTGCAACGTCCCGTCATATGACACAACATTGTTGTGTCACAAAAGTTGTGTCACAGAACATCACAATGTCGCGACGTACTGCGACGTATGGTGACACTGACAATTTTATATGCTTGCAAAGTCCTCATACTGTGCCCACTAAAGGAGGAGTGCAAAGCTCCTCCTTACCAAAGAGGCATCTGAAATGCGTGACTCCTGGCATACTAAATATTTCCTTTAAGAATAGTTTTTTAATTCAAATGAGACTACACAATAAAAGATGTTGTATGGGAGATAGGAGTTTGACTTGCTTACCGTCTGACCCCGAGGATAGCTCGCCTAAAAGCGAGAGAAAGTCGGACAAAGATGAGGAGTGGACTAACTTCCGGTGTGCGATCAAGAAAAATAAAAGAATTGCAGTTTTTTTTTTTGCAACGGGAAACTTTGCAACGGGACTGGGAAGCTGTCCTTCCCTGTCAGCAAAGTTTGCTTATCTCCCGCTATGCTACTAACCCCATTTCGGCCAAGGTCACCATTGGCCAGGGCACAGCACTTACTAGAAGTGGGCTTATCTTTCGGCATTTTTCAAAGAAATACCAAATCGTATCAAGAATAAAAATGGGTTATCTTTCAGGATATTACGGACATCATTTGCCGAAATGCCTCAGTGTTCGAAGGCCACAGATTTTATGCGAAATAAAAGTTTTCACTCTATTGTGCCGAAGGGATGTGAAGTGAAATTTGTTAGGGAGATTTAACATTAGATGTATGTGTAATGTGCAATCTTTCAGCTCTCTAGGACAATTTTACATACTTGCATAAGAAGCTGTGTAATCTTTTGTTACGAAATCTATGATATGCAAATGGAGCTATTAATAAGCACCATTTTGATGGCAGGAATATGAACTCTCGGATGTGGGACTTCGAGCTATCTAGTTTTTATAACACAAATGTAAATATTTCAGGAAGTGTGATTACCTGAAGATATGAGATGCATATCTGTCCTATGTAAATTTTTTAAAACTAAATTGTTTTTTTTTTTAATGAGGACTTCAACTTAAAATAAAGCACCACGTGTCCCAAGTAACATTCAGGCTCTTTAAATCGACCGCAAAATTCGGTTTCTTAACCTATCGCGCTAAGATTTTGTGCAGCGATGCCCACAGGTGGTGCATTTTTCCTGTAAAATTTGCAAAAAGTGAACTTACCTGAGGAAAAAGTAAGAAAAAAAAAAAGGCTTAACTCCTATGGAAGCGCAGCAAAGCTTCTGGTCTTCAAACAGAAGGACACCCTATTGATTGAAGACTGGTGGCGCTTTGCTGGGTTTCCATAAAAGTTAAGCCTTTTTCTTTTTTTACTTTTTTCCTCAGGTAAGTTTGCTCTTTGCAAATTTTACAGAAAAAATTCACCACATGTGGGAAACACTACACAAAATCTTAGCGCGATAGGTTAAGAAACCGAATTTTGCGGTCGGTATAAAGAGCCTGGCCGCCATTTGAGACACCCGATAGATATCCCGATTCCCCAGTGAATTTCAGTTCAGAAACATATTGATTGTGGTGTCAGAATACTTTTACCTTCGAACAAAAGCTTCCTTCATATGAAATTTGTAGCAAGAAGTGGAACTGAGAAAAATTCATTCAAACATTGAACTCCTTTACTTTGCTACTGCCTCACAATTTGTTGAAAATATTTGGCATCAACGTAACTATTTGGCGTATGGGTATCAAATTTGGTGTAAGTGTGTATAATTAGTTTCTAAAACCGAAAACCTCAAAATTGGAAAATGAATTTTTTCAAAAATATTTAAAATTGAGGCCCATGTCTCTGCTTAAACGAGGCGTACCTGTTATACGATTAGCTGTCTCTTATCAGGAGAACCAAAGTTAGCGCACGCTTTGCGTCAGATTTGGTGTTGGCGCACACTTTGCGTTAGATTTCGAATCTTCTTTTTGTCCTCGTCTGTTCCATTCTCGACTGCAGCAGCGGTGCTCGAAGGCCATTGTTCTTTAAATGACTCTGGTTGTGGCATGTGCTTTGTATTTGCTTCCCACAGGGCACCCTTGAGCTGCAGAGCTGGGACCTAGTGGGGGACCTGAGGGCGGAGGTGGGACACTGGTGGGAGGGCCTGCAGCAGCAGGGGGCCACCCAGGACAGCCCCTCCTGCCAGCCGGGGCTGCTGCGCATGATCACCCAGGGCCAGGAGCTCACGGCGGACCTGGATGAGAAGCCCCTGGCGGACTTGGGCTTCAAGGACCTACAGGTGGGAGGCTGCTCGGTTTCGTGAGGCTATGTCTCATTATGGGAGGCTTGTAGCATCTTATAAAAGGTGTGTTACGTCTTACGAGAGGTTAGTGAATTGTAGCATCTTGTGAGAAGTGTCTAACATATTACGAGAGGTCTGTTGCACTTTATAGAATAGAACATCTTGATGTCACAGTGTCTCCAGACCACATAAATCGATGTTGGTGTCACGTGAGCATGTGACTTGACGCCGTAGTGCCACATGACCACGTAATTTGATGCCACAGTACTATCTGATGTCAAGGTGTTGCATGATCAGATAAGTTGACGTCACAATGTCACAGTATCACGTGACATCACTTGATGTTACGTGACACCGTGATGCCTGACAATTTCATATGACATCATAGTGTTACATGACGCCAATGTGACGTCGCAAGACATGATCACGGAATCGGTGTCATGTGACCACCGTCCGTTTAATTTAGCACGAAAACATTGTATGCTACGCTATAACGGCCCATCAACTCCACACAATGCAAAATTCAGTCTTTATACATAGGAGATCTAGGTGACTAATTTTTTGTTTTGTTCCGCAGCTGGTGTTTGTGTCGGTGGGGGCGGCCAGGCAGCGCCGGAGGGCGGGGCCGGGCGCTCCGGAGCCGGCAAGCCTGCTGCCTTGCCCGCCGAGGGAGAGGCTACCCACCCTGGTGCTGCTGAGGCCCGCCTATCTCGAGTGTCTCTTCTCCCTCATGCAGCTGCTGGGCAACGTGCACACGCGCAACAAGGCGGGGGTGAGCTCCGCTCAGAAGACGCCTCTCGTCTTGCGTTGGACGTGCTTGCCGCAAAACACCGAGCGAGCTCCTGCTTGAAATTCGGAGACTTCCGAATTGCGTATGACTAGGCGGAAAGATTTTGCAGAATTTGCGCGATTGAAGCTCCGCGCTATTTATGAGAATTGGTCGCTTATAACATGTCAAAACTATTTCGAGCCTACGGTAAAAGAATGGCAAATAAGAAATTTGAAAGGGCATGTAGATCAATAGTGTTTCCAGGGCAACCTGCCAGATGCTGTCGGTGTGCCAGTGTGCTGTGTTGCTGTAAGCGGTCATGAGTGGTTGCAGTGCAGTCGGCCCCGCTCAAATTGAACAAACAGTCAATGTTTTAATTAGGTCAAGTTAGCCTAAGGCGGGAGTCCTCAAACTTTTCAATATGCAGGGACACCTATCTCTCATTGTTGATAGCCGAGAAACCGTTCCTGGCCTCACTATTGACGCACTAAAGCCGCGCGGATTCCCACAGACCTTGGGAGCAGTAGTGAACGTGCTAAGGAATATTTGTCACATGGTCATGCATCAATGGATAGCTCAGATCTTTTAAGACGGTGCTTAAGCTGGACAACACTTTACTGAAGGACAGGAACGGCAGAGCTGGGGAACCCTTGAGTGTATCCCAGGGGACCCCTGGGTTTCCGGGGAATCAGTTTAGGAAGCCACGGCCTAGCAGTTTCAATGCCCAATTCCTCTTTACGAGAGCCAGGTTTTTAAGCGGGTTTCACGTGAACACCGTCTCGCTCGCAGGAGATGGTGCTACACACCAAGGCCCAGGTGCTCTCCCGAAGGGTGTGGGAGATCCTGACCATGCTGCCTACGTCACCGGCGGTGCTGCGCCAGTTCATTCAGGTGGCCCAGGTGAGTCATTGCCTGCCGAACGGAACGTCATCTCATTTAGTAATGTACGTGCGACTAGGGAACATTTGTGACATAGCCACGCATCAACGAATGGCTCGGAGCTTTTCAAGTAGTCATCGGACCAAGACTCGGGCGGGTGTGGCGAAGGAAATTTGGCAGCACGGGCAAACCTTGGATTGTGTTGCTCGCAGTTAAAAGATTTGTAACGAACTCTGTGCTATCTGGTCTCTTTTTCAGGAGCCCGAGGGAGCGGCTGCCGCATTGCACGCCCTACTGAATCCCGAAGAGCCCCAGAAGCTGATGTACTCCCTTCAGATCGTGGAGTCCCTGCGGCAACGCAGCGCTGCTCGGTCGGCCTCCTTACAGGTGAGCTCTCGCCACTCCACTTGCCGACAAGTTTTTGTCTTGGCTGGGTTTGTCGAAATGTTTTTCCTAAACAATACGCAATTTTAGAAACAACGTTTCGACTCTGCTTGAAATGTTGTCTCTCAAATTAAGTAAATCACCAGCCTTGGAGATCACGGAGCCGGTCTGACTCTCCGACCAAAATGTAGCTTACCGCGATACTTCGCACAAAGCCGACGGAGGCAGAGCGTGTCGTGCGATTAAGCCAACCCTTTTTCGATCTGTTTGAACCTGTTGTGTCTGTTTTCCCTTTATGCTGTTGGGGTAATCCGTTAGGAAATAAGACATGAAAACATGATGCATTCTGTGTTAGTCGACTTTATGCAAAGTACGAAGGTCAGTTATAATTTCTTCCTTTTGTCATTTTTATTTTGTTAATAGTTTGTTATAATTTCTTCCTTGTCCATCTTGCCTTACCTCGATACTTGATCGTATGAAGTCGACCGGCGCAGAATGCGTAATTTTTGTCACGTCTCGTTCCCTGACCCAGATGTTCTCAAGCTTATGGATCTCGAGGAACATTAGTGTGCATGCTAGAAAGTGTTTGGCTCATAGTTACGTTCCAGTGAGTGGCTCAGATCTGTGTCACCCAGTGATGCATAACTATGAGCCAATCCCTCCCTAGTATGTGAAATATTGTTTATAAGGCCCGTAAGCTTCTAAATGCCGAGTCCAGAAAGGTTCCTTTGAGATTGAAAAGTTTCAGAACCCATGCTTTAACGCATTGCCCCAAAAGCCTAACGGGCAGTAGGATGAGACGGGTCAAAATCAATTCAAACGGATCCAATACAAAGCGCAAGTTTGTCTGCCTCTTTTGCAGGTGTTGGGGTGACGTCAGAATGCCGAGCTCTAATTGGCTCTGATTGAAGAATAGTGAGCAGACTTCAAGGCAGCCTGCTTTGAGATCTACCTACTATCCTTCAATCAGAGCCAATGAGAGATTGGCATTCTGATGTCACCACGACCCCTCCAAAAAAAGCAGACAAACTTGCGTCCTGTATTGGGTTGACACAAACTGACGACACATTCTGCGACTGTCGGCTCCACGCGAAGCATCGAGGTGTTTTTTGTCGCCTGGAGAGTGAGGGTTGCACGCCCCGGGGGTGACCGCACCTTGTGCCTGCAGGCCGCCTCTTGTTCGAGTTCCCCCGCCACAAATGGCCTCGGGAGCGACAGCAACGACTTGTCTTTCTCCGGAGCCCTGGGCCAAACTTGGGCAGACAAGGTGCCTGCTCTTTCACTCTCTCTCTCTGTCTTTTGTTCCTCTGTGTGTACATTGTCGAGGAGCCCGCTCCTCTCTCTTTTTTGTCTTTTGTTCCTTCGTGTGTTCGTTTACTTATAGGCTTTTTGCTAAGTTACTTAAGCATCACGTGTTGGCGTCTTTACTAGTGACTGCTATAAAGCAGAAGCCTAAAACAATTTCATCTTGTACATGCATTCCTCAACGCCTCATTTTGGGTATTTACTTCAAATCTTTTATACGGGGAAGGCGAGCGCGTGCGGCGTGTAGAGTCACATTCCCACCATTCTCCCTGATGCTTGGGTAATTTAGCAATGGGTCTATTGTGTGCTGGTAGAGATGGTTCTATTACTAAAAGATGGGGTGTTGGCATCCTCTCTGTGAGCAGTTTGTGGAGTGTGGCGGACTTCGACACCTGTTCGACATCTTCCTGTCCGGAGTGCTGCACCCTCACGAAGCAGAACAGTGGAACGAGGCAAGTCTTTTTTTCTCAATTCCACTTTTTGGCATAATTTCACTTAATAAATTTATCGTTTCAGTACGAAACTAACGCCACACTCGTCCCCAAAGGGGGACATGTGTGGTGTTTCCCAAAGGTCATGCTAACGGATTCTCTAAGAATCGACCAATATATCTTCCTGTCATTTTTTCGTCCCTTTTTTGTACTCTCTGCCTGTCAGAGTACATCGATACCCTTGGATACTGTCGTCCATATCACTCGTGGAAAGAACCGCATCCATTGTTTTAACTATGCACGCACATCACAGCCCTTGCACTGTTACTACGGAAACCTGGAGCGAAGAAAAATTGGCGACGGCAGAGCGGCAACTGTGCATGTACGGTATGCACAGTGGCGTCACAAGGGGGGGAGGGAGGGGGGGATCGTGGCACGCCACGATAGAAAGGGGTGGGGGGGGGGGGGGGGGTGGCAGCAGGGTATCACTTTGGGTGCCGCTGACATAAAGCTGCTAATGAGCTGCTTTATTGCGAGGAATTTAACTGTCTTTTGAGGTGTCTACCAAAATTGGAGCATGCCTCGATCATATCTGATAAACGTGGAGACACGCTGTGTGTGTCATGTGACTCGACATCAAGTTTGGCTGTCATGTGACATCACAGTGTCATGAAACACGGTGTCGCGTGACATCAGTGTCACTAAACATCACGGTGTCATGTGACGTCATCGTGTCACTTGACAGTGTTGCGCGACGCTGTGTCACGTGAAGTCACGGTGCCGCGCGACGTTACTGTGCCACGTGATGTAGGGTGTCGCATAATGCCCCGAGTTACGTTCCCTCAAGGCTACGTGAAAAAACACGAAAACCCCTAGGAGCTACGCATTTAGATTGTGAATACGTACCTTGGCTAGGGGATTCCTTCCCAGCCAGGCACGTGAGTCACAATAAAGAGGCTTAGAACGACTGGCAACTGCTGCAGTGGGCGGAGGACTGCCTGGCCTGCCTGCTGCGGGTGCTCTACCAGCTCGGGGTGGAGGGCAGCGGCGGGGAGAGCCCCGGCACCCGGTCCCCGGACGCCCCAGACCTGGTCCTGGAGCAGCCTCGCAAGCGGCCCCGGCGCCAGCGGCGGTCGGGCCCCGACAGGCTCGTCGTGCCCAGGCTCGGACAGGTGAGTGCGCCGCCATGCTGGCGGGGACTATGCCAGAAGGACGCAGTTCCCAAGTCTTTCGGGGAGTGGGGACATTTCGGCGATCATTGTTTATCGCTCTAGTCGCCGACAGGATTAGAGCGGCGGAGAGGCCTCTTCGTAGTTTGCGCACAACATATCTTCCGATTCTCTAGTCCCTGGTTTTTGTCAGCGTGATCAAGCTCATGTAATGAACTTTGATGCGAAAGGATTAACTGTCCAATGGAACGAGCTGACGTCATCAGCTTTGAAGCCGGGCCAAACGGCACCTTAAGGGGGGACGCGGGTCCTAAAAATGCAAAAAATCGCGAAAAAGTTCATTTTTCAGAAATCCTGTATTTGGGTGCCTTACATATCCAAGCACCTCTCTTCAAAATATTATAGCGTAATTCAAACTCAAAGTATAAAAAAAACAATAATTACGTCGCGCGGAACGCGCTAAAAATCTTCCCGAAAGAGGAAACTGATGTCAAAACGCGCGCCCTCCGCGCGCCGCCGGTGCGCGCCCGTTTGCGGCCATTTTGGTCTTGTTCGAAAGCTTGCTTCTTTGTCTACATTTTTGGCGCCATTAAAAATGGCGTCCGCCCGGGGAAAGCACAGAATACCGCGTTTCCCCAGAGAAAGAAACCGAGCTACCGATCGGCTAAGAAGCACGGGCCGCAGCGAGCGCTGTCGCTATTGGCCGAAGCGCATGCCTCCTCTCCTGAAATATGTCATTCTCCTCCCTCCTCTCCTTCCTCGCGGCGCGGAAGCAGTCGAGAGCAGCCGATATCGTTGTTTGTCGTCTGCTAGCGGTTGCGTTTTGAAACTTCAAGCACGTTATTTTTCGGCGTTCGCCTGCTTTGTTTAGCTCGACGTCTTTAGGAGACATCGGTAGTGATCGCGATGCCTAGCGTGAAGCTTTCAACGCAGCGTGCGTACGGCAAGCGGAAGCGTCGGGCGTAGAACAAGAACTTCGCTCGCATCGCCAGTTGCGTTGCTTGCGGCGGACATGCGGCAAGGTGTCAGCAGCTGCATCGTCTTCCGAGGTGCCCGCCCCTGATGTGAGCAACGAAGAAGACGACGGCTTTGACCCTGGTGCGTCACGACTCGACTCGCATTTCTACACGGCAAGCGAAACTGCTCAACGTGCGGCGCGGGCTGACGAGATGAAGCAGGATTTGACCGCAAAGAAGTCTGCCACACAACGGAAGTTTGACCTCCTCAATGTCGCTGTCCAGGATAAAGAGACAGATTTCGGCACGCAATTAGTGATCGTGGATTTGAGCGGCATGAACGTGTTCTTCGCGACCGCCAAATGTGAGCAGTGCGGAATGGCCGCGCCCATTCACAAGCCGGTGCTTTGAAAACGTCCCCACGTCCCCTAAAAAAGCCCTTCTGAGGGCTAACCAATTGTTGCATATGGGTCTGCTTCCCCTACCCGTGTCTCTCCCTTAGTATGAAGTTCAAACCAAAGGCATTCCACCCATCTAAAGCTTCAATGTTGTTAGTTATGCATACCCAAATTTCAAAGTCGATTTTCTCAGCTTCGTTTTTTTCAGCCTCTTCTCCGGCCAGGAAGGCTTTTTGATTCACTTGCGCTCAACCGATTTTCATAAACTTGGTACCATATTCTTTGGAATGAACTAGACTGCAAGCTAAAGCTATTTTTATTATGATATTTTGTGGTATATAACACTGGCATTTCATTATTAGACATTGTTATAGCCCCTATTGTATGTCTTCTATTCACTTTAATTTTTTTACATGTTTATATGGTGCTAAAGAAATAAAAATAGCTTTAGCTTGTATGGCATTTCTTTAGGAAGCAATTAATACCTTTTTTTCATTAAAATTCTAATAAGAAGGTTTTTTAAAACTTTTCCTGAAACTAGCTAATTAATATTTTATTTTGTTGATAACTTTTGACAAAGCAGAGATATCTGAAATCTGATTGCAGTTATGAAATCAGCACAATAAACTACATGCCTGCACAAAAAATCATTGAGATAGACCAATAAACAAAAAATAGTTTTTAAGAACCCACTTCCTCCCTTAACTCCTTTCTCCAAGTGAAGCCGGCTCCCAGCTTTGAAACCACGCAAAAAACCTAGCTAAACGGCACTTAGTTACCCCAATCCCAAAGGACCGGGGTGAAGCTGATGGATTTCGGCTTCGGTCCCATTGGCTGGCCCGTGTCATAGTTTCAAGAAACGATGCTCCCATTGGCCACTGCGCGGCAGTTTCAACAACTGCCATCCCACGGTGCTGCGTGTCCACGCCGTCAGCGCGCCAGTAACACGAAGCATGCAAGGCCAGAGCGGCAAAGAGATCCAAGGAAAGCATGCGCTCTGCCGTCGACGCAAATATGCCGCAGACGAAACAAGGCGGCGGAACAATGACATGCGTGCTTTTTCATTCAGAACTGATAAGAAGTGCTTAGGTGCACCTCGAGCCTTTCACGTTACTAAGTGAATGTGGACGATCAGACGAATGAGTGTGAGTTATGTAATAAAGGACAAGAATTCAAAATAGATATAGTACGGTCGAGCCCGATTATGTCAGGCCTGGGTATTTTGAAATGTTGTTTTATTAAGGCGAAGGCCTTGTATGTCTCTTCATTCAGTCGACCTTCAGAAAACACGTCGGCGACACAAAAGATAGCAGAACGAAAGGTACCAATGAAACGGCGCCAAAAGTGCGTCGTCAGAGAGCGCGCTGTTTTCGGAGGTTCGCTATCCCATTTACGTGACCACTCGAGCGAATTAGAGGCAATAAAATTAAGGAGGCTGACAAAGCGAATTAAGAGGAATCGAATAGAAGTAAATCATGTGTCTGTCTTTAATGCATCGACGCTTGGGCTTTTGCCTTCAGGTCGTCTTGGAGATAACATAAGAGGCCCTGTGGAGTTTTTTTATAACCGTCATGAAATTTAGTGTAAAGATTCTGGAGGTCTCAAAGGGGTACGATGCGTCCGGATAGGAGGCTGACCGCGAACCCTCCACCCCGCGGTGGATCAGGGTCACCACTACGACGGGTTCGACTGCTGGCAGCACCTGCCAGCTGGAACTCACGAAGGGAGTGCATTGACACGCAGAATAGAGGGACACCCTGTGGCTTATTGGCTCCGGTTAAATACAGACAGAATAAGACTAGTAACGACAAGAGGGAGGGGGTCCTTACCTTGCCATACTTTCCCGAGAGCCTGGTCGGAGATATGGCAGCAGAACACGTGGCAGCATGTTCGATCAGTTTCAAGTCAGCAGAACAGTCCCCCCAGCGTGGCCAGAGGACGCGCTCTCTCTTTCTCTCTCTCGCTGGCGGCTCCAACCTCGTCCCCGGCAGGCACGCGAGCCCGTGAGATGGAAGTTCCCTATCTCCCCTCGAACGGGTGGGACATGGGCGGAGGAGTGTCGTGAGTAGACAACCAAGATGGCTGCCTCTTTTGGCCACGACAAGACACACAGGCAGCTCCCGACGTCACTCCAAAGTTGCTCGTTCTGACTGTCTTATGGGTGAAGAATGAGTTGCTTTTTTATGCGTCCTCTTTCAATTTTTTCTTCAATATTTTTATTATTTTCGCGCTGTTGAGATGACGGCTATGTGCGTGCGTTGGTGCAACGAGGTGCACGCTCAAGCGACAGCGCCCGCGGTTCCTGACAACGGCGCTTTAACAAGGTTCTGCTGTATTTAGCAGTTCTTGGATGCTCCGTTTGATAAGCTCTTGTTTGTCACCACGTTCGGTATAAGTAGAGACGCACCAAAAGTTTGACTGGAGCTCAAGTTAACATGCTTTTGCATGTAGAATTACCGACGTATCAAACTGTTTTATGATTACCTTTGAATTGGACGTATCCGGGTTCAACTGTACTGCTCAGAATTTTAGAAAAACGTTTCACGACCCCATAAAGTCTGGACGCGGCCTACGCTACGAGCTGATCGGACCATTGAGACGGCGTCAAAAGCATGCCATCATGGTGTTTGTCGCGTTTCTTTAAGTGTTCCATCCTCGCCGAACCAATCATAAACTGAAAAGGCCCAGTGACTCTCACGTTTGACGCTGCTTGATTGGTTCCATTAGCTCGTAGCGTCTGCTGCATCTGTATTTAAGCCGAAAAGAAGTACAGTGAAACCCGTTAAGAATGAACCCACGTACAGCGAATTATTGTCGATATCGAACTCACGGAAAATTGAAATAAAAATGCATGTAAAAAGTATGTTTTATAACAAACAACATATTGTCTATATCAAACTTTTTCCCCCGGGAAGGCTTCCAAAAACGCGCAGACAATTGTCGTCTAGCCTGTCTTTTCCCCAAAAAAGAAGTATGAAAGAAAGAAAATTCCACAAGCTCAAGTTGCGAACAAAATTGAGCGAATCAGCGATTCAGAAGGGGGGAAGCTAAAAAAATAGTCTGCACGCACGCGCAGAAAAAAAATCTTTTCATCCCAAAGCGTACAAACTCTGCATGCATTTAAAAAAAAAGAAAAAAAAAAACTTTCCAGCGCCGTGTTACAAGGCAAAACTGAAGAGATGAGAAAGAAAGAAAAGCTCTTCGCCTTACAACAAACTCATCGCGGAAATTCAATCTAAATTTCCACCAGCTCGCCTGCGCACTCACTACAATATCATCAATCTAAATGTTTTTTGCTATATCGAACTACTTGATATATCGAACTGATCGCAGCGTTTCCTGCTGTTTGTTATATACGGGTTTGACTGTATAGCCACGTCTGGAAAAGCACTCTCTTACTGGAAGAGTGTCACCCTAGCGCTTCGTAGGCGTTTCAGCCGAACTCGCGTCCGGAGCGATTGATGGCGAGTTTCTCCCGAATGCTGACTTAGCACTCAAGTCTAATTTGTAGCTTGCACCAATCTCTGGTAAATGACGTAAAAGATTAGCACTACGGCCATATTATTTACAAGATGTTGAGGGAGCGCCCTCTCGCATGTCGGATGTGCAGGAGGCAAAGGGGAAGAGGGCAGGCGTGTGTTTCGGAGAAACTGGGGAAACGCGAAATCGTAGCGTGAGAGCTGAGGCGCGCAACTGCAATGGACACAAACTTAGCATTTCAGACTTGCCGTAGTGCCAGCATTGGCTGGTGCTTTGGCGAGAGTGGAACGCTTTGCGTTTTTGTCTCAGCGGCGCAAACATTGTTGCACTACGCGCCGCAATGTTTGCTGCCTTCGAAGCACGAAGCGCCTACAAAGTTCTTCAGTGCAACCCCACCACATGGTAACGCACAATGCGGAGCGTAAGTTCGTCCGCTTCTTACACAGAGGTTACGATGATGTCAGAACACCGAGCTCTTATTGGCTGATTGAAAAAAATAGCGGGTAAACCTCGAGGCATCTAGTATTGAGGTCTACTCACTCTTCTTTCATGCAAATCCAATCAGAACTTGGCATTGTTCCGACGTCACCGCAACCCCTGCTTAAGAAGCAGACGATTTACTCTCCTCACACCTTCAGTGCTACCGCCGCTTTTGCCACGGTAATGCGGGAAAGGGATGAGTCTTACTTTATTGTCATGCTCTCTCTCCGTTTTTTTCCTCGCTTCCTCCAGGTGCTGCTTCAGATGCTGGCGGAGGCGGAGTCCACCAGCCTGACCCGCCTGCTCCAGGGCGCCCTGGGGGAGGGTGCCCTGCCCCGGGACCCCCACGAGCTGCGCACGGGCTTCTGGGGCCGGCCACAGGTGGTGCAGTGTGCCATGCGGCTGCTGGCCTCGTGGGCGCACTCGCGGCCCCCGCCGCCGGGACCACCCCTGCTGCTCCAAGCGCCCCCCGGGAAGGGGCTCGACAACTGGCTGCGCAGGCTCGTGCTGGACGACCCCGACGTGAGTCGTCGGGGACTGCACCCCGCTCGTCTCGGCGGCCCAACCTCTGCCTCGCGGGTTTTGCCGACGACGCGGTCCTCTCGGATGCCTCTGGTCTATAAAGTTTACGTCGCACTATGGGAGAGCTTCTAAGTGTAGTGGCATACCTTTGGAAAGCCGCCTCCCTGGAAAACTCTCGTTTGTAACACAAAACGATTTGGCCTTCTTGCCTCCTGTTCTTATCCTCTTGTCCTCTGTTATATTGCTTCCTCTCCGAATTGGACACATGTGCGAGTTGCGATTGGTCCGAGTGTGTGTTGTTGGACTAGGGGTGGCAGTTGTCCTGAGGGGCAAGTGCAGTTTTTGAGTCATACAAGTAATGGCACAACTTGCATCTGAAATGGTAGAGCACTTATCTCTTTCAAATAAAAGTTTCTTTATTTCTTTATCATCTAAAGTGAACCTCCGCATTGAGGCCACTTGGCTGTGTTGCTTTTCTCATGAAAATAGAGCTCTCTCGGGGAAAATTCTAAACAAACAACAAAATAACTTGACGGGGCGGAGCAATAATGGTAGTGCTGCCATTTGCTGGAGAGCGCGTGAAGTAAGCTCTGAGACCGAAACACGAGGTTTTCGGGTCTGTAACGAACCGTACGAATAACAGTCACGATTAGTAGCCCAAGTGTACCCGGCGGTGCAAGGCGGATGCCAGGGTAACGTAGGGATGTCGGGTTGCGTTGTCTTGTGCAGCCTGCCGTGAGGAGAGAAGCATGCACGGGACTCTACCGGCTGTGCCTGGGCGTGGCCTCGGACGGCCACGGGGGCCAGGCCTACGTGGGGCCGCTCCTGGCCAGCCTCCTGGGGTTCCTGTCGGCCGCCCAGAGCATGCAGGCCCTCAACACGGACGTAAGTCGGGACGCCATTTCCACGCTCTGTCTTCAACGGACGTGTGGGAATACAAGTTGAATCACGCTTCTAATATTATGCACACTATTTCCAGATATTTAAATTGAGTGATTTTTGTGAGACATGAGCAGTTTGTTGGTGTGGGCCCGGTGAGCTCTGACTGTTCAGGCCGTCGGTGTTCAGTCGAGCGAGTGTGCCCCGATCTCGTGCCGAAAGAGCACGGGACTGTGGCTTATTCTTTTCTTCGGCCTTCTTGTGTTGTCCAGGCAGAAGTCAGGTCCTTCCAGTCACTACAGGCATCTTTATTAGGCTGTGTTACAAATCTCATTCGAGTAGATCGGAGTTGCTTCTATTGTCAAGTTTCGCTAGTTGTCCTTCATCTTCACGGTAACTAATTTGAGACAACTGTTATTTGATAGATGATATACATAAAATTATTCAATGGTACCGTACAAACCAAATAATTGTAAATGTTCCTAAAACGCAAGTAATATGCTTTAGAGATCCAAGGAAAAAAAATCGTAAATGAATTTCCAATAAAAATGCATAATGAGAACTGCGACAATTGCTCGTGCATCCCGCTAAAATACGCTGATAATGTAAAATACCTGGGTATGCACATAGGCAAATATGTTAAATGGGATATTCACATAGACCAGGTTTGCAAAAAATTAAGGGTAATAATGGCCCATATGTACCACATCCAAGAACTAGTACCGCAATCCATACTTAAAATGATCTACAATTCACTGGGTAAATCCATACTTCAGTATGGAATAACAGTTTACGGGCACTGTGCCAAGTATTTACAACTAAAGATAGAATCGATCCAAAAAAGGATAGTTAGGAATATTGGGTACCGACGCGAAGAAACTAACTTCTCAGATTATATGCATAAAGAATTAGGAATATTATGTTTCAGAGATCAAATGAAGTATGATATTATTATAAAGCATTTTTTCACCAATAAAGATAGGCGCGAAAATAAAAAAGAAAGGACATTAAGACCTAATAAAAAATTTGTTGAACCATTTGTAAGAACAAGATATGGAGAGGCCACAAGGAAATATTACATACCTAAGCTTTATAATACATTACCCGATGAGCTACTTGAAATAAAATCCCCTAGAATAAAAAAAATAGCAAAAAAAGGGGATAATTGAACAGGGAAAAAAAGATTCTTGAAAGGTAATAGGTATAACCGATGAGTATCCCCGAAAACGCAGGATATAAAAGGTTGTTATTGTGTTCTATTATTAGAATTGTCTCGTAAGTCGTGAATTCTATTCTTCTTTACGGTATGTAAATGCTAATTCAATATGATTCGATGGTTTACACATGTACTCATCAAAGTAGGCGAACTAATATAAGCTGTAGAAGGAGGTGGAACTGCAGTAATAGGTACTAATATTGGTATGTTTTGTTGTTTTTAGTTATCTGTGCAATAAAAATGCAGAGGCTCCTGTCGCATCCCACACACAAGCCATCATTGGCTTATGTGGGCTTTATATTGTATTATTTTCAAACAAAGTAAATAAAGATGGTTTTTGTATTGTATTGTATTGTATATATATATATTATTTCGAGCCATCTTTAGAGAGACAACTCTAGATTTAAAGTTTGTAATTTTGAAAGATGCATCGTTTTTCCATTTTCTAGCCTAAAAGTCAGCACTGACTTGTAGGTTTGTAGATGTGACTTGTCTTTGTCAGCGCTTGAGGTCTCAAAGTCGACCGAATCGCACCATTCTTTAGGAAGGAGAAAAGGAGTCGTACGGCCCAGGCTGCAGGGACTACTTCTTCCTGGTGTGCCAACTCGTGGACAATCTGGAGGAGGAGACCGTACCTGATCAGGTACGTCACTGGCCCAGCGCCCGGCATGCGTCTCCAGCTGCTGAATTTACCACCCTATCCTGCTCGTGCATTGAAAACGGTGCCAAAGTGCCAACAAATGGCGTCGCAAGAGCCGGCGCGCCATGCTGTCAAATGTCACGTTCGTGGCTGTGGGTCGTAGAAAGGCCAACGAGAAAGGCGAACGGATGCAAGGGTCGCCGTCGTCGTGGTGCCCCGTCTCGTGTGTACTTTGGTTTTCGTCGGCTGTCCGAAGGCAGAGCCATCGGACTGCTGTGATAGCCCTTGGGTAAAATCGGCGCTCTATGAAAATTTCTAAAAAGACGCTAACCAGGGAACCGTGGGCGACCCGTGAAGAGCCGTATGTGGCTTGTGAGCCGCAGTTTGGCCACGCCTGATATATTGGGTGCTTCTCCGAAGACTTTCAAAAATAAAAAGATAGGGTGTATGAGAAAAAATAGAAGCTCTTTTCGGAAACAAACTGTCAGCCACGGCAGACGTCAGACTGCAAGATACACGAATTAGCAAAGTAATTAGCTAAAATTTACTAATTAATGTTTTAATTTGTGAAAATAAACATATGCTTTCAATTAGAAACTTGGGCATCATCGAAACTCTTAGATGAGTCAGTTTCAGGACCACTCCAAGCATGTGGGAGGCGCAAGGGTGCGATGAGAAAATGCAAATTACATTTTTATCGTTCGCACTCTCATGTAGCTGGCCTTGGGCCTGCTGCGCGAGGGGTAACTTTACCGCACTCTCGCGCTTCCCACATGCTTCAGCTAGCCGTAGAATTGACTGATTTAAGGGTTCATGTTTGTGTTTATGTTTATTTTTACAAAATAAAAATGTTAATTAGTAAATTTGGAGTAATTATTTTGCTAATTTGCGTTTCTTTTTTTTTTTTTTTTGTGGTTGACAGTTTGTCCCCAAAAAGAGTTTCCTCTTTTTTCAAACGGTCAATTTTTTGGGATGCTTGGAAGTGTTCGAGGAAACGCCTGGCATACGATTGCGAGGGGGCTGACAAGGTGGTGACGTACGTTTCAGAAACCTTTGGTGGACCTGGACGGACTCGCGTCCTGCTTGGCCGAGGCTGTCCTGGGCAGGGAGGTGCGGGAGGTGCCCCAGAGCTCCCGAGAGGACGACGGCCTCTATGGCCTCCTAGCCCTGGCCACGGCCGTGACCAAGCACAATCCCCCCTTCAAGTTCACCAAGCAGGGGCAGGTGGGTGGCTACACGGGTCCAGCTTACGTACGGGTAGGCGGAGACACGTTCCTTTACTGCAGGACATTGTTGCGGACGGAAAAGGGTCGGCGAGCATAAAACTGCTAAAAATAAAAGTGGTTTAATGGGCGAACTTGTGCCAAAAATGAAAGAAAGGGCGTGCGTCGAGAAAACGGGAGCGAGCGTCGAGGTGTCGGCGTAACAGCTGGCCGGCTCGAGAGGCCGGGAGCGGGTCGGCAAGGCCATGCTGGGCTCCTTCTCTGCTACACTCGATATCGCGAACATTTCGCCTAGCATGTTCGTGCATGGAACACCCGGGAGACTTGTTCGGCAAGGTCATGTTGGCCTGCTTATCTATTACACTTGGCGCAAAAGTAAACGCAAATCTTTTTGAAGTACGGAGAAGCGCTCGTCCATGCACGTGGCGATATGTCGCTGCCCTCGTGAAAGCAGTGCTAATATCAGCCATACGAGCGCTCACTCGTGTGGGCATGCCCTTCTGGGACGCCGGTGGACATTGCTCCCATCATGGAACGTACTAGTGTCTCACTGGGTTGAACAGGTGTTGCAACCTCTCCCTCTGCACTGTCAGGAATTTGCCCTGGGCGTTCTGGGCTGCCTGTTTGCGGCGGGGTCGGCGAGCCTGACCCAGTCGCCGCAGCAGCAGCAACAGCAGCAGCAGAATCAGCAGCAGCCGCAGCATCAGCAGCAGAATCAACAGCAGCTGCAGCATCAGCAGCGCCACCTGCTCAAGTGCAAATCCCCAGGAGTGAGGGCGGCCGCCTACGACCTGCTCCTGGAGCTGGTCCGGGGATCCGAGGACAACTTCCGGCTGCTCCACGCCCGGCTGCTCCAGCAGCACTCCCCGAGTGAGCTGTCCCCTTTTGATGACGCGCAAGCTGTAAACGCAGATTGTGTTTTATCGGCTGAATTATATGAGAAGACAGTGACGAAAAATCTTCATGAAGGACTGTCACGGAGGACTGTGGGACCACGTGACGTCATGACATCACGTGGTGTCATATGACATCGTGGCATCACATGACCGTGACATCACGGTGTTTCACGATGTCATGAGGTCCCGTGACTGACATCATGTGACATCATAACGTCGTGTGACATCACAATCATGGGACCTCATGACATCAAACACACACGTGACATGTGCCCATCTCATTCTCAACACGTTCTGTGCTCCCTGGTCTCTGTCAGCATGATCAAGCTAGTGCAACTTTCTTTGAAAGCAGTAAGCGGGGTGTGGGCGCGAGCACAGCCCTAAAACGGGGTGTTCCCGAGAGCCATTTCAAACAACTCTTCTTTGGCATACCCTTGCAGAGTCTCACAGCCCGTACCCGTGGGACTACTGGCCCCAGGAGGACGGGCGCTCCGAGTGTGGCTACGTGGGTCTCACCAACCTGGGGGCCACCTGCTACCTGGCCTCGTGCATGCAGCACCTGTTCATGCTGCCCCAGGCCAGGGCATCCATCCTCTCCGCACAGGTACCGCCAATCCATTGCGCTTGATTTACGAAAAAGGAAGGGGAACGTAACTGCGCCTCTCCGAGCACAGTTTACAAGCAAGCTGCGCCCCCTAGTTTGTAGGGCTAGCTACGGTAGGGCTTTAGATGCCTGAAATGCTTGTCTGGCCGGCGTGTTTAGTGTTCTATTCCGCCTGTGCATCGAACGGGGTCCCAAAGTGGCAACAATGGACGTCACGAAGGCTGGAGGGTCTCGCTGTCGAACGTCGCCATCCCGGCGGTTGAACATGGAAGTTACGGAAAGAAGCGCGAGAGAATGCAAGCATTGCAGTCTTCGCGGCGTCGCCACCTCGGTGGCTCCGAGGCAAAGCGGCCAACGGATCCCCAGGTGGTGGTTTCGAATCCCGGCCGAGGTGCCTGCAATATGACGGATGCTCACTGCGGAGAAGGCACCGTGCAACTGAGCTTTCGGTTGCATGTCAAAAGATCCCCAGGTGGTCGAAATTAATCCTCAGTCCTCAGATGCCCTTCGTTGGTTTGGCACGTAAAACCCCCAAATTTGACTTTTATCTTCACAACATCCAAACTCCTAGCTGCCAAAGATCACATCCACCCCCACTGCTGCGACACTGCCGGGATCGCAGCTGGCAACAGCGTGGCGCTTCTCTGGCGCTGCTGGGTGGAAACTGAGGGACCACACTTTAGGACGCGGTAAACGCACCAGTCGGGGACACGTTTCAGGCACAGTGGTAGTGAGTATATCTCAGAAGAGGTAAAATGTGTGGGTGAATACTAGGCCCCTTGCAACAAGGGCAGGGGGCAATGAAGACGAGAATAAAAAAGAATGGTGTTTATTATACGCGCTAATCGAGTCGCCCCCCCTTCCCCACCCCCCTTTTCCCATGGTGACTTGTGGGTTTCTTATGTATGGCCTTTTTCTCTGTCATGTTCTTTCAGATGAGTGCGGAAGGGAAACACGGCCAGACCTTGAAGGAACTTCAGCGCATGTTTGCCTACCTCCTGGTAAGTCGAAGTGGTGCGCAGCAATGGCTGTTAAAAAAAAAATGATGAAACTGCTGCCGTTGCTAGTCCGATTCTCGACAAAATGCTTAGGCATTTAGCGCAGGGGTTCCGACTCGGCAAAGGGTGGAAATCTCAACCTCCCGACGGTCTGCACACTGTTACGTTTGGAAAGCCAGCACATTCTCCCGGATGTCAACGGTTTTCGATGCGGCCACCGCAACTTTCCACAATCGCTGCCTATGGTTCACATACCTTTGAAGAGCCAATCTTTCGTCCCGGGTGTCAGCGGTATCGCACGAACGGCGTCGCTGCTGCGCCTTGGTTTTACGTCGTCGCGTACGTTGTGCCGCCGCCGCAGCCGTTCGATCCCCTCCCCTCGCTCCCGCGGCACATCATTGGAAGTGTGCGAGAAGATTCTTTTCCTCTTGTAAGAGGGAAAGTGGACGTAACGAGCGAAAGAGCATGGCTGGTACCGCACATTGGCCTTACAATACCAGTCCAGTCCCGTCCATTTCAGTCCGGTCCAAACCACAACCCTCCAAACAAAAGATGGCTGCGTGCACCAGGACAATAAATGCTAACGCATTTAAAAGAACTCCTAAGATGTCGCAGGACAATATCCTAAGTTTTCCTCAATTTCAAACTTGGTGCGAGTTAGGCTAAAGGCTGGTTTTGGTTTTGTTATGTTATGCAGCTTACATACACTCACGTTGAGATACGAAGCGTTACAACTACCATAGAATACTGCGCATCCACCCATATTACACTAAGCGCCCATACCCATATTTGTAAGAGCTGACATTGATATGTAAAATTGATAACCGGACAAGCGCCCATCCCCCATTTTTTCATGATTATCTCTAGATTTTGGATGAGCGCTTGCCCGGTATTTTACGGTAGTTAAAAAGATGCTGAACCAAAATTTGGATTTCGCAATATAACGTCGCAGAGGTGATGATCAAGACGCCACAAACTTTAAAACATCACTTGTGCATCAGTATCTCAAACGGATGGCCATATTTTTGGAAAAGAAGGGCACGATCAGGCGAGGACTATGACATCGCAATCCTCCTGGAACAGTTGAGAATGGGGTAAGTGGCCTTGCTATTCTCCTCCTCGCTTCAGTTCACCTGCTCGAGGGGACGAAGCGAAGAGGGGAGGGAATGAGAATCGTGACGTGACATGTCTCGTTGGCCTCGTCGGCCATGTTCGATCCTGCACTTCTTTTACAAAAATACGGCCAGCCATTGGAGATATCGCTGTACGAGGGATGTTTTTGGGTTTTTCAGCGTCTTGCCTATTGCTCCAGCCTTTTTTTTTGTGAGCTCCAAATTTTGATTCAGCATCCCTTTAATTTAAAAAAAAATATTTCTGTTTATCTTATTGAAATTTAATTTACTGATGTATTTCTCTATGGTGATTTCAAATATGCAATTCGTTTTCAGGTAGCTTTTTTAGATCCTGAGTTATTAGTAAATTTGTAATTTTAATTAGGTCCTTACGGGTCGTTAGCGTAAAATTTGTTCAGAATATATTTTAAGAAATTTTTCTAGAATTAGCATTCACCAAAGCATGCTTTTTGCGGGGATACTACTTTTGTTGCTTTATATGTCGTACAATAGTTTGAATTAATTGTTCTCAAAAAGATATAGCCTCCCGTTTTGTGCAACTTGATTGCAGATGTTCTTTTACCAATGAAATATCATTAAATCAGGCTTAAAATACCATCACTACACAAAACATGCCTTAGCGAATGCAATTCTATAAACATTTCTTATATATTGTGAAGAATTTTACGCTAACTACCTGTATGGAGGACCTACTTAAAATGACAGATCTATTGATAACTTGGGATCTAGTAAAGCTATCTGCAAACTAATTGTGTATTTGAAATTGCCACTGAGAAATACATCAGAATGCTAAATTTGAACATAATAAATAAAAAAAAAAAAAAAAAAGAAAAGTTAAAGGAGTGTAGCTTTGTACGTGGAATACAAAGCACGGATGTGCCAGTCACTTGAGTTGTACCTTGGCGTAAGCGTACATAATCTCCATGATGTAAGAAACCAGTGCTGTGATGCTTCCTTCAATCTCTAATTCTTGAACTGCGCTTCTGTGGGCTCGGGGGCTCACAAGAGTACCTCCAGGGGCTTCCCGAATATTCAAACTTTCTCTAATGTAGAACGGATTTCTTTCTTCAATCTAAGCGCTATGATATGTGACTGTGAGCCCGATATTCTCGCTTCTTTTCCTAGTCTGCGTGTATTATAGACGCTGTTTGTCGGCATTGATATTATTGTAGCACAGAATGTGTTGGTGACTGTGTTTCATGAGAAAAGCCGCATGCTTAGCCAGCACCGGGTCCCACGACGCCTCGTGCACTGACATCAAGTTTGGGCGTCACTTGAAATCATACACGCAGCATCGCAATACATTCTGTGTGTCTCCCAGTTTATCAGATATGATTGAGACGTGTATCGGGTCTTTCGGTCGACATTCAGAATGGTTAGGAATTCATCAGGATCAAAAAGTTTAAAAACTCCCGGGGCCAAGCAACACCAACTAGAATAGTCAAAGCCTGTGCACTAGACTTTTGATGGCATCACGGCTGTACAGAGCGCGACACTGTTAGCGCGAACAAGCGATCGCCGTTTTTTTCAATTTTTCTCTTTGAAACCAAGGTATGTCATCCAAGTTAATATTGCTACGGAAAGAGCTTATTTAGTTCTATAATGTAAGCGAAAACATTTCGTGCTCGCTAATACTATTTAGAAGTAAAATGCGAAAATGCGCCGATGTCGTGTTCGCGCTAACAGTGTCGCGATGTGTACTCGCATCGTCACAGTGAGACCAGCTGCCATTTTAGGGCCCATTCGAAGTTGACAACACAGAGTTCACTTTGGTCCCCTTTTCCCACGGGGTCTCTGCCGTCCCGCTTTGCGCAGGAGAGCGAGCGCAAGGCTTACAGCCCGCGCAGCTTCTGCAAGGCCTACACGATGGACCACCAGCCGCTGAACACGGGGGAGCAAAAGGACATGGTGGAGTTCTTCACGGACCTCATCAGCAAGCTGGAAGAGATGGCCCCACAGCTAGTTCGTGCCCTCTTTCTTCTTTTGTCTTTTTGACGGATCACCATGAATTGTTTGGTAGTGGACATGGTCGTCCAGGAACCATACATTGTTTACAAACTTGTCAGCGACGTCTTGCTTTCTTTAACACTCAACCTTCTGAGTTTTGTGCGCACTTTAAAGGATAGTTCGCACATTTGTGTTTGAGTATGCAACTGATTGTGACCGCTTACAATGAGAGAACACTGGCGACATCTATTGGGTAGTCTGGGAATGCTTCCTCTCTGGTGTATAGCACACTCAAAACGCAAGTGTGTGAACCAGTCCGATCAGGGTCTTGAGTTTTCGTACACTGAAAACGTTCCGTCGAACCGGTTGACTGATTTTGTGTTCTCGACTCGTTCCCTCCCCCAACAGAAGGAACTGGTGAAGCGTCTGTTCTGTGGAGTCCTCTCCAACAACGTGGTCTCCCTGGACTGCAGCCACATCAGCCGCACGCTCGAAGAGTTCTACACGCTACGCTGCCAGGTGGCGGACATGCGCAACCTCTACGTGAGTCGCCGGCCTCTGCATACGAAACCGACTGCATTTGTGTCGGATTGTGGGGTGTAGGTTTCTGTAGTGTGCTTTCTAGACCTTTCGATTGACTGCCGTTTTTTTTTTTATCGTCAATACATAGTGGCTCGTGAACATTAATGCGGCATTTTAGAGTGCCTTACGTTGAGCTTACATTAGCTGTTTGCCCCACTGGCATAATTTAGACAATCTGAATTTCTTTGACTTATTGTACCTGTGAGACGTACTGCGGCATGTCCCCAACAAAAAAAAAAAAAAAAAGGCAATGTTCTTTTTTTTTTTTTATTACTACCAAAATAAACAGTGCATTGCCGAATGCTCGGTCTCCACCCAAATCTAGTGCTAGCAGTCTGGACCAGCTGCCGAAGCATCAGAACTAATCGTTATCTTATTCTAGAGTTATAAGGGATTTTCCGAAACTTTTAATTAGGAAATGGGGCCCGTTTTTTCAGTAGCTGGCGCCTTTGATGTTCGTGCGTTCATGGGCTTTGTCCGCCTCGGATACAGTGACAGTTTGAGGTTGTTAAGAGTTGTTACTAGCAATTTAGGGACATTTGCACAATTCTGGCCATGAGAGGAGCATTGGTCGAAGGCGTATTGGCGGGGCTCAACTGGAGCTGTGGGGTTCTCGACGGCGCTTTGCAGGAGTCAATGGACGAACTGACGGTGAAGGACACCCTCGAAGGAGACAACATGTACACCTGTTCTCAGTGCGGCCGGAAAGTGCGTGCAGAAAAGAGGTGACTACCCTCCCTTCCTCCTGTCATTTTTGTGTCATCAGTGGCTCGGGCATTTATTATGTTGACTTTCGTACTAATGCTGGCTGCACTTTTAACATGAAATTGGTTACATGGCTGGCTTCTAGACCCTTTTTGTAATGTTCTCGTAAAACGGAAGAGTGTCACATGAGTAGTGTGGCGGCGTTCGGCCTTGATGCATGTCCATTCCGACCGAGCCCTGGTCGAACGCCGTTTCACCTGCGCATGCAGTAACACAAAAGCAGCAGTTGCACATTTTGCGTTACTACTGCTTTTGCCACGATAATGCGGGAAAGGGGCAAAGTTTTGTTCATTCTTTGTACACACCTGAAGGAATATCCACGAGCACCTTTGCAGCACTGACGGGCCGATTGTTCCGCGTGCAGGGCGTGCGTGCAGAGGCTTCCGCAGATCCTGTGCTTCAACACGATGCGGTACACCTTCAACATGGTGACGATGATGAAGGAGAAAGTGAACACCCACTTCTCGTTTCCCCTGCGCCTGGACATGGCCAACTACATGGAGAGCAACCTGCTGCCCAGCCAAGCACGCTGCAGTGAGTGCGCTGGCCGAACTCGCATGGACACTTTTTGGTCGTGGTCTTAAGGGGGGACACTGGCTACAGGTTGAACTTCTGAACTACTCAAGTGATCGGAATGAAATTTGTGGGGGAGATTTAACTTCAGGTGTAGGTGCACTGTGCAAACTGTCAGCTCTCTAAGACAACTTTACTTACCTGCATACGGAGATGTGTCACTCTTCGTTAAGAAATCTATGATATGCAAGTGAAACTATTAAGCACGCTTTTAACTGCTTGAATATAAAGTGGGGGATGTGGGACTTCGGGCTATCTAGTTTTTATAACTCAAACATAAATATTTCAGGATGAGTTATTACCTCAAAATATGAGATGCATATCTGTCCTATGTAAATTTTTTAAAACATAGTTTTTGTCAATGAGGACTTTAACTTAAAACAAAATAAAGTAGATAGCCCGATTCCCCAGTAAATTTCAGTTCAGAAACATCTTGATTGTGGTATCAGAATACTTTTACCTTCGAACAAAAGATTCCTTCGTATGAAACTTGCATCAAAAAGTGCAACTGAGAAAAAGTCATTCAAACATTGAACTCCTTTTCTTTGTTACTGCCTCATAATGTGTTGAAAATATTTTATATCGACGTAGCTATTTGGCGCATGGTTATGAAATTTAGTGTAAGGGTGTATAATTAGGTTCTAAAACCGAAAACCTCAAAATTGAAAAAAAAAAAAATAAAAAAAAAATTTGAAACTTGGGCTTATGTTTCCCCTTAAGGCACACACTCGTGCTTGAGTGCGCTCAACTGCAACGCCACCGACCAGTTACGACGAGAGAACAGACTTCTACCGGGTAGCCCCAGGGCACTTGGGAGTTTTCGTGTAGGGATCTCCGAAATACACGCAGATCGTAATCGACTTCGGGGTACCCGATAGACGACGCGAGTGTACCAGCGAGTTCTCTCGTCGTAGGTGGTCGCAAGATGTTCGAATGCAGTCGATCGCACTAGAGCGCAAACGTGTGAACCGGCCCTTGACCTATTCGCTTGCAAAGCTGGCGATCCGCTGGCTGCTTCCGCCAAGGCCAAAGTGTGAGAAGCCGGGAGATTGTTGTCGTCCGGAAAACGCATTGTTTTTAAAAAGCCCGAGTAGATGGCGCTTCCCTGTACACTGGTTTCTGGTTGTCTCATCTTTTTCGCACCAGATGGACATACCGTAGAATACCGCACATCCGCCCATACCACTCTAAGCGCCCATACCCAAATTTGTAAGATCTGAGAAAATGTGCACAGTACATTGATATGTAAAATTGACAACCGGACAAGCGCCCATCCCCCATTTTTTCGCACTTATGCCTAAAATTTGAGTGGGCGCTTGCCCGGTATTTTACGGTAGTTGTCCACTATTTTTGAGCTTTGGTTGTTTAGAAGAAAACAAAATCCGCAAAACAAAGTTTGCAGATTTGTTTTCTTTGTCGGTTCGTTCGCTGCGCCTGAAACATGTCGTCGCAAAAGAAGAGAATGCTCGCATGTGAGGAAATCTTCAAGCTGGTGTTCGAAAGTGATGACGAAAATGCCTTTGGCGATGATTCAGAAACTATATCGGTCCAAGATAGTAGCAACGATGAGAGTGGCAGTGATGGTGAAAGCGATGTGTGTGGCACTTCACATGCCCGTCTGCTTTAAGACCTTTCACACTTGCAAGGTACTCTGAGCGCATTGCTTCCGGAAGACGTTCCCGAACAAAATGAAGTAAAAAGTGTTGACCTGCGAGTTATATAGCAGAAGTTCTAAAGCTCCCTTTACGACGCCACACACGGCAGTCCGCGTGGGAAAAGTTGCACGGTACAGCTTGCGGGAACGGGCGTCGATGCCGCGGAAGCGAAAGGGTTAAAGATTGACACACTGCTTTTACTTCATTTTGTGCATGGTGTACTGCACCGTCAAAGCTACTGTTATGAGGGTGGGGCTTTGTCTAGTGTCTGATTTTCGCGAGAGTATGTGCGAAACAAACTAAACCTCCCGGCGCAAGCCCGATGCGGGCTCGTGTCGGCGAGTTTGACGGCGTTGTACGCAGAGTACGAAATTGAGCACGGCGTTTCTGTGAGAAAGATTATTCTCATATGTTCTGTTCCACCTTACGTCGCTTGGAGCCGTCGAAGCCAGTCCGACGCCGGTTGAGTGTCGCGGGACCTTCGTCAAAACAGAGTGTCGTTCTGTCTCCGCCTAATGCGGGAATGTTTTGTTTTCCTTGCGTGTAGGCAGCCCCGGCGGCGTGGCCCAGGAGGACGGGACGAGCTACGAGTACGACCTGATTGGCGTGACGGTCCACACGGGCACGGCCGACGGGGGCCACTACTACAGCTTCATTCGGGAGAGGCTGAGCCCCGGCAAGGACAAGTGGTGGGTGCCCGTCATGCTCATTCTCCTCCCTGTCCCGTCGGAAGAACGGCACCCGGAATGCGTTTTAGACCAGGGTGGTTTGCGTCCCGCTCCGCCGGCCGCGTGTCGAAAACGGTCCCGAAGCGGCGTTGAACGGCGTCGCAACAGTCGGAGTGTCGCGCCGTCAGATGCTGCAGTCCCGACAGTCGGGCGTGTAAGTTCCGGAAAAGAGTGCGAGGCAACGCGGGTGTCGTCGCGGCGTCCCGACTCCGTCTGCTGAAGTTTCCGCGGACCATCAAGCCGGAGAGCGACCCGCAGCAGAACGGGTGTCCGCTGCGGATTGCACGGTAGTACCACATAGTACCTTGTTCTTTAATTGTCTCTCATTGGAGGCACGTTTTGCTTCTTGCGCGATGCTTTCTGGCAGAGAATGTGGCACGGGGCGAAGTCACGTATGTGGGAAAGCATGGGTGTGACTGTACTTCGTTTCAGCTTGAGTCCAGACGCAGCCGGCACGGCAAGGTAACGAGGCCAATCGAGCAGTGTCAAAAGCGCAAGTCATTCGGCCTTTTATGTTTGCGACTGGTTCAGCGATGATAGAGCACGTACAGAACCGTGACAAATGCCGCGATGGTGCGCTTTTGGCTCCGTCCGATCGGTCCCTTTGGCTCGGCTGCATCTGGACTTGTTCCGAAGCGATGCATAGTGAATCGAGAATTTCGTTAAATGTGTTTGTCTGTACCTGGCCTGTGTGAGAGCACAAATCACTGGTTCTGCATGTATGACGAATTTGGCCGTTTCTTTTGCTTCGTTTCTAGGTTTCTCTTCAACGACGCCGAGGTGAAGCCCTTTGATCCGTCTCACATCGCTGCCGAGTGTTTCGGGGGAGAAATGACGGTGAGTTTGTGCTCCTACTTTTACAATTTTTGCTCCTCTTTTTCAAAGTCTGGGTACTAATTTTATTTGCCTTCGTTTTTTTTAGAGCAAAACCTACGATTCGGTGACGGACAAGTTTATGGACTTTTCTTTCGAGAAGGTATGCGGTCGCATCGTGGCACTGGCCGCTTGCCAGCCAGTGCTATTTCGATGATGTTAAAATGTTGTTTTGACACTGACTGTTTCGTTCCTTTCTCTTGCGCTGCTGCGCAGACAAACAGCGCGTACATGCTCTTCTATGAGCGTTGCTCAACGAGCACGCAAGAGAGCAACCATTCTCCAGAACCCGCCGCTTCTGAAAAAGTCGGTGACACCGCGAAAGAACCGAAGCCGACGGAAGCTCCAACGTTGCGACTTTCGCCCGAACTGGCCGAGGTTGGTCCGTTTTCTTTGCACGCCAGCATTTGCTTATGTATACGAAGCGTAGGCAAAAAGCTGTCTTCTTGAATATAACACAAATTCAAACCAGCTAGAGTTCCTTCCTATAATTTATGTTTGTTTGTTTGTGTATAGTGGATTTGGCAGGACAACATGCAGTTCCTTCAGGACAAGAGCATCTTCGACCACACATACTTCAAGTGAGTGTCATACTTCGTTGATTTACCTGTTTTTTTCACTGACTTACTGTCATGGGTGGGACATGTTACCGCTTACGGCAGTTCTCGGAAGTGTCCACCAACCAGCTAAGCTGTCCGCACGTGTATGACACAAGTGTGCCGCATGCACGTCTCTCTTCTCTCCCGCTACGCAAGTGACACTGCCGGCACCACTGACTTCACAAATGTTTGGGTGATGAAGGGGGAGGGGAGGGCAATGGGAGGATATATTCTACATTCAAAATGCTTACCATGAATGTCTGAAATGCCCCCCTGTTCCGACACCACTGGCCAGCATGCTTGGTTTATTTCCTGTTCAATCAATTTGTGGGGAAATCAAACTTTTTTTTATTAGGGCGAAGGCCTTATATGTCTCATTGTTCAGTCAACCTTCAAAGCCCTTGAGCGAAAGCACGTCGACCACACGAAAGGTACCAAAACCCACGGTTTGCCACTGGACCACGAGATGGCATTACTTGTGCCAGAATCGGTGGAGGCGTGCGCGCGGCACAAACCCAACAGGAGAGGATGACACACTTGCTCAGGCAGCGGTGAAGAGCGTGCGTACGACTTGCTGTGAGATTAACGGCGCCAAAAGTGCGTCGTCAAAGAGCACGCTGTCTTCGGAGGTTCGCCATCGCCGGTATCGGCGCTTGGGCTTTCGTCTTCAAGTCATCTTAAAGATAACATAAGAAACCCTGTGAATTTTTATAGTAAATTTTTGCAGTACGATTATAAAATTAAGCTTTAGAAGCCACCACAGCATCTCTTTTAAAGCTCTGTTTAGTAGTTAGTGCCTCATATCCTTGTTTAACACTCATGTGATCGTGTCTCATTAATACGGACACCTCAGTTCCCCCAAAAAATTGTCCACAATAATCAGACAAAAATTCATGTACTATTTGCCGATTTCGCCCAAAGAAAGTTTGTCTCTATGTCGGGGTGCCCCAATTGACAGGGTTCATATTATACAGAAAAAACATTGCTTTTGTTGACAGTTTCCTGTACCAAGTGAGCAGTTCGGTCCCTCAAACGCTCTCCTGCGGAGAAGAGGCTACCCTCTTGGCGGCGCAGCTGGGAACATCTTTTGTCCTAGAGACCCTCATTCACGCCAAGGAGAAGGTGGGTCTTTCTTACGAGCCTCTTTTTCTGTGCCTTGCTTTGTGGCGCACTTTCTTGTTTGAGGACCTTTCGTGACCGCACAACTTCTCCTCGCGTAGCCCACAATGGCCCAGTGGATCGAGCTCCTGACGAAGCAGTTCAATGCCAGCCAGGCAGCATGTGAGGTGGGTCTGATACACGGGTTCTCATTAATTTATGTAGAGTAGAGCTGCCAAATAAGCTGTGCTTTAGAGTAGTGTCACTTTGGCCCCTATTGTTCCATACGATTGGAGTTTGCTGTTAGTGCCGTCTTTGGTAGATTTTTTTCACGGAAATCTTGGCAGGCATTTTGTGTTGGAAAACAGTTTGTGACAAAGCAAAACTATAACATCTGGATTTCTAACACTGCATTTAAAACTCAAAATTTGTGTTTCAAAACCTGTTGGCAACAGTTACAACGTTGCTGTAGCCATCTAAATGGCGGCACGCATGAGCCATCCGAACACGAGCAAATCTTACTTTAGGCCAGCAGACGAATGACCATCATGGTGACATGAGACGACTGGGAAAGTCCCAATACTCCAGGCATAACTTCCGGGTGACTGCAATTTGAACTTTGCCATATAGTGACGCGTTTTTCAAGTAACCTTCAGTCTTATTCTCGTCGCAGCACTCACCGTCGCACGCGCCGCAGAACGGTAGCTGTAGCACGTTCGCGCAACGCGGGCAGAATAGTGTCGTGACATACATACCTATTGCCCTCGGGTACGTGACGACACCATTTTGCCTTCCTCGCGCGATCGCGCTACACCTATCGTTCTCACCTCTTTGCAGATGGTGCATGAAAAAGGCACCCTTTTTTATCGAATTCAAAATTGCTGCCGACAGTCATAAATTTTAAATGAGAATAATTAAAAAAAAATCAAATAATAAAGTAAAAAAATAATAAAGAGATTTAAAAATCTAGGACAAAAAACACACGGAGTTATGCGGGACACATTCTGCGGTTTGATCAAGCATGTATAATTTTATTGCGTGATCAAGCATGTATAATTTTATTGTTTGTGAAGCGGAGAACACGGCTGCCCTCTGATTGCAGTGGTTCCTGGACCACATGGCGGAGGACGAGTGCTGGCCCGTCCAGATCCTGATCCGCTGCCCGAACCAGGTGGTGCGGCAGCTCTTCCAGCGGCTCTGCATCCATGTCATCAATCAGCTGCAGCCCGGACACTCCTCCCTCTACCTGCAGCCCTACCCAGACAGGTGACCGCCCATGGCCCAACACCTTGAGGCCACACGCAGCATTCCCTCAGGGCTATTAGTGTGCATTGTAAATAGTGCTGACCTCGCTGATGCAGTGCTGGCATCACGCTATATGAATGATACAGCGCTGGTACAGCGCTCCATCTGTGCAAAGTTGTGTTCAAGTCCCTACTGTGTCAGTGCTGTTGCTAGTGTTGATTTACTTCTCTTAGAAATGGCGATTTTATATTGGTGATCGGCGTGGAGTTATAGGTATGCGTGCCGTGAAAGAAGTTTATGTTTGAATAATCGGTTCTGGAATTAAATTTCATGGAAAAGTTACGAGGCACTTAAATCTTTATTTTACGGTACCTTTTCTTCTCAGTTATGTGAAAGCCTGCATTCTTAGTGACACTGAGGTGCGGGTCTTCTGAGATTTTTGCCTTCTGTTTGCAGCGACGACTCGTCGGACGTGGACTTGAGCCAGATTGGGCAGTACTCGTGCGTGACCCGGTTTGTCCGCAAGCTTCTGGCTCTGGTAGGCGATTTTTCTGCAATGGTTTCGAGATTTTGGAGAGTGCTAAAAATCTCTAGGTGGTGCAACTGTAGCCTTGCGAGAGGTGTTTTCGTTATATTAGTGATCCCTCGTTACAACAAAACCACTTTTTTCAAAGTTCAACATGGTCCCGACCGAAATGTGTGCATTTTGAACTGGATCACTCTAAGTGTATCGGTGGCCGCCCATGCTTATTATGATGGCCGAGGTGCCGAAAGCACTCAAGTCTACACGGAGGCGCATGGAGACCCTGCCCCTTCTCTACCGAGGCAAACTGGGAAAATAGCAAGCAAGGAGACAGATCAAATGGGTGACGGAGGGTAGAGTGCGCAGAGCGCCGCTTCTGATGCCGAAGCGCCGACGCTGCCAGGGAGGAGTGGGAGCAGCGTTCGCGTTCCGATGCTACTCACGGTGCCCGTGGCCGCCGCTGCCTGACTTTTGAGGGAATCGGGTCAAAGGAGCGATGGAGCCCGGAGAAGAGCATCCCTCCGAAAGCGCTTGACGCGCGCTTGCGGCGTACCACATGCTGCACGCACACGTGCGTCGTATGGGAGTGGGAGTGTTTACCAGAAGTCGCTTAGATCTGCGAAGTTGAGAAAAGTGGCCAGCCCAAGTCTAAAAACGCCAAAGAATTCGACATTCCGACATCGGCTGTTCGACACTGTCCACCGTTTTACAGAACAAGCAAGGCGTACTGGACGGGTTTGAGAAGTTTCTCACGCAAGAGAAAGTATGCCCGCGACCCGAAGGTGAAAGATTGCCAGCTGCTTTGCGCACGTCAGATTTTCTCTTTAGAGCACGCTTGCCGAGCTGGCACACGATTCCCAGAGCTGCAACATTCTCGACAGGAGTGTGTGAAAACATGATGTCGAAGCCATCGAGGATAACTGATTCGGTTGCGTTTGTTGATGTGGAGGTTCGATCGTAGACCTTGCGTGCGGCCAGGGTAAACACCAAGCGACGTCGGAGAGGCACCTCTTGAAACACCGACGACTGCGGAGACATGAAGCATCCTATGACTGCTTCGTAACAAAGTGGAGTGCAGCGGCGGTGACTGTGTTCTTGCGATGCCTGAGTCAGTTCGAGGAGAACTGATGCCCGGATGAAATTATCAGCGAACTCCACTTAATTATTTTTTTTTTTATTTGGTAAAGCTGCCGCGAGTTGTTTATAACCAAGGTTTGTTTGATTAAATATATGGTCCGAGTGTTACGCAGTGTTCCCGTCCACCTTCGAGCCTGCTGTCACTGTTTTTTCTTATCTCTCTCACTTTTATTGAATTACCTCTTATATCAAATTTTTTTTACTGTCCCGTTGACTTTATTATAATGACGGATTACCGTATATTATTCTGCGAGTAAACCCTTAGTCTCTTTTGATCATGTTTTATATAAAAAAAAAATGATTACGCGGCTTTGATTATGCCACAAACCCGACACACTTATTATTGTTTTGATGGGAAACATACTTTGGTTAGGTGTTTGGCATTTCATGAAGCCCAAAAGTGAAGCCTGGATAAAAGCGTGGCCACGACGCTCGACACTGATTGGTTAACGGGGAGGTCATGTGGTCAGGGGTGGAGTGAGGACGAGAGGTAGGCAAGGAGACAAGGTGGGAGAGAGAGGGTTAGAAGGTTCTGGAAGATCACCAGGTTTATCAGTTCAAGTGCACATCTGCGACGCAATGAATTATCTGATGAAGACCGCTGAGAATGGGGGGGGCGGGGGGGGGGGGGGGGGGGGGGGGAGGCATTTCACTGAACAGGCTAGATGTGCTGCTAAACGATAATGTAAACATTTGAGGTGCTCGAACATTTGACATAAGCAACGCAATTGCCTAGCGATTTGTTATCAACTTTTTTCTATATTTTTATGAGAATTTTTTATTTCTCATTTTTTTTATTTTTTTTGTATCTTAATCTTTATATTAAATATTCTGAGCATTGTGTGATGTTCCCAGCATGTTGCTCGTCCAGGACGCTCGTTCATGACAATTTTCTCGTAGAATACGACTCATGAAAAGCATCCTGTGTTTAAAACTGGCTATTACAGAAGTTTTAGGCCCTTCACACTGTAGTTTCTTTTACAATAGACATTTCAGCTTAATTTTTTTATCCTTTTTACTTCATATTTTTTGGTACATCGTGGCCGACATTGCCTTTCGCACCATTGAGCACTTAATTATAACATATCGTGATCCTCTATATTTCTTAGAGTTGCTTTGGGACGTGGCACCAGAACTTTTCATGCTTCCAAAGATATGGTTCCAACCAAAAATTTCCTTCTCGCAAGCGCGTAGCGAGCTTGCGGAGTTGCGTTTCTTGTGACTTTCAACTGGCACAGTAGTCTCGCACTCGCACAATGTGTTTTGACTCGTCATTAACTTGGGGTGGTTTTGGCCCGGTTTGCAGATTGAGCACGGGGCCAAGCAGCACCTGCGGCACTTGACGGAGTACTTTGCCTTCCTGCTGGAGTTTGCCAAGATGGGCGAGGAGGAGTGCCAGTTCCTGCTCTCGGTCGAAGCCATCTCCACCATCGTGTCCTTCTACCTGGGACACAAGCTGGACTATGTGAGTCTCGCACCACGTAGTGATTGAGCGATTGGTTCACTCTTTGAGCTTGTGCACTCGTGACCAACACAATAGTCCTACGAATTCACCAAGTGCCATTAGCCGACGATGAGTTATCCCTTAGCAACAGTTGCATTCGTCAATAACGATATCGGTAGCATTTAAAAAAAACTTGTTTACCCACGTGGCGGGCAAAGACGAGGTATAGAGCTTGTGTCCCACTTACTATTAATGCACATTGCAGGGATATGTGGCATCTGCAAGCAACAACCGACTTTGTCGAAAGTTGCTTGCCAGGACACAGTGTGCAAATTTTTACATTTGCACTTACCTAGCTAAATAAAAATAAATAGCTCTTACCTAGCTAAATAAAAAATGTGGCAATATCTAATTTTTTAAGTAGACATCAGGATTCGTACGGTACGATACAGTGGGTCAGGCCACTGAACCAGGGAAAGTAAGGTCTTCAAGCATTGGCAAAAAGTGTTGAAGCTTGACAATGGTACAAAAATGAAATGACGCATAAGAGTGAATTTTTTGTGAAGTCTGGCAGCAATGTTGAGAGTAAACTCCAACGACACTGTGCCGCTTTATCTCGATAAGGTTTGCCGGCTGTCCAGCTCTCATTGTTGTCATGTTCGTGTAACATAGGCCGTGTTCCAAATCTTACCCAAATAAATCCGAGTTACACCGGCAGGTCGTGTCACGTGACAACACAGATTGAGAAACGCTGGACGTAGGTAGGTTTTAGAACGCCAAGGTACAAAACCCTTACCTTGGAGTAAGATCGAGTTAATTTTGGAACACGGCCATAGCTGCAGATAACATACTCACCCTGAACATACACGTAGTAAATTTCCCTAAACTGCTGTCGTCTGAACGGGCGTCACAGGTGGAGATGGTGTCAGAAGAGGAGGACGAGGAGGAAGAGGAGGAGGGCGCGCCCGTCACAAAGTGTCGTCCGGCACCCCTTGACAAGATGGTGAGCCTGGTGCTGCTTCTGGTGGAGAAGTCGCGGGGCGAGGACCATCGGTTGCAGCTGGCTCAAGCCGACTACAACGCCCTCACCGGTGGGAAGGTGAGACTCGCCCGGTGATTGTTACAAGACCAATTCGCTCTTTACCCTCTTAATACCTCGGTGCTTAACTAATCGGTGTAGACCGATTGGTAGACCGATCCGGTGAGCTTGTGAGGCGACGCGTGGTGTAAGTGGATGCAGTCTCGCCAGATGGCACCACAGCAGCTTGGCGAGGACACTTCTGCCTCTTATCAGATTTGTCAGAGATGTTAAAAAAAAACACATTGTCAGAGTTCCTCTAACACGTTAACCCCCAATTGGTGTGCACTTATCCAATGAGCTTCTTTTCAGTTAAATTGAGATCATAATAAATTGCCTGGGTACATACCCTTTTAGAGACACCTTCAGTGAAAACGAGCTCTGCATGTGGACGTTTATGTAGGGCCCGAATGTGTCCTTACGGGGCCACTGATCGGCAAAATGTTCTTTTCGAATTACTAAAATCTGTGGGACGATCATTGCAACAAAGATAGTAAATCAGTCGGGTTGTTTTGCTGAGGCGGTCAAGCAGAGAGTAGATTTTAAATTTGTACCGTCAAAGGTTGTGTAGCTTGCCTCGTCCACCCATAAGAGTAATGATCCAGGAGGGTGATTCAATGTCACAGCCAAAGTTTCCGCTCTCTCTGCAGGGTTTCCCGTTCCTGTACCACCAAATACGAGACAACATCTGTCTCCGGCAGACGTGCAATCTCATCCTCAGTCTATGCCGGTGGAACGAACACCTAGCTCCTCATGTGGGTACCCCCCTCCCCCCCCCCCCCTTTTTTTCTTGTGATCTCGCATTCCTCGAGAGCTTGGCTTGCAACTCTAGTTTCCTTATTTTTTCCAGATCATCAACATGGTTTTTTCGGCAGTCACCAAACAACCCGAGGTGCGTGCGTTGCTTCTTTTCGGGTGCTCTTGTTGTCTCGCTTACGTAGATTGAGATGGGCCGTTTTTATTTTTATGTAGTCTCTCGGTTGTAAGTGAAACATTGTCACAAGACCAAGGTGCGTGCATTGCTTCTTTTTGAGTACTCTTGTTGTCTCGCTTGCGTAGACTGAGATGGGCCGTGTTTACTTTTAGTATTTAGTCTCTGTCACAAGACCTGTTTTTTGGGGATTTTTATAAATGCGAGACCAACATAAAAGTAGGGTGTTGTTAGTTGAGTCAAGCAAGTTTTCCCATGGAGGTAGTTACTAAAAGCTTATTTCTTTTGAAGCATTTAGGTGAAAAAAGAAGACAAAAATACATAAAGAAAGTAAGTAAAAGGCATCTAGTGTGCATCTTAACGTGGCTTCTGCTTGTAGACTTCTTTTAATTTTTTGCTTTCTATCTGTGCCTGTGCTGCGCCGATTGTTACGAAAAATCAACTTTATTATCGAGATTGTTCTTGGGCTCCCTCATTGGGATCAAGAACAGGCACTATGGAGACTGTGTGACTGATTCTGAGTGTCCATTATATGCACAAAGTCATGGAATTTATATAGAAAATGTTTTTAAGTATTTATACCGTACTCCCAAACGAAAGCTCTGAAAACATGGTCTGGCAAAGAGGCTTAGCTTCTTCACAGAAAGAAGCTGAGCATATGGTAGTAAAAGATCTGTCGTACCGGGGTTATTTTACTGGTCCCTTCTGAAAGTGGTTATGTTACTGAGGTATTTCAAAACAAAATACATTTTTGTATTTGTTTTTTCAGGCAAGCGGTCCCTTCTTCAAGCTGCTCTCGATGCTTGTGGAGTTTGCGGGCGGTCTGCCAGGGATGCCTGCCTTCACGTCCCTGGTCCTGCAGCGCATCTGGGAGGTGGGATACGCCTGTCGAGATGATTCCGTCGTTGAACTGTGTCATGCTTCGTTTCATCAAAACTTGGCAAAGAGCAAGTTCTACGACTTTTTTTTTTTTAGTTGAGCCAATTGGAGCGAAGCATGGGAAACTTCTCCGCAGGAGAAGAGCATTCTGACAGTGCGTTTGTCAGATGCCTAGCTGTGACATGCTGATTAGCTCACTGGAAACATAACCTTCTCCATTTGCCAGGTTATGGGGAAACAGAGCATAATAGATAGCATTCTACATGTTGTCTACAAAATAGTCTTTATTCATACATAAAGACAGCCTCTTATGTAAGAAAAAAAACTAAAATCAAATTAGAATAAAGAAACAAATGTTTTTGATCGTGTGATTAGGTTCAAACTTTCTGAGTCGCAGTGGGAAGCATCTAGTTCACTATGGAAGTAGGAGGCTTCTGGAGGTGACATGATGATGCCACCTGAGGTGAAGCGAAAAGTGTGGAGGGACACGCCCTCTACGATGACCAAAACCAGAGCTGTTTTGGTCACTGACTGTGTCTGCGTCCTTCTTTCGTTCTGTATCATCGCCGCCATGAAGTCGACAAATTCCACCCTTGGCAGGTCGTTACCGCTGTGCAAGTGATAGTGTTTAGCGGGGGATATCAGAAAAGTGATATTGCGATTGCCTATTGACGACCGTTTGACAAGTGTTTACATCGATGGAAATTTGGGAATTAATGAGTCATATAATTCATATCAAGACCACTTAGGTAGCGAATATGTGTTGATAGAACGTGTTCAACCTATGAATTTCGACGTCGATTGTTCCCTTGCACACCCTCGCAATATAGGTTTGCGAAGTATTTATGTAAACAACAATTAACCTAACTTCTCTTTTTTTATTGCCATAGTCCAACCATGCATGGTTGGATCGGCCGCATCCGGGACAAAGCTAGGGAATGACTACTGGCGTGCTCGCTCGGTGACAATTAAATGACATTTAGTGCGAGCCTCTAATTGTGTTGGCTTTCATGGAGTGATTGCATGTGTCTTGACTTCTTTTATCACTGAAGATATGCAAATTAAATCTTTCATGGAATTGTTTCATTCATGTATCGTGACAAAAGTCGAACAAAGGGGACACTACCTGACATTGGCGTAGCCAGGGAAGGGCTTATGGGTGTTCAGCCTCCCCCACCCCACCCCCAGAAGGAAAAAAAGATTCCTGGCTAGACTACTGCTGTTTTTCCTGTCAAAGACAGCAGGTTAAAGCACACAAAACTCTACTTTGATGGGGTTCAGTACACAGCAGCGGCCTTTCGACGTGGCCAAGAGACAAAATTCATTGTTTGCGCAGCTTGGTGGCCTTTGTAAAACTGACGGTACTGTTAATTTACGTTAATGCAACATTTATATAATCCATGAGGCTTATGCCAGTGAAACGAAACCCTTGCAGATAACAGGAACGATTTCTGCAGCCGCTCACACTGTGAAGGCCCGTCGCGACCTCGGCGACGTGCGACACCACACACTTTCATTTCCTCAATCCACTTAGCCACTCGATTGGATTGTCTGCTCGTCGTGGTCCATTGCCCACTCATCACCTTCGCTTCGCTGTCGTAAGAACCATCAGACGGAAGGAAGCGCAACGAGTGCTACTTTGCGAGCAAATTCTACGACCAACCACCCAGCTTGCACGTGACTTAGTCGCAGGGTCCTTACAATTGTTTAAACTTCTTACGACTAGGCTTCAAACAAGCTGGAACGTGCCCCCTCCTATTGTTTTTAACCTCCTTAAGTCCGACAACGTACCCCGTGGCTGGCCCGAAGTCGTGCCGGTTCTGTGTACCGCCTGTGCGTCTTTGTGCACTTGGTCGTAGTGTCCTGTAGAAATTCCGAGCTCCGTAAAGGAAAAGGCACTCCAGAGTTTCCAGAACATTTAATGATTGCTTGCGGAGCTGGGGTGCGAGCCCTATCTCCGAAGCCGCGCTCATTTTTTTCCTCTTCCCGATTGCAGGCGGCGGAGTACTGTCCGCTGCAGTGCCTGGAGTGGCTGACGATGCAGGTGCCCCGCAACAAGCTTGCCCACACCTGGGTGCTGCAGAGCATGGACACCTGGGTCGAGAAGTTCCTGCTGGCGCACGCCCTGCAGAGGGTTCGCAACGGTAGGCTGCGCTTCCGAGTCACTCGCGTAGCCTGGTTAGGAGAACCTGGTGCTTCTCATTTTCCTCTTCAGCGTGCTATTTTGTATCCTGTGTACAGCTTCTCTTGGATGAAAACCGATTGCTGCATACTGTGAGCTAGTACTTAATTTTCGCAAAGACCTAAATTTTGCTAATTTCGCGACTTAAACGAATTATTGCGAGAAATTGGTCACGCAAGTATATTGCCACACGGTAAAGAATATGCAGCATGCTACTCCTAATTGCAAAATTTTGTGCTCACAAAATATTTCTTACATTCAGACTTGCCAAAATTTGCAAAATATTGAGCTTGATAGTATTTTCCTTAACCAGTATACCATAATGTATCACACGTATAGCTTTGCTCGGACAAAAATGCAAACATTTGGTGAGAACTGAGGACAGAGAAAAGCTTTCGGTGCATTTTGAATATTCGTCGGTAAAGCGTATTTTAACTTTTAAAAAAGTACCGTATTTGCACGAATATAACGCGACCACGAATATAACGCGAGGGCAGTTTTTGATGCCCCCAAAAAGAAAAAAAATATTATTACTATTATAACGCGAACCGATGCCGCGTCAATTTCTCGCACTTGGGGGCATAGCAGAAGTGAAAAGTCAATGGAAATGGAAGAAATATCTGTTTATGTTTTGACTGCACTCATCCTCACTGCTCAGGTCCTTCCGTTTACAATCCACTTGGCGACTACGCAGGTATGCAGCAGCACGGCACCTGCTTGTCTGGTAGTTCTTTTTTCTTCCGTGGGAGCTCCTCGGCAGCCCACAATCCAAACAAGGCGCGGAAGCAGAAGCACCAACACACAAACACCAGACCACTCTGGAGCAGAAACTAAACAATGCGCTGGCAGAAAAAAGACTGCTGAACCCGATACACGATCACACTTCTTGTTCTGGTCCCTCTTCGTAAACAAATGCCTCGTGTTGCACGATTGCGTAAACGCGGTCGGTGGTCTTGGCTTGGCTTGTGTTGATTTGACTTGGCCCGGCTTGGCTTGGCTCGAATTGGCCGGTGCCCGCATTCCCGCATGGCGCGCGCGCGTGCAGCGTGCGCGCCACTGATATCAGTGGTGCGCGCGATGTAAAAACACAAAAGCGATAAAAATGCTTTTTTATGTTTTCTATTCGCCCCTTCACGTGGCCCAATGGCTAGAAAATGGCCCTCCACACCCCCACTTCTTTTCCCATTGGATCTTTTGCATTGAGCCGGAGGGATGACTTTCTCCTCTGGCTTTCTCCAGACTCGCGCGCCTCGTGGCTGAACTCGATTCCGAATATAACGCGAGGTGCGTTTTGGAGCACGTAATTTCGGAAAAAAACTCGCGTTATATTCGTGCAAATACGGTAACCAGAAACCCTTTTGAAGTTGTTAAAAGTGTCTCAAATAAGTGAACTTTTAGAGCGCAGCTCTTAGGCACCCGTTTCCGGCTTGAGCGTCGGTGTCGGCATAACCGCGTGTTGCATTATGGGACGTTTCCCATAATGACGTCATGAGGGTTACTCTCACGATGATTGCGAGGGTTACCCTCACGAGGGATATCCTCACCAGGATCACAAGGGTTACCCTCATGAGGGTTACAAGGGTTACCCTTACGAGGGTCACGAAGGTAACGTCACGTGTGACGTCATGATTGGAAACACGTGACGTCATACGTCACGTGTGGTGTCACATGGCGTCACAGGCACCTAACACTGCCAATATTTCCGCTAAATGAAATTTTTCCGCTAAATATGGCGGAAATGCCCTGCTAAATTTACCCTCGTTTCTGTCACGTGTGACGTTGCACACATGACATCATGTGCGACGTCACAAGGGTTAAGTTTTCCCGCTAAATTTAGCGGGGAAGGAAGAGGGGCATACCCTCTCTTCCGTACCCTCCCCTCCTCCTCCTCCAGAGCTGCACTCTAATTCGGCATCACTAAAAATTGTAAACGTCCTTCATTTTTTTTAGACCTGGCCAAACTGCTTAAAGGGGCACTGACACCCCAAACTTCGTATTCTATTTTATTGTCTAAAACGATGCAAGTTGTAGTCATAGACACGCAAAAAAAACCGCATCGCGAAAAAAAACTTCCCCGCGCGCGCGTGCGCCTTTTTATTTTTGTTGTTTATATTTCCCGCGCTAACCTCCTTGCTTCTTTTGATCGGTGACGTCAAAAATCAGGAAATTTAAAAGCTTTGTAGGCGACATTTCTATAACATTTAATAACGGCAATCGTAAAACATGTTTTTTAACGCAATGACGAACGCACTACGGCCTTTCTTTTTGAAATACCAAAAATCAGATTTCGGTGTGATGTCGCTTCCTGAATTTGTGTTCTCCCTCGGAAACCTTGGCGGCGCTCGAGCAGAGGCTTATCGCTGAGTCGGGGAAGACCGGTTTTGCCCCGCGCCGGCTCCCTTCTATCCCGCCTGCTCCCCTCCTCCTCTCTTCGGGTCGCGGTAGCAACGGCGCTTTGCTTCACAGCGTGGTGCGGAGGTCCGAAAGAAAGTCGAGTCGCAGGAGACCGCAAAATTTGACTCGCTGCGCTGGCGCGGATCGCGCGGGAACTTCAAATTCGGCATTTGGAAATTGTTTTTTTAATTCACAAATACTGAATTCCCAAGTTTCGAATTTTGAGGGTAACGTTGTGGTTCTCCTTAGGGCCACTGCCTTTGGGAGTACCACGTTCGCGGCGAGACGCTCTACCGCGAAGCGGGTTCGTACTCGCGTGGCATGCTGCTCGTTGAGCGCAAACAGACACCAGTCACGTTGGTAACGGTGATAAACTGTTTATTTACAATGAAACAAAATAACAACAACACAGCGGCTATAAGTTGGTGAACGCCGTCGGTGTGGAGATCGCCCACGGCCGAACGGTCGTTCACAAAGGTACAAAGTACGGGGTAAACGCTCACCGGTGCGCCGGAAGGGTCCCCGTTGTCGCCGCCGCCGAATCCCAGGAAGAAGAGAGAAGCGAGACTCCTGTCCGCTGGTTTTAAGATAACGGCGGGGGCGAAGTGGCCAATCAAGGAGCGACACGTCGATCTCCTTTGTGCGGGGGTCCGTTACGGAAATCGCCCCAAGGGGGGAGAGGAGGAAGCCACTCACAGTGGTAAGCGGCGCCACCTCTCGCTACGTCGGCGCGGCCGCCAAGGCGCGCCAAAACGCTGACGCGACAGAATGTTGAGGGATCACAATCCCCACACTCCCCCCTCCTTAGCCAATAGTCACCCGCAAACGGGTGGACCAACACAAACACACAACAAGACTAAAATAATAAAAAAAAGGCCGCCAGCGGCTGCAACTACACGGGAAACAACAGCCCGGCTCATACATTCATGGTCCAAAACTTCGTCCAGCGGTAGCTCACCAGCGGCACAGCTCCCAGCGGCAGTCGGTCGGCTGCGTCATCCCGTGACGGTCGCGCACGTAGCAAGTCACCTCCTGAGCGCCCAGGCCGGGGTAGGGCGTCGAGCCCAAAGTGACGATGTCCCACAGCAGTATTCCGCCGAACGCCCAGACGTCGGACTTGAAGGGGAAACCAGGAGTTGCACGCACTCCGGAGCCATCCACCGCACCGGGAGGGCGCACTTGGACACTGGTGGTAGAGGTCCGTCTCGGAGTCCATAGTGCTCCTGGAGAGGCCGAAGCCGGCGACCTTGTAGCAGCCGTGTCCGTCGACGAGCACGTTCCGGGCGACCAGGTCCCGGAGGATTATCCCTCGGCTGCCGATGTAGTGCATGCCCTGCGAGACCTGCTGGCCGAACTGCGCCAGGTCCCTGGGCCCTTGGGACTTGTTACGGGACGAAACGGGAACAGCTGGTCCCTGGTCAGCGAGCTTTCCAACCGCGGAGCGGGTCCCGAAGATGATGAACCGGCAGTCCCTGGCCGGATGTCGATCCCGACGGCACACGAAAACGACGGGCTGCTGGTTTGGTACGCGGCCGGCTGGGGTAGCGGGGCCGCCTGACGAGTCACGCGCAGCTGTGGTCCCTGGACGCCGCTGGACGCCGCTAAACTGCCGTAGCCAGGAGACAGCAGCTCCAGAACGACGCGAAGCAAAGGCTGGAGGTCCTCTTCGTAGGTGCGGAACGTACTGCGGTAGAATGACCACTTGGTCTCCGACCGCTCGTGACGACGCTCGCACCGCGCTCTTGCGTTGACATGTGGCCCACGTGAGCGTAGGTGGCAATAACTGACCAATGGCAGTTACGCGTACCCTTTCCCTCGGAAGCCGTGTTTGGGGGATTCCCCTACGGGTTCATCCGGGAGCGAACGCTGAGGTGACGTATCAAGGTCACTGCTTGCCAGTAAACAATGGTGTCTGGCGCGTTCGCGAAGGCAGCAGGTGCATTGTGTGTTGCACTTCCCTTAATGTGACATTTCGCCACTTACAGGGGCTGCCTCTACGAAAACTTCGGATAATAGTTCCTCCGTCTCCGCAGATTGTAGCGAGACGACTGTTGTTCGCTGCTGGCGTCGTCTCGCGCTGCGTGTGCATGTTTCTGCGGGGGCTGAGTTTGCTCGTTGGCCCCGTTTTCCCTCTCATGGTAGGGTTTCAGATCGCACACATGTACCGGCCCACCGACTTTTCTTGATTGCAAGTTTGTCAGCTTGTACACGAGTGGGGAGAGAAGTTCCTGCACTCGGTACGGGCCACACCACTTCGGAGCCAAAGCGGCGGAGAAGCCTTTGCTGGCATCACTCAGAACATGGTTGCGTCTGAGGACGAGATCGCCCACTTTGTAGCGGAGGTCTCGATGCGAGCGGTCGTACTGAGCTTTTTGTTTCGCTCGCGCTACCCCGAGATTGCGACGCGCCTCCGAGAAGGCTTCCGTCATCCGAGTTCGTAGCTGTTGCGCGTGGTCCGTTTGCGTCGGCTGCGCGTTGTCCACCCCGGCGCTCCCCCCTAGGACACGGTCCATGGGGTTCGGAAGCTCTCTCCCGAATGTGAGGAAAGCGGGGGTGAAGCCCGTCGAA